TTGAATGTAAAATTGATTTTTAGTATAATATAAAAAATGAAAAATAGGTGTTTGATTTGATGTTTTTGGGGGAAAAAAATTGGATGAATAGTGGAAATCCACCAAAATCCTTCAAACAAACACACCCTAAATGTATGCATAAATTTACAATAAAGAGTTAGTTAATATCGGTTATAGTTAGAGCTGTTAAATGAACCGAGTCGTTCGTGAACTCGGCTCAATTCAGCTCGATTCGGTTTGGTTAAAGCTCGTTCGTGAATGTTAACGAGCCGAGCCGAATAACATAAATAGGCTCGTTTGATTAACGAAGGAGTCTGGACTTTGTTCGATTAAATAATATATTTATTATAAATATTATATATACATATAAAATTATAATTTATAAATAAATAAAATATTAATTTAAAATATATAAATAAAATAATTTAATTTTTCTTTATAATTTATATATAAATTTTAAAAAATAAGACAAACGAGCTCGAACGAGCTTAATCGAACCTAAACGAGCCGAACACGAACATGAGCTCAAACAACAAAAATTCTTAACGAGCTCGAAAACTTAACGAACGAACACGAGCCGTGTTCGCGAACATTAACGAACACTTAAAATTTAGTTCGGCTCGGATCGTTAATAGCTCTAGTTATAGCTCATTATGCAATAATGATGGTTAATTATAAACTCTCCACCCAATGTTTATTTGTGTTTTCATTTTCATTTTACAACATATTTCTAATTTTATTTTTTTAAAAAAATAAATAAATATTCATCTTTATTTTTCAAAATTTCAAATCTTTTAAGATACCAAAACAAATTAAAAATGTCAAAAAAAAAAAAGAAAAGCAGCTTATGTGCAATTTCCGCAATTTGATTAAAGTACTAGAATTGAATCCCGTTATTAGATTAGTTATTAAGGTATTGTATATTTAGTGATATTTTTAGGTTTTGGTTTAAATTTTTATATTGATATAATATTTTGCGAGAAAAAATAATTTATTTTATAAAAATAATAGGTATTTCATAATAAAATAGGAAAAAGAAAATTAGTATCACCAACCTATAGAGCAACAAACGGAATTTGACGTATTAAAAATCTTTGGTTTAGAGAGTTGAGAAGAAAACAAATTCGATAAGAAGCTACATTATAAGGAGTTTTAATCAAAATCGGAGAATGAACCTTTACGAGTTGGGTTAATTGCAAAAATACAAAATAATAGCTTAAAAGATATGACCCGAAGGAAGATGTTGAACTTTGTTGAATGTTTTAGTTCTAAGGATTTTCCGAGAAGAGGTCGAAGAGAAGTAAAAAAATGGGACTGCATGCATGAAAGGAAGCCATTAAGAAGGGTTAAGGAGATTTTACGACGAGAATAGATGACAATGGACTTATAAAGAAAATAAAATTACAAAAGAAATGAATGTCGGAAATAATGAAAACTTCATCGAAGGAGAATTAAAATTTCATTCACGTCCTTCAACTATATACTTATATCTTCATCGTTGAATTAGGCATAATAATTTTAGAAAAGAAAAATAAAAACTAAATTCTCTCACAGAGGATCTGGCTCTATAGGTCAAAATGAGTAGTTCCAGCACATTTTGTTCTTTAGGGCAATAACGTTTAATTCTAAAATTATTTCAGTAGGGTTTTCGAAAATAAATATGCATGAATAATCTATTCAATCAACTTAATTTATATTCAATATCGAATGACCTAACAATAGATCATTCATATACAAAAGTTGGCTTAGCACCAGCCCAACTCTGGAGTATCATACAAGCCAGAGAGTATATTATGAATTTCGTACGTTTTCTGATTTTAAGTATAATTCTCGACAATCATTACATAATAACTTCAGCTAGTCTAGTGGTGGAGGTTATTCTATATCTCTTTGATCAAATTCTTTTGGGCACGACCATGACGTCTGACACTTGAAAAACTTCGAATTTGTTTGTTTAGTGTTTAGGTTGAAATATTTTTTTTCTTGATAAATATAAAATTGTATCGGTAATATGAAAAATAATATTTTGACGTTGAATTGTTATTTTTTTTTTTTGAAAGAATACAATATAAATATTATATATTAAAAATTGTATAATTTTTTTTTGTTTAGATGAACAAACCCTTCAATTTGCATTTCCTTAATTATGTGCTTTGCTTATTCTATGCTCCTTGCTTTCCTTGCATATAATATCTTTATTATTAATTTTTATTTTTTTATTTTTATATTTTATCCATTACAAGTAAAAAAACTTTAGAGAATAAAATTATAAGGAAAATAATAATTGAAAATGAAATTACAGAAAATGAGAATTTGATTATTTTTTTTTTGATAAAGGAAAGATTCAGTTTTTTTTTTTTTTTTTTAGGGGTTTGGATTTGAATAGTAAAAATTTTAAATTTGAATAGTCGCATAATTTGATATAAATAGGTATTGATGTGATTTTTTGAATATAAAATTGATTTTTAGTATAATATAAAAAATAAAAAATAAGTATTTGATTTGATATTTCGGAGAAAAAAATTGGATAAATAATGTATTTGGGACAAATCTCCTAAACAAACACACAAGTGAAAAAAATAAATTCATCAAGAAAAAATAATAAATTGGATCAGAAAAATATTATTGTATTTATTTGGTTATTTTTTATTTAAATTTTTTATTTTAATAAAAATTTAGATATGATGTTCCATGATATCAGAAAAATATAAAAATTGTAAAAATTAAAATAAAAAATAACAAATAAACAAACTATATCGTAAAAATTAAATTATAAAAACAAATAAATACACACTTTTTTCAATTTTATTTCTTTATATATTTCTACACACAAGAAAAATAAAATTAAAGAATAAAAAATATTTTTTTTTTCAATCTTAAATTTTCTATCGTAACTAAAAAAAGAAAATGAATATACTCACATAATAAGGGGTATTTTTGTCATTTTTAATATATAATATTTATAAATATTATTGGGGTATTTTTGTAATTATCGTTAATGGGGTATTTTTGTATAAATATTATATTACACCATTCTAATAGGAATATTTTTGTCCTTTTTATTATAATCCAATATAATATATATTCAAAAATTTACGTTCAAAAAGCAAAAGCCACCCTTTCAATGGGACAGAGGGAGTATTTCAATTTTTATGATTTTGTTTTATAAAATGCATCCTAAAATCTTTTTATTTTGTTTTACTATATATGATTATTTTTTTAAGATTTTCTTATAACTTTTTATAAAATATTCAATCTATGATTTAAAGAAATAAAATATAACCAAATAAAAAAAAAGCATAGCTAATCAGATTGGCGTTACCAAAGTGCCCTTTATGGAGTAAATTGCACCCTCCCAAAAGTTCCCAAGGGCTTATATCCAAATTAAAAAAAATATGAGGACAAAATTGCAATTGAGGACTATAGGCTGTGTTTCTTTCACAATTTTTTTCTAAAATTTATTATTTTAGTTCTATAAAATATTTTAAATAGATGAATTCCCTCTATATAAAACATATCCAATTCAAAAATAGCATATGAGTGTGTTTCTCTTTATTGTATTTGAGAAAAATTGATTTAGATTTATTATTAAAATAACATTCGATAAAATATTTTGTTTTAAAAAAATTATTTAGGTTAAAAAATATATATAATTTTAAAAAAGACAGAGTTGAAATAGTAAAATTTAAAAAATCTTGAATAAAAGAAATATACTCAATTAACAGACTATTATTTATTAGTAAAAATTTAAACAAAATTTTTTTAAACCGCCTAAGGAACCCGTGCCTTTTAGGAAGGTACTTTAGGCGCTGATTGGTTCATGAACTTTTTTTCCTGGGATTGAGATTTATTATATTTAAGATTTGGAATTCTATCGTATGTTTGATTGGTAAAATTAAGTGGAATTTATATTTCCCACGTTTTATTTGTTTTTTTATATGAGTGAAATGATTTAAATTTTTTATATTCTATACGACATAATTACTCCTCTGTAAATTTTATTTATTTTGATAAATTAAACATCTAATTTACAATAAATATAAATTGACAATGATCAATAGTTTTACAGGGACAATAGGTTATCATAAACTCGAGATCCGACTCGAACTCAACTTATTTATTTGAAGTTGAGTCCAATTATTTGAATATTAGGTCTGGATCCGGGTCATATTATGAGTATTCTAATCGGGTCTGAATTGGGTCTAGGGTCTAAACGGACCATATCCGCACCCGTACTCGATTTATAATATTAATAATATATCAACTATGCATATGAAAAAATAATTTTTAACAAAATAATTATATTAAAAATATTTTTTTTAAGTTCAATTTATTTATTATTTTATTATAATATTTTTTCATAAAATACATAAATAATATATATTGGGTCGGTACATACACGTGTAATTTTAAATTAAAATTTAAGAATCATAAAAAAATTGGATTTGTTAGATCCATCGGGTTTTACCGTGTATAGTTTCGGCCGGATTTGGTATAATCAAATCCAATTTGAATCTCAAGTCTAACGATATATATTCGGGACGGATCTCAATTCCGGTTGAATCCGACTTATTGTCATCTTGATAATTTTATAATTTAAATAAAATTTATAATAAATAACAATTTAAAACAATAAATTTATTAATTTATTTAAAAAATATTGTACCATAAAAAATAATATTACTTTAATTTAATATATAATTCAAATAAAAATTAATTTTAAAATTATTTAATTTAATTTTATATTAATATATTTATAATATATAATATTTTTTTATATAAAAATATAAAAATAAAATTTAAAATCCCATATAATGTAATTTAAAAGTAACAAGAGCATCCATTACTAATAAATTCCTTCTTCGTAAGATTTGATAACTTATTTTTAAATTCTATTATTTTAAATTCCATTATTTATTTTAATCAAACATGAATTTATAAAATTTTAAAATTCAAATCCATAAAATCTTATTAAATCCATAAAACAAAAAGCCCCTGTTTTTTTTGTCCGAAACTTATGTATTAGAAGTTAGAACCAGAATCACCCATTCTTGAAAATTGAATCCATCGGGCGATTACAGAAACGCCGCCGCCGTCTCGCTGCCACTTCTGCCGTCAATTTTCCACCAGCATCTCCTTCGGAGTAGTCTCCAAACAGGTACTTTAACAATTAGGGTTCTTGACACCCTCCCACCTTCAATGGATTTAGGGTTTTGTTTTTTTTTTGTTTTTGATTTTGTTTTTTTTGTTTTTTTTTATATCGAACTCCTCTTGTTTCCCCTATTTATAAGGGGAACTTCTCTTATCACCGATTGATTTTGAGATGGAGCTTTGGGATTCCTTTGTAGGTGTGATGTACGTCGTTTAAAATTTATAAACGGTCAAGTTGCTTGAATCTGTGTAGAAGTTTAACATGTTCAAAGTTCAACTTGCATTTGATTAAATTTTGATATTGACCTGGGCATCTTAGTGCTGCGCCTTTTATGCTAATTCTAATTTTGACAGAATGAAAATTGCTAATCGGCTAACATAAGTGCTGTTGTTTTCTCTTAATGCAGTGAAAAATGGGTGACTTGAAGACATGGGTATCTGATAAATTGATGTCCCTTTTGGGGTATTCACAACCCACTATTGTTCAATTTGTGATAACGCTGTGTAAGTGGAAATTGATTTTCTTTGCCTAATTCTAATATGTGTATTGGCCCTGGACTGATGCTATGCTAAGATTTTTGATCTTATTAATTCAATGGTATTAGTTTTTTTATATGAAAAATTTGGCTACTGTTTGTTGTACTAATGCAGCTAAGAAAGCTTCATCTCCGGCTGAAATTGTAAAGCAACTGCAAGATTTGGATTTTTCAGCATCTAGTGAAACATATGAATTTGCCAAAGAAATTTTTGCTAGAGTGGAGCGGAAGGCGTCGGGACCAAGTGTGAGTTTCTAGACTCAATGTATCAGATAAACTGAAATAGTTTGTTTCCAAACTTTGACTACTTCTAGTTAGCACTGAGTTGACTTATATTTGGTTAGGTATACCAACAACAAGAAAAGGAAGCAGTAATGTTTGCGCGTAAACAAAAAACCTACAAAATTTTGGAGGATGATGATGAGGGCGATGTGGTTCCTGTTGCCCAATTGCCTAAAAAGGAAGAAACTCGAAATAAGAAGTTCAGAAAAAGAAGTCACACAGACGATGGCATTGATGATGAGGTACTCATGCCTAAAATCCTTTTAGATCAGATACTGCATAAGTTGTGGTAGTAAGGTGCTCTGGAATCTGATGGTGTAGGAAGTAAAAATTGGAGGCCAAGAAAGACGAGTAAGAAGTCGGACTACTCATGACGAAGATGATGGTTCTGAGGTACTAAAATATATTTATGAGCTTGTTTGTTGTTTTCGTTTTCAGTAAGTACAGATATTTTATTAGAGAGTGGAAATTTTATCTACATAGGAAAAAACAACGAACTAAAACCCAAAAACTGAATTACTCCGAAATCAAGATGGCCTTATTAGTAATAATAATAATAATATTATTATTATTATTATTATTATTCATGATATCGACTGGTTTAGATACGGACATCAAGGTCCCTTTTCATTGGTGATAGTATCAACTGAAAATTAGACGCATGCAGAAATCTTCGTATATCTTGTTTACAGATTTGTGTTGAACATTCTTCTCTGCAATTGATAATGCAAGTAAAATGATAAGACCTTTGCTATTAAACAAAGCTTTGTATCACCTACTTGCACAGAGTGTGTGAATATCACCTACTTGCACAGAGTTGCCTAAGGAGTTACTCAATGATTCCCCTTCGTTTACATTATTCTCCTGCAACTCACAGTAACATCGTGTCATGGTATTGCATGCAATATAGGCCTTTTTCAATTTTCTTTTTTTTGGGTGATTATGCAATATCATATTTATAGGTCTCAACACTTTTTTTTTAGCCCAAATAACTTGCTTTTTTCCCAATTTTTTCATCTATTTCCTTAAATTTACTTGCATTTATTTTCTAGTGCCATATACATACTCGTTTTTGTTGCAGTCCGAAGAAGAAAGACTGCGTGACCAGAGAGAAAAGGAGGAGTTGGAGCGTCATATTAAAGAACGTGATGTTGCAGGGACCAGAAAGGTTGACTTTTTATCCAATGCCTTGTTTGTTATATGCTCCTTTCCAGGCATCCAATTTATTTCTGTTTTTATGTAGTTATAATCTCATACCAAACAAACGTGATTTAAAAGTATGTTAATACAGATAAACTCAATTACTTGAATGTCTGCCTTAGGTGTAAATATTCCAATATTGGGGATATGTTGTTTCTTTTCATATATCAACCAAAATAGAGTCTCTTTATATTTTAATTGTGTTTCTTTTTTTATTTCCTTGCCCGCACGTAAAAGGTGGATATTTCTCAGCTGCACACTTCGCTTTCTTTTTGTTTTAGATTTGAGGTCCTAGTTTTGAATATCTACATTAAAAAGTGGAAATCTTGGAAATTTGAATTATCTGAAGGCATATATACTTACTTTTGTTCAGTGCCTAGCAGCTTTAGGGATGTGTGGCTAAAGCTTAAATAGTTCGGCACTGCTTGTTTGCTAATGTTGAAAATATTTTCATACATATCTTCATAATTTAATTCCCACAGTTTTCTTTGAAGTATTCTCTAAGGCTCCTCTTAATATATCTGCTAATAATTGTTTGCATCATTTGTCAACTTGGACAAGAGGTATTGCCTAGAATTGTTTTGTACTTTTGTTGTTGTTGTTGTTTTTGTGGGAATGTTATACACATTCTGCTGGTTTTTTTATCTTAATCTGTTCAATTCTTTCTTCATTGATTTTCTTTTGTGCAGATAACGGACCGCCAGTTAACCAAAAGAGAAGAAGGTAAAATATCTAATGCATACGATACATCCCATTCATTTTGTACTGATTAAAACCTTTTCATACATATATATATATATATATATATCTCTTCCATGATTAAGCCAGCAGCATATTATCTAAATTTCTTCATGTGTAAAGGTCTCTGAAATAAAGCATTCATTTTACTTCATTAAAGCAAGCCAAATTTCCTAAATTTGCTTTAAGTTTTAGATTTGTCACCGTCAAAGTTCAGCTGATAAATCTTCTACATTAGTATGACTTTCCTTTGTTTGGTTGAGTGTTGATAATTTCGCAATTTTCATTTTTATTTGTATGGTAGCATTGCCCGTGAAAGCTTGTGTAATTTTATGAAATGACAATTATGTGGAATTGGCTGCTGGTGGTAGTTTTATAACTGATGTATATTATGACTTTTGTGTTTACGTATGTCGGTGATAGTGCTTGAAATGCGGTATGTGGGAAGAAACGTTTTTTACCTTAGTATTTCCCTTTAATTCTTCTTATTATAATATGAATGCTTATTTGAAATTCATAACTATTTATTGAAATGACATATTGCATTAATGTATGGACTATTAACTAAACCTTGGGGGAGCAAAGCAACCTCATTTTTTTATTTCTTATGTTGAAGTTTTGTTAAGTGTTCTATTTACTTCTAATTTCTCATATAGTACAGAGAGTAACTATGCCTATTTCGCTGCATTTTTGCAGAAGAGGCAATTCGAAGATCTAATGCGTTGGAGGAGGATGATGGGATTCGGAATTTAAGGTTTGTCACAATTGTGTTATATCTGTATAAGATCTTGTGCTAGGCTAATAATAATCAATACTTTTGTTTTCTGACCTAATTGAGCTATGAACAGATGCAAAAAAGTTAAACTTGACTATGTGTTGACTTCATAGATGTTCATTTTAACAAGCCAACAATAAATTCTTAGATAGGCTTCTGAGAATATTCAGTGTTGGTGGGATGTGTCTGAAAATCATTATCATACAACTGTTATTTTTCTAGATTGGAATTTGTAACCAGTTTGGGCCTTTGGGGTGGGGTGGGGTGCGTGAACAAGCTTGTAATTTTCCTTTAGTTGCTTAAAGTAATTTGTTCCATCCTACAGCTTCGTTCTCCTTCTAGGTAGTAATCGTGTTACGCTATTATCTGCTTTTATATAACAGAAAAGTGTCAAGGCAAGAGTATTTGAAGAAAAGGGAGCAAAAAAAATTAGATGAGCTCAGGTATGAATCCAAAGCCTTTGTTCAACTAGCATTTGATTTATTATAGTTTTCTTGACTGAATTGTTAAGTATGCCTTACCTTCCTTTTACTGGTAATTCAGAGATGATCTCGAAGATGAGGAATACCTGTTTGGTGATGTCAAATACTCTGAAGTAGAATATCGTGAGCTAAGGTAAAAGTATTTTAAATTGCATAGTTATATTTAAAACTATCGTGATATGTTCCTGTCTACTGTTAATTCTATTCTCATGTAGACATGGATTCTGCATGTTATTGATGCTACAAGCTAGACTACATGTTTTGGCATCTTATGTTTTCGTGATTACTTCCTAATGATCAGTCTTGTCAACAAAAGCAAATAAGGAACATAAAATTCTATTCATTTTCGTGTGATCATTAACATTATCTCCTTTCATCATTATACTAGGGTTGATTCTTATATCTGGACACTAGTATATAATACTGGATTTTATTATATTTGCATATGACTGTTCAACTTATCTAAATTTGGTTTCTTTGCAGATATAAAAAGCAAATTTATGAGCTTGTTAAAAAGAGGAATGAAGAGGCTGATGATGGAAATGAGGTGAGAACGTTTTCATTATAAATTTGTTTCTTGGTCTGGTCTTCTTTTTACCTCTCCGGTCACTGTTTTATATGCGGCATCACCTGCATGTTTTCACTTGATGGAAAGCACTCATTTCCAATTTCCATGCATGTGTGCATATACTTTTTGAGATAGAACGTTTATAGGTATGCATCCATGCTTGCGGGCTCCACAATCCACCCCTTGAATTTATAATTTTATATTTATATTCAGAATGCCAAATTACTTTCCCTTTTGTTTGTCTCTAGTTGAATTGTATTGACTCTGTAAATGTAATCCCTAAAAGTTAGACAAATGGAAATATTAATTGGCTATCTTGAACACCGTCTGATTTTTTTCCCATTGATCCACAGTACAGGATGCCGGATGCATATGATCAGGATGGTGGTGTCAATCAAGAAAAAAGATTTTCTGTGGCATTACAGAGATATAGGTTTGTTTCAGATTAATGAATGTTGAGCTAAAAACTTGTATATGAGATTGATTACACATTTAAATGTGCATTTGTATACCTTTTATGACTTGCTGAATTTCTGTTTTCCTGTTACAGGGATCCTACTGCAGAGGAAAAGATGAACCCATTTGCTGAACAAGAAGCATGGGAAGAACATCAGATCGGTAGTACTCTGTTGGCATTACACTTAAACTTATGTATGGCATCGCTATATCTTGAAGTACTAACCTTATGGTTATTAAATTTCAGGCAAAGCTACTCTTAAGTTTGGATCTAAGAATAAAAAGCAGAACCAAGATGATTATGAGTGAGTTCTAAATCTTTTATATGGGTTCCACCTTTTGTTATCACTTATCACACCATCTCATCCTTCAAAAAATAAAAAATTAAAAAAGAATTATCAGAGCAATTGGAAACTGGCATTTTGCACTTTGTGTATACATTTTATTAAGGTGGTTTCATGTGAGATTAAATGGAACTGATAAGCTTCATTTGACAGTAACAGATTTTATTTATTTGACGTGCAGGTTTGTTTTTGAGGATCAAATAGAGTTCATAAAGGCAACAGTTATGGATGGTGAAAATGTATGTACATTAACTCCGCAATGTACTATGAGATGTCTATAACTAGATGGTCTGAATAATCTGCATTGATAATTCAATTTCTTCACAGGTTGCGCAGGAATCATCTGCTGAATCACCAGAAGCTTCTGCTGCAAAAACGGCATTTGAGAAACTTCAGGTCCAAACTTGCTTCTTTATGAAAACAAGTGTTTAATTCAGATTGCAAGAAAATAAGTGTTCATTGGCAATGTTAACTTCTCAAATTTATCTTCAACCTTGCTAAACAATAATTTGTCAATGATGTTGGCTAACTAGGTTAAAATAGTTTGTTATTTTGATATCAATGAAACATGCCTGTCTGGATATTCATACCTTTCAACATACTCTGTTCTTTAATAGAAAGCTGGTCAACTGAAATTGGGTTCTATTGTGCAATGTGTTGGAGATTGGAATGAAATGATTTGCAAGCGATTTTCTTGTTTGTGTTTTCTTATTCTATCATGCACTAATACAGTATCAGTGTTACGACTTTGTAATTTGTATACATACTAGTCATTTTTTTTGGATGGAAAACTTGAAAATTCAGTCTTATTAATGTAAATCTTTTAGTCAACCAAAATTTCTCAAGGGAATGTCCAAATTGACAACTCTTGCAGAAAAACTGGGGCTAACAGAACTATTAACCTCAATAAGAATTTGGTAGCATCATGGATGAAATCCTATTAAACATGCAGTAGTAGTATCACTTTCTCTTCCTCATGCATTAACTTTTCTCTTGGCTCGTTCATTTTCAGAGTGACAGGAAGACTCTGCCGGTATATCCTTATAGAGATGAGTTGCTACAAGCTGTTGATACGCATCAGGTGTATAAACTGTGTTGTCTCACAAGTTTGCTGTCTGTACACTGCGTCTGTTGATATACTCTTTTTTTTTTTGTATGCTGATGTACTTATTAATTGAATGCTATACTGTTTTGCAGGTTCTTGTCATTGTTGGAGAGACAGGATCTGGAAAAACTACGCAGATACCCCAGTATCTTCATGAGGCAGGGTACACTAAGAGAGGAAAGGTACGTGTGTTTTCCAATCATAGTTTCTTATTGTATGCATTGAGGTTATCTGTCAAGCTTTATACGATAACTGGTACTGCCCAATTTGCTTGAATTAGCTAGCTGGACTATATTCATATGAATTTCATTGTTGTATTGTAAAAATCTTGTGGAACTGCAGATTCTACATTCTTACTTTCCATATCTATCAGATTGAGAAATCTTTTCATATTTAGTAAGATTAGGCAAAATTGCTTATAATATACTACAGTTTGGAAAATTTACACTATTTTATGATTTAGAAATTACACGTGAAAGCATAATTTCTAGGAGATTGAGATTTTGTGCAATATTTTCTAAAACTAGCAATTTTTTTAATTATGAAGGAGTATGGTGCAAAATTTTCAAACTACAAGTGGATTATAAGTAGTTTTTCTGTAAGATTATGGCAGTATCATTATACTAGTTTAATTTTTTTCTATTTCTAATGTTTTTATCGGACTCTAGGAACTGGGGTGCTTCTTATATTAATTGACTTGGGAAACCCCAGCTTTAGTTTTCAACACACTTATAGTAGCAGGTATGAGTTTTACTTGGAATATAAATTTACTAAATGATGACCTTGCTGACAGATTGGGTGTACCCAGCCTCGTCGTGTTGCAGCAATGAGTGTTGCGGCTCGAGTTTCTCAAGAAATGGGTGTAAAACTGGGGCATGAGGTATATTTTCTGCTTTTGTCATGCTAGTGTTTGGCAGCTCATGCTATTTCATTTGGCGTTGGGAAAACGAACATTGTTTTATCTAGAGATGGCCATTAATTGCCATGGTAACATCATTCTGCTAGTGTAATAAGTTACTATTCAAATTTGCATTTTGCGATATACCAAATAATAAATTAGACCTGCCCCATGATAGTTTAAATTTCCTATAGTGTTTCTGTTTCCTGGAAGTCTATACTCACCATTGTAGTTTGTTCTTTTTAGGTTGGTTATTCTATTCGATTTGAAGACTGTACTTCAGAAAAGACAATCTTGAAATATATGACGGATGGAATGTTGCTGCGAGAATTCCTTGGGGAGCCTGACCTTGCAAGTTACAGGTGGATTTCACATTTATAATATCTGTGGTAATAATTTCATGAGCTAGTTGTAATGAGTATCATTGTATTTATTTCAGTGTGGTGATCGTTGATGAGGCCCATGAAAGAACACTGTCAACAGACATTTTATTTGGCTTGGTGAAGGTAAGATCTTGAATCTCTTAGACAACGTCATAATCATATTGGTTAACTTTGAGGTAGAATAATGTGGTAGTAACGGGTGAAAGTCGTCTCAAAGTCATTAGAATCTCTCTTTCTCCATATATCTATATTTGGAAAATATTTTGTGTAACCCGTTTCCTGTTCTACTTTACCCTTTTTGCATGACAGGATATTGCAAGGTTCCGCCCTGACCTCAAATTGCTTATTTCAAGTGCCACCCTCGACGCCGAGAAGTTCAGTGATTATTTTGACTCTGCTCCAATTTTCAAAATACCTGGAAGGAGATATCCTGTTGAAATACATTATACCAAGGCCCCTGAAGCCGATTATTTGGATGCTGCTATTGTTACTGCACTGCAAATCCATGTGACCCAACCCCCTGGAGATGGCGATATTCTGGTTTTCTTAACTGGACAAGAGGAGATAGAAACTGCTGAAGAGATTCTTAAGCATCGAACGCGAGGGTTGGGAACCAAAATAGCAGAACTTATCATATGCCCCATTTATGCAAACTTGCCTACAGAACTTCAAGCAAAAATATTTGAACCCACTCCAGAAGGGGCACGCAAAGTTGTCCTGGCGACGAATATTGCTGAGACTTCTTTGACAATTGATGGGATCAAGTATGTTATCGATCCAGGTTTCTGTAAGATGAAGTCATATAATCCTCGGACTGGAATGGAATCATTACTGATCACTCCAATCTCGAAAGCTTCAGCTAATCAACGAGCAGGCCGATCTGGAAGAACTGGTCCTGGAAAATGTTTTCGATTGTACACTGCCTACAATTATTACAACGAACTGGATGATAATACTATTCCAGAAATACAAAGGACGAACTTGGCCAATGTAGTGCTTGCTCTAAAGAGTCTTGGCATCAATGATCTGCTTAACTTTGATTTTATGGACCCTCCACCGTCCGAAGCTCTTCTGAAGGCATTGGAACTTCTTTATGCTCTGAGTGCGCTTAACAAGCTTGGTGACTTGACCAAAGTTGGAAGAAGGATGGCTGAATTCCCCCTCGATCCCATGCTATCTAAGATGATTGTTGCTTCTGACAAATATGAGTGCTCTGATGAGATCATATCAATAGCCGCAATGCTATCTGTCGGAAATTCAATATTTTATCGTCCCAAGGACAAGCAAGTGCACGCAGACAATGCACGCTTGAATTTTCACATGGGAAATGTTGGGGACCATCTTGCATTGTTGAAGGTATGTGTGTTAGAGTCTTATCCATGAGTTAACTAGTAAGAATTATTGCAAATTTTCATTGGATTCGAAGGCTTTATCTTGTGATGTGTATCTTTTTTAGGTGTATAGTACATGGAAAGAAACCAATTATTCAACTCAGTGGTGCTACGAGAATTATATCCAGGTGAGGAGCATGAAGAGAGCTAGGGATATCAGGGATCAGCTTGAGGGGCTGCTGGAAAGAGTCGAGATTGAGGTGAAATCAAATGCAAATGATTTAGATGCAATTAAGAAAGCAATAACATCGGGATTCTTCCCCCATTCGGCAAGACTACAAAAGAATGGTTCCTATAGAACTGTCAAACACCCCCAGACAGTTCATATTCACCCGAGCTCCGGTCTAGCACAGGTAATTAGGACAACAATCTCTTCTACCAAGATGCATAAAAATCTGTTCCAATGGCTCCTCTCATGTTTTAATAATTTCTACTGTCAGGTTCTTCCAAGATGGGTGGTCTACCATGAATTGGTTCTAACAACCAAGGAGTACATGCGGCAGGTAACAAACCCCTCGATCTTTCGGTTCCTCCTTAATTAATCCCCATTGCAGCGCACATACAGTCCTCATATATCCTTACGAACCTCATCTGGACATATGCTGCAGGTTAGTGAGCTAAAACCCGAATGGTTGGTGGAAATTGCACCGCACTATTACCAGATGAAGGACGTCGAAGATGGTATATTTTCTCTTGCTCTCTCTAACCCCCAACTTCACAGCAGCCCTGTTGTTGTTCCTTATGTTTGACAATATATAATGTTTCTTTGTAGGCGTATCGAAGAAAATGCCTCGCGGCGTAGGGCGGGCAGCAATGCAATGAGTTTGTTGGTTGTGGGTTGGTCATGCTGTACATATTGACTAGGTAAAGACTAGATCAAAATTGAATTGCTTTGCATGCCCACCTCCTCACCTCAATGAAATGATGATTATGTACCCTTTATTTTGTTAGATATATAGTACCAAAAAGTAAAGAAAAAACAAATATCAATTTTGTAGGAGATTTTTTGTGGTATTAATCGTTGCGTCGGCTAAATCATTTTTCTGTTGTGTGTATTACATGTGACATCAATTAATATATTTTTAGACCTTTGAAGGATGCTTTGTATTTCATATTCAAAGTAACATAAAGACTAAATGCCTTACCCTTTGGTTTTGGCTTGACCCTTGTTCTACCTTCTATTAAAAAAAATTACTTCATTTGCAACTCTTAGAATAAAGCCATCAAAATAATCAAGCTTTATAATTCAAAGTTCGATCCATTTGGAGTGTTCTTCGGGGGATTCTTGTTTGCTTTTTTTATTCTCCACAAATCTGTTAGGCACGAGACAATTTAAATATATTCCAAGTACTTTTTGGAGCGTTATAGTGTAACGGGTTGGACGATTTCTCCTCGTACATTTTTCCGTTGATTTAGCAATTTTTCGATACCTCCGAGAACTAGTTAGTACAGCCTCGTTTGCAACTCCAACATATGGTAAAAGTAAGAATACTATAAGATGCACTCGACAAAGTAGAGTATTTATTAATTCTCAAAACTGAAGTAACGTACAAGTGAGACTCCTCTATATAGACACTTTAACGGGCCGGGCCTAACATGGGCCAAATCAAATTCACACTCGGATATGCTATATTTTAACAAACTATAGATAAAGATCGCTAAATAAAGAGATACGGATAAATTAAATCTAGTGGATAAACATCGAATCAGCTTATAGAATGTTCCGGAATATTTCTGAAGGTTCCGGAACATTCCACGGGGTTCCGGAACATCTTGAAGGATCTCCACTAGCCTCTCCGTGTTTGCACGCCGCAGGGCCCTTCGCAGCGCTCCGTTGGATTCTTCTCGGCAATACTCTCTCCCTGGCGCTCCTCGGCAGCCCTCTCGGCTTTGCTCGGCCAAAGTTTCCGCCACGGTCTCGTTCAGTGTGACTACCTCGGCCTTCAACGCCTCGGTAAGCTCCATCGTTGTCAGTTCCTGTTTCCTAGACTCCTCTCTCTCGGCATCGATCGAAGCCAATATCCTATCGTGCAACTCATTGCCCTCGAGTTCGCAAATACGTTACTCCACATCGTCAAGCTTGTCATGATGATCTCCAACGGTCAGCTCCACCCTGGCCAATCTGGTCTCGAATGATTCCATGATGACCGTAGGCTGGTCTCTCGTGTTCCTCCGGCTCCGCCTCGGGGCCTCGTTTCCAACCTTGAACTCAACATCAGACTTGTCGGTCGTCATCCCTCAAATGCAGCTCTGATACCACTTGTAACGGGTTAGGCGGTTCCTCCTCGAACACCTTTCCGTTGACCTAGCAATTCCTCAACACCACCGAGAACTCGCTAGTACAGCCTCGCTACTAGCCTTGCTTGCAACTCTAACACATATTAAAAGTAAGAACACTATAAGATGTACTCAAAAAAGAAAAGTGTTTAATAATTCTCAAAACTGAAGTGAACTACAAGTGAGAATTCCTCCTCTCTATATATATAGATTCTAACGGATCGTGTCTAACATGGGCCAAATCAAATCCACACTCGGATATGCTATATCTTAATAAACTACATATAAAGATAGCTAAATAAAGAGATACGGATAAACTAAATCTAGTGGATAAACATCAACTCGGCTTCTAGAATATTTCGGAATATTCCAGGAGATTCCGGAATATTCTGTTGGGTTCCGGAGCGTCTTGAAGGATCTCCGCTAGCCACTCTGTGTTTGTGCAAGCAGGCCCCTATTCGGCGCTCCGTTGCATTCTTCTCGGCAATACTCTCTCCCTGGCGTTCCTCGGCAGCCCTCTCGGCTTTGCTCGGCCAAAATTTCGGTCTGTGATAATAGGAATCCTTACATCTATTTTACGCCTCATTTTGGATACATTCATAAGATTAAAATTAAATCCATAAACTTAAGAAGGGTTTGTTCACATTGCATTTTTATATGATATAATATTTCATAAATATTAAAAAAATCCAATATATACCCACGTTAACATAATATATATATATATATATATAATATACTCTTTTATTCACTCAAAACTATTAACATAATTCTCGGTGCTAACACCAAAAATAAATTCATCAAAAAACTTAGCAAACAAACAAAAATCTTGGCATAATTGACTTTTCACTCATTAATACTATTCAATTTGGTGATAAGCTATCACACAAAAATTACCTTGAGAAGAGCACATTAATAATTTCAAAATAGCACAAGGTTGATTAACCCTAGTCACCTATATATATATATATGTATATATATAATAAAGATGTGTGGATGTTCTAACAAACAAAACTAATAAATAAATAAATAGAACAATGATTGTGATTGTGATTGTGATTGTGATATAGACGAAGGGTCGGATGAGGGGATGGAGTGAAATCAATCATTAATCATATAAATCTGAGGAAGGGTCGGAGGAGGGGGTGGAGGGAGGGATGCTCCAACTCCAATGATGCCCACCATTCCTCCTCTGATCTCCCAATTTTGATAGTGAAGTGCCGGGAGGGCGGTGGTAGAAGAGGGGAATCAAAGTTTGTTGCAGCTTCTCCAAATAGCAATGGCAGTTTCTTCACTTGTGTGCATCCTTCGATGCGAATATGTCCAATGGAAGTGCAGAGCAGTGTGGCGTCGCAGATGCTCTTCAATTTCGGGAGCTGAAAAAGGTATAGTCTCTTCAATTTGGGAAGATGGAGCTTTTGAGCTGATGATGATGATGATGATGATTGATTTCCTACTTCAAATATCTTTTCTATTTCTTCACACCTTTGGACATATAGGTATTCAAGGTTCTGTAAGCCCCCCAAGAGTGACAATGGCAATCCCAGCAGCTTCTTCATCTTGTTGCATTCGAAAATAGACAGATACCTGAGAGAGGAAAATAATTGTAGTGTGTGCAGATATGGAGGTGGAGATGCACTTTGAAACATCTTTACCACGCACAACAAATCAGGCAACTTCCATAACTCCATCGATTCCAAATTTTGCAATGGAAATTCTTGTAATTCCCATTCCCATTTGGATATGCACTCTACCCCTTGGCACTCTCGTATCCTCAACCTCTTCAAAGATTTCATATCACTAATATTGAATCCAGGAATACCATCCATCATGCACCTGCCTAGACCACCCTCGCACTTTACAAATCCAACGCACTTCATGTCAACTGGCCATGGAATAACATCTCCTCTTCTCCCTCCTTCTTCATTCACCCTCACCCTTGTCCCATTCACAACCACTTCATTATCAAAGGATGGTTCCATTCCCAGAAATTCTCCCACTACAACACCATAAGATCGATTGGAGTTTGGTAGACATACCATTAATCGACCAAAATCATCCGCGTCTTTCACAAGCCCGCAGAACTCCTCCAGCTGTTTTAACTTCTCAACTTCTGTCATTGGTGCTTCCATACGAAATGGAAGATGGAGGCATTGTAGTTTTGGAAAATTCAGCAACAAATTTCTTGGTAATTTCTCCAACTTTCGAGCATTAATCTTCAAGCATTCGAGATTAACTAGTTCTTGCATCCCCAAAGGCAATTCCTTGATTGGGGTCCCTGAAACGTCCAACTCTCTTAGTTCCTTGAGATTTCCCAAGTGCGGCACGCATTTAAGATTGCTGCAATAGCTTAGGAGAAGGGCTCTAAGGCTCCCCAAATTAGACACAGAAGCTGGTATCTCTGTAATTCTACTAGTACTCAGATTAAGAACATGCAGACCATGCATCTCCAAGAAAAATGAACCTGGTATTTGCTTTAAAAAATAATTTTTCTGCAAGAGCAATGTAGAGAGCTTGGGACATTTTGGGGACAATTCCGCAGGTATATCTTTTATGTCCCCCAAATAAACCTTCTGGAGATCTCTACTCCATTCTTCTCCTCCATCAATGAAACTTTGCCTATCTATTGTCAAATATTTGTTCTTTGTGATCTTTAATGCCATGGCTCTTACTAAATCATGCATCCTCACCCACCCCATTTCATCATCACTCTCTAACAAGCACACATTCACTAACTTATTCAATATGACGCGACCCTGATCCATTTGTTTTCTTCTACTCCTCCTTTTGTCCAACAACTCTTCTGAAATGAGAAGTTCAATCAATTCTTCTCTTCTGATTTTTGAATCTTCAGGATACAAGCAGCAATTCAAGAAACAATTTTGGACCATTGTAAATCCATTATGCTTCTCTTCTCCTTGATCCAACCGATCGAAACTATACTTGAGTATCTTGAAAACCTTTTCCTCCTCATTGCCATCTTCTCTCATGATTGAATCATTCAATTCTGTCAATGCATTCCTCCATTCGCAAATATCTGTCCTACCCTTCATACTTCCAGCTGTCGTGATTATGGCTAATGGCAATCCACCACACTGATCCGCCATGCGCTCTGCAATTTCTTGTACTTCAGAACTTAGTGTCAACCCTGCTCCAAGAGTTTCTGTAAATAAACTCCATGATTCTGTCTTATAGAGTGTTTTCACAGGAATCACTTCTTGACAACCAATTTGATGGCACACTTCCAACGAACGTGTAGTTATGATTAGTCTACACTCGTCCAAAGAAAGAGGGTCTCCGATCCTTTCCAGGCTGAACTTTTCCCAGACATCATCAAAAATCAGCAAAACCTTGTTTCTTTGTGATAGTGCTCGGTTCAGCCTCGCAGCTCTTTTGTCTTCATTGTGCTCGTCTGAAATATTTGCATTCACAGCCTTTGCAACTTCATCCTGCAAATTCTTTATGCTAAATGTCTGAGACACAGTTATCCAAATAACAACATGCTGGGCTCCTTCAACAAACCGATTGTGAACATGCTTCGCCAGCGTTGTCTTACCGACACCACCCATGCCATGAATCCCAATGCTCGGCACTCCATCATTCACCATCAAATTCCAAATCCTTTCAAAGCTCTCCTCAAACTTTTCACCCACCAACTTCTTTGTCAAGAGAGGAACTTGCTCGGGTTCACAAGCATGAAGCAGCTCACCAAAATGTCGACTCTGCTCAACCAATCTGTCTACTATCTCACTCAATCCCTGCGCTCGACCACCCTTGAAGAACCTACTAGTAAATCCATCAGACTCCACAGCAGCCTCCAATTCAGTGAATTCCTTTTCAAGAATCTGCACCTCTGCCAACCAGCTCTCGACTTCGCGCTTCCTCTTCTTCATACCCGATTGCTCACCATTTTTGACCTCCTTCTCAACATCAGAGGCTTTATCACTCAAGGACTTCAAGTTCCTTTGTAGAGCTTCCAGTATTATCTTGTAGTCTGTCATCGTTGTCACAGTGCTGTGAGCATAATCCGCCAGCTTCTCCCCGAGCTTGGAGAGAAAAGATCCAGCAATTACCCAAAGCATTTTTTCCTCTGTATTCAACACAACAGACTAAAAGACATTCATAGAAACACACATGCTCATTCAATTGAAATCTGGATAAGTAGTTGTTGTATATGCTTTAGAAATATATTTGTTTGTCAGTGTATGTGTAATGTCACTTGAAATTAGAAAAAGAGCATGGAGAGCCCAAGTAATCCTTGTTTTTCGTTTTTTATGTCAGCAATTCTATTGATGAGTATGTTAACCACAAAGAACCCCAAGCTACTGAGTCTTTCAGTAATTTTAGGATTAAAAAAACCAAAAAAAAAAGATCTAAATTGATGTTTTTGGGAAAATTACAAAAACATATCCTTGATGTATATCCTATTACCAGAGAAAATTGCAAAAAATATTCAGCTATATTCCATTATCACTTTTGTAGGCAAAATATATTCTACATATTTGCAAAAAATCATTATTTTTGTCTTTGGCCATGGCAGCGTGACCGAAAGTGGTGTGAATGTCACTCTCGGCCAAAAGACAAAAGAAATGACTTTTGCAAACTTGACAATAGAATTTTTTTTGCAATTTTCCCCTATTATCAATTTTATCATTTATTTATTTTGCTGCAAAATATCTTACATTAATTGAGGATACAAGGCGAATCTTTTTTACAATTTTCTAGATGTTTTCCACAAAACATGAGGTGTGTTTGTTTGGGGTTACGATTGATAAAAAGAGGAGCTCCTCCTCGTCTTGATCAAAAGTCACGAATAAGAGTTCCACATTCTTACTGGGATTTTCCCCATACTTCCCTATTCATTCAAATTTTTTTCCCAATCATCAAATCAAAACATCTATTTTTTATTTTTTATATTATATTAAAAATTAATTTTACATTCAAAACATCCCATCATATCATACGACTTTCATGTTCAAAATTTTTATTATTCAGATTTCAATTCAAAATCAAAACCCCCAACCAAATACACCCTTAGGCCGAAGTAGAGATCATAAAGCAAAGATAGATCAAAAAGCAAGATGGATCAAAACTCAGATAGATCAAACAAACCCCCAAGTAAACAGTAAAGAATTTGGAGAATCATAAAGCAAGATAGATCAAAACTCGATTGTTGCTTCAGAGAAATAGTAAAATAAATGAATCATAATTGTTGAAAATCACCTGAAATAGAAGCTTAGGCCGAAGTAGAGATCTAAAAGCAACAAGAAAGCAGCAAACACAGCACAATAATGGAGTTGAAGATTAAGAAGAAAGAAACAACGAGGGGAAGACTCGTTATTGGGTAAATACTACTTCCCAACTCCAATCATCGATGATATTTCTCACTAATAAATTCAAAATTATTTTAAGTCAACAACTACATGCATAATTTTATTCATTTAAGTCACTAACATGTAAAAGAGTATGCATTTTAAAAATTAATAGAATAAGTATAGTGTAACTATTATATTTATTAACAACAACTAACATTAGTCATATATGGACTTATTCAAAATGTGACTACATGTATATATTTAAATTCAATTATTATTTCTCTTCAAATATTGTATCTGATATCAATTTTTTTTTCTTAGATATAAATACTTGATCCAGTACGATTTGTTGTGTTTTAATTTCTGTCATCCTGTAAGAATATAAGGTATATTATCTTGCAAATTTTTTTCTTTATGTTGTAGTTTCCTACTCCTCTGTGGATGTAAAATCTATATTATGAGCATAGAGAAGGTTTAGAGGTTCTGCACTATGAAGTGGATCAAAAACATCAGCATCATCATTATATTTAAAGTGTGTTTGTTTAACATTTATAATTTTAGGTGTTTTTTTTGAGGAATTGTCAAAGTATTTTATAGAATGATAATGTTGGAGACTCCCGTTTGCCGGAGAGAAAATTAATGGTTGTGTTCCCTAATAATTCGAGCTTTTAGGTGAGAGTGTCATTCTGCATCCGGGATATCCGAGATCAGCTTGAGGGGCTGCTAGAAAGAGTTAGAAATCAAGGTGAAATCAAATGCCAATGATTTAGATGCAATAAAGACATCGGGATTCTTCCCCATTCGGAAAGGCTACAAAAAGATTATATATGTTTTGCAATGTAAAAACTAAATAAATAAAAGATTAAGCTAAAATAATAGAATCATCAAAATAAATGTCATAGATAACAGAATAAATGAAAAAGTGAAATGAATCATCAAATCATGCAGAGGAAGCTTTGGAGGAGGGGGCGGAGTGAGGGATGCTCCAACTCCAATGATGCCCACCATTCCTCCTCTGATCTCCGAATTTGGATAAGTAGAGGACGATGGCGACGAGAATCATAATTATAATCATAATCATAATCGAAGTTTGCTGCAAATTCTCCAAATAGCATTGGTAATTTCTTCACTTGTGTGCATCCTTCTATTTTAATATATTCAATACAACTGCACAGCAGTGTCGAGTCGCAGATGCTCTTCAATTTTGGAAGCTGAAAAAGGTATAGTCTCTTCAATTTGGGAAGATGGAACTTTTGAGCTGATGATGATGATGATGATGGTTGATTTCCTACTTCAAATATCTCTTCTATTTCTTCACACCTTTGGACATATAAATCTTCGAGGTTCTGTAAGCCCCCCAAGAGTGACAATGGCAATCCCAGCTTCTTCATCTTGTTGCATTCGAAAATAGACAGAAACTTGAGAGAGGAAAAAGATAACAATGTCCGCGGAGATGAACTTTGAAAAATCACCACAGACAACAAATCAGGCAGCCCTTCTAACACCATTCTTTCCAATTCTTGTAATTGTCCACCTCCTTCTTCTTCTTCTTCTTCTTCCTCCCATTTCATTATGCACTCTACCCCTTGGTACTCCTCTATCCTCAACAATTTGCAGGTTTCGATATTAATGTTTGATTCTTGAACATCATCCATCATACACCTGCTAAGTCCCTCGCACTTGAAGAATCCGACCCCTTTTATGTCAAGTGGCCATAGAAAAAGATCTCTTATCCCTTCTTCATTCACTTTCATTTCATTCACAATCACTTCATTATCACCATTTGGTGTCATTTGCAGTTCGCCCAGAAATTCTCCCACTACAACACCATAAGATCGATTGAATTTTGGTAGACATGCCATTAATTGACCAAAGTCATCCGCATTTTTCACACGCCCACGGAGCTCCTCCAGCTGTTTTAGTTTCTCAACTTCTGTCATTGGTGCTTCCATATGAAATGGAAGATGGAGACTTTGTAGTTTTGGGAAATTCAGCAACAAATTGCTCGGTAATTTCTCCAAGTATCGAGCATCAATCCGTAAGCATTCAAGATTAACTAGCTTTTCCATTCCTAGAGGCAATTCTTTTATTGGAGTTTCTGATATGTCCAGCTCTCTTAGCTCTTTGAGATTTCCTAATCCCGGTACTTTTGTAAGATTTACGCAACCCTTTAGGTGAAGAGATTTCAAACTCCTCAAATTCGACAAAGAATCTGGTAACTCTGTGATTTTAGTATAACTCAGATTAAGGACATGCAAACCTTGCATCTCAAAGAAAAATGGAGCTGGTATAAGTTCTAATGATTTATTCTCCTGCAAGAGCAATGTTGTGAGGTTGGGACATTTTGGAGACCATTCTGCAGGGATATGGCATCTGTAATTGTATATCAATGAAACTTTCTTGAGATCTTTAATCCATTCTTCTTCTTCTCCAACCATGAAACTTTGCATATCGATGCTCGAATATCTGTTCTTTGTGATCTTTAATGCCATGGCTCTTACCAAATCATGCATCTTCACCCACCTTTCGTCGTCACTCTCTAACAAACACACATTCACTAATTTGTTCAACATGACATGACCCCAATCCGCACGTTCTCTTCGACTACACCTTTTGTCCGACAGCCCCTCCGAAATGAATAGTTCTATCAATTTTTCCTTACTTATTTCTGAATCTTCAGGATACAAACAACAATTCAAGAAACAATGCTGCAGCACTGTAAATCCATCGTGCTTCTCTTCGCCCTGATCCAACCGATCGAAACTATACTTGAGTATTTTGAAAACTTCATCATCACTTCCATTTTCTTTCAAGATCGACTCTTTTAGATCTTTCAATGCAATTCTCCATTCGCGAATGTCTGTCTTACCCTTCATACTTCCAGCTGCTGTAATTATGCCCAATGGTAATCCACCACACTGTTCTGCCATAAGCTTTGCAAGTTCTTGTACTTGGGAAGTTAGTGTCATCCCTGCCCCAAGAGTTCTTGTAAATAAATTCAAAGCTTCACTCTTATCTAGTGTTACCACTTGAATAATCTCTTGACAACCGATTTGATGACACACACCCGATAAACGGGATGTTATAATTAGTCTACACTCCTCCAAGGAGAGTGGATCTCCAATCTTTTCGAGGTTGAACTTTTCCCATACATCGTCAAATATTATCAAAACTTTCCCTTTTCTTGATAATACTCGGTTCAGCCTCGCAGCTCTTTTGTCTTCGTTCTGCTCGTCTGAAATGTCTACGTTCACTGCCTTTGCAACTTCATCTTGTAAATTCTTTATGCTAAATGTCTGAGACACCGTTATCCAAATAACAACATGTTGAGCTCCTTCAACAAACCGATTGTGAACATGCTTCGCCAGCGTTGTCTTACCCACACCACCCATGCCATTAATCCCGACGCTTGACACTGTATCATTCACCAAAAAATTCCAAATCCTTTCAAAGTTCTCCTCAAACATTTTACCCACCAACTTCTTTGTCAAGAGTGGAACTTGCTCGGGTTCACAAGCATGAAGAAGTTCACCAAAATGTCGACTCTGCTCAACTAATCCGTCTACTTTCACACTCAATCTCTGGGCTCCATCTCCCCCGAAGAATCGACTAGTAAAACCATCTGAATCCATTGCAGCCATGAATTCAGTGAATTCTGTTTCAAGTTTCTGCACCTCTGCCATCCAGCTTTCGACTTCTCGCTTCCTTTTCTTCATACCCGATTGCTCACCATTTTTGACTTCCTTCTCAACATCAAAAGCTTTATCACTCAAGGACTTCAAGTTCCTTTGTAGAGCTTCCAGTATTATCTTGTAGTCTATCGTCGTTGTCACATTGCTGTGAGCATAATCCGCCAGCTTCTCCCCGAGCTTGGAGATAAAAGGTCGCGCAATTTCCCAAAGCATTTTTCTCTACTGGATACGGAAACCAGGGTCTTCAATGAATATGGTCGAACAAATCTTTGTATCATGTTAAACTGATTAAAGAACTCGGATCTATTGGCATCTTAAATTAGACCCATAATAAATTACATTTGAACACACAAAGACATCATAAGTTATATCAAAAGAATACGGCTAAAATTCCAACAATTACTTTCAGTAATTTAAACACACACACAAATAAGGATCTATGAAATCTAAATTCATCAAAAACATTTATACAGTAAGAATTTAAGAAAAGCATAGAGCAAGATATATAAATAAAGATTCGATTGTTGCTTCACAGAAATGATAAAATATATACATCGAAATTGCTGAAGGATCACCTGAAACTGAAGCATAGGACGAAGAATTATGTAGAAGCAGCAGCAAACACAACAATGGAGTAGGAGAGGAAGAAGACTACTTTATGTCTTTTGGTATATACCATCCAACTCCAATCATTGTCAATATTAATCAGTCACTATTTAATAGTATAAATCTATTTACTTCAACAATTACATGCATAATTTATTTCATTTAAGTCATTAAAATAAAAAAAAAAAAAAAAAATGTACCCATTTAAAATTTAATAAAATAGGTACATTGTAATTATAATTATTATTAACAACTATTAGTAGGTATATTTTGACTATTCAAGGTGTGATCACTTTAACATGTATTTTTTTTAATTCAATTAATTATATTTTATTTAAATATTATATGCTAATTTTTTTAATTAAAAATATTATGTTCAATTATTATTTTATTTTAAAAAATAAAAATAATATATATAACTACTGTACTAGCTAAGATATATATATCGTACAATAGACAACTGTTAAACTTTGGGAATATTTAAAATAGTTTATTTTATTGCCACTATTCAATAATCTAATGCATATTGCTTTTAATAGTTCAAAGTCGTCTCAATGTAAGTATCAAAAATCATATATATAATTGATATATTATTAATATATTAATCGAATCCGAACAGGATCCACCTTTGACCCGAATAATTGGACCCAATCACAAATAAATGGGTCGAATTTACATCCGGGTCTACTCAAACATATTGTCATCCCTACATAACCAAAATGCTTTGGAATTGCAAAACAAACTCTTATTATTCGAAAATACTTTCGACATTATACCTTACATCCTTCAACTCACACTTGTTTTTCTATCACTTTTGCTATTGATCAGTTTGATGCTTTAGATTACAAGTGAGACCATTATATGTAATTGTTAATAAATTTCTTCATCTCTTCTTGCCTCAATATATTCTAACATTCTACAAGAACTTTAATTTTCCTCACCTTTTTTCACTATCGATTTCTCTATACCTGCAAATCGAGGACTTTCCTTGCATCTCATCTCTCTTCGGTTTCTCCATACAAGAAAAAACTCATACTTTTTGTTTTTTTTGGCTCCTTGACCTGGAAAAGGAAAACAGGATTTGATAAGAAAACTCAACAATAACACAAGCAATTGTATTGAGGATGGACTAGTGGAGGAACAATATGTAGTCAAGATCATTGTAGCATAAATACCGAAACTCAGTTGATTTAAGGATAAAACTATAGCTGGTAATTGAAAAGATAAATACCAGTATTAACAGTTATGGAAGGATGGGCAGCTCAACTTGGTCGAACGAAAAGAAACTGACCCGCCCATGCTCAACTGTACAAAACTTTACCGGACACCCATTGTAATGTGCCTCAAGATCTTCGATTTCTTTCTTTGACGGAGGTTGGCCGCTGCATGAGAATTTCATACGCAATGTAACATATGTTGAAAAATCAGATTTTATAGACAATATTCAATTTTATCAAAGCTACAAGAATTTGGAACTAGGACAGCAATCATCCAAAAGTTCACAAGAATTTGATCAAATTGCTATAATGAAACCAGATTCAAATGTATATTGTAGATTGAGCATAAAGATAGTGAACTTAGTTAACTACCTGGAAAGGCAAAGATGAAAAGATGGAGCACCCGGGGCAGACTTTTTAAACTTGCTATTAGGAGAGTAAACATCAAATATTGGTCTTTTTTCATCCAAGTGCAAGTTACTAAAATGCTTGATGATGAAATGGTTGTCTTCCAATACTTGTTCTTTACCGTTGCCATGTTCTGTAATATCTTCGCGATCATCAATCTTAATTTTAAATTTCTTAATAGTCCAAGGGACACCATGGCGGCCAACAATGTAACCGAGAAACTTGAGGTGCCGGAAAACTTCAAAAGATTCCCAAGAGCATCCATGCCTATTCTTGTCTTCTGCTACCTTTCCATACAGATCATTCAAAGGAAGTTGTGTACCATCAACACCGATGACATTCAATGCACCAATTTCAGCCAAATACCTAAAAAATAAAACTAAATAAATAATAAAACTAGCAATAATAAGTAAGCAAATCATAAAGCTACTCTTGAAATAGAGAAGCATAAATAATGCGATTCTTACAATGCAATTGTTGATACTATATTACATTGCAACATATGGTCCCGATGAACAAAAACTCAACACAAATAAGTTCAAGTTGGCATAAAAGCTGCACCTAAATAGGTCATTTTTCAGAACATAAGTTAACCTTTTTCTACTGAATTTGACGTACGCCATTATCAATCCAACAAATATGTCAAAGAGAAAAACATTTGGTGTTGCTTCTACATTTATCAATTAATTTCAAATAACGAAGATGTTTCAGTATAATTGAACATTTCCATTGAATAAAGATTGTTCGTTAGCATGTTACTCACTTTGGAGCAAATAGTGTTCAAAAAAGCTTGTAACTGAACCCAATAGAAATATGAGAAAAAAAATGATAAGTTTGCATCACATACAAAGTTTCTTCCATCGAAAGATAAGTTTTTCCATCTCGAACTATTCCAGTTGTAATCCACATTTTGCCTTTTTTCTCCAGTACTTCAGCCATTCCCAACTCTTGCACCCACTGTGCCTTCGAAGCCTCCTTTCTTAAGAGTAAACATCATATTTCACAATCAGTCAAGTAACTTAGTAGCAAAAGAATGCAACCACAAAAATCCAAAGTAATAAATGTGATTCCAGACCTAAATTGCAACTTGGGTATGTCACCTGTTGCGTAGCAAAGGTCATCATCAACTGAGTCGTCAACATAGGCCTCAGAATCACTATCAAGATCATATGCTCCCTCGCAATTTCTCAACCTTTCCAATGCATCAGCTTCCATTGTTTCAGATTATTTAATCCCCTGCAGCTACTTACAGAAAAAACATATTTGAAACATAAAACTTGCTGTATTTACTCTGTTTTTAACTTCAAATGACAGAGAAAAACTGTAATTGGCCAAGATAAGTTGTTATACTTAGCTAAGTGATGATGATGGTTCTATTTTGGAAGACCAGAATCTTTACAAATGCTACATCTGTGTCCCAAATTGATTCCATATCAGGTAACCTTACAACTTATAATGTTCTTTATGCTAAACTGAAAATATGTCCAGCAATGACAAAAACAGTATCTTCTTAAGGAGTAGAGTTAAACAACTATAGTATCTTCCATTTTCACATTCACATTATATTCAATTAGGCAAACAATTCACGCAGGTATTCCTACCTATTCTTTCGCCACGATAATAAAATGCATTTAAAAAAAAGTACTATAAAATGCATTCAAACATCAAGCTATGAACGCAGGCCTGTGATCTACGAAGGAAACTAGACAACTGAAACTGGCAAATACCATCCAAAATGCTGGCATACAAAGCAAATCTCCAACGCATTTATTCGGCACCATTTCGAACTAAAACAACCCTGCAAAACCTCACCTCTAACTTAAAACAATAGCTCAAACTATAAACAAATCCAAACACCAGCAAGTATAATGAAGAAAAGAAACAAAGAACGTAGAGCTAAAGCGATTGAAAAGCAGCAAAAAACGCCCGCCTGGCTGCATCCGGGATAATTAAAATAATAAAAATATTCTGAAACACAAAAAAATAATTAAAATCTCCAAGACTTGCCGTAGAAATTGGAAAACAGGAGCGGCGTCGACGGCGGCAGAGCAGCGGCGGTAGGGAGTGTGCGCAGAAAAGGAGAAATGGTGTATGACTGATTATGACCCGACCCGACCGATTTTTAAAGTTCCGGAGTGAGTTTCTTTTAGAGTGTATTTGATCTGGCGAATTGGATTTTAAATAACTGTTTATTTATTTATTTTTTTTTTAAATCGTTAAATTAAATATTTATTTTTTATTTATTATATTATATTATGTCAGATTAGTCTATATTTATCCACTAAATTTATATATTTCTTTACTTAGATATTATTGTATCGCTTTAGATATTTATATTCTTATGTTGATAAGATATAGCAAATTCAAGTGTGAATTTCAAAAATATGATGTATCCATATCTTGCTATAATTTAGCCCATATCCATGATGGAGTGTCATACGCCATATCTTATCAAATCCACACTTGAATGGTACAACTATTCAAATCATAAATCAAAACTCAAACTCTCAAACAAACACTCTATTTGATTTTATTTTTAATAATTATTTGAATTTAATATTCCCTCCGTAACCAATCAAAAGGGTCTTTCTGTCCATTAGCCAACAAGGCCACGTTTATTTTGTTGTCGATTTTAAATATTACTATTCCCTCAATTTTGTAGCTGTTTAGATGTATAATTTTTAATATCAGTATTATATTGAATATTTATATTGGTATTGGTATTGATACGGTATAATATCAAAATATTATACAAATTTCAAAAAAAAAATAGTAATAGAATGACAAAAAAATTATAAAAATATAAGTATATTTTTAATGTTAAGTACAATCATACAAAAGCTAATTGTAAATTTATTAATTGAACGGTGGGAGGGATGTCAAATAAAAAAGGACAGACGGAAATGAAAAATGACAACAATGGAACTAAAGGAGTATTATTATAAAAAATTAAAAATTCTCTATGTCATTTAAATTTATGCTTATTTTATTTTATTGAGTTGTCATAAAAAATATTTTTGTTTTTTAAATAAAAAATCATTATATTTTTATTTTTTTTTACTATAAAAATAATAATTATTATTACTCACTTTTATTAAATCAGCGATAAGGGTGTATTATAAAATATATAAACAAACACAACCTTAGAATAATAAATTTGCGAAACGGCGTCGTTTATGGTTCGTCCTCGTTCATATCGCCTGCTCTCTGCTCATTCTAACTAACTAATAAGAGTTCTGTCTCAGTTGCTAACTTCCTTCTCCATCATCGTCCATTCTTTGCACCAAATTCTTCTCCTAGCTTCCATTTTTTTGGTTGTTTAGATTCCTGATCGGAGTTCTCGTTCTGCCGTTCCTTGCAATGGCTTCTTTCGCCGTCCCCTGTCCCAAGGTCTCGGTTCTGGTGCCTGCTTCATCGGATTCCGGCCGGAAACGGCATCGTATTGCGCCTTTCCGTCAATCTGATTCTATTTTGGGTGCATCTTCGAAGAGCAGTCAGTTTCAGGTACGATTTTGTGATGTTTAAAATTTCGATCGTTATTATGCATGGAATTGTTCAAATTTATCTGATGGCGGGTAGATTTTTCTGTAATCGTATTTTTTGAATGATCGTTGTATTTGAATCGACTGCACAATTCAACATTTTTTTTCTTAATGTGCGTTGGATTTTATAATTAATTATTATAAAGGTGTTCGGTTTTTCGGTTGAAATCCAAAATCTGGGCGTGAGGTTGCGATCGGTATGCATGAGGTTAAATAAAAACAGCAGGCGTACTCTTCTGATTGTGTTTTTCGTTTTCTGAGGAAAGTTTTGACGATTTGTTGAGCATTTTCCGACATTGATAGTGGCTTCGGTTTTTGGTTGTGATTGATGCCGATGTTAAGTTAAACTACGGTGTTCGATTCTTATAATAGTAGGAATTGAGGATGTTATTATCTTTATTAAAATTGGATCATTAAGTTTGAAGCCTACAAATGCTGAACAATTCTATGTGATGATTTGGTATAGACTTTCTTGATTTTCAAAATTTTCTTTAGAATTCTGAGTACTGAATATGATCTTAATCTTGTTGCAAGAACTTTCAAGATACTTGAATCTTACTATTGGTTTAGATTAAAAAAAATAAAAAATAAAAATGTAAGGTTTGTTTATTCAATCAAGAATGCGAAATACTTGAAAAAAATCTTTCCATTTTCTGGCAGGGATGCAGCCAGAGGCACTCAAATGTCTTTAAGGTATGTTATTTCACAAGGCAATACTGCAAGTCTTTATGTTTGTTCATCCATGGTTTCGATCTTATAAGTTGATTGGTATTCTGGCGACTTAATTGTGCGCCACGGTATCCGGTTTTAACTCCCTGTTGTTCAATCTTGTCTTAAGTCATATATCTGCTTTAAGTTGCCTTGTTTCTTCAAACTTAAATTAAAACTATCTTCGGCATTGCCAAGGTTGCTGCTGAGAAAACATCGAATTCTGCTTCAGCTCCCAGATCAATTCAAGTGAAAGAGTCCAATGACGAAAATGGAATTGCCAATACACCATCCATTTCAGCCTTTCTGAAACAAGTTATAGATATTGTCAAGTAAGAACAACACTTCTCATAAACCATCACCATCATCTTGCAACTTTTCTTGATAAATTAAATCCTATGTTGATCTTGTCAGGCTTGTTGATTCACGAGATATTGCGGAGTTACATATGAAGCAAAAGGGATGTGAGCTTCATATCAAGAAACGAGAAGCTCTGCAAAATCCATCGAATACTGCTCCAGCATATATTCCACCTCCACCACAGCACACTACCCCTCCACCACCTCAATTGCCTCCTGCAAATCCTCCAGCTTCTACTTCTGCAAGTACTCGTCCATCTACACCAACTCCTGCGCCGTCAAAGTCTAAGTCTTCACACCCCCCTTTCAAGTGTCCAATGGCTGGAAACTTTTATCGTTCGCCATCTCCTGGCGCGGCACCCTTTGTGAAGGTCAGTCATAGTGCATTCATATTTTTTTATTTTATTGCAGCTCCTAATTTCTATAACAATTGCTGATTTTCCAAAAGGCAAAACTGTTTATAATTCATTTGCAAAGTCTGTATCATTTTCTACCATGATTTAGAAACTGTGTGATGTGTTTAAAAAAATATTAGACACCCATAAAAATTGCTCTAGACCTTTTTGTGTTTTCAATAGTATTGTGCAATATTTTTTAAAATAAGAATAAATTTCACTCAGTTTCTAAAGCGTGAGGAGGAATGTTACAGACTTTCCAAACCACATGCGGATTGCAAGCAATGTTGCTTTTTTTCAAAATTTTGTTTCTCACCTTTCAGTCTAATTTCATTAATGCGTCGCGCTATCCCGCCTTAAGTTCTAATTCGAATCGAATTATACAGGTCGGGGATAAGGTCCAGAAGGGGCAAGTACTATGCATTGTTGAAGCTATGAAACTGATGAATGAAATTGAAGTCAGTCACTACATCCCTGGCTAAAATCTCTCTCTCTCCCCCTCTCAGTCTATCTCTTTTCATCTCAATAATTCGCCAATATAAACATGCGCTCATTGTATTACGAGCATTTTTATCTCGTATAACATTCCATTGCATACACTATCTACTCCAGGCTGATCAAGCCGGCACCATCGTTGAGATACTGATGGAAGATGGAAAACCAGTCAGCATCGACACGGTAACTCTCTAGCACTTCTAACTCACTCCCATTTAAATCTTGAAGTTAGTGATCAGTTTTAGTAGTTCTTCAAGACCTATAACATTACATTTCTGCTAGAATTCTTACACATTGATTCACCATTGCATTGCAGCCTTTGTTCATCATTGAGCCATGAAGCAGATCATTGTCTATCACTAGCCACAAAAAAAAAGGTGCTGAGATTTCTTCCCTTTTTTCAAACATAGGTATGACTGAATCCTTGTCTTTCTTACAACTCTTTTAGAATAAATGTAGGTATAAAATACTACTTCAGTTGCAGCATGCTTTGGCTTTTTAGTATGAGAATGATGATGGAAATAAATGGAGATAACATTGAGGCCCTACCTCACAAAATTTGTTTATTTAATCTCCTAAATTAGCACAAATACTTTTTTGTCTATGTTTTAAATTTAAAAAATAAATATATAAATAGACCTATATCATTTAAAATTAGAAGGAAATAGACTAGAACAAGTGCAAAAGATGCATAATCTTGTTTGTTCATTTTTATGTGACCTTGTGTCATTAGCCCTTTTTTTTTTTTTTTTAATGACGTGGGACCCGCAGTCAAACCCGTTTGAATGGGTGACTTTACGGTCACAAGTCCAATCCTATACCACCAGGTCATTCGTTACTCAACATCATTTTGAATTTATATAAATGTATTTTTGTGATATAATGAGATATATTTAATTAAAGATAAATTTTAAAATATATATTAAAATAATTAAAAATTTCCATTTTAATAAAATATATAATAAAATTTTATACTCACTCCATAGTCCATATTTCTTATTTACTATTTAGAATTGTTCAGGCATAAATATTTTTTTTTTTTACCGTTTATACATGGTCTTCGTCCAATTATTAGTTTATTCTCATTCATGTTTCTATTTATAAAAATATATTGTTAGACACTTCACTCTTTATCACATTAAATGCAAAAGTATTTTATCCTTGTACAAATCCATTCACAAAAATAATACTTATTATTACTCTTAACAACAAATGAAATACTATAGATGAGGGAAATAGTATAATATATATAAATAGAATATATAATTAATATAAATTAATTATATACAAATATGAAAGTCTAAATATATATATTTAATTATAAAAATATCTAGATATATATATATATATAAATGAGCCAAAAAAAAAAAAAACTATCTTATTAAAAAGAGTTTTAATCACAATAGTGAAGGAACAGCATCACATTTGTCATAGTTCCATAAATGAATGTCAGCCTCAGCAAGTCATATCTAAAGACAATGTTATATCACACGTCCATGTCCAAAGATGACATGATTCCCCAAAACATGCCTAACATTTGATAATATTTGTATAATTCTACCTTGCCAAAAAAACAAAAAACAAACACAATACCAGACCGGAAGGCCATCCATTTAATTTCCAAGTTCTGAAATACTTGTGTTTCTTTTGTGTTGATATTTGAAAGAAAATTTTTAATGAGATAAGTATTTTGATTTGAATTTTTTTTTTATATATATAATACAGATAATTGTGTAAATTATATAAAATAAAATAAATATATATAATATATTAATTTTTTGAGAATTGTATCGGATAATTTTTAACAGAAGAAAACAACATTATATGTATTATATTGGACAAAAAACAAAACATTTCATAAGACACAGGTGTAACAGGAAATTTACCCTCACAAGAAACTACAAGAACTGCAACTAGAGGAAACTAAATTCAACGGTAACCTCGAACTCCTGCGTAAGTTCCAAACTAAACAAGTTCTCAACTATTGCTTACCTCTTAAAAGTCGAGACTAAGACTAGCAAATCGATCGATAAAATACTCGGTAGAATAAAACGCCCGACACAATTAATGCAACAGATCCTATTAGGGATATCCCATGCCATATATATAACACACACTACATGCGCCATTGTGGCAAATACCCGGGGGGCTAGCAAAAAGCAGCACAAATATCACAAATCCGAAACACAGAAAGACATCATACATTATACACATTATGTAGCACATCTGTATTACATTTCTAACTATGCGCCGAGCACATTTTGAGAAACCAAGTCAGCATTACAATGCTATCCCCTACTGGTAAAAAAACGATGGGGTGATTCTGAATTCCCTTTCCATTTTCAAGTAAAATGTACACGAACACGAACAACCAACCTGCATTCCACCACAATGAAATTGCCGAACTAATTTAAAAGATAAAAGAGCCTCGCAATTGAGGAGATCAGATCAATGCACCTTCAGCAATTCCATTCCACCATGTGTTCGTTCTACTGTGCCAATGAATATGAAAAACTACCGGGGGGGGTTACAGATGACTATAGGGGAATGGTAAATATATCATCAGTTCATTATAGCGGTAGACATTGCACCCCATCGGGTATATTTTTAGGCATGGGATGAGCAGTTACATATCTTAACACGCAAGGTGGACCAACATTGGCTGACGCTGTCTCGGCATTATAATTTGGGCCCCGGCCATGAACCCTAGCAAATCTATTGATGGTGGAATGCTTCTCCAAATCTTGATGTTCCACTCTCAAATCCGACATTGAGATACCCTTCTCCAGTCTGCAACATGCAAAATTCATATTCAAGAGGGAAGGGAAGCAGTCAAGAGACGATGAAATGGAAATTAGCGAACAAAACTCAAAATCCACCATCATTAATCAAACTAAACAATCACCCGCCCCATCCACCCTTAAATACCCGCAAGTAACTGAAATTTGCAGCGGAAAGGATTCCAGTTAAGCGACGAGACCAAGAAAAATCTAGAAAATCGTCTGTTTAGATAGAAGTTTTGAAGTTTTGGAAAATTTTGGAAATAGAAAAGTTGAGTATTTTATGTGATGTTTGTGAAAGGAAAAAAGTGTTTGATGAAAGGAAAATTTTGGAAATAGAAAAGTCGAGTATTTTATTATTGTTGATGAATAGCGTCAAAAGTTGTCTATGTAAATAGAAAGGTATGGTTCAAAACATAGAAGTAGCAATAGTACTAACATAAGACCATTGCTTGCTATCAAGAGGATTACAATAAAATAGTCGGGAACATAAGAAAATTCTTGCCCCTCAAGCCATGTATCACTGTAATGGCCTGAGTCAGTATCCTAATCATCTCCCGAATAAACTATATTACTAAACTAGAACCTGAAGATTATACATAGGAGTGCTGGTTTACCTCGATAAATCACTTTCTAGCTTCTTAGCCTTCCCTGACAACTCGTCAATAGCTTGTGCAAATAGCTGATCGGGTTTCAGTTTTCTCTTGGCAGGACCTCTGCAGATATTATTCAAGAAGAAAATAAATGAATTTAGATTCGAGAAAAATAATCCATAATAATGCAAAGGTTCCTGGCATCTAGCATAATTCAAACAGTTCAGGGAAAATCCAAGCATGTTCTTACAGGTTCACACCATCGGGAGGCAACTCTGAATCACTTGAGAAAGAAACCGAGCGGCATGCATCACCCAGTCCTAACCTAGATACTGAATAAGCTACGCTCTCATATTCAGAACGAGCATCGCTGGAGAGAATATTTGCAGGAGGTGGAGGAAACATTTGCTGCATAAGCTGTGTTGTCGATACAAGCCTTCTTTTCAATTTGAGCATTGGATGCACATCTTCAACTAATTCAGTACCATCTTCGACCTGTCACCATGGAAAGAAAGACAAAAATGAGAAATTGTAAGGAACAGACACCTATGAATGAGAACAAGACGTATGAGCCCCTCAACAAACCTTTTCACTGCGACGATTTGCTGCCTTACTCCAATCTGATTCTGCCATGCTGCTTGCAATGATAAGTGTGGATATTAGCAAATTAAATTTTACACAGATCGAAACACAAATGGATTAAACAATACAAACATAAAAGCCATTGTTACAATAATCCAATAATCATGTATAGCTTCTCTCATAATTATGACTAGAAGAGCATATGATAAAGAAAATTTATTCAAAATAAAATAAATAAATAAATAATTCATACATAAAACTCACCTGAGAGTTGAAAGAGCTTTTGAATGATCAGATATTTCTTTGTGCCATGGATGTAGTTGAAAAGTATCAGCCTTTCGCTTATTGGGCCTCGGAATCACCTGATGCTGGGGAGTGAGATTCAATTGCAATGCCAGGGGAGAGGGCAAATGCTCGTTTGCTACAGATGTGGATGATGAATTCAGAATGGTGCCATCAACTTGACGTGCATCAACAGGGGTAGGGGCACTAGCAATTTTCTCTTGTGAAATGAGAGTACTCGAGACATTAGAAGATTTCCCAAGAATATATGGCAACTCTGCTGGTTTTAAGTTTGCGACTTGCTGTGCATTATTCACAGGCAACAGCCCATTTCTTAAATTTCCATATTGGTTGAACCACGAAGGTGCCATTTGGGGACTGACCAGGCGCTCAGCTCCAACAGAAGCCGCAGAATTGGTAGAAAGATGACTCTTAGATGCATCCATGCCAGGCATTGCAGCATCTTGTGAGGCGACATTTCCATGTGAAGAAGTGCTCTTCTGCAAGTTAATGAATGGATTGGGTATGCCCAGTGTCCTAAAACCATCAGAAGGAACCTCAGAATTCAAGCCGAAAGAACTGCTAACACCAGCTTCATTTTGCTGCCCTGGCATCAAATTTACTTGATTCTCAACATTGGTATCTGCTTCTTTAATTCTCTTTGAGACCCTAACATCCAGATCGGACTCTGTATCCCTCAAGACCTTCATTTGGTTCAGCAAGGCATATTGTTCATTTGGCTTCGATGGCCTACCAAAGGCTTGAATATCCTTGGAATTAGCAGGAGAATCATTCAGTTGATTCTTAAAAAATGTTACTTTTCCCCCGGACTCTTCCATTTTGGCATCCAAATCAATATTCACCCTAGGCTGATCCTTATCAACACCTGGAAAGTTTGTATGAATTGTACTCGACTTAGATGAAAGATTGGGCTCTTTACCAACACTCAATTCATCTTGACGACTTGATTTCACAATGCTTGAGTGAGTGAAGTCTGAAAAACACAATGGAGCTTTTCGTTTTTTCTGAGCAGCTAAAGTCCATTCAGGTTCACGGCCCTTAGTCAACATGTTATGCAACACTTGCCTGGAAACATCCTGTTCAGAAATACCAGGATTACTCAAGTGCTGAGTGTTGCACGCTACTGATGTAGGATCATCGTTCTGGAGATGAGAAGAATCAGATAGAACATTATCTGCAGATCCTCTTTGCATAAATTGCAGGGCATTACCACCAAAAGAAGACTGGTGCTGATTTGAAACCATTTTTTCACTTGTCTGTTTATTTTCAAGCTCGTCTTTTCCACATGGAATCGCAGAACTGAGAGCTGGATTATAATTCCTCTGCAGCTTATACACAGAATTTTCAGTGCCATGTTGCCCCATACCTGCAGATTTTTCATTTTCAAATACAACATCAGATTCAACTATGGGAAAAGGCACAATCTGGGTTGAAGATGATGGGATCCTATGCAGGCTTTTCCCTTCCATTTCTTTACCAGCATGACTAGAACGAATTGAATCATCCATACCTGGAGCATTTGGAGCCGATGAAGAAGACTCAGAAGCCTGAAACCGTCGAGATGGAGGGCCAAGATCAAATCCAAAGACTTGAGAGCCAGAAGATTGAGCATGCTGGGAACGGCTAGCGGATCCATCATTTTTATCTGTTGTGTTTAGCTGAGATGGTGAATTGTAGTCAGATCTCATGCGTGATGACACAACTTGATCCCCTGCCTGGTCCAACTTTTGAAAAAGCTCCAACATATTTTGGCTGAAATTACAGGTCAGATAAGTAAAAATATATATAGTAGGTACAATATGTAAACTCCAAAAATGGAATAAAACTTAAAAAGTAATAAGTACCCTTGGGAAGATGTCTTGCTCGAAGTGCACGGACTGAAGTGTCTAGTATCCTTTTTATGCATGTCCTGCACATGGAAAAACATGTACAAGTTTTTGGCCGATCAAAAGCAAGATTCCAGTGTATATACATAAAGGGCATAAATCACCTAATTCAGAGTGTAAACACAGAAATGGACCAGTACCTGGGTAGGCTGCTTCATGCTGGCTGCAGGTTCCTCTTCCTTATCCAAGTTTCCCATGGGATGATATTGAAACTTACGATGGACAGGATCTTTCATGGAAAGCTGATTGATTGACTTCTGTTTCCCAAGAGATGAAGATCTTGAATCACCTGCGTCCAATAATCTATTTTCTAGATGGCCACCAGAAGCATGCTGAGTTAAGTTTGAATGGTAGCTGTCACTGGAATTCTCCTTCTGTGGGCGAGTCTTCAGATCTTTCCCCAATGCTACATCCTTGTCAGAGCCAGTTAGCGATCCCAAACCATGATTGTTCCCATTAACCTCATCCAGATTTCTCCCAAAATGCTCACCACCATGGAATTTGGATGAAGGATGGGTAGATTTCCACTGATTGAGAAAAAAGTTGTTTGGAGGAACACCAGTTTTAGATGAGTCTTCAACGGAAGCTGTGCCATTTAAATTCAAAACCCCCTTATTTGTTAGGTGATTTTCATCAGCAGGATTTACATGACCAAATGTATTAGAACTCAATAGAGAATTGGGATTCCATAAAGAGCCCCCATGCCCCACTTCTCCTTGAATCACCCTTGATTGACTTTCTTGGAAACTTTGCAACTTCTCATTCTCATGAATGCTCGACACTCTATCTCCACCAGATGGTACACCTTCCAGAACCTTCAAACCACTGAAATGATCTCTAGGTCCACTTTGTCTGGGAGACCAAGATGCAGAAACTGTCTTTGTACTTCTCTCTGCATTGAGAGAATTTTGTGAGGCATTTCCATGTATCGGACTCCCTTTAGCAGCAGCCTTTTGAATGGGATTTAACTTCTTGCTACTAGCTTCCTCCAAAGACTGCCCAAATATGAAAGGTGTATTACCCACTCTTTGTGCCGGTACACTTTGAAACTCATGTCCAATTTGATTCGATCCCATAACATTCTGAGAATTTAAATCTGCAGAAGAGGGGATGCGTGCAGCATTCAATACTGATGGAGTTTGTAAATTTTCTTTAGGCAAAGAAATGGTAGAGGGCTTATTTGCTGGAAAACTCTCAGCATTGTGAAAAGTCAGACCATTCCACTCCTGTGGTGCTATATCACTGCTAGAAGTTTCAGCAACAGCAGACTGCATTAAAGCACTCCAGCTGCCACTTTGCATTGATGGGAACTCATCTGTCAGCCCACCATTATCAAACAGATTACCAGCTTCTCCACTCATGTTACTGCTCTTGCCAAGGACATTCCATATATTATCATCTGAACCATACAAAATCTTTTCCTCAGTTGGATCAAGGGCAACTTCATTTTGGGATGAACCAGCTTTCCACGGAGGTCTTTCATGCAAGGTCTCAGATGGAGTATCAAGCACCTTCTGTCCCCAAGAGTCCTGCTGAGGTGCATTTCTTTGAGTCTCGGATGGAGTATCGAGCACCTTCTGCCCCCAAGAGTCCTGCTGAGGTGCATTTCTTTGAGTCTCGGATGGTGTATCAAGCACCTTCTGCCCCCAAGATTCCTGCTGGGGTGCATTTCTTTGAGTAGAAACCTTATGCTGGAGGCTCCCTGTATCTCTTGTCCCAGAATTTAGTGACTGACTCACAGAATGTCCAAACATGTTTTCAGTCTGAATTTTTTTACTGGAATTGTAATTCCCATCCTGCGCACCATTTTGGTTAGGAAAAAACTTGTGTTGGGAGCTACTCGGGGTAGGCATTTGAGGCATTGAAGATCCATCCTCCATTTGAGAATAGTGGTTCATAGCTAAACCCCTCGAACTAGAAACAGGAACACCAAACAGGGATTGCTCAGCCTGTTGAGGCGCCAAATCCATTAGGGGTTGTGTCTGGCCTATGCTTGGTTGAAAAGCAAACCCACTAGGGGACCCCTGCATGTTTGAAGAACCATGGCTCAGCCAGCTTGTCCCATGCTCATGCATAGTATCAGAATTGGGAGAGTCTGTAACCAAAGTAGACTGGAAACCAGACACACTCATATTTAGGGGAGAATTCTGATTCATCAGATCTTGAGTCCTCAACCCAGATTGTTGAAGTTGCTGCTGCCGCTGAAGATCTTGCATTTTCTTGATGAGGAATTGCTGTTGCAGATGGTGCATGTCATTGAGGCCAGCTTGCTGTTGTTGAATTGCCTGCATCATGCTCGCTTGCTGAGGGCTTATCTGTTGCTGAGCACCAAATATATCAAAAGGTAAAGATGTCTCAAATCTGCTTGAAGCTTTCGGTTGTTGATCAGAGCAAGATCCCTGCTGTAACCCATGGACAGCTAAGCCACTTGAGGAGAGTAAATGATGCTGTGCGGAATTTGTATTCACTGGCAGAAAGTTTGATTCATTCTGCCCATTCTGGTAGATTCGATCTCCATACACAAACCCATTTGTATAGGGTTGTTCATTTAGTGACTGATTTTTACAAAAATCTGGCCCCAGATCTGATCGAGAGAAATTCAAGCCATTTGCAGCGTCAACAGAATAGTTGGTCTGCCTTCTGCCTATATCTGATTGTGCAATTGCAATTCAAAGAAAACAAATAATTCAATTAGTAGCTTAAAAAACTGCCCAGCAAGAGCTAGAATGAATTTAGTTAAACTAGTCACTGATGCGGTAGAAGGTAATACCTGAATTTTGCAAAGCATAATTATTACTAGAATTTGTTGGATCAATTTGTATCTGGCCATTTACCCAAATATTGTTATTTAACACAGGCCAATTCCCTTGCAAAACATGTGACTGGTGCTGCCCCTGTGACGAATTGTCTGGTGCAAAGAAATTGTGAACGCGGTCTCCAAATTCGTTACCAGGCATAGATGATAACAGCACAAAACTCGGAAGCTAATGCAAGATGACAATCAAAGAGCAGCTAGTTAGCTAGAAACTCCTCGTCTGGCTATTTAACAAGGACCGTCTGTGGTGAAATCCAACTCTCCAGACTATGCCCACTTAACTCCAACAGGTATCCTGGTAAAGATGTACAGCAGTCACTATTAGGAAAAAAAAGTCACATTAAAATGTTAGTGAAAAAATATTAGCAATAAAAGTAATGATCAATGACTGGATAAGTAATAACAAATATCTACAAACAATGATTCCGTTGGTTTATTTATTGAATTTTGCCTAATTTAAACTTCTGTTCACATAAACAATGGAATATAGGCTAACTTCAACTTCAACTGTTTAATCTCTCAGCATCTACCTGAATACTCCACAACATATAATCACTAATTTCAATGTACTTTTTGAAGTATAACATAAACCCCTTCAACATAAAAATCAATGAATTTGTTACATTGTAAATTCAGGCTGCAAGCAGAGTTACAATCTTTCTTATTTCATCAACAAGAATAGAGAAATAGATCTCAATGGAAGCGGAACAAAAAGGAAAACTGGAAAAATACCCCAAAGATAAGTCAAATGAGCCAAGAGCGTCCATATAGATTCATGCATACAAGATCTAGTAGGAATGTACAAGACTTATGTGCATACAGCAATGGACACACAAATAAATCATAAATTCGTACAGATCTGCAGCACAAAATAAGAGGGAACACAAAAAACCTCCATCTTAAAGCTGCAAAATCATAAGATATAGCTACAGGTCAAATTATATATGTATGTACAGGTTGTCACGGCGAGGTTCCAGGACGGAACCATCGGACTACCATATCGCGTATGCGACACGGCGCCAGCCATAGCAACAATTTGGTGACACGGAAAAATTCTAATATTTATCATACAATACAATTTCCGAACCTTAAATCACTAGATCTGACTAAGTTTCAAGTAAAAAATCAAAATAACAAAGTACTAAACATCGCCATTAAAATACCGAAGTACAAAGATGTCACCCTTAAAAACATGGCAAAGTGCATTCAATAAGACATTGGCAAGACAGCTATTGAGATCCTTTTCGCACGGCAGCAGGCAACAACAGATGGTGGCAGGCGGCAGGCGATGGGGGAAGGGCGGAGAAAACAAGGTGAGGTAAAATGCAGCGGCGGGCTAGGGCTTTTACATATAAATGGTTTAAAGCGGGTCATAATAACAAAGTGGGTCAAGTCGGGTCAAATAACCCTTCAAATAGCGGGGTCAAATAGAAGACCTCTTGCCATTTGGGTCACATTGGCGTCCTAGTGTCGCATTGTCAGCACACCCAGCGAAGCCGCAACGCTGTCAGGCCCGTGACAACCATGTGTATGTCTATAACTATATACATTTCTCAAGTATAATACAATGCGCAAGTAGTTTGGGAAGCATGAACCTAAACCTTATAGTCGAATGAAGCATGATGTTGAGGATTATAAAAGTATGAACCTAGCAGGAACCTAAACCTTACAGTCAAATGAAGCATAATGTTGAGGATTACAGACATAATTTTAAAGATATCTGGACATCACATTTGGTCTTGGACCACCAAGAAATGATTATTCACTGCTCAGAATGTAATTAGAATGCCAAAAATTGCGAGGAATCCTTTTAACATACACCCAATGAAGGAAAGCTAAAAACACATATACAGATTTGACTAAAAACATTAGACAAGCAGCTTCAATAAGAGAGAAAGAACAGAAGAGATATAACTTATCAGGTATCCGATGCGAAGCAAGTTGGACAGAAAAGAGGCAGAATGCATGGAATAAGCTCTCAGTTGTCAGTAAAAACTTGTCAAGACCCCTACTTATAGCGTCAAGGTTGATAGACCGTAATAATTAAATGTCAGTGATGTTGTTCGGAGTCCCTACAATTATGAATGATATTCGTGTTGGTGGTGGGTGGTGGGTGACGGGTGGTAGGTGGTGGGTGGAGGGAGCGTTGCTTCCCTCATTAAATGACTAAAAATGCGAGAATCACTAGGACTGAGCCTACGGCTCCACTTAATAAGGACTATATAAACTGGAGATGTTTTCTCAATCCACTGAACAAAAATGGCAATATCTATGGAATTTTTTATGTAACCACAACGAGTAATTTAATGGGGAGTACCGTAATAGATTCTGTCAAATTGAGTACTTATCATGGACTTGGCACAAAATCTCTTCTAAGGCACATATGCATCCCCATCCCTTGGAAAAGATGAAGATTGAATTGTGAAATTTAAAACAACAAACTAAATATCTATGGTAAGCTATGTTAAACAACACATCCACATTTTTCTGGTAACCATGGATCAACTTGTGATCTTTTTAGCACGCATAATTGAGCATGCCCGGGAAACTTTCTAGAAGGTCACTCATCTTCAAACTTCTTCAAAGTAGCCAAAACACTTAACAATGAAGTTATTAACATCAGGTTTCCAAAAACAATAATGCACCTTATTGATACAACTAGTTATATCAATCATTTTAAATCTTTCAATTCCATTTACTACCTTGATCTTAAATCGATAGTGTACCTAAATCAATAATGTAGGAATTTAGACATGCCGAAAATTTGATAAATCATTTAATAACATCAATCAGCTTGCTCTGGAAAGTAATTCATAGAATCTAAGAAAACAAGCATTTTCATTACAACTATTTTTCCCTAACATAAAGAGTAATTAATCTCTTCGGTCATCCAAGACAACAAGTTATGTTCGAAACTGCATCATTCACTCAAGTAAAATGCCTCTTAGTTAAAAAGGAAAAACAAAAACTCAAAAGCTATCACTTGCCTTCTGTGGAAAGCCAACCACTTCTGCTTAAATAATCAAGCCTTGAATTTGACAAAACCAAATCCAAATTTCGAACAGGGGCTGCAATTTTTACATCAAACGTTACAAAGCATCCTTGCAGAATCAAATAATACGACCTCACACAATTTGCACAAACAAATCAGTCATCACAACAATACAGAAATATCTTAAGTTTAAAGATTATTCATACGCATATCAAGAACATAACTTTACACAATACCTAGACAAAGATCGGAATAGACTACAGAAAACAAGACTTCCTAAACCCCACCTCGCTTCAATACATCTTAAATGCCAGAAAATGAATTAAACAAATAGGGTTAGCAACGATTACAATATATTAAACAAGCGAAGGGGAATCTTACGGTGAAAATTAAAATGTGCGTGACCAGGGTAGAGGGGAGACGAAAACTAATCTTTCAAAATGGTGAATTTCTATGCTAGGGTTTTGAATCGGCCAGCAAAACTGCGAGAAGCTCTAGAGAGGAAGGGGAAAGCGAGTGCTGTGCAAAGATAAAGCGTGCGAAATGTTCAACCAACTGGGAGAGATGGTTAGGCTCGGACCAAGCCTCAGGTTCGGGATCTCCGAAGCAAAGGCTATGATTTTGTGTCACGCAGTGTACGAAGATTATGTGCCTGACGAATTGGAATCAGAAACGTGGAAAACTTTTGAATCGTGGATGGTGAATGTATAGGGTTAATCCATAATCGTATCATAAAGATTTCTGTGAATTAAGTTTGTTCGGTTTAAAACTGAAATTTGGGACAGTTTATTGAATTTTGATTTAAATAATATTTTTAATATAACATTTGTAAGATAAAATAATATATTTTTATTGAAAATATGTCCAATGAATAGTTTTAATCCATAAAAAAAAGAAAAAAAAAAAAAAAAAAGTCTAATATAAAGTAACCCAAAGCATATGTCCTCGGTCCAGCAACTCTTTGGCCCGTTGATCCGTTTAGCCCATTTTTCATAGAGGCCTAATCCAGTTTAAAAGTACCTCAAATAAAAAGGTCTAATCAAAAGATAGTAGAAGAAGAATTTAAATTGTTGAAAAAAATTTATGAATAAAATTTTAAAAAGTAACAAGATGTTAAGGGGAACTGATCAGATGAGACACATGTTTTCATCTTCTTAGTAATAATTTTTTCTTTTTCTGCAATTTTTGTTGTAACTGAATTATTTTTTCTACAGTTTCTAATTAATTTCAACTTTTTTAATTCAATTTCATCATCATTTCTTTGAGGGGATCGGAGAACCTTTTAAATAAATCAATTTCGATTGGTTTTCTCAAGTAGACTGTCGGTGACGATTTTTTACGACAACAATAGTGAAATTTTTTATATAAAGTATGGTCATATTTGAATACGGATATAAATATGCCGTGACCTGCCGACTTTTTGAAAATGAATGTGTATTATGTAATATAGCCGTATTGGATCCAAATCAAAAGCTACCAAAAATAATAATACATGTTTTAATTGTATGTTTTAATTGTATATTATTTTGTAGATAATAAAATTTTATACTGATACAAACAAATAAAAAATGTATTTATTTATTCATGATTAATATAAACTAGTTTATAAAAAATAAGAGTTTTAAATATAGATAAAAATATTTATTTATTGAGTAGAGATAAAAATAAAGAGATTTTAAATAGTCCTACATGATTAATGATGTTATATATTATAAAATTATTTAAGTTAATTTATAGTCCCTCCGTCCCAAATAAGGTGCAACATTTGTTTTGGGCACGAATTTTTAGGTGGGTAGTATTAAGTAGGATAATTTAGAAATTAGGTGACGTGATGGAGAAAGAAATGTATATTTTATTTTTTTATTTGAGTGATGTAATGGATAAAGCGTATAGTAGAGATGTATAATTAATTATTTCCTATTTTGGAAATGTTGCAGGTGTTTGGGACATACCAAAAAGAAAATATTGCACGGTGTTTGGGACGGAGGGAGTATTTGTTAAGATGTATCAACTTAGTAAAATCTATCAAATATAGAAATATGTCATTTGTTATGGGACGAAGATAGTATATTTTATTATAATATAGTTTTTGTTGGATATTTGATCGGTCTCAAGAGATCCAATGCCTCCGAATTTTATACGTGACAGAAATATGAAAACGTCAATTGGGTTGCCTAATAGTTAAAACTATAGTGTGTGTATGCAATATTCTATAGGTGAATAAATACAAAACAAGTGCAAACAACACACGATTTGTTGATCCATTTCGGTATAAATACCTACATTTGGGGACCAATCCAGGAGTCCTTCACTAAACCAAATACATGTTTACACCATTCAAGACATCAAATAAATATACTCAACTTATTATTTACTCAACCTCCTCTTTATTTTACAAATACAGACGAACTTGTACAGTAACAAATCTAACAGATTCGTTGTCAAGCTAAGAGTAAGGTTGATTCCATATTGGTTGTCTCATTCGGTTTCAACTCTTTTTTCTCCTTCTTCTTTATAGCATCAAATCTCCATTGCAGCTCTCTCGACTCTTTGAAGCGAATAGAGAAAATATTACTGTGGAAGTGTGTATAACTTTCACGATTCAAACATATACATACAAACAAAACACAAACCCAACACACATAAGGACTTGACTGTGTGCAATTTTAGGGCAGCGAGTACGAAACAATAAATGTCTTGTTGGACGAGTGCAACATACCAATGCCTTCTTGTGCATATCCTCTACATAAGACAATTCGTTTTGTCTCATTTCATTAAATGAGTGACACATTTGGCTCCTCCGAAGTTAGCTCCTTGGCTATGGTACTTATCTGTGCTGCAGATTTTTCAAAATGTGTAGAACAGCAGTTGCAATAGCAAAGCTGCAACTTTGTCATATGCTAATAATGGAAAAAGGATTTTTTGTCATTTTTTTTGGCGTATGATATCAAGATGTTCAAATGCAACAAGGTAACATACTACATTTTTTTTTTTCTCAACCATTTTTCAATAAATGTTGACAGGAAGAGGTCATAACATCAATTGATACTAGACCAGATTATCAATCTCTCTTTTTCTTTATGATCAGTCTCCTTCTTTTATCTTGATTATTTGCTTTTTTTTTATCCCCCTATCGATATGTTATTTTTCTTTTCCCCTATCTTGGCAAAAAATACCAAAAAATTTTAAAAATAAGTTATTTCTCGGGCAACATATAGACTCAAGTAAAAGGGTAATAATAACGATTTCTTTTCTCTCATTTTTTTTTCTCTCTATCCCTTTTTTTTAATCAAAAGTAAAGCAATAATTTCAAATCAAGTAAAGAGATAGAAGTTCATGATCTTCAAGTGGAGTTCTAAGAATTCAATTTACGACACAAGTTGGTTCCTTGTTGATCATATCGTGAATGAATAACATGTCTTTTTTGTTCCATCAAATTGTTGTTGATGACCACCTTTGCATCTTGAAGTTTTTTAAGCAATATTGCATCTCATTAGTTTCTGACTTTTTTTGGGCCTTAACTCCATTTTGAACTCAATGCGATGCTTGAGTTTTTCAGAAGGCCAATGAACCTTTCTTCCAACCATCATATCATTTGTCAACTTGAAACAATGAGATTCAACATGACCAAATCGATATCACTACTTCCGGTTACTCTCATGTTGTGACATCGGATTTATACATATGTTCTTTCTGTGATTTAATTTATGCTCTCCTTTTTGTTTTGCTTAGGACCTTCAGTCACCTTCTCCTTTGGGGCTTTCTCTAGAATTACATCGGTAAGAAGACCTCCCTTCACAAAAATAGTTAGTTTTGAAACCATTGATTCTTGATAATCAATTCTTCTTTGATATTCGAATGACTTTTCGATCGACAAACTTCACCAAACTTTCCTTTCCTTTTTTTTTAAACCCCTCATTTTCTTTTTTCAGCTTGTCATCTCAACTATTAGTTGTTTGATTTCCTTTTCTGAAGACGTTCACAAGTCTCGAACGTTTGCTCATTAATTTCTTCGGCCTTTTGGACTCTAGCTTTAAATCGATATAGTATGTTGATCAGCTTCTTATTTCTTGCCATACATATATTTTGTTCGGCAACAACTTCTTCATAAGCTTCTATCACTTTACAAATATCCATTTCAACGGTTTCGTTACTATCACAATCATCTTTGAAATATTTTTTAAAATATGCATTCTCTTGAGTTTTGCTTGACTCACCATTTTTTACCATAAATACAACAATTTTTCATCATCATAAATAAAAGTACTTTCATCATCATCACTCTATGTTATGATAGACACGTTTATGATAAATACATACATAAACAAAAATAAAATAAAATCCTTTTCTATGATTTAGATATATTTTTACTTTTTATATTTAAAATGGTACGAAATAAATGTCTTTATAAACATGAATATTTGTTCATAATAATAATTATGAATATATGAACCTCTTAAATAAAATTTAAATAAAGATAAATATAAATATGATTTATACAAGTAGCCATGTAGGGCAGTAAAATTTAAAAATATCAATAATTTAAAATTATAATCACATGACCACAAGTTTATCTTTCACCATGAGAATTATTATTATTATTATTTTTTTTTTAACTCACAAATATTGTGATTACAAGTTCATTATTATGAGAAGTTTTATTTTCTTTTTTTTTAAAAAAAAAAACCATGAAAAGTCGCGCTATTATACCTCGCAATGAGAAGTTTTAATTTTATGATACATTAGTAGCACTCAATAAATATATAAATATATATATATACACTCCATTAAAAGTGATTTACTGGTGTGAAAGAGAGAATTTATTACCGGAAATCAATAGATATGGTCAAATAAACCTAATTTAAAATAAAATGACAAATATTGGTTTAACACTTACAATGTGGGATCTACCAATTTATTTAAATTTACTGGTGCAATTCTTTATTTATTTTTATTTTTATTTTAAGTAGGAATCGCAGATGGTAAATTAGGTCAGTAAATTAAGTCCCATATTGCAATAAACTCGAATTTTGACCCCTTAAATCTTTTTTTACTTAAGCTAAAAGAGGAAATGAACCTATATAAAAAAAAAAAAGAAAAAAAAAAAAGGACTCTCCAGAAAATACCGCATGAGGCGGGATATATCCCGAAAGCCAAATTAATGAAATTAAAATATATAAATATATTTTTATATTATTATAATATTTATAGTATATGCGATTATGAGAGTCTGGTAGCTTCTAGCACTACCTTCGAAAATTCCAGATTTCTCTTTCGGTTCATGAAAAAGCAAGGTTCTTGGCGATTCGCTTCATTGCATTTCAGACGCAAATTCGACGCACGATCTCATTCCGAAGAATTCAAGAGCTCGCAACACATCATATTATCGTGGTTTTCTTCTTTAGGCGTTGTATTTTGGTCGGAGATTTTACGGTTTTCGTTTCAACGGGATTACGAAGGTAAGGTTAGATGTTGCACTTTCGTTGAGTTTATGTACTTGTGCGATACTTGGAATTTTTATGCTATTCGTTTGTTGCTGTTTGTGCTGTTTTTGTTTATCATCTGCTGTGAAGTGTGGAACAGAGTGCGGGTTGGTGTGTTCGGTTTGTTAGAGCGGTGGTTTCACTATTTTGGAAATGTGATTTTGTTTAATTTGTTGGTTTTCGAAAGAGGAATTGTCAATGAATTGAACTGATTGAAATTTCCAGAAGTCGAATCGTGGAATTCTGACGTTTTGTTCTTCATCCTTTATGAAAATTGGGGAATTCTTTGTTTTTTGCGTGCCATAGTTCCAGATTCTGCTTTTCTCTAAACTGAATGTTCTTAAATGAAAAATGATAAAATTCTGCACTTCTTGATCAAATAGTCGACTGACTCATCCTTTTTTATCTAAACAGATTCAAATTGAACAATGAATCCTGAAAAGTTCACCCACAAGACCAATGAGGCTCTGGCCGGGGGTCATGAACTGGCTATGAACGCCGGCCACGCTCAGTTTACTCCTCTTCACATTGCAGCAGCTTTAATCGCCGATCCCCATGGTATCTTCCGTCAGGCAATCGTCGGCGCCGGAGGGGGTGACGACGCTGCAAAATCGGTGGAGAGAGTAATCAATCAGGCGATGAAGAAACTGCCTTCCCAATCACCTCCCCCTGATGAAATACCCGCCAGCACTACTCTAATCAAAGTGATCCGTCGAGCACAGTCTTTGCAGAAATCACGCGGTGACACACATTTGGCTGTCGATCAATTGATTCTAGGACTGCTGGAGGATTCACAGATTCAAGAGCTATTGAAGGAGGCCGGCGTGACTGTTACCAAGGTGAAGGCTGAAGTTGATAAGCTGCGGGGGAAGGAAGGGAAGAAGGTAGAGAGTGCATCAGGGGATTCAAATTTCCAGGCTTTAAAGACGTACGGTAGAGATCTTGTTGAGCAGGCTGGGAAGCTCGATCCTGTGATCGGTAGGGACGAAGAAATTCGAAGGGTAGTAAGGATCCTTTCAAGGAGGACTAAGAACAATCCTGTCCTGATTGGAGAGCCTGGTGTGGGTAAAACTGCTGTGGTTGAAGGATTAGCTCAGAGGATTGTTAGTGGTGATGTTCCGAGTAATCTCGCTGACGTGAGGCTTATAGCATTGGACATGGGTGCATTGATCGCCGGAGCTAAATACAGAGGAGAATTCGAGGAGAGATTGAAGTCTGTTCTTAAAGAAGTTGAAGAGGCTGAAGGGAAAGTGATATTATTCATTGATGAAATTCATCTTGTTCTTGGCGCCGGACGGACTGAGGGATCGATGGATGCAGCCAATCTCTTCAAACCAATGCTTGCGAGGGGTCAGTTGAGGTGTATAGGCGCAACTACACTTGAAGAGTACAGGAAATACGTCGAAAAAGATGCTGCATTCGAGCGACGTTTCCAGCAGGTTTATGTTGCCGAGCCTAGCGTCCCGGATACGATCAGCATTCTCAGAGGTTTGAAGGAGAAATACGAAGGGCATCATGGTGTCAAGATTCAGGATCGTGCCCTTGTCGTTGCGGCTCAATTATCTGCTCGTTACATTACTGGTATGTGTCTTGGTGTATAATGTAGGAAATTTTTGTATGGTTTCTTGATCCTAGTTAGCTGAAATTTGGTTAATTCTGTTGCAGGGAGGCATTTACCTGACAAGGCAATCGATCTTGTTGACGAGGCATGTGCCAATGTGAGAGTACAGCTCGACAGCCAGCCGGAAGTTATTGATAATTTGGAGAGGAAGCGGATCCAATTGGAGGTCGAGCTTCATGCCCTTGAGAAGGAGAAGGACAAAGCTAGTAAGGCTCGGCTCGTTGAAGTGAGTATTTACTTGTTTCGACACTGCTAGGTGAAGTTTTGATTGAATATTTGCTATAGACTAACTATTTTGTGCGAAATTTCAGGTCCGAAAGGAACTTGATGATCTGAGAGACAAACTGCAGCCGCTGAAGATGAGATACAGTAAGGAGAAAGAAAGAATCGATGAGCTCCGAAGGCTGAAACAGAGGAGGGATGAGCTCATGTATGCCTTGCAGGAAGCTGAGCGACGATATGATCTTGCAAGAGCTGCAGACTTGAAATATGGTGCGATACAGGAAGTCGAGAGCGCCATAGCCAAGCTCGAAGCTACTTCGACTGAGAGTGGGATGCTGACAGAAACTGTCGGACCGGATCAAATTGCAGAAGTCGTGAGCCGTTGGACCGGAATACCCGTCACACGGCTTGGCCAAAACGACAAGGAGAGACTAATTGGCCTCGCTGATAGGCTGCACCAAAGGGTTGTCGGGCAGGATCAAGCAGTTACTGCTGTTGCGGAGGCTGTGTTGAGGTCGAGAGCTGGTCTTGGAAGACCTCAGCAGCCGACGGGATCGTTCCTTTTCCTGGGACCGACTGGTGTCGGCAAGACAGAGCTCGCCAAGGCCCTGGCTGAGCAACTTTTTGACGACGATAGCTTGATGGTGAGGATCGACATGTCCGAATACATGGAGCAACACTCTGTTGCTCGACTGATCGGCGCCCCACCGGGGTAAGTTTGAGATACTTTTGATGATTACCTGATACCGGAGAAAGCTTTTTTTTATCTCACCGATGGATTTCGTATTGTGCAGTTATGTCGGACATGAAGAAGGCGGACAACTTACCGAAGCTGTGCGCAGGCGGCCGTACAGCGTCATCCTCTTCGACGAAGTTGAGAAGGCCCATCCAACGGTATTCAACACTTTGCTCCAAGTTTTGGATGACGGAAGGCTGACTGACGGCCAAGGCCGGACTGTCGACTTCACGAACACCGTCATTATCATGACATCGAACCTTGGCGCTGAGCATCTGTTGAGGGGATTAGTCGGGAAGTCCTCCATGCAGAGCGCCCGGGAAATGGTGATGCAGGAGGTACGATAAATTTTATCTCCGCCCCCATTCGTTTACACTCGTTTATTAATCGTCGTTCGATGAATGGCTTATTCAATTTTACGCTTGCATCAGGTGAGGCAGCATTTCAAACCCGAGCTCCTCAACCGTCTAGACGAGATAGTCGTGTTCGATCCTCTCTCGCACGACCAGCTGCAGAGAGTCTGCCGCCTACAGTTGAAAGACGTGGCGAGCCGTCTGGCGGAGAGGGGTATCGCGCTGGGCGTAACCGAGGCAGCCACCGACGTCATATTAGCTGAAAGCTATGATCCGGTAAGCGTCGCATATAATGATACAACTTGTAATTTTTCTATTCAGACGTCGGTAGCTGATGTTATGCATTCGATTTGTGTTTTAGGTGTACGGTGCGCGTCCGATAAGGCGATGGCTGGAGAAACGGGTGGTGACAGAGCTGTCGAAGATGCTTATAAGGGAGGAGATCGACGAGAACTCGACCGTGTTCATTGATGCATCGTCGGATGGGAAGGATTTGACGTATAGGGTCGAGAAAAATGGAGGGCTGGTGAATGCTGCCACCGGGGAGAAGTCAGATATCTTGATTCAGCTGCCGAACGGCGCTGCTCGTCCGGACGCCGCCCAGGCGGTGAAGCGGATGAAGATTGAAGAGATCGACGACGACGAAGATGAGATGGATGAGTAAACAGGCTGCTGAAATATATATATATATATATATATATGGAGTTCGATGTTTGTTGGTTTTTTGTGCTTAATGCTCTCGATGGCGTTGTAGTGTTTTTGCTTTTGTATCTGAACAACTGTTTAATGTAATCGGAAGGCCGTTTTCGGGGCCTTGTTCTTTACAAATTGCAAATTGCTCTCCCATCTCTTGGTTCCTATCTCTCTTCCTCTCTTGGTTTGTTTACAGACAGGATAATACTTATCAATTACTATTAGAAATAGATAAGTCAATTCTATATATCAACTAAGTCCATAATTAATTGTGGTTTACAAAAAGTACATTGTAAAATGGGCATGTGAAATACGAATTGGGTTTACAGGTTTGGGTTGGACGGTTTTGGGCGTCGGCTAACTCTTTTTTTATATCTGTCGCAACTACAATAAATTTTTGACCGAATTTAATACTTTTTAAATTAAGTCCGTCAAAACAAGTTACACTAGACGGACTATGTTTCACTGGATAAACCTTCGAGCAAACTATGCTTGATATGATGATAAGTTTGATATGATGATAAGTCTAGCCCACATCAAGGGTTGTTTGGCTTAGTTATAGAAATAATAACAATATTTATTCTTTATATTTAATTTAAAATTTTTTATTTATGATTTTGTAGGTTAAGAAAAATTATATGAACCTGAATGTTATAAAAAGATCAATAGATACAAATTTATCATAAACATTCAAAGAATGTGTGAAATTTATGTAAAGGTTAAAATACTCAACATTTTTTTTTCTATCGAAAAATTATTAAGCCATTGAAATTAATTTATTGGCAAGTGATTTGAAATTACTGCAAATTAGAGGTATAAAAAAATATTTCTTACTATTACATATGCTATCTTTACCCATTAATGAAAAACAAAAAAACAATTGAAGTTTTCAGAAACTTAAACAACGAGACATAAAATTAATTTGATTGTAAAATTCAAACAATTTGAAGTGACAGGTGTAGAAGGTATGTGACCCCAGTGTCTGCGTTAAAGAAATACCTTATATAATTACAGTAGTATGTCTTATGTATATGACTTACTGATCAAGATTAGAGATGTTAGCCGATATTATTCTCGGAATGAGAATTTTACGACGTGACAACGCCATTGTATTAACCTAGTCTCATTATATGGAAAAAGTACTGAGAAAGAATATGCTAAAATAATTGAAAATTTGATGTACTTAACAAATTGTACAAGGTCTGACCTAGCTGGTGTAGTAAACAAATCAAGTCGATACACTAAAAGTAAGTTATTTGAAATTTACTCTTGCCTTTGGCATCCACTATATGATACATCTTCCAGTAGTTGAAGGGTATTGTGATGCTAATTGGATATTCGATACGAAAGATTCGTTGTCTACGAGTGAATGTGCATTCACTATCGGAGGTAGAACTATTTCGTAAAAATCCACAAAATAGGCATATATTGCACAATCCACTTTGAAATCGAAGTTCATCGCTTTGGAAAAAGCTATTAAAGAGGTTGAAGGGCTTAGAAACTTTTTTAATGATATTCCATATTAAACCTAGAGTTTACAATGTTAAATCCTAACATATAGAACGTAGATATAACAATATAAAATATTTGATCACAAGTGGGATTTTTACCATTAACTATGTAAAGTCAATAAAAAACCTAACGAATCCATTATCCAAAAAATTAAAGAGGGATCAAATGTATAAATTGCTAAAGGAGATGGACTTGAAATCTACAAGTTATAGACGATTATAGTGATAACTTAATCAAAATTTTCAAGCTTTGGTTCAATGGAATAATTAATCTGTAAAAATTCGACACGAATACTCGATCACCAGTTCTCCAAAAGCAACGAGTATTGAAATGTACAAAAGTAGTGAAATTGAGCCAATAACTCTTAATAATCCTAAAAGTATGATTTAAATACTTTAACTTTAAGATAGAATTACTTATAAAAGTGTGAAGAGTAGGTCTCTTAAAAAAAAAAGAACTTATAAATCCAAATACATGATCCATGACCGAAACAAATCAAAATGTGAAAATAAAATGAGGTTGAGATAGTTATACGTTAATATTATTGACTCAGTATACACTTTAGATGAAAAAGTTCAATACATCATGTCAAGTGGACTATAAATACACTTTGAAATATAGACTATGAAAAATTCAAAGCTACACTATCTATTTTGATGTATCAATGTTTCTCTGAGACTGAGTTGTGCACTTTTTATGGGAATTTTCATTTGGGTGGGGGATTGTTGGATAATCGGTTAATTATTTAATCGATGAAATTGAATTAACAAAAATTAAATTTAAAATTTATGAAACTGAAAAATCGATGAGTGAAAATGCGACAAGCCGATGAACCAAATTAATTTGGATTAAATATATAATATATATATATATATATATTGAATATGAGGCTTGGCTAATATCGGACTAATTTTGCATGTCTCGAGGCAAACTAAATTGTACAACCAAAAGTTAAACTCTTGTGTATAACGTAAGTCGTAGGACCATCCGGATGATAGATCCATTATAATATCAAACGGAAAGTTTGAAATTAGCTTAAATTACGATCTTTCCAACATAATGTTTGAAATTTACATAATTATAATCATCTTAAATAGAATGTTTGAAATTAAAGTAGATTATAGCACCGATTATATCGATAATTAAGGCCGTAATTATGGTCGTAATTAATCTTCTGTCATTTTAATCAAGTAGAGACGCCTATATAAAAAGTATCAATCTTCATTCTCAAATCAACCAATCAACATCGAGCTCTCTCCTCTCCTCCCTTCTCTGGTCAATTTCCGAGAAGCCTTCTTACTAAAATTTAATTATATTATTGTTTTATTCGCTAGAGCTCCAACTTATTGTGATGCAACTTAAGCTGAATACGAAAATGGTTTATCTTCAAGAACAAAACCATATCACCGAAGTGTTGGATTAAAAATTCAATTGTGGGTTAAATGTAACTATTTGGGCTATCAGTCAGATTAAGCCTATATTAAGTGATCTATAAATATATTGAGTTTAAATGTATTTAGTAAGTGCGGGCCTCCAATGTGCAGAAACCCGGTAAATTATTAATTGAGTGATGAGGTCAATTAATAATAAGGGATATAAAAAGGGTTGTGATCCCAGGTCTAGACGCAACAACCATTACTTTTCATATCTCGTGGGAGTAATGGCAGAAACCCTAGCGGTTTTATCGGGAGGGGTTAATCCAAATTCGACTATACTAATGGAATAAAGTTATATTTATTTTGCTTTGTTTTTATCTCAATTATGACAATATGGTAGATTTTGAGCTTAGGGTTAAATTCCTCGTAAATTCCATCGCAAAGATGCCATCGCTACCTAATTCATTTTGTGGGGCACAGGATATCTTCGAATCGGCTTTATTTTCAATTTTGTCATATTACCCTCTTGTTAATTATTTTATGATATTTTTTAATTTACTTTTTCACGTAATAATAATAATATTATTATTTTCTAAAATCTTATAGTATATCATATTTATCATATGACGATGTTGACAAGTTGAATTTTATGATGCGTTATTGTGTGGCCTTAATTTTTATTTGGGAAAGTTGTTCGCCACGTGGTGTCATATGATTTTTATTATTATTATTATTTTTTATTTTTCGTTTTTCTATCGTGGGATCCACCAATTAAAATTAATAATAATAAATAACAAAAAAAAAAAGTGTCAGGTGGGTGAACGCCGTAGAAGTAAATTTAAAACATATTAAAGAAAATAATTATTATATAAATAATTTTTTTGATTAGATTGATTGTGTGTTTGTTTGGTTGAATTTTGGATTGAGATTTAAATAGTAAAAATTTTGAATTTGAATAGTTATATGATGTGATCTAAATAAAAATTGATGTTATATTTTTGAATGTAAAATTGATTTTTTATATAATATAAAAAATAAATATTTAATTTGATGATTTTGGAGGAAAATTTTTATACGAATAGTATAAATCCCACAAAATTCCTCAAACAAACACACAAATAATATTTGATTTTTTTTACTGTAGATCTATTTTCATTTTATTTTTTAATTTTTTTTTATTGTGTGGCCTTAATTTTTATTTGAATTATGTTATGTGTTTTTTTTTTTTTTTTTTAATAAAAATTACAGAGATTCAAATGGTAATTTATCCTAATTAATTTATTACATTTCACTTTAATATGGTTCGAGTTTTAAGATGAAAATAAAGTTGTCAGATCTATTTCAAAGAGAAAAATTTTAAGTTTTTTTTAAACGTTCATCGTATCACTAATTATATATTATACTTTTTTCGTCAAGCAAAATAAATGTAAATTTTGTGTGGACATTGAGATTAAAAAATATTAATAATATTTTAATATCCCAAAAGATTTGTTTTATTTTTCCATTTTCGTCTGTCTCGAAACAATTGTCTTATTTCCTTATTTAATATGTGTGGTCTTCACTTTATAACCAAAATATTCCTATTTTTCCATACTACCCATAATTATTACTATAATATACTCTTTAAAATCCTTGAAAAAATAAAGGTTCTGCTTTATACCGGCTTTCAATTAAATACTATTATTCCTTTTAATTCCCATACCAACTCTCAATAAGACACTTTTTTGGGACGGAGGGAGTATTAAATTTATATATGAAAAAATAAAGTGATGATAATGTGATAAATTTATTAAAATAATTGATAAAAATGATGGAATAAATAAAAAAAATAGTAACAACTTGATACAAATTATTAATTAATAATTAATGATGTATTAGTAAAAATAATTATAATATAATATAAATAATTATAAATTAAAATTAAGATAAAAAATTAGTTTAATTAAAATTATAAATTATAAAATTTAAAATATGATTAAAGTGTACAATTATTTTTAATAAAAGGAAAAAGTGACATGACATATAAAACAAACATAACTAGAAAGTATGAATGTATGATATTTTATGTGGGATGAAGAAAATTGTAATATTTTTATACTTTTGTATGTATATATTGTTTTGTTACCATATTTTCAAATTTATCGAAGTTGTCATTATATTTTAATTTGATGTATTAATGTAAATAAAAATAAATATTGTGATATGTAATAGAGTTTACACTTAGTAAAAAAAAAAAATGATATTTTAATATAATTATGTTTTTTTTTTTAACTCCATTAGTCCGGAGTTTTTATGTCATATTGTTTGGACATAAATATTAAGAAGTAAAAGTATTCAAATAAGAAAGTTGAGTAGCTAAAAAGATAAATTGAGGATATTATAGTAAAAATAATAATGGCAAATTTGATCATTATTTGTTAAAATAAATATAATAAAATTGTAGGTGGATAAAATTTTTATTATAAACAAATTATGCATAAATTTAACGAATAAAAAATATGGCATAATTATCATGAATGGAGAAAGTATTTTATAATTTAATTATATTAAAATGGCAACGATAAGTTAATAAAATTTGATTTGACTTTGTTCAAATATTTTAAATTTGTTATCGATACAATTTTCAATTAAACTATATTTTAAAAATTATTCATAAAAATATAAGTAAACACCACCAATATTATATATAGAAATTACTTTTGTAATATCTATATTTAATCGATAAAATTTATCTATATCAAATATTCAAAATACTAAAAATTATTCATTTGAAATATTTTAAATATTCAAATAATTATTGTATTAAAATATTATATATTTAATTACAATAATTAATTTTAATAATTCAATAGAATTTATAATTAACGGTTTCATGCACGGCTCCTCTAGTGTATATATATATATCTACATATTCATGTAAATATAATTATATATTATGGTTATCTATTTATTTATCTACTTATCTTATATGTTCTTTTGTCTCATTTCAACTGTTTCATTTTTTTTTGTCCGTCTCATTTTAATTGAAATGATAAAATTTATTAAATTTAAACATACTTAACAAATATATATCAATTTAATTAACTTCATAACATATAATATCATAAATCACTTAAGATCTACTAAAAAATCCTTTTATTTTTATCTCTCACCTCAATAAACAAATATTTTTATCTATAATTAAAATTCTCATTTTTTATAAATTTAGTTTATCTTAAATACAAATAAATAAATATATTTTGTTATTTATTTTTTATTTAAAATTTTATTATCTACAAAATGATACACATATTGCATATATTTTATTAAGATATAATATTTAAAATATTTATACACATATTTTAAATTTATTTTAATAATATATGTTAATTTTTATTTTAAATTTATAATAATAATAATCACATAAAAATAATATTTAAATTCAATAATATTAATTTAGTAAATTATATTACTTTAAATACCGTATCATTAATAAAACGAGCCAACTCGACCCCGACGGACATAGTATTTTATAACAAATATTGGTGTGTTTGTTTGGGAGTTTGGATTTTGAGTTGGGATTTAAATAATAAAAATTTTGAATTTGAATAATTGTATAATGTGATATAAATAGGTGTTAATGTGATTTTTGAATGAAAAATTAATTTTTAGTTTAATATAAAAAATAAAAAATAGATGTTTGATTTAATATTTTTGAGAAAAAAAAAAGAGATAAATAGTAGAAAATCCAATCCCCACACAAACATTAACTAATAAAAAGAATAGGCCTATCCATCATGCAATCAGATCCATTTGAGATTATTGACTAAAATTGATTTATAATAAATTAATAATTAATAATTAATAATACATCAATTTAAGGACATGTTTGGTTGAGTCTAAAAAGAATATACTATGGAATATTATTTTCAAATATTTTTAACCAAAAGAATATTATTTTCAAATATTTTTAACCAAAGATTTTGATCAAAACCTCAAACTAAATCCTTAAAGTCATATGTTCATATAATTTTGATAATAACAATGGCTTTTTAAAAAAATGGCCTAAGTCAAACCTTGGTTTAAAATTCTAGTCCTCAAACAAGTTTTGAAAATTACTATATTTTTATATTGTAGTAGTTTTTAAAACTCTTTGGATCTAAAATTATATACCTTTTCAAAACACTTAAAACATAAAAAAATAGTAGTTTCAAGAACTCTTACTTTCTTTCTCAACTAACTCGACATTAGTATAGAAAAATTATAGGAGTTCTCAAAACTACTATAATTGGTAATGTAAGAGGTTTAAAAACTTTTTTTTATGAAAAATAGTTATAGAAACTCTTCTATTGTTTATTATAGGAGTTGTGAGAACTTCTATATTTTTAATCTTAATTTACCTCACGGTTTTGCTGCATTTCAATTTTTCTATGTTAACTTCCTTCCTATTCATTCCTCAAGCAAAACTTTTGCTGAAGAGAAACATTTTCAGGTATTATTTGTTTGACTAAATTATTTTATAGTTTTCATATAATATTTTGTTTTATATTGTTGGTAGGAAATATTCTGTTTTGCATTGTATTTTCAGGTATTTATTGTTTAGTGATTGTTGTATTTTTGTTTGTAATTTTATAACATCTTAGGTGTTTTTTGGTATTATTTGTAAGATTTATATTGATATATTATTTAAATGCAGAATGTATTTATGTCTATTTGTTATTTTAATATTTTTATATATGGCTTATTTTTATAATATATTAATTTTATTCTAATGAATATTTATTTAATATATATTTTTTTACATAAACGGATGACGAGTAGTGGCCAGAGCAATATTGATATTCTGCTATTTTGGGATTGTAACATTATACGAAAGTCTGATACAATAGAATATGATTGTGATCCACAGTGTATGAAAGCCATTCGGCGGGATAGTACATTTGAACTACTGCAGTTAACTTAAAATTTTCCTCCACTGTCATCTGTTTCGATCTTTCTTTCAAATCGAAATATGTTTTCTACCACTTGTATAATGCTCGTTCATAAGCAAACAATTACAAAGTTTTTCACACACATCCTATTCATACCAAGAACTAATGAAATCAAAGGCTTATGTATCACTGTACCAATTGATGCACTAACCTTTAAATATATGTAGATGCCCAGTAGATGTCAATAGATGTTCACTCTTGAATATCTGTAAATCATCAAAAAAATAATTACAAAAAACTAATTATAAATCATGAAGAAAAGAACTGCCATAAAATCGAGAAAATTCATTCACATAAGATAGTATAAACATAAACATGGCAATAGAATATGCAATATTACAAAAATTAGAAATCATATATACCATAAAAAATTTAAATATGATAAATAAAAATTCTGAAAATTATATGATTATACAATAAGAAATAGTAAAAAATAAAATATAAATAAAAATAATAGGATAATACCTTATAAATCTAGATTGAAGCAACTTTTAAACTTTTTCAACAATCCGATAGGAAATCAGAGATATAAAAAGTTTAAAGAAAAGAGAATTGAGATTCAGACAAATTTATATGAAAACAAACAAAACACAAAAATTACAATCTCCGCCAATCAATATTTTCCAAACCAATAATCAAAACAAAATAGAACGAAAGAGAACAAAATTTTGAAAATCAATTACCATAGAAGAGCGGCACCAACAGCAATGACAGAGATTGGCAAAAGAAAATCGCAGAAAACTCACAGCGTCGCCCAAAAGAAACGTTGAGGAAGAATGAAGTTTAGGGCTTAAATGATATTTATTCTTATTTTTAATAAAAATATTTGTAATAGCTTTCAAAATTGGTTTGAGGGCTACAATTTTAAAACACGGTTTGACTTAGGCCATTTTCTTAAAAAGCCCCTTAGCATTTAACAAGTATATTAATTATTATTTTTTTTTGTTATATACTCCTTCTGTTTCAATTGAAATCATGTTTTTATTATTTTAATCTGCTCCACTTACAAGTAATTATTATTTTTATATAAATTATAAATATACACTTACGTATAAAGTTAATTATACATCAAGTCAAAAAATGCACAAATATCACAACATATTACAAATTTTTACTACTCTATAAAATACTAATATTTTTCAATTTCTATAAAAACTCAAAAAGATATTTTCGAGTAGGACGAAATGAGTATTTATCATATATTATATAAAAATATCAACTAAAAGTAAATATTACTCTCTTTCCGTCCCAAATACTTTTAAATATTTTTTTTTGGCGTATCTCAAATATATTACAATATTTTTGAAATAAAAAAATAATTAACAATATTTCATTTCATCACATGACCAAATATAAAAATAAATATACATTTTTTCTCTCAAAATCACTCAATTCTCGTCACATTGCTTAATTTCTAAATTATTCTATTTAGTACTATCAAACTAAATTTTTGTGTAAAAGATCGTACTTCTCCGTCCCTTAATAATATATTTATTTTTCTATTTTGGTTCATCTTATAAAAAAATATATTTTGTTTTTTAGATTGTACTATCTAATTAACATTACAAATACCCTTCCAATTTTAAATATATTACACAAATATCATTACATTTATATCATACAATACGTTAATTTAATTTTTTGACTTTTTTTTTTACTGTATTTTGATATAATACTAATATTTATAAAATTTCGTGCAAAAAATAAATATATATGGAACGGAGCTAGTATATTGTAAGATATATAGTGTGATTGTACATTATTTAACAGCCACCGGCCTATGACACATAGGTCCACTGACCACTAGTATATATATAGACACACAAGATACACATTAAATTCACTCTAAATTTCACATAAATTCACATGTAATGCAAATCCACATGCAAGTGAGTGCGGATTTGCTGATATGCACGGCAGTATTAGGGTTTCTCTGTTTGTTCCTCCTCCGGAGATTCCGCAGCGGCGACGGCGGGCGGCGGCTGCCGCCGGGGCCGAGGCCATGGCCGATCGTCGGAAACCTTCCTCAGCTGGGGCGTAAGCTTCACCAGTCGACGGCGGCGCTGGCGCGCGCGCACGGACCGCTCCTGCACCTGAAATTCGGACTCGTGCACGCGGTGGTGGTGACCTCGGCGGCGGCGGCGGAGCAGTTTCTGAAAGTTCACGACGCGAATTTCTCCAGCCGGCCGCCGAACGCCGGCGCGAAGTACATGGCGTATAACTACCAGGATCTGGTGTTCGCGCCGTACGGACCGAGGTGGAGGCTGCTTCGCAAAACCAGCTCGCTGCATCTCTTCTCCAACAAGGCGTTGGACGATTTCCGCCATATCCGACAGGTAATTATATATTTATCTCCTTCCGATCGATCCTCCATCTCCGATTAATTAATTTTCCGATCGTTCAACACAAAACAAACGATTTCGGTGAGTTCACTCAATAAAATATTTATTTATTTTATGTTTTTATTTGAAATATATATATGTGTGTTGTTTTATGGCAAATAATATTATTATTTTAATTTTCATATAAATATAGTAATATTGAGTAATAATTAAGAATAGTTGTGAAATACTAAAAAAGAAAATCAGATAATTGTTTTAAATATGACGAAAATGGAAAGGATAATTATTTTGGAATGTTTTGTAGGTTTTTTTTTTCTTCTTATTTTATATGTTATATATTATAATTTGAAGCGGTAATATGTTTTTCAATAGTAATTTTTTAAAAAAAAAAAAAAGTAGTAATGAAAATAATCAAAGTATATCATTATAAATTTAAATAATATAAATAATTATAAAAATATATAGTATTAAATTTTACTAAATCATTGTGAAGACTCGCCCAATTGCCATACTCCTGTATTAATAAGGTTGGTTTGTTTTTCTTGTTTGTTTGGTTGTTTTTTTTTTTTGAAAAGAAATAGGAAAAAGTTTTGGTATTTGATTGGATATTTTCATTAATAATCTCATGACTATAAAGAGCTATGAAAAATATTATTGTTATCTATATAGCAATTAAAATGAAATACAAAAAAAAAATAAAAATTCCATGATAATATTTGTAATAAATTAAAATTACTGTCATTTAATCTAAATTAAAGACGTAAAGTAGAAATATTTAGAATATTAAGCTGTCATTTTAAATAGTTACACATTGAATTGTTTCATAGCAAAAGATGTGATATGATATGGTCATAAAATTACTATTCATGATTTTAATTATCACAAAAATAAAATATGCAATAAAATTTTGCGAATAGTGTATAAATTTTTCATTTTCTTTTTATCTTCTTAGGAAGAGGTTGGAATCCTCGTTCGCACACTCGCAAACGTACAAGGAATCACGGCAAACTTAGGCGAAATGATTAACATATGCACGACAAATGCAATAGCTCGTATAATATTAGGACGACGGGTGGTTAGCCACAAATGTGGGGGCGGGGATGCCAAACCCGAGGAATTTAAATCTATGATGGTGGAGCTCATGGCGTTGTCGGGTGCTTTCACCATTGGTGATTTTATTCCACCGCTCGAGGGCTTGGACTTGCAAGGAGTGGCCGCTAAGATGAAGAAAATCCACTTGCGTTTCGACGCCTTCTTGACCAAAGTCCTCGAGGAACACAAGATGAACGGCTCGGATCATGTCGCAAAACACGAGAATCTCTTGAGCACGTTGATCTCTTTGAAAGATTCTGATAATGCCGAGGGAGACGGGCCTACCGACACCGAGATCAAAGCATTGCTTTTGGTAACTTTTCTTGCCTTCATGAATTTTTGTTTTCATTTAAGTTTAAAGTGTTTTAGACATTGTTATTTTTTTTACTATTCAATTTTTACAATTTTTTATATAAAAAAAATACTATTTTGTGAAAAATAAAAATGATATCTAAACTCCTATTGAAAAAAAAAAAATTAAAATAAAATCATATGAGTCACATCAAAATTGAATTATTTATGTATTGAAATAAGTCTTTCAAATTTATTGGTATGTAGGCCAACACTTGTTTTGTACCACACGAAAGTAAAGAAAGATGATAGGAATAAAGTAAGGACGATAAAAAATCAATCATTGATAAATAGTATTATTTTTTTTATTATTTTTTTTATATTTATAAATTTCATTAAAAAAAAATTATATAAAATATATTCATAAGAGAAAGAATATATAAACAAGAAAAACACGTATATAAAAAATATTTTATTTGATATTTATATAATTATTAATGATTTTATATCCAAAAATACTATAAAAAATTATTTATTTAATTACTTGTATTTTTTCGTGTAAAAAGTATTATACAATATGTCTAAGGGTCTTAAGTTTAATGGAGAGTTGATTAAAAGTGACAAATGCAAATACTATGCTAGTGTCGTTGTTTTATTTATTTATTTATTTATTTTTTCACTTGATATCTTAATTTTTGTAAAATATTTATTAGAATTAACATTTTCAAAAATATTTCATCAAATATACATTATTTTTCTACTTAGAATGGCTTTATTATCTAAATGTGTGAGTCGAACTAATTTGAGCAATTTCGATCAATGTAGAACCTCTTTATCGCCGGCACTGATACCACGTCGAGCACCGTGGAATGGGCTATAGCTGAACTAATCCGCAATCCAAATTTATTGGCGAGAGCCCAACAAGAACTCGACTCGGTTGTAGGAAAGAACCGTCTTGTGACCGAAGAGGACTTATCCCAATTAACATTCATGCAAGCCATAGTCAAAGAAAACTTTCGGCTCCATCCATCCGCCCCAATTTCTCTACCAAGAGTCGCACAAGAAAATTGTGAGATCAACGGGTACTTCATTCCAAAAGGCTCTATGCTTCTTGTCAACATTTGGGCCATATCCCGTGATCCTAATGCATGGATTGATCCACTAGAATTTAGACCTGAAAGGTTCTTGCCAGGTGGGGAAAGGCCCAATGTCGATGTCAAAGGTAAGAACTTTGAATTGATTCCATTTGGGGCGGGCCGGAGAATTTGTGTGGGGATGAACTTAGGTATACGCATGGTCCAATTTCTTACGGCGACATTGGTCCATGCTTTTGACTTCAAATTGAGCGATGGGCTGTCGCCAGATAAATTAAATATGGAGGAAGGTTGTGGGCTTACATTGCCACGGGCTGAACCGTTGATGGTTCACCCAAAACCAAGATTAACCTCTGATGTCTACAAAGCTTTATTGTAATATTCTTAGCTTTAAGTTTTCAAACTAAAACATATATATATATCTTTAAATTTGAGAAAGTATTGTATTTTAAAGTTTTTAATGTATATTAATCCTTTATATGTATCGATGAATAAGATACTATCGTTGTTTTAAGTTACCGTTTAGATGTTTACGATGATGGTTATATTTGGTGTTGGTTTTATATCAAAATCACTACAATATTATTTAATTTGTAAAATTTTCCACTAAAATATTATTTAAATCAAAACTAATATATATATATATATATATATATTCAAACACAAACCAATCACACTCATATTTTCTGTGACATTCAATATTTTAGAGTCATGGTTATTGTTATAATTAAAATTAATAAACACCATGATAGTGGCCGTTGAAATATAAGCTATTAATTCATAAAAATAGTGCAAAGATTTCAAAAAAAATCCATCTCGTATATTTAATTATTACTTTTATTTTTTTATTTATTTTATTGGTAAAATATATTCTACATATTTGCAAAAATTGTCATTTTTGTTTTTTAACCGCGTGTGATGTTCTTACAATGACTGTCCCACATGCGTCGGGTGATTTTTTCAAAATCATAATTTAATCTACTTAAATTACCTAATTTAACGAAATTCAATTCATATTCAAGTTATAAAAATTGTAAAATAGCTGAATATAATATAATACATTTTTCCTTTATTTAGGAAATTTAATTTATGATCAAGTTGGCATACTTAGCAAAAATCAAGGGACATTGTTTTGGTTCTTAGTTTAATTAGATCTCTTTATTTTATCCTAAATTTAAATCTGTAAAATCAAAATAAATCAGTGGTTCCGAAACATTAGTATGACATCCTAGAGTTGAATAGATATGAGTTGGGAAAAATGTGATATTTTTAAGGTTGAATAGAGATGAGTAAAGTTCAAATAAATTGATTAGACTATTCATATCGTTCCCGTGGGCCTGTCTACGATCTTAATACACTTAGTCTGCGTGGCTTGCCCGTTAGAGTGTTACAATTGGTATCACAACCGATCTACGATATCTCATAATCGTTAACCGGACTGTTAAGGGGCCTAGCAGTTGACCGATTCTTAGGGTAATATGATACTCCCGAGATTGAATAGAGTATGAATAGATTTTAAGTGATTAAATTACTTATATCAATAATGTGACATTTCTTTTCGAGACGATAAGTGATCATTGGGAGTCCGGATGATGCATACAGATATTATTACATATACATAGATGGACAAAAGATGCTAGTAAGAAACAATATCTGAAAAGAGAGCCTACAACACAACTACCATAAATTATACAACTAAGTATAAGTCATTTTGTCAGTTGTTTACGAGCTCGATCAAAACGCTTACCTTTTTTTTTTTAAAAAAAAATAAAATTTCTTCGTATCACAATTTAAAAATCTTTTGAAAAATTCAAAAAATACTACCTCCATAATCATAGGCCATTTATATTTTACATATGACAACATATATTTACAATATGGACAACATATTGATATCCTGTATACATCATATATTAATGCATCGTCAGGAAAACACAATATGCTTCGACGATATTGTAGAGTCACCGATTCTGATCCAAACTAGAGGTTCGGATGCTCATCGATTATGTGAACATAAAACCACGTCATGACATCCCGTCAATTATCAAAGTCGTGATAAATCCCTACTTTTGCCCCACGTTGAAATACTTTAGATATTCAATTTATTATTTAGATATTTAATTTATTGTTTATAGTAGATTTAGTTAATTTAGATTAAAGGGAGTGTATTCAATATAGATTTTGTAGGATTTTGTTGGACTTTCAAAATTTGGGTGTATTCAATCTAACACTTTTAAAAGTCTTTTAAAATCTAAAGGTATTCAATCCAAACTTTTAAAAGTCTTTTAAAAATCTTGAGGTATTTAATCATCCATAGACTTTGAAAGTCTATGGATTTTAATGGAAAATTGTGAAATTTTTGTATAGAAAAAAATTTCTCCTGATCATCACAGATTTCGATGGATTGTTAAAATTATTATTATTATTATTATTATTATTATTATTATTATTGTTGTTGTTGTTGTTGTTGTTATTGTTGTTGTTGTGATCAATAATATCATAATATTTAATACTATTATTATAATTTTTTATAAAAATAAAAATTTAAAATTAAAATATATTAGCAAATTATTATGAATTTTTTTTAAATATATATTTTTATATTATAAATATAATTTTAGAAAATATTATTATCACAATAAATATATATTATTGTCGTCTTTTCGTTTCAATTATTGAATACACTATATTATCATTTACGATAACGGTAAAATAGATATTTAAATATATATTTTTTGTTGAACCGTTAATTTATATTTATTTATTTATTTTAATATTTTTTTAAAAAAAATCGTAAATTATATTTTTTTATTTTATTTATATACGATATTTACTTTTTATGTAAAAATATTATATCAATAATAATAATAGTAACTAATAAAGTAATATAAAACTAATTTGATATATTGAATGATAATATAATACTAAAATTATAAAATTAAAATCAATAATTTAGAATAGTATTACAGATGTTAGAATACTTCTATATTATTAATACTTATATATTATTTATTAATATTAAATATTATTTTATTAATAATTATTTATTATATTTATAAAATTTGTTGTTTGATATAAATTTATATAATTAATATATATTCATAAAAAAATTATTTTACAATCCAATAAAATCCATATAAATCCATAAATAATTCAATCAAATCCGTAGAAATTCATCAAACTCAACCTAGACTCTGTGGATTTTCTAAATCCACGTAAATTCATAGACTTTTTCAAATAAAAAAAAAATCCATTAAAATCTCAATTGAATACACTCCCTAAGATTTGATAATATTTTTAATATAATTAAAAATAATAATAATATTTTTATAATATAATTTAAGTTGTAAGATTTGTTAAATATTAATTGGTACAAATTTACTTTTTTTATTTTTTCAAATGACTTATAGTGATTTTCTTTTGTCAAACTTTACCTAATTTGTACTCCCTCCGTCCCAGATACCATGTCTACGTTGCCGTTTCTGTCCGTCCCACATACCATATCACTTTCCTTTTTTTGGAAAATGATTACACACTTTAATCTCATTTTAAATTTTTTAATTTATTTTATTTTTTAATTTTAATTAAACTAATTAGTTATCTTAATCTTAATTTATAATTATTTATATTATAGGATAATTATTTTCATTAATACATTTTTAATTATCTACTAATTACACCCCTCCTAAAATACCGTATTTACAATGTAGCATACACTGTATTTGGGACGGAGGGAGTATTATTTACTAAAAAATTTTGTCCTAAATTTATTTATGGTAGACTTTGGCTTTAGGGTCTTGGTTTAGGTTTTAAGTTTAATTTGAATTGGAAAAATGAATTCTCAAGTCCGATTTTATTATTATTTTTTTTTGCTATTAATTTAGTATATATATACATATTTCGTCTCAATTCTATATATTCATTTCACTATTTTTGTTTGTGTCATTAAAAAATATTTATTTTTATTACAATAAAAATAATTTGTATATAAATACTAAATTACTTTTAATTTTTAAAAAATATTTATCTCATTTGTACAAAAAAAAAATATTAATATTATTTTACCCACTTTCACAGTAGAAACTATTACTTATTATTTAATCTATTGAAAAATAAATAAATGTATACTTTTAGTTGAAATAAAAGGAGAATATATATTTTATAAAAGAATATTATCTTAATTTGAATTTATTAAAATATTTATTATAATTTAGATATTTTATTACAAAAAATATATATTTAACTATGAAATTATTGTTAAAATTGAAAGCAAACATTTTCTTTCTTGAAAACTTTATGGAAAAATATAAGCACATGTCGACGTGGCCTCAGGAAATCCATGCAACAACGTGTGTGGTTAATACGATTGTCCAAATTTCGATTAAATAGTTAGAGGCGACACCGATCTTTATCAAATTAAATACTAATTAATAATTTCATTCTGTATTCGTTTACGGACATATGCGTTTACTTATTCTACCCCCAATAATGTATTGACCTTTTTTATTATTATTATTTTTTTTTTATATGGATCAATCACCACTCGTCATTTGTATTATTAAAATAAAAAAGAATAATACTCTCTTCGTTTTAAAATTATAGTCTGAGTTGTATTTAGCATGATATTTAATAAAAATTGATATTATATTGGTAGTGGATAAAAACTACATGTAAAAAACTTTTTTACCCTTACGAGTGTATTAGTGTAAAAAGTAGTGGCAGTTATGTAATAATAATGAAAAAGTAATGGTAGTTTTATAGTGATATGATTATTTATATAAATGAGACTTTTATTTTAGGATGGACAAAAATAGTAAACAAGACTATTGTATTGGGACGGAGGAAGTAAAATATAAAATTTAAAATAAAAAATTAATAAAATAAATTTAACAATACATATGACGGATGGTGATTGATCGATATAAGAGGGACTCAATACATTGGGGTAGGGTAACTGAACCACCGAGGAACCTATGTATATGCTTATTTGCTTTCAACTTTTTAGTTTTATTATTTCAATTTTAAATTTTAAGTTTGAATAGTATTTGAATATGATATTTTATAAAATATATATATATTTAGGTAAAATTGTATAAAACTCACATGTGATTTGACAAAATTGCGTCAAGTTTTTTATACTTAAAAAACTGCATCAAACTCCCTCGTGATTTCATAAACTCTCCGTCTAATCCCTTGACCATTCTTATTTAACGGTGTTTGATTTGCATGCGCTCAAACTGTGAATGAGTTTTAAAATTTTTATTTTTAAACCCTTAAAAATTAGAAATATACTAATTGTTCTTATATTTGGCCTAAAAACATAGTAAATATATTCAAAAATAGTTGTTTTCTTCGATAACTAATTTTTTTTTTTACAGTATATTGAGCCTAAATATAAAAAAAAATGAATATATTATGTATAATATTTTATAAATATGAGAAAACCTCGTGCAATTTCTAAATTATAAGAGTATGATATCGACTTTTGGGATTGGGCCAAGTGAGACTTATAAAATGTTGAATTTTCTTCGAATCTTTCAATGTGGGAATCCCAACAATTATCCCCTCATATATTCTATAGATCCGAGAGCAAGGGCTTCCCACCACCACAACCAATGTCCGCTACCATCCAGTCCACTTCATTGTCGGACCAGGCTCTGATACTATTGTGGGTTGAGTCCGCACGGATTTATTTTTAAATTTCCTCCAAAATGTCTCGTACTAGTAGAATTTATGTGAAATTTATAAAATGTTAAATTTTTTTCAAATCTTCCAAAGTGAAACTTAAATTTGCAATCCAACAGACACATTATTATTATTATTATTATTGGCGCAAATCATGTGTTTACCCAATCAAATCATCATAGTGCTATTTTAATGGAGTCAAGCATATCACTATATATTTTTGCATAAGCGTGTTATAAGATATTATATGTTGAATTATAACATAACATCCGATGAATTATAATATAAAATATACTGTATCATAAATATATTATGATAGTACTAATATATATTGAATACTTTTGATTTGATATGTTGATCTGATCAAATTAACACCAAATTAATTCGATCGAGTCAACATCAATCCGCAGCTTCTTCTTCTTATGATATTACAAAACAATATTGAAGAACAAAATTTATTTATTGAATGAGCAGTGTGCGACTGGCGGTTGCAACCACCACAGTGAATAGTAGAGAAAATTCATGGAACTGAATGTAGCCGCTAGATGTACCTAACGGCAGTACTCTTGGCGCCAAAAATTATAGGCGAGTCCTTCAGTAATAAATTAATTAGGTGTAACCGCCTTTCCGCTTCGTAGCACCGCCCTCTCCCCACGCCTCTCTAGGCTGTGTTTGTTTAAAGGTTTGGATTTTGAATCGGGATTTGAACAGTAAAAGTTTTGAATTTAAATAGTTGTATGATGTAATATAAATATGTGTTGATGTGATGTCTTAAATGTAAAATTGATTGTTAGTATAATATAAAAAATAAAAAATAGGTGTTTGATTTGATATTTTTTTTTTAAAAAAAAGAAATGAAATAGTATATTTAAAATCCAATCCCCAAACAAACACACCCTTGTAGTTTCTACATTTATTTATTTATTTATTTGTCTGCCCAAAAATATAAGACCACCTACAGTCGCATAATTCTTTGTGGCGCAAATATAAAATTTAAAAATATAAAAAAAAATATGGCTTAGGAGAATGAGAATGGATTCGTGACTGTAAAATCATATGTTCAAATTTCGATTTTTTTTTTTTTTTTTGAATCATGTCAAAATAAAATATATGGGCAAGCAAACCCACAATAAACAAACTTAAATTTAAATAAGTTTATGAACTTAAAATAGTAATACAATGATGAAATGAAATATTTATTCTAAGAATTAAGTTAATATTCCCTAGGAATTTTTGAATTTGATTGGAGATCCATTTACACAATGTAAAACTTATACATATTTAAAAATAAAATATTAATGTGCTTCATAAACTATAAAATAATTGTTGAAATTGTGGATTGCATTATGGAAAAGTTTGTCTTGTAACTGTTTGGTTAGAGACTTTTTATTATTATTATTATTAATATTTTTAAAAATGATAGAAACATGTAGTTGGATCTAATATAATAATTTGCAAATTAGACTAAAATAAACTACATTAAAAAATTTATGTGGAATAGATTTGACTAAAAAAATATCAATAGAATTTGAAGTTAGAAGTTTAAATCTATAATATTACAGTCATAATTTCACTTACTACATCAATTCCATCACTCTCTGTGACTAGAATTTATTAGTTACTTTTGTAGGAATATGAAAACAATGAAAGTTGTTTTTTTTTTTTTTTAATTATTATTATTTTCAAAGAAATTAGTTTCAATTTTTTCACTGTATAATCATTATAATTTTATATAAAAAAATACAATATATATATCGTAGAACATTATAGGGAAAGTATTATTCAAACAAAATAATAGAAAACCCTGATAAAGAATGTACCATCAATCATAAATTGAGCCCCAAATGGACATTTAAGTAGTCACCTATTTTCAACTTTACAATTGAATAGCAATCCTATATGTTTAATTGTCCTCTTAATTAAATAAGTGAAATAATTTCTCTTGTACTCCCATAAGATTCATATGGATAAATTATTGAGAATATACTTAAGGGATGTCAAACGGTGCAGGTTAGCTAGGACCCGCCCTGGACCTTATCTTAGTGGAGAGGATGTTGTTACACATTCAAGATCAATATGTCATATATATATATGTATATATACAAGAAACACACGAATTAAACCAAAGAACTTAAAGAATTTTTTATTAAACGAGAGCAAATGCTCGGACTCAGTTTACCCAATCTAATATCGATCCCAACACCTACTGTAATGCACAATAACGACCCAAACACAACCGGCATCCACGGAAACGCAACAAACATGCGAACCAAATCACGATCTAACGAAAACATCAACGATTTAAGCATAACTCTTTGCAACAGACAATCTAATCAATATACTGTAAATGAATGCTCGAAATCATAAATCAAAATGAGGAACAGCCTCAGCCCAGGCTGTTTACCGAAGTACTCGGTCGAACCAGTCGAATCGTCGGACAAATCACCAGAGAAGACCCAAGAAGATCGCTGAAAAACGTCGTCGCAATTAGGGCTTTTCAGAGGGAGGATTTGAGAGTCGGGGAGAGAGAATGCGAGAGTGAGAGTGAGAGTCTGTGTGTCACACAAACCGGCCCCCCCTGCCCCTTTACATATAAGCCACTGAACCGGACCGGGTTCGGTTCAGCTGTGGACCGCCGGTTTCACAGAAGACCGGATCTGGTTCGGGTTACTGGATCCGGGTTTCAGATTGTGCGGTTTTGTGTATTACCGGCCTCACTTGTCGTTGGCCAAAAATAACTCCACAGAGGGTTCGGATCTAAAAAAATTTGGTTCTGGGCGGGTTACGGATTTTGAATTTTAAATCCAGCTGGATTCGGTGCGGATTATGAGATTTACTATAAACCCGTCCTATCCTGGACCCGGGTCTGAACCCGGATAATTAATAGTTATTATGATCTATTTATATTTTTATATAATATAAATTATATTATTTAAAAATTTTAAATATAAAATACAACCTTAATTCTAAATCAAATTTATTTTCGGATTTGTTTCTTCTACAATTCTCTTTATAATTGGGACTACTGCTGACCGTCATCGCTACGAACTATTGTCAATATTTGATTGTTCTTATTTTTAAAACTATAATTTTTGGGTACTTTAACGCATATTTTTTTTAGTATTAAATAATTTTTTAAAAAAATTATTTTATTTTTTTCTTAAAAAAAAAAAACAGATTTGTCGGGTTGGACCCGAACCCGGAGGGTTCAGAGCGCTACGGTCCTAGAGCCGGGTTGAAGTGGGGCGGGGCGGATCTTGAGTCCTAATATTTTCTAGCGGGACGGATCCCGGGGCCTGCAAAACCGGTCCCGTTGACATCCCTAAATAAACTCATAGTTAAAATAGTTGTATTTGTATTAGATATGCAAGAATTATAGCACATGCTTATATTCAATATTATAAAATGAAAATAAAATATAAGCAAAACAATTCTACTTCCAGACATCTAAATTTATGCTTACCGGACACGATTTTAAGAAAATAGGTTAAAAAAAATAAATTGTAATTTAAATGACAAACGAAAAAAAAAAAGAAAATTGAACATAAATAAGGGAGGCATAAGCAACTCTATTTGCACATTTTTTAAAATCATTGTTCATTCATAGTAATTTTAAAATGTCAACGGTATTTTTTTTTATAACGTGGGAATCTGTAATCGCTATCCAAAAGTGCGCACTGTATAACATAACACATAAATAATTATTTATATAAGTATAATTTTTTCTTAGCGGCGTCTACCGTGGTGTGCTGTTTGAGAACACAATATTATTACAGGCATGGTATTGTATATGTTAATATAATATAAATACAACACATATGAATAAAGAATACATGTTATAATCTCAACACCACACATTAATACTACAGACAACACATTGTATATGTTAATATAATACATATACAACACATGAACTAACAGTACATATTATAGTTTCGTACAACACATATAATACAACACACTTATTATTATTAAAAAATAGCACATATCTTTATTATTATAACAATCTGTGATGTGTATAATAAGAATGTGTGTTGTTTATATATATATATATAGTATGATTTGAAAAATCATTATAGTGCTGCCATCCCCTTTTTTCTTATATTGATATTATATCAAATATTTAATTTTTTATTATTCAAAATTTCCCAAAAATCCAAACCTTCATTTTAAATGGAGCCAAACTTTACTATTATTATAAATTTCTCAATTTTTTTCCCAAGAATTCCAAAACTCGTATAAAAAATAAAAACAAAAAAAAAAAACAAAAAAGAATAGCTGAGTTTAAATGCGGTCTGTGTATTGCATACGTGTAGGCATAATTTAGGTTCCTTAAAATTAAATAAAAAATTAAAATTAAAATCGACTTGCATTATATATATACGCACACACCGTTTCATAGTAGAACTACCCACCGCAGTGGAAGCTCAGTATTAAAATTAAATTCATTCCAAATTCCAGATAAATTTACATGTAATGCAAATGCAAATGCACATGCAAGTGAGTGCGGATGTGCTGATATGCACTGCGTTATTAGGGTTTCTCTGTTTGTTCCTCCTCCGGAGGTTCCACGGCGGCGATAGGGGGCGGCGGCTGCCGCCAGGGCCGAAGCCATGGCCGATCGTCGGAAACCTGCCTCATCTAGGACCAAAGCCTCATCAATCGACGGCGGCGCTGGCGCGCGTGCACGGACCGCTCCTGCACCTCAAATTAGGATTCGTACACGTGGTAGTGGCGGCGTCCGCCGCCGCGGCGGAGAAGTTTCTGAAAGTGCACGACGCCAATTTCTCGAGCCGGCCGCCGAACGCCGGCGCGAAGTACGTGGCGTATAACTACCAGGATCTGGTGTTCGCGCCGTACGGACCGAGGTGGAGGTTGCTTCGCAAAATCTGCTCGCTGCATCTCTTCTCCAACAAGGCGTTGGACGATTTCCGCCATATCCGACAGGTAATTAGCTAGCTCCTTCCGATCCTCCATTTCCGATTAATTAATCTTCCGATCGTTCGATTAGCCGGTAATTTTGCAAAACCTAATTGAATTTGAATTCAAAAATTGAAATTACTCTTCCATGCTTATTGTGTGAATACGTACGACGTACCTACCTGATCATTTGCGTGAACTGGGGGTTGAGAAACGTGACCAGTAACAAACAGTCATAGTAGTCAAGAATTCACTTCGAACCAATTTTATTTTTAACTTCTTCTGCTTTCGAATCAGTTGTCACAGATCTGCATTAAAGTTTGGTGATGTTGATGGTTACTTGAATGATCTTCGACACACAAAGCACCAGATGGCATCAATGAATGGTGATGTCCACAAATCTGGTGCTGTTTTCGTCTGTTATACTTACTCAACCCAAGAAAAAAAAGTACTTCCCACCGTGTTATAAATTTATACTCATTTTATTGAGTACGAGTTTTAAAAATAAATAAATAAAAAAAAAAAATCTTTTTATGGTAAAAAAAATTTAAAAAAAAATGAAATAAGAATAAATTTGAATGAAAAAAAAAAAATTGAATAACAGATAAAATATTTGTTATTTTGATTTTGTTTGTCAGTTACATATATCTATATCTACATGTACATCTACATCGATATATATATATATATAGATATTCATTCCTCATAAAGAATATTTTATAATTTTATATATTTATAACAATAACACAATATTTCAAAACATAAAAACATAAGAGTACTACTTTTACACATTAAATATTACTCTCCCTATTATAAAAAATTATGTCCATTTGTCTAGTAAAGAATGTCCGGTGGTAGTATAAGATGGAGTCGTGACCGTGAGATTATGAGTTTAAACTCTCATGTCTCATTGTTGATTTATGTTTTATAATATCCAAAAATAATAATAATAATTTAACAATTCAAAACAAGATTTTATTTTTTTAATATTACTAATACATTTTTCCAAACCTAATATAAAGAACACTTTTTCACTCTTAAGAAGTTTGTAGTAAAAAGTTAGATATTTGATATAATATTTTGTAAGAAAAAATATCTGATGTATTAATTGTCATGTTCTTTTATAAAAAATATTAATATTGATGAATAGTATCGAAACTTTTAAAAAGGTATATATATAAATAAAGTCTAATATCCTTTATAATTTTTGTCAATTTTTTGGATTTGTAGGAAGAGGTAGGAATCCTCATCCGCGCTCTTGCAAACGTACAAGGAACCCCGGCATACTTAGGCCAAATGATTAATGTGTGCGCAACAAATGCAATAGCCCGTGTAATGTTAGGGCGACGAGTGGTTAGCCACAAATGCGGGGGCGTGGATGCCAAAGCTGAGGAATTTAAAGCCATGGTGGTCGAGCTCATGGCATTGTCGGGTGTTTTTAACATTGGTGATTTTATACCACCGCTCGAAGGCTTGGACTTGCAAGGAGTGGCCGCTAAGATGAAGAAACTCCACTTGCGTTTCGACGCATTCTTGGCCAAAATACTTGACGAGCACAAGATGAATGACTCTAATCATGTTACAAGACATGCCGATCTCTTGAGCACGTTGATCTCTTTGAAAGATTCTGGTAATGCCGAGGGAGGCGGGCTTACCGACACCGAGATCAAAGCATTGCTTTTGGTAAGTTTTCTTGCCTTCGGAATCATCGTTATAATGTAAAGTTGGGTATCTTTGGCGTTGTGAAAATTTTTTAAGAAAAAATATGTTCTTTTCTTTAAAAAAAAAAGTTAAACATCACATTAAGTCGAAATTACTAGTAAAAATGTCTCATATTTAGTAACGTCACAATTGAATTATTGACGCTTTGGAATAATATCATCCAATTTCTTTATTAATTTACTTGTAAAATTTTGGTTTTGAATAGTAAAATTTTGAATTAAAATAATTATGTGATGTGATATAAATATGTATTAATGTAATGTTTCGAATGTAAAAATTAATTTTAGTGTAATATAATAAATTAAAAAATAAGTGATTAAATTGATATTTTTGGAGAGAAAAAAAATTGAAGTAGTAAAAGAGAAAACATAAACAAACTCTCATATGTTACTTTTTCTATACATGTGTTTCTTGAATGCAAATGGACTTTAGTGCAGACTGATTGAAAGTGGCAAATGCAAATAATATGCCATCGTGTAGTGCTCATTTTCTCATGTGTTTTTTTCAGTCGATTTTTTAGTTTAAATAAAAAAGATTGTATATATATATATATATATATATTTCTTTTTCCTACTTATAATGATTGTATCATCTAAATGTGTGAGTCGAGCTAATGGGAGCAATTTTGATCAATGCAGAACCTCTTTACTGCTGGGACCGATACGACATCGAGCACTGTGGAATGGGCTATAGCCGAACTAATCCGCAATCCAAAAATATTGGCGAAAGCTCAACAAGAACTCGATGCGGTTGTAGGAAAGGACCGTCTTGTGACTGAAGATGACTTATCCCAATTAACATTCCTCCAAGCCATAGTCAAGGAAAACTTTCGGCTCCACCCATCAACCCCGCTTTCTCTTCCAAGAATTTCGCAAGAAGATTGTGATATCAACGGATACTTCATCCCAAAAGGCTCTACGCTTCTCGTAAATGTTTGGGCCATAGCTCGCGATCCTAATGCATGGGTCGATCCACTAGAATTTCGGCCCCAAAGATTTTTGCCAGGCGGAGAAAGGCCTAATGCCGATGTAAAAGGTAATGACTTTGAATTGATCCCTTTTGGGGCCGGCCGAAGAATTTGTGTGGGGATGAGCTTAGGGATACGTATGATCCAATTGCTTACGGCAACACTGGTTCATGCTTTCGACTTTGAATTGGGTGATGGGCTATTGCCGGAAAAGTTGAACATGGAGGAGGCTTATGGACTTACATTGCAACGGGCTGAACCGTTGATGATTTACCCGAAACCTAGATTACCCTCTCATCTTTACAAAGATATATTATAATTATCTTAAATTTAAATTTTAGAATCAAAATTTAATAATAAAAAAAAAAGTTTCAACTTTGATAAAGTATTGTATTTTCTAAGTTCTTAATGTATTAATCTTTTTGCGTATCTTATTGTTGTCTTTAATATATTTGAGTTATTTTCTTGTGACATTCAATATTTTAGCTAATATTACTAAGTGTAAATGTAATACTTCGGAGTAATTATGTTGTATTAATTTAGATAAAATAAAAAATAAAAACAAATCACTTGTGACATGTGATAAATGTAAAAAACAAACAGGCAAAAATACACCATATAAGTATATTTGGTTTTAAGTTTGGAGTTAGTGGAAGTTAGGTTTTAAATAATGAATATTGTATAATTGTAAGTTAAATATATATTGGATTAAAATTAAATTTAAACTATATTTTTAAGATTTTTAAAAATAATATATAATAAAATATATTTATTGTGAATATTATAATATAAAGAATAAAAATTTTAACACAACCCTTTCAGTAAATTTTAAGGGACCTAAAGGCTAATATAAATATATGTGCGTGTGGATGTAGCAGAAATCCAGAAGCCATACAATAGACTTTCAAGATTCCAGAAATCCACAAACAACTCCATCGTCTCTGCAATCTCCATAGCCCAAGGTTTTGGCCAGTTTGTGTACTTGAATTTGACGATCGGTGAGTCTCCGAACGGTTTGTTTGGATTTATGTCGGTTCTGTAATTCGGTTGAATTCGACGGATGCCAAACCCTAACATAACCCTCCCGATCGGTTCGCCGCAAAACACATCGGATTCTCCAGTTGGAGGACAAATTGCGAGCATTTCAGAATGGCAGAGCTCCGCAGGCGCTTCTTGTGGCGGATTTTGGCGCGACGCTGCTCTGATTTTATCTTCCGCTTTGTTGGTGCTGTACTTAGGGTTCCAGGCGAGGCGCAATGTTAGGAAGCTCAGCCACCGCAAGTCTTATGTTATGATTGCGTATTATGCTCTTCTTTGGGTCTCGGCGCTTCTGAATTTGTCGTGGTCTCTTCTCCAGGTAGAATATGCTGTTGTATGTGTTTGTTTCTCTTTCACGGATTTTGGCTATGCTTGTTTGAAAATTGAAGGATTAAACATATGCTTATACTGTGAATTTCTTAGAATTTGAGGAATTTATCGTTTATTTGGCTGTTTGATTGTAAATGGACTTCTTTCATATTTGAATCGTGTTTTAGATTATGATTTCTGATTCTGACTTTTGAGGAACTGTTGTATATGCAGGATTGAGGTTTTTTTTTTTTTACGTTCCGATGAATTTTGAGTTTCTCTGATGATCTGTTGCATTTCTTGATGAGTTCTGTATTTTGCATATTTATGAATGTATTGGTGAATGGTATTTGCAAATTTGGGAGTTTTGAAAAAATTTGGGAATAATAAAAAGATAACATTTGAAGAAATGTTATGTGAGAGAAAATTGTATTTGATGTATGATCTTGAAAAAATTTTACTGTTGATAAATAGTGTTGAAAGTTCTAAAAATGTCTATGTAAATAGAGCTCAAATTATTCTGTATAAAACTGCATTGAAATTCAACTAGCTGCCTTTGCTGAAAATGTTTTTAAAGATAAACATTTTCTTGTATCTATATATCGTATCTTTTTATCTTGTTTGCGCAATTTCGGCCTATTCTTTGATTGGGATTACCGAACCTTTTCATAGGGAAAAAAAAAAGAACCTGCTGTATGAAGGTTGATATATGGCTACTATCATAACATATCTATTGCTTTTTCGATGAAAAATCAGGGATGGCAATGCGCATCTGGAAAGGCAGTTGCATGGAATGTATTGTCGTTATTCACAGAATGCGGAATGCTAACCTTAGAAATTAGCATAGTGGGATTCCTACTTCAAGAAAATTATGCAAGCGGATTGGATGCCCTGGCGCACACTTTTGTAATTTCAGGTTCCTTTGTAGCTGTTGATATACTTGTCCAGGTATTCGATTTGCTCTTCCCCAATAGCTTCTATAAGTATCTATAAAATTTCTATACAAAATATTACATCTAACCAATATTTCACTCAAAATTGGAAGTACAAAAACACACGCACGAAAACACCAAAAGAACAAACCTAAAGTTAGGGGAGTTCTTTATCTGATGAATTTAGAACTGCTTTAATATTTGCGATGAATTAACATTATTTCATGTGTATTCTACGACAATATGAGATTATGTTTTGTCTGTATGCAGGCAATCCTTATATTCGGATTTGGAGTACCTCTGTTAATTAGTGCAAACGGTGCGCAATGGGGAAAGTGGAGCATATTGTTTATGCATGCTTTGGTGCTCACATCAGTTTATTGCTACATACTGTTCGTTCACTATTCGAAATGGAGAGATAAGCTGCCGCGTGAGTCTTGGCATATTGTGTTTATTTATTTATTTATTTTAACTTTTCGTTTGACCGCTGCCTTGGGGATCGAATGCTTACAAAATTCACAAAATGCAGCCAGGCCATCGTTCTACAACTATGTCGTCGTCATGTTCATATTAAACATTGTAGATTTGTTTGCCTGTGGAATGGCTGGAATCGGTTTCGGCTTTGGACTTTGGTATTTCTTATCTTGAGCTATCTATTTAATGAGATACTTAATTTACTATCCTATTGGAGTATTGACACCGAGTAATGGCTTGCTGACTGTCAGGTTGTACGATTTTGTACTGATATGTCGACACTCTCTGTACCTCCCTTTCCTATATGTAACTTTCTTGTCCGATTTCTTCCAGGTAATTCATGTCGTATTACTACTCTATTTATAGTATTGAATGATTTTGCTGCATGGGTAATAAACGTTTGAGTCTTTTGCAGGAGGAAGATTGGCTTTTGGATAATGCATATTACTCGGAAATGAAAGATGCTGGTTTCTTTGATACGGATTGGGAATAGACAACTTCGTCAAATTGGAATAGGATGCGACACAGATGTATGTAAAGCGTTATTATTATTATGTAGTATGCCGTAGTACTGTACATCCGTTGTGATCTGATAACAGTAGCAATAGTAATAGAGTTTGAATTGCGTGTTGAAAGTCATTTTAGTGTTGTGCTGTTGAACTAAATAAAAATTTTACCAAACGGCATGAGAAATGTGCTCGTAAAAATAATACACTATATCGACGCAATTGCACAATGTTTGTGTGATGAGTATATTCAGTGTCAAAAATTGATTGAATTATTGTGTAGCTATCACATTGTACAAGCTTAAATACTATGTAGTGTCTGAATATTAATGTTTAAAACAAAGATGGATAATTACAACTCTCCATTTGCATTGCCTGACACACGATTAAACAAGCTTTTCGATAGAGTGCTCTTGCTCGAAACCAATATAGCAATCCGACACGATGAGCAGCTTCATACCCTGTGAATTGCAAAATATATATATATATATGTGTATGTATAATTGAGTTAAAAGGTATGAGAAACTTGTATGTAAAGACGACAAGTGCTTGCTGATAATTACCTGGAAGTTGTGCACATCTGCTGGTATTTCGATTTTTGTCTGCAAAGTGTCTTTGAATGTTACTCGCTTTAATGCATACAGTTGAGACGTAGAGGTATTGCCAAGGACCAGCCACCAGGCCTCGTCTTTTACCTGTTTTTAAAAACTTATCAGCCTTTACTGAACTTGAGGAATAATCAAACATGGCAGTAGAAGACGAGGCTAACCTTAGGAAAGCGAGGAGCAAACGCTCTTGATGTTCTCTTACGTCTGTTCATGTTTTCCAGCCTGATGTTTAGAATAACACCAGGGTTCTCGCCAGTGTTCCGTTTCTGAAGTTTTAACCGCGCTTGTATGATAGGAAATTGTTGCAGTTCCTGCGAATGTTTAAAAGTGTACACATACATACATGAGTAGGAAATTCGAGCAGTGAGTGAATTACAATAATATGATAAAATTACAAATACCCTTTCCTGCATTGATCATCACTGAACTTGGCAAAAAATAGTGAAAGAGCTACTTTTTATGCGGAAAAAAATGAATGTTAATGTTGAAATCAATATAAAGAAGCAGATGATGATACCTCGTTAAGCCGCGAGGCAGCGGAATTTCTAGTGAGATTCTGCAGAGTTGATTGAGGAAGATTTTGTAACTGCTGGACATTTGTGATTCCTTTTTGGTGCAAAGTAGCAATAAGATCATCCGTTGCGGATGGCATCATCCGTAAGGGTGAATCTACATCAGCCCACAAACCCTACAGCATAACATAACAAAATTAACACATCGGGAAAAAAAATTAAAAACCACATAGAACAATACATGAATGTGTTCTAGATGATTTCCCATACTCCAAGAAAAAGAATATAAGAAGGATTAGAGAAGCTAATAAAATCACTTGTGATGACTGGCAGATAATAGGATTCGAAATTTACCTGCATGACCATTTGTAGGAGATGCATACAAGTAATGGTACTAGAGAGCCATCCGCTATTTGCGCACAGGTCTATCATTGCTTGGACAATACGGATACTTTGATCCAACACTGATTTCAAATCTGTGACATAATCAGTAATTGGTAGTTCAACTTGGGAGAAGTGTGCCTGTATCACATTTAAATAAAAGTTAAAACCATAGCCACATCCTAAACTTTACCAATTATCATATCAACACAATATTTGCTAATATAATCTAAAGGAATATGAAGTGCTATAGTCAAAAGCTCCATATAGTGGAGTTTATGAGTAGCAGACAAAGATGACACTGACCTGAAAAAGAAGATTTGCCTTCACATGGGGATCATCAAGAAGATTCTTGTCAACCATGTAGCGAACCTTCTGAGCCAATTCGGCATTATGATTTTCCTAAACAGTAGATACAAGAAAAAGTTGCAGTGAGAGCTTACCATTAGTTATAAAAGCAAAAAATATCTATCGAGAAGAGTACATTATGAAGGAAGCTCTGCTGCTCACAGAATTGAAAATGTTAATATTAACTAGTGAATCACATAGAATTCACAAATATTCGATTTACTTAACAATGACTGATGCACATTATTTACGGATGAATAATTCACAACCAATACGGAATTTTAAAAGCATAAAAAAAAAAAAGAAAAAAGAAAAGACTAGTAGTAATAATCTTAGATAGCAGCATCAGCCATTAAAGTTGCAAACTTAATAAAATACTTTGCAGGTGACACATCTTTAGTTGATACTGTAACTTTAAAACGCTATTTGAGGATGCAACTCTAATGCGAACAAGTATATATAACTGCCAAGATGGTTAGTAATTCAAAATGCATTTATTAATGAAGACACCTTGATGCCTAGATAATCAACTTGTGCTATGAAATATAAGGTCCTGGACTCACTTCATTGTGCCGCACAGGAAGTTCATCATATTCAGAAGCACCTGCTAAAATATGGAGGAAAACCTGAAGCAGAAAATGTCACAAGTACAGAATCAAAACAACTATGTAAAGGAAAGACAACAGTAATGGAAAATTGGCTTTAAGATGGTGGTTAACTAACTTCAAGTGATGTGTCTTCTTCTATATTTGAAGCAAACATTGATACAGTAGTGTATTTTAGATAATACTGAGATGCTATTGAACCCAACATCATGGGCTCTACCCGGTCTTCATCAATTTTGATGCAACCACTGTCTTCAAGATCTTCAAATGTGCTCAGCACTAAGCTGTAAATATATATATATATATATATATATTAATGAGTTTTGGAAATGACAAGTAGGAAAAATTGATAGAAGCACTTCAGAAATTTTTACCACCTTGACAAGAATGAACTCAAAGTTTCAGGATCTGAGCCCTCTAAACCATAATAAGCTGGGTTAACCACCTATTCAGAAAAAAGGACTGAGAGCTTTAGCAATTGTACAACAACGAGATGCATGTACAATAAAGTTAGCTATATGTAACAATTCGAAACTAAAAACAAGAAACATATAAGGGAATGATGACTTAAGACGACAGACAACATGCCACCAAGAAGGATCAATCTCATGTATCAATACAGTCAATTCATTGAGTTGTCTTTGATCTATTTGTTCATGCATCAAATTTGTACGCTCCAGGATAAGCAGTATCTTCGGATCAATTTCTTTACATCACTGTTCTATCAGACATGCTACAGTTTTTAGGACATAAATGGGCCAGTTTGAGTCAGCTTTAAGTAGTGTTATGCATGGAAAAATGCAACATTTGTATTAACTTTTAAGATAATGCAAATAAGATACTAATGCTATAATGTATGTTCAATTCAATGGCTAAGAAGCTGTAAGACAGGAGTTACAAGACAGTAAACTGATTCATATTCAAGTGTCAGAATGTTATCAATCTTACCAATCTACGGAACAAATAAGTCCAGGTGAGATAATGAATTGCATCCTGCTTATGACAAATTGTTCTTGAAACTATTTCTGCATTGAAGTTATCATGCAGTTGCTCTCTCAGGCTACTTTCAACTGGAAATGGTTCATAGAGGAACTGAAAAAGAGAAGGCAAAAAGCTCATATTGCTTAATGTATAAAGATAATATGAAATGGCAAACAAGGAATGACCTCTTTTCAGACCTTCTTATAGAAACTCTTTTTAGGCTCATGTACAAGAATGATAGCTTTTCCATGCTGATCAAACTGAGGCCGTCCTGCTCGACCCATCATTTGTAAGATGTCGGTGATCGGAAAATCAACATATCTTTTAGCTTTTCCATCATAATATTCTGTGCCCTGATTAAAGGACACACCAAAATACATTATGTCTTCAAATCTTGAAAATTGGAATAAGTATAAAAATATTTCCAAATCTCAATGTAATAAAAAAAAGTTTCTTGCCACTTGTTGATAAGAAGGGCCAAGTGAATGATGAAAAGTTTGGCCATAGATCTCTTAAGAGAATGGAAGCTCCACTATTTATCCTTTAGCCATGAAGAAACGAGTAATTCGTTTCACATACCAACATACCCAGATATTTTGAAATTAGTAAATCCATATTCTAATGAGAAATTCTTTTTGTGGCATTCATGGATTTTACTTGTATTACCCTGACATCAAAATGACTAAGAATGCATAAATATCAACTGTCACCAACAGAAACTAGACATTTTTGTTTATGGAAAGAGAATACTAGATATTATAGGAGATGAGTTTTACAATCAAAGATAAAGACATAGGGAGAAAGATAGGCAGACTAATACAGTATAGTTCTGGGAACATAGGGAGAAACTGGACACCTGAAAGTATGTAAAACTGTATAGGTGTGTCATTTTCAGTTTTTTCACTTTTAACAGTTTCCCTTTTTTTTGAAGGAAAAAGTAGTTAAGTATAATTTAGACTGTAACTTTACATTAGGAAAATCATGAGGATAGCATACTGGATTTAAACAATAAGCAAATGAAAAGTAATAGTCAATCGCAGACGTGGAAAGAATACAGATATACGAAGCTCTTGGCAATTTGAACTGACCTTTATGATCACTAAATGAGCTGGAAGGTTCACACCCCACGCTAGTGTACTTGTGCACACCAGTATCTGAAAGGAAAGACACAGTGCATTATCACAAGGAGTAAAACATTTCAACTGAAGTAAATATACTAGAAACTAATTTTATACTCATGAAAGTGAAACCACTAAAAGATAATTGCCTGAATCTTGTTGTTAGCAAACAGTTCCTCAACAAGAGATCTATCTTTATCATTGAGTCCTGCATGGTGCAAACCAATACCAAACTGCAGTGTGTGTCTAAGGTTCTGGTCAGTTACTTGAGATAGAATCATTTGAAGTGATTCTTCAGGTATAGCAAGGAACTGTCGGGGGTGCTCATCTGAAGCTGCATACTACAGTTACAGAAAGAAAAGATGAGCAAGTGGTTTAAGGAACAACCAACATAGAGGGAGCATGACATTGATTCAGACCTGAATGAGATCCAAGGCAGTAAGTCTAGTCTGGCGACGTGATGAAACAAATATAAGAACTGGTTTTGTGGGTGAATGGGTGCATATAGCAGCATAAGCAGGTTTGTTCATGCTATTCATTCTTGGGCAGTAAAACTTTCCAGGATATCCCTGATTATAGAAAAAAAAAAATTACTTTCATACCACTTACAAAATAACTTTAGTTATCATGGAGAATTATCAAGAAAAATATAGGAAAGGATGCCAATCTAGAAGTTCAAACAAAATTTAGCTTAGCTGTGCAAATCATCCAGCGTACACAAATAAGCAGAATTTCTGGTTATCATCTTATGAGCTATGATATTAATATATGCGAGGATAAATAAATTAGGTTGATCTAAAGCCACCATAAATAAGCTGTTAGAATTCAGATGCATTTGTTGGACATTCAAGACAAATGAAGTGAGCACCTTCCAATTACCAAGGCTCAGTTTTGTACATTGTTTCATTTATTACATAAAACTGTAGGTTAATTCATAAGAGAAATTCCAACCAGGATGGAATAATGATGAAAAATTGGCTGAATGCGCTATTGCCCCAGAAGAAAGTCAGGTTGATGGGATCAATTGCTACCAACAATACAAAGTACATTATACTGAACTTGAACTAATACTGCAAGAAGACACATATGCCCTTTTCCATGTTTAATACCAGACCAAGGGTCAAGATGATGATTTCTCAGCAAATTGTGTGGTTATAGAAAAAAAGAAGGTATAAAGGAAGAGTGTATTGCTTGCCTGGATGTGAACTTCAAGTGGAACAGGTCTGACACTAGGTTTGAAATTGAAGAGACCATTTTCTTCAACACCCAGCCAATCAGCTAAATCACTGGAAGGACATCAAAAACCATGAGTGATTACCATAGGAAAAAAGAAAAATATAAACAAAAAAAAAGATTGGCATGCATGGGTCATGGCATATGATACAAGTAGTTACTTTAAATGATGCATCAACACAAACAAGGAACATGAGAAATATACTATAACGTCTGCCTCCACTGTCCTATAACACTAGAGGTTATAATAAAAAATTAAGTATGCATTGTTCTATATAAAATAACTGAAGATCCTAAAATGCTTTTTAATGTTTTACCTTCCCACATCAAGATGATTAAGTGAATGAATCCTTTCTTGGTTAAATCAAGTTGATTTACAACAAGTTTTTCTTCATTTTTAGTAACTGACATTTTTATCTTCATCTAGCCCCTTTATACAAATCTCAATTGATCCCATCAACATATGTATCTTGACTTTCTTGAAACAAAGTTGCAATTTTTTGAAATTTATTATACAACAATTAGGCATAGACTAGAAGACTGTGCACTTAATATCAGGGGGAAATAAGTTATTCATTTGCAGAAATTTCAACGCTTCCCCACAATCGACTGCCATTGTAAGGTCAGCAGCACACAAAAACTGCACCAAAGTACCAAGCACATACTTGCAAAAGTTCTGATAGTAATAACTTACTTTGCATTTGCCAAAGCTGTCGAAAGACCGATAAATCGAACAGGGCGCTCTGTCTGTGATGATATATATCTCATCCGAGATACAATAACCTATGAACAAGATTTTTTTGATAGATGTAGAGAATCAATTGACTTTAGCAAATGCAGGCATTAAACAAGATCTACAATAAACAAATTCTACTTTTAAAAAGAAAAAGAACACACACATACAATAAGCATTAGAATATGAAAGTGCAGATATGATCCTTATCATATGGACACTTTTCCTACCAAATCGAAGACAACTACTGGCCAATTGCATAAAATTCCCAAGATTTGCAATAGATAATGGAAAACAATGAAGATTTCTACCAACAGAGATTACTCGAATAATATCAGAAATCTCCTTCATATACTATACGCTTACATTTCACGTATTGAAGTATAGATATGAAGAAACGGGAAAGATATGAGTTGACATGTTGACAACAGAAGAGATTGTATTTATCTATGATTTTTTAGAAGGAAAAAAGTAGTTTATAGCATTAGGACTCAGATTGCATGTTAAAGTCTATATTTGCTGCAGCCAATATAAATTGTTTATAGATATCCAAGAAACACCATGTGTACCTCCAATATGGGCCCACGGTCAGCACCAAGAAGATGAATCTCATCCAAAATCATGAGTCCAACCTAGATATATGTGTAGCCAACCATAAATGTAAATGAGTGAAGTGAACTTCAAAATGAAATAATAAAGGGGAAAGTTTCGGATCATGAAATAGAATGAATGGAGCACTAAAATGCTGCCTAATATATATCGTTTTACCTTCTTTACATATCCACGAGAGTGCCAATTACGACTAATGCCATCCCATTTTTCTGGAGTAGATATTATAATATCTGCTTCTAAGAGAGCTGTTAAATCTGGGGTATAATCTCCGGTCATTTCAACCTAAAAAAAATCATATTACACCACGTAAGCTTTGGACAGATTAGCATATGCAGATGAGGAAAAGAAGTGAGTACCATATGTTTTCCAAGCAGGGAAACAAGACGCTTCCTCCAATCATTCATTCTTTCTCGAACAAGAGCCTTTAAAGGTGCTATGTAAATCACCTGCATTAAAGGAATGGTTCAATCATCAAAATATAATTAGAAATAAATGATTATAACAATAAGGAAGTATATATCTCTCCAAAAAAACCAAAAAACACAATGTCTATAAACTAAAATTTCTTTTAATATCTAGCAACTACACATGGGTTTAGAGTACTGCTTAAACTTCTAATCCTCACCTCCTAAAGATGCTTTTGTGAAATAAACTGATGTGATCGTAAATACTAAGAAGCCAAGAAGAAAATCCTCAATGACCCACACTACCTATATTAAGTGCTTATGGCAATGAAGACATTTTTACCATCTAACAAAAGGATTTAGAAGGATATTACCTAGATCAAGGGATGGGAGGATAACCATTTTTAATGGATTGTCAAATATGCCTATCAAATTTCCAGCGTAAGTGTGAAAAAAGAAGCAGTATAGAAACACAAGAAGATAAGAAAGAACCTTCATGTCAGGCTGAGTATTAAACAAATGGAGCATGGCAAGCTCTGCGGATATGGTTTTACCACTTCCTGTTGGAGCTCCCAGAAGAACATTTTGGTCAGTATGATACAGCACATGAAAGGCCTGCCATGGAAAGCAAAAAATTCATACCATAAACAGTTAACCTGACAATTTATGATACAAGAAACACATAAAGGTTAAAAAGAAACAATAGATCAAGAGCATTAGAACCTGGGTTTGTATGGGGTTAAAGTGCGTAAAGTTATATAGTGCTTCATAAGCTTCATTTCCGAGGGCAGTCACTGGCAGTGGTCTCAAATCAAGAAGCTCCGTTTGAGTTGTATGTGCCTAAAACAAATATCATGTATGGTAATTGGAAAAGAGAGACAAGTTTAGACCTTGTGTGTAAAGATCAAAAAAGAAAAGAATATAAACCAAGCCTTAAAGCAACCTCAGGAAGTGCAAGGTTCTGGAACGATATACTGTAGAAAGATTCTGCATGCAACCATGAGTCTGAAATTGCACGTATAAAGTACTGTGGAGGATGTGGCTCAAATATTGGAACAGTGAAGGATAGCTTATGAGGCTCTCCCCGGGCCATCTTCTTTGCCAATGTAAAAAGCTCTGAGTGGTATATATGATCATTCTCAGAATCCTAAAGTGAAATTAGAAGCCATCAACAAAATTTGTACTGATAGCACACAACAATTACTAGACTTCAAATTTCTAGTAACCTGTGTAGAGATCCTAACTGAAAGCTTGAAGTTCCAATTTTATATCAGAGTGAAAAATAACCAGTACAAAGAGAAGAAAAAAAACACCTCAACTAATATCCACCATCTCTGAGCAGTACCATGAAACCTATCCTTCCAGACAAAATTTGGTGTAATAGTCAAGTCCACCTAATACATGGGACAGTGTTGCTCAGAAGAAAATTTCTAGGTATAACAAGATACTTAATAGATGTAAGAAAAATCACAACATTGCCAATTTACATTACCTTTAAAACAGTTCTTGTGATTGGACTTACTGTGGCAAACAATTCAACGATTGGAAAATATCCCATATATTGCTTGACCAGCTTCAATGGAAAAAAGAAATCAACTCATAATTGGTAAATAATGAATTAATAGACAAAGGAAATCCAGTCCAGAATGAAAGCAACACCTTTCCTCCAGGTGCATAACGAATTAAAGCTCCGATGTCTTTCTCCTGCATCTCATATAGGTGATCCATGTCCACTCCTCTTTCTTCAAGCTTCCTCAATATCTGAAATAGGCCATTAAAGGAGTCAGTTTATAATTTGAATTTAAAACATAAAGATAGTAGGTAGAATAATGTTTTGATCAACTTCTGCTGAAATATCTTTATCAAATTGTCTGAGTGGATGTTGGTGGGGCCAAACTTGACGATCCACAGCTTTGCAGTACTCCAGCATGAAAGAAGTCATCTCGCTCCAACCTCTTCGCAAGCATATCTCAAATAAGGCCCGAACAATACGAGCTAGGCTTGAACTAATATATGATGCATCAGAAATTAGTGAAAAGGTATCAATTGTGCCCCTGGATATGTACATCTGCAATGCAAAATTACACATATAATAAGATTTTACTTCCACAAAATTGCCTAGGGTGTTTAATCAGGAATTCAAAACCACTAACCTGAATAAGTATTGACACTTTTCCATGTTTATTTGATGGGCCACCCTTGACTTCCAAAGGACAAGCACGAGCTAATGTTTCCAACTCATTTTGTTCCTCCTCTCGAACAACAATATTTTCAAATTCAGACGAATGGGCGAGCATGTCAATCACCTATCAGAATGTAAAAAATAAGCGAAACATTTGGCTCGGGCAAAATATATTACTCTGACTAGGCAAATGATCAATGCACTACTATTTATTGAGATTCAATGCTGGGATACTTACTCACCACTGCAGGCATAAAAAGAATGCTTATCTCTACTGCTATCTATTGATAACTGTTGTAAGAATACTTTTTTTATTATATGAATAGGATTTCTGCAGTTTACCCCAAATTTCTTTCCTAAAAGGGAATAAAATGTGAGGAAAATAATTTGAAGGTGTCCATCCTATAAGAATGATCAAAGATGCATAAAAGGCAGTAAAATGATACATTTTTAATTCAAGAACTACAGAAAATTGTAACGTGATCATAGAATAAGGTACATTGAAAATTGGTTTATTAAATTCGCTGTAAAAACAAGATGCAATAAATATTACCTCGCTATCATTCATGTGGCGCCTCAACATTTCATTGTAAGTTTCAACACTTGAGTATTGAATGTAAAAGTGGCTAGCAATTCGACCAAGCTCAGTACAATAAAAGTTTCCACTTTTCTCATCAAAGCGCATCATCTTTGCTTTGTCAAGAGCACGGGCAGCATCTGACACCAGAGCTCTTTGTTTTAGGCTCAATGAAGGATCAGCAATTACCTGTAATGCTTCAAATTTTAGTTCTAATTAAAGAAAATTTTGAGAGAGGAAAGGGAAAACAAGCTCGTTGGACCAAATTTTTTATTATAAGTCTATGCAGCAAGGCAGCTCAGAAACATGGCCAATTTTCACAACAATTAGCCATAACATGGATAAATGTATTGTCTCCATATAAACTTGATAATATAAGAATCAAGACTGGACAGAGATGTGTTTCTTTATGATAATTATAATAATGTATAAAACTTCAATATACCTCATCCCATCCAATACCATACGCTAGAGGGTTCATCTTCATTCTTATGAAAAGATACGTATAACCCAACCAAGCACAAGCTTCCTTAACATTTGTCACAGTGCCTAACGCGACCTCAGCATTTATGTTGTCTTTCAAGGAGTTGATAAACTGCCAAAGAAATGCAAGTAATTACACAAACAACATCAATGAGCAGATATTAGAAGTCCAACAATATTTTGAATCAAGTTTCTTCCATCTACTAAATCCTACTAAAAATTGCAATTGTATTTGTTCAGAGACACATAATCTTATATCTAATAGATGAACAAAGAAGAAAAGTTAACACAAAAAGTAGATAAGCATGTTAACCTTACATGCATTTGTCATGAGTAGTGATTATAATGGGGAGAATCATTGTTACGAAAAGAGCAAAAGGCATAAAGAGGAGACTAAAAAAAAAAAATCTCACCTGACTCTCAATGGGAAGCTGACTTGTTAGAAGTCTTAAATAGTATGCCAATTTGTCATGAGTAGTGATTATGATGCCTTCACCGCTTTTATCAAATTGAGGCCTTCCCGCACGTCCAAATATCTATAGAATGATAAGTTAATGTAAAATACAAATCACTGAAAACTCCTCTACAACAACCATTTGGTAGATCGGTAGACTCCTACCTGCATCACATCAAGCATGCCCAGATCTCGCCACCCACCAGCCTTTGCGTCATATATCTGAGTTCCCTGGTGTAACACGCAGAGACAATGTTATAGAGCTGAAGAAATGTTATTCGCTGCCGCTCAACTAAAAATAAAAGCCACCAAAACTGCTCGATTCATGAATCGTAATTCACTGCTACCATCAAGTTAATAGGTCAGTAGTTTTCAATGTAGTAATTTGAAATTTAGCAAAGGCAAACTTTATAACTCTAGAATAGTTCAGACTAGCCTAACAGAGAAAGCTTAAATCATCTTGCAGAAACCACAGCCCAATCTGTATTATTATGTGTTCAAAGCACATAAATATATCGAATAATTATCAGAGGTTAATATTTAAATGTAACAACCTTAATCACCACAGTGTGAGCAGGGAGATTAACACCCCAAGCCAAAGTTGCAGTGCAGACAAGAACCTAACAACAACAAAAAAAAAAAATTCATTTAGGGCAACATTTACTTAAAATTATATGATGAATGAGTTTAAAATTAAATAGTGGGTTGTGTACTTTTAAAAGTCCATCAGAGAAAAGTCGTTCCGTCAGCCCACGATCAGACCGTAGCATCCCAGCATGATGGATACCAACGCCATATTCAAAAAGCTGTACCAGTTCCTTATTTCTAGATTTCATTACTTCCTTCTGTTTGTATTGAATTCATATTAAGAAATATTAATTTTCTTAACAAAATATATACAAAGTATAAACTCATCATCAAAATTCAAAAGTATGCACCTTCATAAGTCCCTGCTGAGGATGTGCAGCATTTGTGAAAAGATCAAAGTCCTCATGTGCTCTCGATATTTCAACCTATTAACAATTTCCATACAATAAAACAGTAGCAATTAATGAACTGTATCATGCTATACCAGAAAAATACAACTATTTTGGAAACAACCTAATCTCAATCACAATTTGAAAGCTAGTAGACGGTTATATCTTATCTGCATTGTTTCACGAATACTGTCAGACTCATGCCTTCTGATCACAGATGGTTTTATCATAGCACGCAAATTAATTACATCATGCAATTCATTCATAAAAGCCAAACAAACGCACAAATGTTTATGTTGTATAGTCTAGGTTCTGCAGTGGCATGTATTCTTAAGGCTTTCTACTTTTTTAAAAAGCTGGGCGCAGGTGAAGATTCAAAACAGAAACCCCCCAAAAATCTCTGTATAATATTTTGTAAATATTTGAGTATGACCATGCAGATCATCCAGCAAATGAATCAAACCCTTCTCATCTGTTCAATTATGATCCCAATTGATTCCTTTGAATGTTATTCTAATCAAGTAATCTGCTATATTAACCTCCATGGAGATTGAACTTCAACATTAGCTAGCTCCGCCTGGCTATTGGAAAATTCCGATTTACGACTTCCCATCATATCCCGTTTGTTCTAACAGCAGATTAATTTGCCAAGTGTGGTGAAGAGTTATCAGTTTGGCTGCAATTTGTTTCTCTTTTTCCCTTCAGCCCTAAGGGTTTCTGTAATACTCTTTTCTTAAATTAAATTGTCTTTCACTTCTAAAAAGGAAGAAGAAGAACACTAAAGCTAGAGATTTACATGACAAAGCAAAAGCAAATAATATATCACACTGTTCTCAGGAAGAATAAAAGTACACAAAATTTACAGAATTGCAAGAAACGGAAAAAAAAAAAAAAAAAAAAAAAAAAAAAAAAAAAAAAAAACATATGGACCCACAATAACTTCCATATAAGTGGAATTTCTTCTTGTTTCCCATTAGAAGCAAACATAAGAAGATACTTTTCATAATTATTCTCCTTGGTGAATCTAGAGAAAAAGTAATGGTCTTGAAATGCTCAATTTCTAAGAATATTCTTAAACTAAAACTGCTAACCAAATAAGGTCGATATTATTTTTCCAAACAAAGATGCATGCTTGCACTCAGTGGCTTAAACCAAGAAATAAATACTAAGAATACGCTACCAGTTTGTCAGCTGTTTTTCCAGTGTCTTTCCTAGAATGAACAAACACCATAACTTGATGTCCTCGCCTAAGTGAATCAGCCACCTGGAGATATAAAATTCCTATTAATGGTAAACTTTCTAGCATTTTAGCAACAAATAAGAAATTCACAAAATAAATCTAACCTTATTGTAGCATACTTCATGCATCAATTCATTACGAGCTATATAGTTATGCTCAGATATTCCAATGTAATGTTGCTCAAGGGGAACTGGGCGATAGCTTGAATCAAAGAAGAATAAACCAGTTTCTGGATTTACCCTCAGAAATTGTGCAACCTGCAAGTTGTCTTAGCAGTTAGCTCCACCCAATGACAATTCATTCAAAACAGTAACTTGAGAAAGATGTATCAAGCTACCTCTAAATAATTAGGAAGAGTGGCTGAAAGGCCAACAATGCGAATCATGCTTTGAGTAGATTCAACCTGTAAGAACAAAAACTAATGGGTGAACCCAGACTTCTCTGAAACCATATTTGCATAACATATCATGGTCAAATAGGATGACTCCAGAAAGTGGAGCTTGCGGAAACTTCTCATTATCTCATCCAGTGGTTATGGAAAAAAAAGCTTTAACACAAAAAGGTCCATTACACAAGCTCTACAGAATGCCTATAGAAATCAATAATTTCTTGCCTTTAGGAGTAACTTACAGACTTCTATATCAATAGTAAGAAATTTTGGGTGTGCAGTCAAAGATTTGTGTATCAAGTTATTATCAAGGAAGAACTAAAATTACTTGATGGACAAAATATAATGTGAAAACATGAAGTAAATAACACCATGAAATGAAAATATTATGCTCTCTTCTACTGAAACCTATATGCTAAGTCAGAAACACTCATCCGCCACAAACCGCATTCATACTGAACCGCTGCGACGCGGCAATTATATAAGGCAGCATCAGTGATAGTATTAGCATTTTAATTCTTGTCTTGTGAAAGGTAGCATCAGAACTTAAAACACTAAAAACTTAGGTCTTATTATGAAAAAAATGGCACAATAATTGTAAATGTTATATTTTTCACTTAATCAGTGTCTATTTTATGCTTATTTGCATCAATAAATGGTAGCAAAATACTAGTAGTTTGCCAATAATTTCAACATCTATCAGATATAAGAGTATACCTGACGAAGAGTTCGAGCTACAAGTGCTTCTATCACTGGACCTCTATCATCATTTAGCAAATGCACTTCATCAATGATCAGGAGCTTCACTAGCATTGACATTGACATATCACTACTTTTACGAGTAATCACATCCCATTTTTCAGGAGTTGTCACAATCATCTGAATTGAAAAAAAAAAATATATGAAAATAAATAAATTGGAGTGACCTACTCACTTTTCAAGCAAAAATAAGAAAGATTGCCAATCCAAATATCTTAAATTTTAAACTAAGACCTAAAATCACAAACAATAACCTGAGTTTGCTCAAGCTCATTTTTGGTAAGTTGCATGTCACCAGTGAGTTCTCTGACAGTTACATTTAAAGGGGACAATCGGTGGCTGAAGGTTGATGTGACCTCTGCAGCTAATGCCTAAAAAGATCAACTAGAAATTAGCAATTATAGAGTGTTGAGATTAGTAAGTCAGATGCAAAAACCTTACCTTCATGGGAGCAACATAGACTATTTTGAATTCATCTTTATGAAGAAAACCATCTTTGAAGTGTTGCTTGATCTGTTATATGGTTCCAACACAAAGCTCAAAGTTACATATAAGTCTGCAAGTGGATAGAAACTCCAAAAAAATATTTCATCATTTATGAACAAGAGATGCAAGAAATTCAGCATCTGCAAAGACAGAATGAGTCTTTCTTTAAATTGCATGCATGCGGAATTAGCCTTTTCTATCCCCAGTTCTCAATATAGAAAAATGCATTCATGATAACCACATGAGAGGCTAATTATTCAGGAGGCTCACATTACAGGGTTGCAAAAGCCAAATCCATACCCTGCTTTTTCAGCATATTTATGTGTAATAAGAACAGATAAGTTCTCACACGGACTCAGGCTCCCAGCTGCATGGTATTGCAATTTTATATGAATCTTGAGATCCACCATAGGTTTTTTATCCTCTTTTTTTTTTAATTTCTCTTTGTACTTTCTTGCAGGTTATAGGTATTTTATCAATATGTAACATCTTCTACTGCTAGTTGTGTGTACTTTCAAGGATTTTCCATCGAGAAGGGTCAGGATATGTTTCCTTCTTTTCCCCTTTCTAATCATGTAGACTCATTATAATTAAAAGAAAACCAAAGAAGCATGTTTAATTACAGCAGGCAAGAATCAATTATGCAGGAAACAAAAGGAACCAGTTTATGCATACTTCATGCAGAATAGAAATCATAGCAATATTTGTTTTTCCAGCCCCGGTTGGAGCACAGACCTGAAAGTAAACAAAAATCATTCAAGTGATATCAACAAATACATTCCCAAAGAATAAATAAGAAAATCAATTGTGTCGAACTAGTTTCACCAGTATATTCTCGTTACTGTAGTAAGTTGTCTGGAATATTCTGCTCTGTATTCGATTCAGTGTCTTGTAACCATGAAAGGCAGCTTGTGCTATTTCATCAAGCTCCGTTATTTCAATCTACCATCAAAGCAAATCAATTCAATGAGAAATATAAAGGAAACTTTCACAAGTAAAAAAGAAAGTTAAACAGGGCAGAGGGTACATTCTTTCCAACAAAAAGACAAAAAATATTAACTAAAATGTTGACAACAAAATAGGGAATATGTACACCCCAGTTAATACAGAATAAACAAGCTTATTCAACGTGCAATCCATGCAGAGGCCAAGAATGGGCATGGATATTGAGAAGGCATTACTAGTGGCATAGAGAAACATGCCCTGCAACTATATATATGAATATGATTTACGTATAACTGAAGCAAATACACAACATTGGATAAATAAGGAAGCAAAATAGACACCAAAGCATACTATTATGAAGAATAATGTACATCTCATTACTAAGATTTATAGGGTGTAATCCTTCTATAGAAATTACTACATTACCAGCTTCTCCCCAGGTTTCATTGGTGCAGTTGGCGCAGGAGGAACAATGACTTCTTCATATCCCTTGTAATGCTTTCTCATAGTGCCCTGTGGAAGGGCTGTGGCACCAAATTGAGTACCATCTCCATGACCCACAAGTCCATCGAATACATTTTTCTTATCACTTGCTTGAAGCAAGGAACTGAAAGACAAAGATGACAATTCATTGTCAACTCCATGATCTACTCCACGTCTATTCTTTTTTTCTTCCTTGCGCCGAAGTTTATCAATTTGTCGTTCAGACTCTGTTTGAACTGTTACCTACATCCATATATAATTCATTTCTAAATGCCAAATGTCATGCCAAACAATATGAATATTTGAACTTATAATTAAGGAACAACAATGCAGAAATTCATTTAGTTACCTGGGTGGCATAACTGGGTATCCGTGCCTGAGTGTTTGAAGTTGATCTATCAGATTTTAATACGACCAGCCCACGATGTATGCTTTCAACAAGCTCCTTTCTATGCTGCAAGTGAGACACAGGGAGGAGTGAATCATAGAGCAATAATTCAGAAAACAAATCAATTGGGAATAGAAATTGTAAAATAAAATATATAATTGAAGTCTCAAAAACATTTGTCATCCATACCATGATAAGGTCTTGAACAGTTTCAAATGAGCTATCACCAACAAGGTCCAGCAGATCACCAGCAATCTTACAGGTTAAGATTCATAATTGAATAAGAAAATGGACACTCATGAATCTAAAAATAACTTACTACACCAAAAAAATATGGTATAAATTACGATACAATAAAACAAACATGTATACCTCATCACCAGGTTTCTCTGAATCAAGGATTCTGCAAATGGCCATAGCCAATTCATCTCGGGGTAGCTGTGAAACACTTCCCCTAACAATTCTGTCACAAGCATCTCTCAGCCACTCTAGGTCAAAATTACCTTGACTACTAGACGGATGGAAATTTCCGGAACCACCATAATCAGACGAACCCCCGTGATTCGAAGATGTGCTAGTTTCCTCCACCAAAACAGCAGCATTCTCTAGAGAAACATCAACTAGAAAGCGAGATGGAGGTCGAAACATAAGGTCTGATCCAAATTCCAAATCCTCACTGCCTTCACCCACTGATTCAGTTAAATATGAAGCACCATGCTCACTATTCTGTAAAACAGAAATCTTCTCTACAAGTAATGCAACTTTCAGCATATCTTCCACTGGAATAGCACGACCGAAGAGTTTTTGCATCCCAGATCTGAATTGCAAGAAAACATACTATATCTAGAGAGGAACTTGATATTACAAATTTTGAAAGCTTTAAACACAAAGTTCCAAGGATATCTGCAAACTGCAGGTATTAAATTACACATAAAAAAAAAAAGAAAAAAAAAAAAAGCAAAGATAATGCAATGACAAAACAAACAAACAACTCAAAGGACGATCTCAATTTATTAATCCAAGTTCTTTGTTTTCATAGTATAAACAACCTACATCCTTTTTCTATTCCGTTATTCAAGCGATAGTTCACGATCATATTCAGCCTCTATGATATTTTCTCTTAGAAAATGTACATGATCCTAAAAAGCACAAATTAATGCATTAAAATGATGTCACTTGAACAACTCGACTGCCAGACTATGTACTACCCCAGTTGCGGGCTACAACCAATCAAAGGATATTTAGTTTATGAAACCCCAAGCAGGATTTTTCACAGTGTGATCAACTTTTTCTCTTTTTTTTTTAAGAAAAAAATAAAAAAGGTATTGACTTGTGCTGCAAAAAAGGATAATTCCACAAAATACATGAGTAGCTGATGTAGGAAACAACTTAATGTCCAAATTAATTTTGAAATGACCATTCCCGAATTGTAGAATACTGGAGTGGGCTATTTCAGTATTTTATATCTACAGGTAAAGTATATTATACCAAACTAATGATTCTCCAACTTAGTAAGAATTGAGTTTTTGGCATTTGACAATGTGCAAACATTGAAACTTTGACCAAAAAAAGAACTTTACCTTTTTTCCAAAATTATCTTGTCACCACCATCCTCTCCAAATCCAGAATACCCACAAAATAGCATATAAACATCCAACGCCACGTCCTGAAACTCCTCAGACACTACCTCGCCACCCATCAACTCAACAACTGTCGCAACAAACTGCTTATATGCCTGCCGTAACTCACCGGAAGCTGCAAAGACCATAAACACACCATTAACACAAAACGGAAATAAGCCACAGCGTGAAATTTTAAAACTTCAGGCAATTCTCAAGCCTTCGTTCTAAGTACACCAAATAATTAAACTCAAGAAACACCACCACCAACAGTAATACTTAAGTTCCAAAACCACAAAAGAAACACAGGCATCGCACAATGTAGCAGTACCTTCATCCCAACGATGTATTATCTTACGAGCGAGCTCATATTCACCAGCCGAAGTAGCAGAACTAAATTCAACATACAGAATCCAAATATCAATCATTAATACAAAAAATTAAAAAAAATAAAAATAAAAAAATAAATAAATAAATAAATAAATAAATCTAAAAATAGCTCTAAAACCCCCCGAGATAAATCCTCGCACTATCATTCACCATCCCCGACATACTAACACACATACCTACGACGATTGAGGCTTTGAAGATAAGATTTCCGGTTGAGATAAGCTTGATCGGAATCGAAAGGCTGCCGAAGCGAATTGGTTAGCCGCGGGAGTTCCAGTAACATATTTGCCATGATTTCGGAGGTTCGTCTGGGGAAGAAGATGCTCCAAATCCGAAGTACTCTGAATCCACGTGTATATATAGATATTTAAATGGATCCGTAAACGGGTTTGGGTATTCGGGTCATCTGAATTGGACTAGGCTTATATATGGGCTGGTGATCCTATCATATCATATCCTAATATTTTGACCATTTTCTTAAAATATGTTTTAAAGTGGGCTTTTAACTGAGTGTTACTGGAGTTTTTTTGTAGTGTTTTTAAGTGTGTTGAATATTTTTATTTTTGTAAAGTTTTTATTCTATTTTTTAAATATTTTTTTTTATTTCTTTTTCATCTCCTCATAGTTTTTTTTTATATATATTCTTTTTTATAACTTTTAAATTTTTCTTTCTTATTTTATAAATTGTTTATTTTATTGTATTTTTCTGTGCAGAACAAGAGATATAAATTGGGATCCGAAAAGGCGTCTTCTAAAAATCGGAAGCTATTTGCTGGTGGAGGATTGGTCGCTTTTATTTCTAAATTTCATTTAGATTTGTTAATTTATTTCCGTGCCTAATGGCTTTTTTCAAGAAGTTATATTTACTGCAGTCGGAGAAAATTTGTGTTTGTTATTTTCTAAATAGTTTATTTTTATTGTGTTTTTCTGGGCAGAGATATAAAGTTGGAATCCCGAAAGTCTGTCTTCTAAACATTTGAAGTTGTTTTCAGTAGCTTTTATTTCTAAATTTTGTTTAAATTTATTAATTTATTTTCACAATTGAAATTTTGAATTTATTTATGGCTTTCACAACTAGTTGCAGCATTTAGGGTAAAAAGAAAAAAGTTAGAAAAAAAAAGAATTAGAAAAATGAAGAAACTAGAATAAAGAAGAAAAAAACAATAGAATTTATTTATAGTTATTCTTTTATTTGTAATATATAAAAATTATTTTATTATACATAGAAATATCGTTAATTTAAATTCTTATTCGCAATTTATTATAATTTATATTAAGTTATAGTATTTTATTTTTATTACTCCTTATGTCCCATAATTAGGTATTGTTTGCTTTTTGTACGTAATTTTAGAACTATTAGTATTATATAATGTTAAGTAGATAGTACAATTATTAAAAAAAAAAATAGATATTTTTGTTATGGAAGAGACTAAAATGGAAAAATACATACTTTGTTATAAAAATGAATCAGTAGTATTTTTTTCATCAGATAGTTACAATATTTTTTATTTAGAAATAAAATTTTAAGTCATTTTATATATAAATAAATAACTTACTATTTATCATAATCAATCAAGTTCTAAGCACATCCAAAATATATGTATAATTTTTATATATTTTTTAATTGATGTTCTTTATAATAAATTAAATTCTTATTTTAACATTATTATTTTAACTATATTACATATTTTATTTCAAATATATCAGGTAAATCATAATTTATATTATTAGATATTTATTTTTTAAGTTTGTAAAATTATTATTTTAATTTATTTTAAATAAAAAAATTTATTCTTCAATTTATTAAAACATTTAAAAATAAACATAAAATTAATATAAAACAATAGATTTTAAAATAATTAATAAATTTTCGTTAAATACACCGGATATTGCACAGATTTTTCTGCTAGTATATTATAAAACACACAGTAGACAAGCTTTACCAGTGCACACGCTGACACACTCCCAAAGAGGTGAACCAAAAAATTCCGGTTGTTGTATTTTACTGCAGATTTTTAACTCTTATTTTTTTCTAAAAATATGGCGTCAAACTCTTATTTTTTTTTTTTTTTTTTATATTATACTATAAATTATTTTACGTTTAAAATATCATATTAACCATTTATTAAATTCAAAAAAAATTTACCTTTAAAAATCCAAACCTAGAGACAAACACACTCAAGAACTACAGAGCACACAAATGGAGATGCTCTTCTTCTTGGACATTCTGTATTATTTATTTATTTATTCATTTTTTAATGTTTTCAAAAATCAGAAGGTCACCATTCAACTCTGGCTGGCCCACCTCAATCGCCATATCTACCAAATTGCTTGTGCTGTATTAAATCACTCACCCTTTTCTATTTCTATTTGTTTTTGTCACCAACTTGATTCTCTCTCTCCTAAGCCCCTCTCTCTCTCTCTCTCTCTAATTTACAGTCTTCTGCTGCTGAGTGCTAAGCTGTGCAGGCCCTCACCACTTGTCTGCTGTCTCTCTTCACTATTTCTTTCTTTCTGTCACTCTTCTTCTCGATCCCATCCATCACATTGTCTCTCATCCTCCTAACTTCCATGGCTCCTCTGGGCTTAACAGTGCTGCTGCTTTTGGCCATGGCCGCTCACTCCAGTAAGCTTTCTCGCTCTACCATTTTTCTTTTCCATTTAAAGCTGCAACCTTTTATCTTGTTTTTACAAATTTTCCAATCTTGAATTTGAATCCCACATCGTTTTGCAACTAACTATCTTCATATAAAGACCCCTTTTTTTCCTTTTTCAAATTTGGGCAAAATGGGCTTCATTCACTCCCAACATAATTTGGTCAGATTTGGGGTTTCTTTTAAGGGCGTGTTTGTTTGAGGTTTTGGATTTTAAGTTGGGATTTGAATAGTAAATATTTTGAATTTGAATAGTCGTAAGATGTGATATATATAAGTATTTTGAATGTAAAATTAATTTTTAATATAATATAAAAAAAATAATAGGTATTTTGATATGATATTTTTGGAAAAAAAAAATAGATGGATAGTGTATTTAAAATATACTCCCTCCGTCCCATGTAATATGGGTGTATTACCGTAGACACGAGAATTTAGGTAAAGTATAATTATTAAGTAATTAAGAAGTATATTAGTAAAAATAATTATTATTTAGTAAAAATAATTATAGATTAAAATTAAAATAAGTAAATAGTTTAATTAAAATTAAAAAAATTATAAAATTTAAAATGTGATTAAAATGCATAATTATATTTTAAAAAATAGAAAGGATAAATTACCTGGGACGGACGAAAATATAAAATAGAGACAAATTATGTGGGACGAATGCAGTAGAATCTTTAGGTTGCTTTTTTTTAGAATTTTAATCAAGTTTTTACTATTCAGGAATTTTTATTTTTATTTAAAAATATCAACTTAAATAAATATTTATTTATTTTTATATTATACTATCTATACTTTAGTTTCATTTACTTTTTATCATTTATTTTTCTTTTTAAATATTAATTATTATATAAAAAATATAGTATAAATTAAAAAAATTGCAAAAATATATACTAATACAATAAAATTTGTAATTGTTTGGGGGATTGGATTTAATTTTTACTATTCATTCCAATTTTTTTCTCCCAAAATATTAAATCAAACACTTATTTTTTATTTTTTTATATTATACTAAAAATCAAATTTACATTCAAAACATCACATCAACACCTATTTATATCACATCATATAACTATTTAAATTCAAAATTTTTACTATTTAAATCCCAATTCAAAATCCAAATCTCGAACAAACACACCCTAAAAATATTTATATGTACAAAATATAAATGTTATTCTTAGAGAGACAGACGGGCGGAGATGGAAGGGAGTATTAGAAATTTATTTTTCACTTAAAACTTCAAATCAAATATATATTTATATCAAATTAAATAATTATTTATATTCAACTTTTTTATATCAAAAGTTCAAACCCAAAAACCCCAATCCAAATCAATATTGTTAGCATAAAATTCAAATAAATATATATTTACGTCGCATCAAACAAATATTTAAATTCAATTTTTTACTATTAAAAAATCGAAACCCACCCACAAACAAACGCACCATAAAGGGTTATGTAATGTTATGTTAACGGTGGTTGTTCCATTCCAGGTGCCACGTGGTGCATTTGCAAGGATGGCGTGGATAGCAAGACACTGCAGAAGACACTGGACTACGCTTGTGGAGCTGGGGCGGATTGCAAACCGACCCACCAAAGTGAGCCGTGTTTCAGCCCGGACACGGTCAGGGATCACTGCAGCTACGCTGTCAATAGCTATTTCCAGAAGAATCGCCAGGCTCCAACTGCTTGTGATTTTTCTGGCACTGCTGCTGTTGTTAATTCTGACCCTAGTGAGTGTTTTTTCTTTTTTTTTTTTTTGTGTTTTTTGTCTGTAAATCTGTTTTTGGAGATGTTTATGATAGATTGATACATTGCAAGATCTGGTTTATGAATTTGGGTGATGATGGATTTCTTGTTGTTTTTGTGGTTGATTTTGACAGGCAGAGCTGGCTGTGTGTATCCTGCTACTGCAAGGTATGAAAAGTTTGGTTTTGAAAAAAATTTGAAAATGGTTAAATAATTGATCCAATATTCGATTTTGAAAAATTTTGAAAATAGTAAATAATTGATACCAGCTCTATTTCAAAAGTATAAAGTATATTACTACTATTTTTAACTTTTCGTAAAAAGATTTTTGTTTGTGTATTATTATTTTTTGAAAATCGGAAAAATAGTGTTGGAAGAATTTTGTGAGATTTGTTTACACAGAGGTTTTGGGGTTTTGAAAGACTTTTGGAATTTTAGGAACTTGAAAAAAAAAAAAAAAAAAAAAAAAAAAAAAGAGAAAAAATGTATTTGGTATGATGTTTTCAAAAAGTAATCAGTTTTAAACGCAGTGGGTAATCATATTAATGATGTAGATGTGTACTTTTTATTATTACATGAATGTGTACTTGTATATGATTACTTATAAAAAAATGACAAAAGTAGTAAAAATATACTTTGAATTGGGACAGATAAGTATGAGTTTTGATTGAAAAGAGAAACAACAATGTCTACGACAATTCAAAAAAGAAAGTTGTTATAGATTTAGATTACAATTTGATACGATGTTTTCAAAAAATGTTACGTTGGATGAACAGTATCAAAACTTTCAAAATGTATCTCTTAAACAACAACCGAACTAGACAAATTGTTTGAAATTAAGGTTTAATAGAATGTGTTTGTTTGTTTGCTATGGAATTTTATTTGGTATTGAATTTCTCCATTTGAAAACGACGCTTGAGCATAAGCGACAACGAACTTTTCTTGTCACGGAAACGGAAGAAGACAAGAGGAAAAAAGAAAATGGTGCTCTTTAGTTGTGGTCCAAAGGGACTCACTACATCAAATTCAAATACATTTTACTAAAGCAAAATCATTTTCATGTTGTGAATGTGCATCTCTCGATTTGCTGAAATGAAATCTTATGTCGAACATTCTATGCACTTTTGTTTCGAATGTCTTACTTCTTTCATTAAATTTTTTTTTTTTCTTAAGCGCTGCTGCGACTCCTACCAACAGCTCCAACGGCGTCCTGACATCCCCCACCAACGGCGCGTTTGGTTCCAACAACGGTCTCAGTCCGACGGGAATTCCAGACAACAGCCACGGGGGGACTCGGCTTCTTACAAGTATTGTCCTTTTCCTCTCCATGATTCTCACGATTTTCGCGCATCTTCTCTTGTGAGAACTATCATCATCTATGGTTTGTGTGGCCTTCTCACGACTCGTGCCAAATGGTGATGATTTCAAACGAATGAAGGGTCTTGAGAGACGGCCTTTTTGATTTTGTACTTCTAGATTCTTCTCGAACTCGTGGTATGTCTGTCTGTATTAGGATAATATATATATATATATGTGGCTGCAGCTTGGCTTGTGTTAGTTATCACGAATTTGTTTTCCGTAAAATGTCAATGCACCTCTGCCTTGTATTAAGGCATTTTCAACTTGCGCATCGTTTGCTTTGTTTTGTTAACTTTTTACGATTTATATCTATCGTTCAAAATTTATTACCTTTGCGTCGAGGAGACAGAGTTAAGGAAGTCTTCACACATTATGCAAGAAAAAGGTTGGTTTCCCTTTTTTCCTTCTTTATTCTCTGTCTTATCTTTTCTTACCTGAATGATACATTAACATTCGACGATCAATTGTATGTAGCGTGGCGTATCGCTATTTGACTCCAACCGGTCGGGACTTTTCTACTGCCTTCATTTACATGTGGTGAGTTCTACTACTTGCCGCAAATGTATATTTCGTCTGTCATTGTTGGTGGACTCCCGTTTGTAGATAAATAAATAAATGCATATCCCTATTAGTTTAAGCTTTTAAGTGAATCGGTCATTTATATCATGATATCTGAGTGTTAGGTATCGAGTTTGGGTCCCACCATTCCCCATCTAAAAAGTTTTGTACTTTTTTTACTATAAAAGTAAAAATGTAAGAAAAAGTTCACATTCATGTTAAAATTTGTATCCAAAAGTTTGAGCATGCTTTTGAACGAGAGAGGAAGTATATATATCGAAACCCGTTAGGGTTTAGTTTAGTTATACTTCGAAATGCATATAGAAAGTGTTTATAAGCTTAATTTTCATAACATCTTCGATGTTCTCAAGCTTATTTCGGAATCGCAGATTTTTATTACACTTTCAAAGGCACCTACCAAAGCCTTCACTTTACTCATTCTCTCCCGCGCCAATTTGCTTGCAGCCTCTTCGATCACGATATTCATAAGTACCGAGTTTTTGTCTGCTTGAGCCATGTCTGGATGATGGTGAAGATCAGCCGTGATCGTATGGCTCGTCGGCTGCGTTTTCTCGTCGCTGGAAACCGTCCTCATTAATCCCACAGGTTCGACACTTTCGATTTGATGAATATCGAGCATATTTGGTTGTCTGAAACTCAGCTTCCTCGGAGAATCGTCCTCTTCGGGGAGAACTTTTTCGCGCCTCGAAACTCCCGTCGTTCCTTCATCCTCCGAATCGATTCGGTTTTCATCTGTCTGATCGATGGCATGTCTGTCTCGATCGACGCTCTTTGAAGGTTGAGTCGGTGGCTTCCCGACGTCGCTTTTTGTCGTCGACGGGGACGAAGCCTTGTCGGGAATGCTCTTAATCGTTTTGCTTTTTACAGCTGCAGTAGTTTTAACGGACGAAGACAGGCGTGGCAGAGTCGAGCTGCTTTTCCTGCTTATTTTTACATCTGTGATTGTTTGATCACGGCTTGTTCTTACAGTGTTGTTACTCCTCGAGGACTTAGACTCGGCTGTCTGTTTTCTTACGGGCTGAGGGATTGGCTTTCCGAATGACGACGATCCTTTTGCGACTTTTTTAGTTATTTGCTTCGGCAGAACAATAACTCCTCTTTTATCTTCTCTGACTGCACTAGGAGAAGGCGACAAATGCGGCGGCTTCGGGCCGTACTTGCAGATGTCGTGACAAGAACTTATGGAAGCTCTGAGGTAGTTTGGAAGTTTAGTGATTTGGATGGTTGAGGGGTTGCCAGTTGAGTTTCTTCTTGGAGTGTTGGTTGAGACATCAATGGTGGCTGTAATAGCCATTGATGCCTGAATTGCAAGAGAGAATGGGGTTTTGTGATTGGGGTTGGGTTGGTTCAGACAAGGAAATTTTGCCCTTCTTGTTGAGGTCGTAATTGCGTCCAATTCCCTCTTGGTTGTTCTTTCCTTGTTGAGTTAAACCCACTCTTCATTCAGCCTTCAAAACACAAATAAAATTATACTCAAATTGAACACATTGCTGACAACACGCGATACATGAGTAGAATAATATATGATTTATGTTAATATAATATAAATGCAATATATGAACTAAATGATTCATGACATACTTCTAAGGCAATTGTTTAAAATTTTATATTGACTGGGTCCGCGCATATATATATATATAATAAATAGCAAGGGTATAACAGTATATGATAATATAATATATATATATATATATATGATATATTTTAATAGCACATTTGCAATATAGGAATTAGATAGAACCTTGTGCTATCTGTGTTCGATCTATTGTTCTGACTCAGTGGTGCTGATTTGATTCAATGAGCACTCTAATGGTCGTTCTTACATAATTATATTGATTGGGACAAATCATCGTCATATTATCCAATTAGCATGATAAGGTACTTATTTTTTTTGTTCATAGGAGTCATTCTTTGTTTCAAGAATTTCATCTAATCATCGTAACTAATTCCAAATTTTTGATGCGAGTAAAGATGTCATCAAGAATATGAAATTTTGGCCCGTTTCTAACATTTATCATCCCAATCCAATTGATCACATAATGATTATTACGAACCCTAATGATAGATCAAAGAAAAGAAAGAAGATACGTCTAAAATTTTCAAATAAAAAGGTGTTCAATAAAGAAGCCAATGAATGCAATAAAGGTGTTAAAACAGATCATAAAAAGAATGAAAAGGTTCATTTTTTACATACCCTTTTGTCATGCTTGCAATAATTCTTCATTGTATTCTTGTAAAAACAACTTAAGACAAATGGTTCTGCAAGAATTGTTAAGAAACATGATTAGTTTCATGGGTTCAGAAATCCACATTTTCCTTGCAGAAAATGTCGATTTTTTGCACCATATTTAGCTCTGAAGGGACCAAAACAAGAAAGTGACCATTTTGGGATTCAAAGCACAACAGAGGCTGACTACTAAGAGAAAATTATGGAAGACCATTAAAAACAGTAAAGGGAATTTTATTGATTTATTTATTTTTCCACAATGTTGTTTGTTGTTTTCTCTTGTTCTATTTTTTGTCAATGTCAACTCTTGTGGACTCAGTTGGAATTTAGGACCAAATCCATTAGTTGTTTTTTCTTGTGGCAGATATAGAGGAATCGCATCTTTATGAATAATTTGTCGTAGATAAAATAAAATAAATAAATAAAAACTTGTTGAACCTAATATTTGTACTTAAAATTCTTTAATAGATATATATAATAAGAAACTATATTTATAGTTAAATTTAATTATGAGAATAAAAAGACCGCATAGCGCAGTGGATTAGCGCGTTTGACTTCGGATCAAAAGGTCGTGGGTTCGACTCCCACTGTGGTCGATTGTTTTATTTTATTTATCTCTTCTCCGAAGTGTTTTTTCAATAATATAGAATGTCCCAACACATAAGTACATCCAAGATTCAATATCGAAAAATTTTCAAATGTTCTCCTAACTTCTTCGAAATACCTCGAGTTTTTTAGAACATATCCGACCATCCGTACAACTAATCATAACATCAAGAACACCTTATCATTAAACAAGTTTCCGGCAAAGGTCTAAAACAAAGAACAAATTTTTCATATATACAATAATGATCGAGGTTTCGAAATCCTTCAGAATCTGATCGCAACGACAAAATATGTTACCCGATCAAATATCCCCTACCGTCGAATCCTAAAAAAAAAAGAGACAACACTTCACTTACCTTCAGAGCCACGGACAAACTCAATAGACGGCGCGAAACTTAGTAGTCCTACGCCTATGGCCTCCTCGACGTTTCTTGATCCTTCCCCAGCTCTTGAGTACGCCTTGTCTGCTCCGAGTAGCCGGCTGCTTCAAATTGACGCTCGATAATTTCTTCGATGTGTCTGAAGAAACCATCTTCGAACATTTCCTCGATTTCGAACAAACTTTCTTGCCGGAATTTCTCGTCTGCCTGCCTTTAATGTTCCCTTTTCCTACAGCAATTTTCTCGGACATCATCATCGCCGTTGTCCCAGAATCGCCTGTAATATCAGTATCAAGATCGTCGCCAGCGGAAGTAACGAAGTCAGCGAACCAATAAAGGCAGTTTCCGGAGCTTCCGAGCATCCGAGATTTTGCAGCTGACGACGAAGAAATCACGATTAAAGTCTGCGCGGCGACAATATCAAGCTGTGGTTTTGCTTCTGCTTCTGCTTCTGCTTCTTGTTCTTCCGGTTTTTCAGACAAAAGCGAAGCCTTCAGTTGAATATCCTCGACCTCTTCGATAAAAGAACATTCGTCATTCTCGCCAACTGGCTTAATTGCGCTCGAATTCTTGACAACACCGGTGTTCAAGTTAACGCAACTTTCGGTTTCCACGATCATGTTATCGACTGCAGCAAAATCTCCCGTAGCTTCGGTTTCGGAAAAACAGTTGACGGGCATCAAATTCAAGTCGATACCGATCGACGGGTTTCTGACATCCGAGCTGGAATCGAAGTTTCGGGAGAGATTACAAATCGGAGATTCTCTTTTAGCTTCGTCGGGACTCTCCGGATGATGCTCGTTATTCTGAATCCCTAAGGGGCCGGTGGAATTCGAAGACAACGATTCAAGCGGAACCGGTTCGTTCAGATCGATCAAACAATTCATTCTCCGGCTGCTCGAATCGAGCTTCGACGACAAATCCCGACCTTTGATGGATCCAATTTCTGAATCACTTGTAGGCCAGACATCGATATTCTTTCCTCGAGCGTCGTCGGGACAATACACATCGGCTGGAAGTTCGAGATCCAAACTTCTTTTCCCATCTTCTTTACTTAGCGAAAGAAAATCGACAGTATAACCATTTTTGCTTTGTTCCGTAATCTTTACGGTAGCAAAACTTGAAGATGGATGACCGTTGTCCGCTGCTAGATCCGGAAGCTTCCCGCGCTGTTCTCCGAGAAGCCAGCTCGGAGTTTGCGATGTTTGAGATATATCCGATCGCGGTTGAGACAAACACCGGATCGATTCTGATGTTTGCGACAGTATATGATGCGTGACGATGTCTCTCATCCTTAATTCATCCATCAATTCCCTTTGTCGTTTGTACAATCGGTGTAGCTCTTGGACCTTAAATTAGAACAGAAAAAATGGCGCAATTAGATCCTCGATTTCGACAAAAGAGAAAACCTCAAGAAATCCAAAAATCGAAAGGTTTAGACACCTGATATCGAAATGTAGTTTCGTGACTCTGTATTATCTGCCTAATCGCCTCTTTGTCGTAGCTCGAGTACTGATAAGCGGTAGACGGCGGTAACGAGCCGTTAAAGCCTCTTGGATCTCCATAGCTGCCATTACTCCTCATTAGGTGCCAAGGAAAACCACTCGTAGCGCCGTTAACATTCCTCGGCTGGTAATAAACGGGGACGAAGCTAGTGCACTGCATATTTCTTCGGGTTCACCTGAAATAAGGATACGATAATTTCGAAATCATATCATAATGTAACGAAATTCGAATTCATATCATAATGTAGCACACTCGGCATTTCCCAAACAACAAATTTCTTGCCACGAATACTTCGATTATATTGTTCTCAGTTGCAAAATGGAAAATCGAGATAAACCAGATGCACCAAATTGCGCCCCAACAAGAAATACTTCAGATCTTGTCAATTCACACGCCACAAACAACCAAAATTGCCGTTTTGTCTTTACCGCAATTTATTGTTCATCGAACCCATATCAACAAGTGTCCAAAGCAGCTGAATTCAATCTCCTATGCTGCAACTATACCTTAGTTTGGTACGATTCATTTAATATTGTTCGATCTCGAGATCTTCTTGAGATCTTACAAACACAGTCACAGTGATTACTGTAACATAAGTGCCATAACAAGCATCATTCAAGTGTCCAAATCTCAAGTTCGAATAAAACTCATACAGTCCTCACACTTTCTAACAAACTATCAAAGAGATGAACATTAAGAAGAACATCACACTGCTCGAAACCGAAAATCGAAAACAGAAACAGTAAACACTATAATCCAATCGAATCAAATAGCATCCACACAATCCCTTTTTCCTGATAACATCAAAAGAATGATGAATTTTGGAAAACACAGCAAAACCAGTGATGAAACATTACTGATATTTCCATCAAAGATCATATCAATATCAAGTCAACATTCTGTAACCCTACCAAGAAATAGGAAACGAAGAAGAACACCGTGTCAAATGGGGAAGAACAATTCAACGCAAGATATATATATATATATATATAAATCGAACAGTAAAAACCCTCGTAATCAATCGAAGCATTGCTAATCATTAAATGCCGAGATCAGATCATTGAAAACCATCATCCAACCGTCCAAATCTCAGCCTTACAAAATACACAAAACCACAATTTCGAAACCAAAAAACTAAAAAAATCAACAGACGAAAATTTCAACGGAAGATCAAATCCAATCAACACAATTTCCGAGAAAAATAAAAAATAAAAATCAAACAATCAGAATCGAATTTCAATTACCTGTGCCAACTAACAGACCAAAAACCCAATCAAAATCCTCACCGGTTCAACTCAAACCCCAGCACCACAAATTGCGGTCGATTTCAACAAAATTGAAGACGCCCAAACTCAAATCGAACCATTAATCGAATAAAAAGGGGAGTTGGGAGTGAAGAAAACCGCATTACGGAGCGAAATGCTCAGAACTGAGAGGGAAGCTAGGAAAGCTGACATTCAGAGAAAGAAAGAAAGGGTGGATTTAGTGGTGAGGAAAAGGGAAAGGAGGCCATGAAAGGAGGCTTAAATTTGTCAACAAGCAAAGGGCTCGCAAGGAAAAGAGGAAAAAAAGCGAGAGAAGATTGGAGTTTCTGGATCTGCTGGGGCCACAAAACCCACACACACTTTACGAACAAGGTCGAAGGGAAGAGAGGAGAATAACTTACCTGAGAAGAGACATGGGATTTGTCAATCTATGGGGACCCAGAAAGGTGGAGAGATCGGTCTTTCTTGGGAGGTCCGGGAGTAAGGACCTTATATGAATGCAGCCCGCCTGTGATGGGGATCTGATTTGTTGAGTCTGCAGATTGGTCTGGTCCGGAAGTCCTGGGCCTTGTAGGAAAAGAGGAGCGGCATCGCCGCATGGGTGTAGGATATCTCGAAAAACCTAAACTTTTGTTTTTATTTATTTCTTTTATTGCAGTGATTATATAAATGTGATTGTTTTTGCTGTGTTTATATAAATATTTTTTAAACTTCTGATACTGTATTTTTTATTTTATTTTTAACAAAATATTAAATTAAATATTTAATTTCTTTTCTATTTTTAAATATTTCCAAAAACCAAATGCTTCTATATAAACGGAGCTTAATATCATTAATCTTGAATTTTTTATTACAAGAACCAGAGTGCTCCAGACAAAGGACTGATTTGGATCTACTTGATAAAATATACTTCCTCCGTACACAAACTAATATCCTAATTTTCCAACGTCGTTCAACAACTATTGTCCTATTTCTTTTTTTAAACACAAATTTTACATTTTTACCTTTCATTCATTTATTACTTTAATCTCTACTATACAATTAATAACAAATTTATCAATTCATAACAAAAGACAATTACCTAAAAAATTGTACTTGTAACAATAGAAATTGAAAGAGGGAGTAAGAAATAAAAAAGGGTAAAAAAGAATCAATGGATTAATCCAAGAAGAAGCCCATACAAACGGCCCAATGTACCAAAAAATTAAACAATTTCAACTCTGTTAAATAATGTCTAATTGGATGAGGCCCAGATCTAATAAGAATAATCTTGGGTTATTTTGCTATTTTACAGGAACTTGTGGGTGTGAAATTTGTATCAACGACTTCGTGCCACTACTTTGAAAATTTTAAATATTGTTCATTTAGAATAATTTATTTATTTATTTTCAAAAATACATCAAATTACATCACACATTTTTTCTTAAAAAAAAAAAAGAAAAAATTATTCCTAATTTAAAAAAAATACTCCATTCGTCCCATTAAAATATTGTCATTTTCTATTTCATTCCGTCCTAAAACAAAATTATCGTTTTATAATTTAGTAATTGTGTAATAAATACTCTTCAAATCTAAACTATATCAAATGTCATATTACATTTATATTATATAATACTAATATGAATATTTTTATATTTTTACTATTTCAATTGGACGAATGGGTAATATATATTTAGACTAGAATTAGGGTTTGATTTGGATATTGGATTTAACTAATATTCCCTCCGTCCCATATCTATATATTCATTTGTTTTTTGCACGGTTGTAATGTTAGATAGTGCAATTACTCAAAAAAAAAAAAAAAAATAGATACTATTATGAGACGGATCAAAATAGAAAAATGAATAGATTGTTACTGGACAGAGGGAGAGGGAGTATTTAATTTGATATTTTATTAAAAATAAAAATAAATAAAATAAAAGGAAACAATTAAACAAAACGTGTAAGCAGGAAGTATAAACTAGAGAGCTTCCATTTCAGGATCCAAACAATCACTAGAGTTTGGGTTTTAAAACTTGCAATGAAATACAACTGAAAATCAATCGTCTGCCGGTGCTGAAATTCAACTTTGGTTTTTGTTTCTATCGTTGCTGAGAAACTAATTTGGGTTTGTTTAAATAGAGGTTTTTGGAATTTTGAAAGTTTGAGAAAAAGTAAAAAGTTAATATTTGATTTGATGTTTTGTGATAAAAAATGTATTTGATGTGATGTATTTTGAAAGTGTCAAATGAGTAAATGTGTGTTGTGCAAACAGAACAAAAATATTCCTCCGACTTGAGATTTTAACAAACAATTAACAAAGAGTCAAATCGCATGAATTTTCACTACCTCTCAAGAATTTGGCATATGGCTTTCAGTTGCCTAAACATATACAGGAACAAAGATATCGCCCCAAAAGAATTTATAACGCCTAGAGCGAGTGCAATATGGTAAGTAAGTTCCATATATCGTAAATGATTATTTGTAAGAGTAAAAGAATGGGGTTTTTACTATAGACTAACTCTGTGCAATAGGAGGTTGTAATTTTCCTAAAGAAAACTTACTGATGCTTGGGAAGAGAAACCATTTACATGGAAGTTGCATGGAAGTAATTGTCTTTCGGTATTCTGTACAAGGATCGAAGAATTCTCACTTGGGAAAAAATGTTGGAAAGATTTTGCCCATGAAACTGCAAAAAGATAACAAACTAAGCATCCAAAAAGAATGTTAGAAATGCAATCACATAAGAGAAACATAATATGATTTTCCATGAAGTCGGAATTGCATGTTAAGATTTCTTATGCATATCCAAGTATTGAGGTGCGGAAAGACACCTTTTGTAGCAAATAAATGCATTCTATCGTATAGAAATTGTTAGATGATGTAAATAGCCGTCTCACCTAAAAACTTAAGCTATTAGATATACGCGTAATTTATTTACTTATCTACAAATGAGAGTCCACAAACGGAAACATTTTAATAGCATTGCATAAGATAGAGCATCGGAAAAAGTTGCAATACTAAACATGAAGCCAAATTTCTAAATGATGGTCCTAAAATCACTTTCAAGTACTCCACTTTTAAATGATGTTTCGCCATTTCGCGAAAGTAAAACTGTAAATTAAGTCGAGTACTCAGGTTTGAACTCGAATCGTTTGAAAAAATCTGTGTACCTCAACTTGGGGGAGCATTTCTGTTTCTCGATAGAAACATGCTCTTTACAAATTTCGACATTAGTAGATGATGGATTCTCAGTTGTGGTACTTTCATAATTGTGTAAAAATCATGCACATTTCCATAAACACAACGACACAGCTATCAAAAAAGTGGAGAAGAGCAGCAAACAGTGACTACATTCCAGGTGATTCCTCAACAGAAAGAAAAATGGAAGCAAGATGATGCAAGTCTAAAGATATCATTTATGAGACAGATCTTACTTGGTGGTGTTCTATCTTGTGCGTTATCGACTTCATTAGGAGCCTTCAACTAATCAGGGCGTAGGTTCTGAATTCTGCACTAGCGATTTCAACTTCGAATTTGCAGGGATAAGTATGTTCTGTACAACTGATTGCAACTTCAGAGACTCTTGTCCCGCTAGACTTCCTCGATATGGTTCTGGTACAGTCCAAAGCACAATAGTTACTGCATTCTTCGATTCAATAAGTACAATAAGATCTGAATGTCCATTAAAAACCTGGGGAAACCAGAACCTGTGTGCAAGAAGTACACGTCGTTCAATGCTTCAAGATTTTCACTGCAGCCACCAATATAAACTAGAACTCCCCTTTGAGGGTCCAAACAATCACCGGCCATGAAAAATCTGCCAGAAGGGCATTCGCCTATAGTTGTAATTTTAGTCCATGTTCCATTTCCTGCAGAAATCATGACAGGGTTGTAAAATCCCAGCTGTTTCACATTCTAAGTTTGTGCATACTCACGGTCATTACCAACACTGACAACTCGTGGACATAAATAAGCAAAAATAATGACTTATCTCCGTTTTTTTTTTTAACTTACTCATGAAAATTATTGCATCCATTTCCTTATTATGAACTACTCTAGCATGTTTAGGATAGTGTGAAATGTGTTTATAGTGGCGCAGCAACTGTATTGAAAATGAAAATATGTAATACTCCAAAAAATTGGTGTGAAAATTGATTTAACTAAACTGATAAATTACTGGATATTACATACCAATTTCAAGCTTATAAACATCATTGTACAGCTTCGACTCTTCTGAGACACCCCCAAAGACGAGCAAGTTATCTCCTAAACCAATTGCTGTGTGGCCACCTCGAGGTGGCAATATCTCACCAGTACAATGCATTTTGTACCAGACTTTATTATCTGTTTCATCAAATTAAAAAAGAATATATATATATATATATAGATTATCGCATATCAACATGTACAATACACACACATATATAGATAGGCGGTCAATAAAGAGGGAAGTTTCCATCAAGAAAATAATATTTACCAAAAAGGTATTATCATACCAACATGAATCCGATGGACATCTGGCGAACTGGAACTACTCGAGTCTTCTCCACCTACGACAATAATGTTGTGCCTCCAAGATATGCAGCTCTGACCCTCCCTCTTGCTTGGAGGAGTCCCATCTGTTACGACATTTTTCCACTGGAAGGTCTCTGAAAATGATGGAAGAATGAATTGAGTTTTCCATCATCAGCTAAACCTTTTACCATGCAATGTGGTATACATAATTGTTGCTATATTGGATTAAGTTCTTAAAACTTCTACAATTCTTAAATCCATCAGCAAAAATTATGTCTGGCTTAGAAGTGTTATTTATTAAATGCATACAGCAGTGGCCTTACGACCGGACACAGTTAATGTTAATTGAGTTGCTTAGCATTTATCATGTGAATAAAAGACTCAAACTTGATAATTAAATCAAGTTAAGGGATTCTTATATAGGGAAATTTCATTATTTTGCATGTTTAGATCTGTTTCTGTTGTAACTCAATCATCATATAACATCTTTACGGTGAAATGCTCCTTTTAGGCAACGAAAAATCTTTCAGAGATGGACACATTGCGACTCAGGAGGTAAATGAGGTAAGGTACAAGGAGCATACCGGTATCCAATGTGTGAAGATCATTGTAGTAGACGTCACCATTCTCAAATCTTCCACATCCACCATATATGAAGATCCTTTTATCAATAAGCACTGCACTGTGACCTTCTCTAGGTTCTGGTACATCACCGCTAACACTCGGTAAGATCCACGACCTGCTGGCTAAGACAGAGAAATATATGACAACATATAATTAATTCATGTAACGATCAACCAAGAGTCTGATGAAACTTTAAGCTTTTTCATGCTGCAGGTAACAAGCTGTATTCTGTATGTATATATATATATATGGGGTAATATTTTCATAGATAGATTCCAAGTATTATTGTTTTTGACTGATAATATTGTAGATACAAAGACAATAAAGAACAAACATGTGTAGGTGGAGACAGAAATCACAGGATTCCAAGATTTCATATGAATGCAGCTTTTTCCTTAAAACAAAGGTGTTGATTAGAGAAAAATGAACTCACCAGTATCCAGAATATGTAAATCATTGAGTGGCTTTGTCCCATCTGTACCTCCAAAAACAAATAGACGATCTCCAACGGTTGTACAGCTGTGGCTATGCCTTGGGGCAGGTGGGTTGCCCCTCATCATGGCTACACGCCAACATAGATATTCTGAATGCATGAAGCAACACCACAATCAGAGTCTTGATAAAAAGAAAAATAGACGACAGGCGGTTCTCAATGAAGCCGACTCTATTCTTTTAGCAACTTTTTTCTGCTTCATTGCTCTGCAATCCCAAGCTCCCCCCAAAATGCACTGTTCCCTCTTACAAAAACATCAAATCAAACTAATATATGATCACAAAATAGAAACACAAACAAAACAGAAATCTCAAGGGTATGTTCTTTTGTAATTTAGTTTAGCTTTTTTGGTTTGAACTGTATACAAAACAGAAATCTCAATGGTGTGTTCTTTTGTAATTTAGTTTTGTTTTTTAGGTTGGTTTGATCGCTAAGTTGGACTTAATGTTTTGTGATATAAAACAAGTAATTTTTTATTTTTTATTTTTTGCATAGCAAAAACCAGGCATCAAAATATCAGAAAAAGACTGAGCAATATACATCGACTCATACATTATCGAAAATACAAACTATCAAAGAGCTAACTCATACCCAAAAAAAATCAAGAAACAACACATAAGCCCCAAAAGAACCTCCAAAATGCATACCAAGAAACCGAAACCCTAAATGAAGCCAAGAAAAAGAAACACAACGGCGTAGAGACCATAGCAGTCAAACCTGTAAAAAAAATGTCTACTCTATCGGTCCGGCTGAAGCTCTGCCCATACCCACCCAAAACATAGACACGCCTCCCGCCGGAGACGGCGTTGCAAGTATGGCCCCACCTTGCTCCGGGCAGATTAACTTCACCCATCTGCAGCACCTTCTCCCATATCATTGTAGTCGTGCTCTCATTCTGATCACTACTCATAATTTTGCCGCGCGCAGAACTAAAAATGAAACGAACTGAAATGAGTAGGAAGAGAAAATGGTGAATATGATTGATTTGTTGAAATGATTGAGGAGGGTTTTAGGGCTTACCGAATGATCCACCCAGCCATTTGAAGGTCTCCATAACTGCCCGGCGAAGCATGAGAAGGAGTTGAACTGGCGGTTCTGTCAAAGCTACAAGATTTTAGGCTCATTAGATTCCTTCATAACTAACTGGCAGTTGTGTAGATAGATTCTAATTTCTGCTAGCAATTATACGTATAGATGCTTAATATTGTAGATACCATACAAGAACAATTCAATACAAACTCTCACTTAAATCACAATCTGGTGTCAAAGCTACAAGCTTTATATATATATAAAAAAAAAAAAGCTTCTTTTTTAAAGCTATGGATTCTTTAAACAACGCCAAAAGTCTAAAATTTCATGTCAAGAACCTCAGCAAGAGGCTGAAGAGAACTCCTGGCGGTGGCGGCGGAGCTGTGGCTGCCCCGAATCGAATCGTCACCGGTAGGATGTACTTTTGATTTTTTCATTTGATCCTCCATCTCAGCCTTGGCCTTCTCTGCCGCCTCCGCTCTGCTTATTGCCTGTGCCGCTCTCGTCCTGAGCTGCCCGATTTTCGCCGCCGCTAGCTCCAGATCTTTCTTCATATTCTCCAATTCTTCCGCACCTCCATCCACCGTCTCCTCCCCGAATTCGTTCCTTGAATATGTCCCTTCATTTTCTGAGTTTGTCTCGCCAGTATTTTTAGTTTTCTTACAGTTAGAATGGACTTCACCGGTAACTCGGGCCTCGGCTGCAGCCAGTTTCGACTTCCCTTTGTGCAGTTCAAACTTCAGCACCGCTATCTCGACCTGTTCCGTCTCCAGCTCAGATTTCATGTTTTTTAAATGTTCTTTGAGGCGGTTGATCTCTGTGTGTGCATTGCCGAGCTCAGCTCTTAATTGTTTCAGCTCTCCCTCCAGCAGCCTAATTCGATTCGCTTGATCCGAGTTTTTCTTTTGCTGCGTTTCCAGGTTTTCTTCCAGCTTCCTAAGCTTGGCCGCTGTGTCAGAAACAGCTTTCTGAGCCGAGGCATGTAGGTCGTTTGTACGATTCAGCTCCACCTGCAACGAACAAACAATGGCCGTCTTCTCCAGTAACTGATCCTCCAAACTGCGAATGCTTTCGGACTTTTTCTCTACCTCTGCAATGGCTTTCGCTGCTAACTCCGACTCGGCTACTTTCTCAGCCACAGCATTGGCCTTTTCCCTCTCCATTTCAAGAATTCTCTTCTTCATATCAATGATGATCGCTGTCATTTCGGAGACTCGTCTTGTTAGCACCTCCGACTTCTGCTTCTCCTCACTCAAAACACTCTCTGTCGCCTCAGCCTGTAACACAGCCTTAGCCCTTGCCTCCTGCATTATGGCAACCTCTGCTTCCATGTTAAGTATATGACCTTGTGCCGACACCAATTCAGATACAACATGTGAGAGCTGCTCTTGCACCTTCTCAGATTCCTTTGCCTGATGGGCTGCCTGCTTCAGAGCAAACTCGAGTTCATTCATGTGAGCATTGGATACTCGGCATTCATTCGCATAGAATAGTTTCTTCGAATCACATTTTCTTAGCAGGTTCGAAAGCTCATCAGCTGTCTTCCGATGATGCTCTAGCTCGCTAAAGGCATGTTTGTATGCAGCGTCTTTCGCCTCTAGCTCAAGCTTTGCATTTTCCAAGTCTTGTTTCAACTTTTCGAGCTCCTTCTCTTTTTCCAGCTCCTGCTGTTTAAACAAACAATACCTTCACTATTCATCATTCCTTGAGAAATGATATATTCGAAGAAAATCAAGACATACTCGGTTGTTGTCGAAGAAAACTTCCTCGTCGCCTATGTAGGAAATTGCAGCCTGGACTGCTTGGATGGATTTAGTTTCATTATCCATTGAGTTTCACCTGCAAGCAATTCTGTTTTTAGGGAAAGAACTGACCCTGCAACACTAATCTCTGTTCATATTATTGTAAGGAATTTTGTCCAGAGAATATTGGACGAATTGAGGCGGTGCCTATATGCATGTAATAAACAATAAAGAAAGTTCTTAGTAGTAATCGACCAAGAGCATCAGATTTTTGTGTTATATATATAATATATATATATATATATATATAAGGCACAGCTGAACTAGGAAATAAAAATACACAGCTGGATAGGACCCTGAAACATAGGTATAATCAATCTAATAGGATCCTAATAATCCTTTGCAACCATTGACATGGAAAAGGGGTTATATAACTAGCAGCAAAGAGATAAAAGGGGGATGATATATATATATATATATATTAACTTATACCTTTTATGAGGCATTTACAAGTTTTGGTCGGCTGGTGTTAGGATCTACTTCTACTCGGAGGCCCAGTCCAGCTATTTCAGGCACATCCACTGATCCCTGTACCTCCAAATCAGCTACTAATTGTTTGTTTTCCGCATTTCCTTCCAAAATATTTCTCATAGACCAGATACCCCATTCCCTCAAGTAAGGATTGTCATCGTCAACAACACATTGCTGAAGCATTAGAAGAATCCCATCTTGTTCCCGGACTTCATCCTGAACATGCTTCCTGTGATAGCTGCAGTTTCCGATAATGGCGACCAAATCTCTTCGAAAACCTCTGTATGGGTTATACATGGGCGGGACAGAAGTTTTCCGATCATTGGCACCATCATATTTCACTGCTTTCCTGAGCAATGCTGGAAGCTCTAGATCACGTAGCAGGGTTATAAGAAATTTGATAAGGCCGACTGACAGTAGCATCTCTACAGCATCCTCTTTTCCATCTGGGCTTGAGATTTTCAAACAATCACAAGCACTAATGTCTCTTAAAACTGACAAGGCATAGCCCGTTACATCGGTATCTATTGAGCCAGTTGGAAGCGGAGCCTTTCCCCTCAATGTAAAATCAACATGTTCAGTAGCATTTTTAAAGAGCTCAAAGATGCACAGAGAAAATTCAGGGGAAACAACAATTTCTCCCATTTGCTCATTTAATATTTCTGAAAGAACTCTCAACAAAAATGCTTGCTCAGCTGCATAATGATCAGTTTGAGCTAAATTGTCACTAGCAATCTCAGGTTCAACGACTGGAGATAATTTGGAGAAAAGTGACAAGATTTTAGATTCTTCTATACAAATTCTAGAGAGGAGCATCTTCAACCAATCCTCCCTATAACCAGCTGCAAAAAATAGAAATTAAGGTCCATAGATTGCATAGAGGAATTTATAGTTATTAGTATCTACCAGCAAAAATCAAATCAAAGCACATGTTAACTAAAGTTTACAAGGTCTCTACCTACTGTAACTGTCCCTGTAATTCCTGCTATGATATCCAGCCCCGAATCTGTAAGCAGTTCAGCAAATCTTTCATCGCTACCTTCACAACAGGTGTAGATAACCATGCACAGAGGATCACAAATATTCCTATCTTGAACTCTAGCAATCTCCCGAAATCCAAAAGGAAAGAATTCGCGCCATACAGCAACTTGACACTGTTCGCCCGTTAATGAAACATTCCCCAAAGCTTGCAACAACATACGAAGCAAATCATTATTGCAACCAGAAGTCAGCCCCATGGAGCTAATAATGGCTGATAAAATCCCAGCACCATTTTGTTCAATAAACAAGTTCTGATTTCTTATCTCCCCAGCACAGAGGTTTCTGAGTAGCTTAACAGATAAAAAAAGATCTTGAACAGAAAATCGAAATGGAGTTTTGCAAACTTCAAGAAGTGGTACAAGAACACCTTTGGATGCTAGATTTAACCGGCCGTCAGAAGTTTTTGCAATTTCGATAAGACATTGAAGAGTTTCGTTTATAGTAGATAAACCAGAAGCAATAAACAGTGGCTCAAGCACATCATTTTCTGCAGATAAGTTTGGTGATTCTGAATAATCCATAATTGGTAGGGCAACGAAAGGAAACTACTGGAACTAATTTGATGCCTATAGTTCAGCTATCAAGAAACGTATCCTGCAAATACGAACATATGAACATCATTAATCAAATAGTGGCCGACATAAGAAATCTGTTACAACCAATACGTAGGTAATAGGGTCAATTTTTGATAGCTTGAAAGCATCCGATTTCTAGCATCACAAACATACAAATTTGAATTCCGCTTTCTAATATAAACTCTTGACATACCTCAATAGACGCGTTCCGAAGCCCCAGATTCCGACGGCCACGAACGATTAGTCTGCTGGAAGGGAGTCGGTGATGGTGCGGGAAGGAGGAGCAAGAAGAAAGGAGAAGGATGCGTGCAGGCCCGGCCCTTGCCAGGCCCATTTTCTCTAGGGGGCCGGCCCATAAGAGCCCTTAATTATATATATATTATCTTATATACTTAATATATAAATATATACTACTATCTCACTTCCGGAACTATAGTTGGGCAGAAGATTTAAAAAATATTGATGTTATATTAATAGTGAGTATATGTAAAAATTTTGTCCCCGGACAAAAATAGTAACAACATTATTGTATTGGGGCGGAGTGAGTATTATTATTGTTAAATATTTTAAAGAATAAATAAAATTAAATTTTAAATAAAAAAATTATTTCATATTATTTTTTAAATAAATTATGTTTATATTAATTATTAAATTATTTATTTATATGTTTTAGCGTGTTTATTTAATTGTATAATTTTATATATTTTTGTTGTGAATTATGTAAAATTACGAAGATATGATAGAGAATAATATTTTGTGTGTTTTTTATATTTTTATTTTTATGGTTATATATTTAAATTGTATATTCTATTATATTTTTTTGGTGATATTTTTAAAAAATTGTGTATTATATAATGAGTTTATTTTTTATCAAAAAATTTTCAGTACATTTTTTCACAAAAACTAATATATTACATTTTTTTTGTAAAATTTGGAATTTAAATAGAGGTTTGATATAATATAATGTATTATAATCTTTTAAATGTAAAATTAGACTTTAATATAATAAAATAAATGAAAATTGAGTGTTTGATTTGATATTTTTGAAGAAAAAATAAAATTGAAATAGTAAAATAGAAGTGAAATCTTACAAGTAAACAAAGCCAATTATTTTTTTATTAATTATATCAAAAAAATTTATTCAAACCAAAATACAAAACAAAACACCCCTAAATAATACTTTTGTTTGAAAATTTCTTTTAAAGATTTTAACTATTTATAAAAAAATTTCTTTAAAAAATATTAAATCATATATATTTTTTGAATTTTTATATTATACTAAAAATATCACAGTAATTTTATTTATATTTTGATCTTTCAATATATAAAAATTAATTTTATTTTAACATTTACATTAAAATATGTAAAATTATTTTTATTATTATACTAATATAAAAATATATATTTAGGGATCTACTATTTCAATTTTGCCCCAAGCCTACAAAAAATCAGGAACGGGCCGGCCTGCTGGTATAGTTAGGGATGGATAAATTTACCGAACATACCGAAATACTGAGTTATCATACCGTATCGTGTCGAAAATAATGAAAATTTCGGTATACCGAAAACTTCGGTACGATATCGTATGAATTTTCTAAAAGTTTGGTATTTCGGTATGATATGTAAACTATTGAAAATTTATTAATTTTTTCATAATATTTTTATGGTGGAAAATAGTGATATTTATTAATTTTTTTAATTATTTTGAAATTTAAAATTATATTTTCGATATAATCGGTATATACCAATATCGTATCAAAATTGAACTTTTCGGTATAAATGGTATATACCGGTACCTACCGAAAATTTCGGTATACCGAAATTCGGTATGTTGAAACTTTCAGTACGGTACCTGTATGTATTTTAGTCGTACCGAAAATTTCGGTACGATATCGATATCGACAGGTATTTTCGGTACGGTATGTCATCCCTAGGTATAGTAGGGTAAAAAATATAAAATAAAATTTGAATTTGAAGAATTATTCAATGGAATATAAATAGAAGTTAATTTGATATTTTGAGTATAAAATAAATTTATAATATAATATTATAAAAAATAATTATTTAATATGATATTTTTAGAGAAAAAAAAGTTTGTAGTAAAATTTACAAAAAAACACACTCATACTCTCCTATACATTTGTGTTTGTTTTGAAGATTTATATTATATTAATAAGTATTACATATTTATTTATTTGAATTTTGGTATTTTTTATATATTAAAAATAATAAAATTTTAAACTGAATGATAATTTAAAGTGATGTAAACATATATTAATATTATAATATTTTAAATAAAAATAAATATATAATATAAGCTCAAAATTTTCAATCACTAATATAACGACGATATTAAAATTTAAAATTCGACAAAATGTTGACAATATCATGAACTAAGTGCTCGCACAATATATGCGAAAATAAAAATATGTGGGTATTTGTTTGCATCCTTTTAATATGTATAGGACCGGCATTTATTTATTTTTTTTAAAAAAAGATAATATAGTTTTTTTTTTAAAAATAAAAGTATAAAAAATAGTTTCGTTTAGTAAAAAAAAATTAAAAAATTAAGTATAAATTTGAAAGAGAACAAAATATATACTAATCGTGAATAAAAAATTGAAATTAATTTTTTAATATAAATAATATTTTGATATAATTTTTCTGTCCCACTTAATATGATTATTTATATTATAAGTTAATTATTTTTATAAATATATTTTTAATTATCTACTAATTATATTTATTCTAATACTTAGGGTAACCAAGACATTCAACGTGAGATGGGAGAGTAATATTTTATAAAAAGTAAAAAATATATTTTTATTTAAAATTGTATAAAATAAATAATATTAATTTTAATATAAGATTGAAAAATAATAAACGATAAATAAATCATATAAAAACTTCATTATGTTGAAGACTTTCAAAAGTAATCGAAAGGATAAGTATATAATAATAAAATATATTAACAGGAGTATTAGATTAACATTAACAAAAACTAAAAACACTTGTTCAATCCAATGTACCCTAAAAAATAATTAACGGCGACGGGCGGTGCGCGGCGGCGCTCTGCTCTGAAACAGCACCACCGCCGCCTCCGCCAAACACTACTCTACCACTACGCTATCAAAACGCATACCAGCAACCGTATGCACTCAATTCCGCAATCAGATGAATTAGCCTAATCCAGATCGTTCGTGAACTGACTCATAAACATCAAGGCAAGCAGAAAAAGGCAAATCAAAGTGGCGAGGCTGCAATCAGCCATCAGAGAGGCAATTACCTTACTCTCCGTTATCAAAATCATCCAGACGTGGTGGATAACAGATTTGTACACGACAGTTGCGACGACGAGCGAAGTTGCGAGGATGCAGATCCATTTGGCGGAGGGCGCTGGGAAGCAGAAGCACGCGTACGCCGCCGCCATGGTGATTAAGATCGCTTCCGCCGCCACGAGGTGGAAGAGGAGGTTCATTACCGAGGACCAGTGGTTGAAACTGTATATGTACAGCGCTGCGCAGAGTTGATTGAAGAGGCCGCCGAGGACTATAAGACCAATGGATTTGCCGTCCGACATCTTCGAGGAAATCGATCGGAATTTGCTCGCCGGAGAGGAGATGGAATTCGAAACGGAAGATCTGTGTCGATTGAGGCGGAATCGGTGATTGAATGAATGAATGGCGAGGAACAGGATTGCTCGTACGTATTTATAGGCGAATTCGTATTGTTCATCTGCATAATGAATCCCGGATTATTCGCTATCTTTGAAAATAAAAATTTAAATTTATATATCTACATATTTAGGAGTCTTATAAAAATATACTCTTATCTTTCAACTCAATACCTCAATTATGTTTTTAATATTTTAAAAAATAATAATAGTATTTTATTAATTAATAAAAAAATAACTAAAATTTTGACCAGCATAAATAATACTTTTTAAGATCACATTTATTTTAGTACTTAATATTAAAAATATCCGTATAATAATTAATATTTAAAAAATAAATAAATAAAATTTTTAGGAGAAAAAATTAATTTTGGTTTCAATATAACCAAAATTTATAAATTTTGGTCACAATATAAAAAACTCATCAATTTTGGTCCAAATATAAAAAACTCATCAATTTTAGTCGTAATATAAACAATTTCAATCAATTTTGGTCCCATTATAAACAATTTTAATCAATTTTGGTCCCACCGTTAAAAAACTAACGAAAATTGCTGCCGTGGACATGACGGATGTGACGTGGCAGTTGACATGGAAAGTACACGGCCATGTACAATTATACACGTCCATGTTGTTACATGGCTATGTATATTTCAGTGTATAATTATACATGGTCATGTTGTTACACAACCATGTATAATTCTACACGGCCATGTTGTTACAGGGTTATGTATATTTCAGTATATAATTATACATGGTCATGTTGTTACACGGTCATGTACAATTATACACAGTCATGTTGTTACATGACCACGTATATTTCAGTGTATAATTATACATAACCATGTTGTTACACGGCCATGTATAATTCTACACGGCCATATACCTTTCTGTTTTGGTCTAAAATTTTAATTTTTTGTTATATTTTTTAATTTTTTTTTTTGAATTTAGAATAGTTGATATAGTTAAAATGGAAAAAAAAATCAATAACAATAATAATAATATAATTAAAATATATTAATTTTAGTTTAAATATAAGTATTTATCGAGTATGTTTTTTGGAAGATTTTGTCTACAATTCTACTATTTAGAAAAAAAAAAAATTCTTACAAACATTCAATTAATGTATTGAAATAATAAATTAATTTTTAATACTACTATAATATACAAAATAAAAAAATAATTGTATAATTGGATGTTTGTAAGAGAAATTTTTTTGGTAAATAGTAGAATTTTAAACAAAATTTTTCAAAAGAACATACTCGATAAATATTTATATTTGAGCTAAAATTGATATATTTTAATTATATTATTATTATTGATTTTTTATTTCCATTTTAACTATATCAACAATTCTAAATTCAAAAAAAAAAAATTTAAAAAATATAACAAAAAATTAAAATTTTAGACTGAAACATAAAGGTACTCGGCCGTGTAAAATTATACATGGCCGTGTAACAACATGGTCATGTATAATTATACACTGAAATATACATGGTCATGTAACAACATGGCTGTGTATAATTGTACACGTCCGTGTAACAACGTGACCATGTATAATTATATACTGAAATATACAAAACCCTGTAACAACATAGCCGTGTAGAATTATATATGACCGTGTAACAACATGACCATGTATAATTATACACTGAAATATACATGACCATGTAACAACATGGCCATGTATAATTGTACATGGCTGTGTACTTTCCATGTCAACTGCCACGTCACATCCGTCATGTCCACGTTAGCAATTTTCGTTAGTTTTTTAATGGTGGGACCAAAATTGTTTAAAAATGTTTATAATGAGACTAAAATTGATTGAAATTGTTTATATTGAGACTACAATTGATAAGTTTTTTATATTGAAACCAAAATTGATAAATTTTGGTTATATTTGGACCAAAATTGATAAATTTTTTATATTGAGGTCAAAATTGATAAATTTTGATTATATTGGAACCAAAATTAATTTTTTCCCAATTTTTTGAGGCGGAAGGAGGTAATATATAATAAAAATATATATTAAGTTGAGACAATATATATATGAACTTGTTTATTTGAAATATTTGACTATTTATTTTTATTTTTATTTTAAATTAAAATTAATACTATTTATAATACTGAAAAAATTAGATATATTAAAAAATATGATTCTAATCCAACAAAAAAGTAATACTTGAATCTGAAAAAATAAATTTAAAAAATTTTGAATTGTCCTAATATGTCAAGATTGTTAAACCTTACCGACAAATTTATTATTATTTAATTTTATAATAACAATAAAAAATATTACTATTTATTTTACAAAATATTATGTTAAAATAGTGTTTAAATCAATCAAATAAAAATTTTATATTCAAATAAAAAACCGAAGAATAGTTTATTTATCAACATATTCTAATGAACAAAATAATAAATAAATAATAACTAAAAGACAAAATAATAAATAAATAATAACTAAAAGACAAAATAATAAATACACACTATGGTCCCACAGCTTTCTAATAATAGCAAAGGATGCAACCTCGTAGTTTTGATTGCAACCCGAAAAGGAAATAGCTGTCAGCGCATAATCCACCTGAGGAATATTAAAAGAAAAAACAAAAATAATAAATAAATAAATAAATAAAAGTCAAAGTCAACTGCAATATCCTTTTTCCATCTGTCGTTTCTATTTTTGTCAATCAGCCGTCTCTCTCAAATTCGATTTATTTATTTGGTAAAATTTTTCTGTAATAAATCGATCATAATTTGATAGATATACCTGAAACGATCACAATCCGAAATTGATTATCCCTCTTTTGATTCTTCTTCAATGCATCAAATCCTAAAACTCTGGAATTCTTCGTCAATTGACTACTGTCCTACTTGCTGCCTACATTCCCTTCCACGAATCTGTTCTTGTATCCGCCTGCATTGTCTTCCTCTTAATCGCTCTTCAATCCGTTCGATTGAGCTCCAATTGAGCGCTATTATTTATCCAGTGCTGCGAAGGGCAAAACCCTAATTTGGGTTGGTTGCCGATTTGTTGCTGGTATTAATTATGAATTTCTTGAATAAACACCGCTGGCCGTGATTACGTGATCGCCATTGTTGGTTTGATTGGATTGGGGAAATCGTAAGAAGGTCCGTTGGTTAGTTAGGTCAAATTCAGGAAAGGAAATTGGAAGCTGGATTGGAAAAGGGGTTTTGGATCCGATCAGGGATGAAACAGCGCCATTAATTCAATGGCGCTGTTCAGAAGATTCTTCTATCGGAAGCCGCCGGATCGGCTTCTCGAGATCTCTGAGAGGGTCTACGGTACGCTTCGAACTAATTTGTTTTCGTTCGTTCGTTTGTTTGATTATGAGTTCGGTTCTTCAGCACTCGGAAATTTTGACATATAATGGCATTACGCTGGATGTATTTCATGGAGTTTTTGAGGGATGTTTATATACTTTGTAAGGAAGGGGAATATAGCTGAACTTGGCCTTAAAGTTTGCTGAGTTGATTAGAACTATTTGTAGGATGTTGCAGTTCGATGAAGTTCCAATTTAGTTTTCTGTCATTTAATGCACAAGTTTCATTTTACCATTTCTGGAAGAAAATGTTGATGCACAAATTTGTTGTTGTTTGAAAAATATTTCAATCTATCGTAGAGTTTAAATTACTCCATGAAGATTACAGTGTCTTAACAATAAAAGATGATTTATAGATGATCTAGCTAGATTAGTTGTTAAAGTCATGGTTTCAATATGAAGGATAATATCTTGGATTGCCATATTGGTTCTTGTTTGCGTTTCAAATTACTCCATGAAGATTACAGTGTCTTACCAATGAAACCTGATTTATAGATGATCTAGCTAGATTTGTTGTTAAGTCATGGTTTCGATATGAAGAATAATATCTTGGAGTTCCATGTTGGTTCTTGTTTGTGTTTCAAATTACTCCATGAAGATTACAGTGCCTTAACAATGAAACATGATTTAAATATGATCTAGCTAGATTTCTTGTTAAAGTCCTGGTTTCGATATGAAGAATAATATCTTGGATTACCATATTGGTTCTTGTTTGTGTTTCAAATTACTCCATGAAGATTACAGTGCTTAACAATGCAACATGATTTAAATATGATCTAGCTAGACTTTTCGTCACAATCATGGTTTCGATATGAAGAATAATATCTTGGATTTGCCGTATTGGTTCTTGTTTGTGTTTCTTATATATACTTTCCCTGTTGACAATGGATGCTTGTGTTCTTGAGAATTTTGACATTTTAGGAATCATTGTTGGGCTTGGTGTAATGATGCCTGATTGGTTGTGGATTTTGTTGGTGGTGCAGTGTTTGATTGTTGTTTCTCTAGTGATGTGCTTGACGATGATGAGTATCGAACATATCTGACTGGAATTGTAGCTCAGCTTCAGGATCACTATCCTGATGCTGCTTTCATGGTTTTCAATTTCAAAAGAGAGCAAAAGAGCCAATTGACCGACATACTGTCTCAGTTCGGTATGACAGTCGTGGATTACCCCCAGCAATACGAAGGGTGTTCAGCCTTACCTCTGGAAATGATCCACGACTTCTTGCAGGTTAGCGAGACTTGGTTGTCTGTCGAGGGCCAACAAAATGTCATATTAATGCACTGTGAAAGGGGTGGATGGCCTGTGCTTGCATTTATGCTTGCAGGCCTTCTTCTATACAGAAATCAGTACACAGGTGAGCAGAAGACCCTGGAAATGGTATACAAGCAAGCACCAAAGGAACTCCTATCTCTTACGACTCCTTTGAATCCTCAGCCATCTCAGATCAGATATCTAAAATACATCACTAGAAGAAATATTGTATCAGACTGGTCTCCATCAGCTGCGCCTCTGATTTTGGATTGCATAATACTCAGATTCCTTCCTCTGCACAATGGTGGGGTAGGCTGCCGGCCAGTGATTCGCATATATGGTCATAAATCTTCTTCTAAATCACCCACTTTAAGTTCAAGGGTTCTGTTTTCAAGTGCTGAAGTACAGAATAATCTCCGTCTCTATGTACAGGTAATGCCACGAATTTTGGAGTTCTTGTTAGATAAATTGAAAGGTCGGCATCTTGATTTGCTCTTATGACCCGCTGCTGCAGGAAGAGTGTGAGCTAGTGAAATTAGATATCCGTTGCCGTGTTCAAGGCGACGTTGTTGTAGAGTGCATCCATTTAGAGGATGATCTAGTGAAGGAGGAAATTCTTTTCCGGTTTATGTTCCACACTGAATTTGTCAGGTCAAATGTCCTGATAGTGACACGGGAAGACATTGATGTGCTTTGGGATGCCAATGATGAAATTCCGAAGGAATTGGGGGCAGAGGTGAAGCTTTTATACTTGTGGCTTATTCATTGGTTTCTTGGAGCTGCTTTACGAATAACCAATTTGCTTGTATCAGGTACTCTTTACAGATCCAGATTCTATTCCTTTAGTTATTAAGACAGATGCCGTAACAGAAGATGGAGATGAAGCAGAAGAGGACTCACCTGAGGAATTTTTTGAGGCAGCAGAGATATTTTCTAATCTAGTAGATGCACAGGATGCTAAAGGGGAGCTGGATAGGATTAAGATCGAATCTAGTGCTCAGCAGGGTGATGGTAATCGTGAAGTAGCCTTGGGGGATGATTTAGAAAATTCTGCAATTCAAATTTCCAGATTGAATGAGGTTAAGGGGGAATCTGATAGTATTAAAACCGAAGCTGGTACTCAGCAAGATGATAGTAATCATGAAGTAGTCTTGGAAGAAAAAAATTCAAGAGCAGATGAGGTTAAGGGGCAGTTGCAAAGCATTGAAACTGAACCTATGGATCAGCGCGATTATATGAATAATGAAGTAGCCTTGAAGGATGATTTTCCTGTGCTTCAAACTTCTGGATCAGATGAGGTTAAGGGGGGTTTGGAAAACACTGAAACTGAAGCTAGGACTCATCAAGATGACGGTATTCTTGAAGTAGCCTTGAAAGATGATTTGGAGAATCCAAACCTTCAAATATCCGAATCAGATGAGGTTAAGGAGGAAATGGATAGAATTAAAACTGAAGCCCATATTCCACAAGATGATAAGAATCATGAGGTAGCATTGAAGGATGATTTGGAAAATTCAGCGGCTCACAGTTCCAGATCAGATGAGGTTAAGGAGGGGTTGGATAGAATTAAAACAGAAGCTAATTCTCAGCAAGATGATAGTAATTTCAGGGATGATTTGAAAAATCTTGCACTCGAAAGCTCGGGTTCAGATGAGGTCAGTCACTCACATAATCAGGATCTGGGTCCTAAATATGAATTCTTGCACAATGGTGGTGTTGAATTGATAGATATCTTGGATGCCATTGTTTCTGATGGTACTTCTGAAGCTATATCGGAAAATACTGGTACACATAGCAAGAAATTGCTAGAGGAGAACAAGAAAAGTGAAGCAAAGCTTATTATAATGAAGATGATTGAAGAGCAAGGTTTGCAGGACAAGCTTTCTGCTGATAACAATCAACAGGGTTTGGATAATGGGGATATTGGTGAGCAGAAGAAAGAGTCTGTTTACACTGCAGATTTGGTTGGAACCAACAAGAAAAATAAGCAGAAAAACTCTGTGGGTTCTCCGAAAATATTGGCAAAACCAAATGCTGTGTCTAGGTGGATACCCTCTAATAAAGGTTCTTACACCAATTCGAGGCAAGTATACTATCCTCGATCAAGGTGTAACAGTGCTCCAGAAGTTCTATCTATTGGAAAGAACTCCACATCTGGAGAAAAATCTAAGCACATGATGGTAGCTTCAGTTGACAGAACTGCATTGCGCTGGGGAAAGCATGCATCCTGCCCGTCATTGTTGAATTTCTCATCAGTCCGAGAAACTTCCTCAAAAGCTCCAGTGGGTCATCAAGGCCAGGTACATTCTCCGGAGGGGGCTCTGCCTTCACCTACTCCTTCATCTTCACCACCACCACCACCACCTCCACCTCCTCCACCACCTCCACCACCACCAGCTTCTTCTAGATATCTATATAAGCCTGCTTCACCCCCCACAATAATTCCTAATGATGGAGAGGTTTTGTTGCCTTTTTCATCATCCCCGCAATCTTCTTCATTGGTTTCTGCTGATGCATTTTCCCCTTCAAGATTATTGTCGCCTCGGCCTTGTCCGAATGAAAATATCATTAAATTTCTGCCTACTCCTCCTCCACCTCCTCCACCACCACCAGCTTCTTCTAGATATCTATATAAACCTGCTTCACCCCCCACTATAATTCCTAATGATGGAGAGGTTTTGTTGCCTTTTTCATCATCTCCACAATCTTCTTCATTGGTTTCTGCTGATGCATTTTCCCCTTCAAGATTATTGTCGCCTCGGCCTTGTCCGAATGAAAATATCATTAAATTTCTGCCTCCTCCTCCTCCCCACTCTCTGCTACCTATAAGTTTGAGTACATCTGTGCAAGAAACAACACAGACTCCTCAAGCAGCATTATCTTCTGCCTCTTCTACTGTGCATGATGGGCTTACCATTTCACCTCCACCACCCCCTCCTCCACCATCCCCTTGGTGTACTGAAAATTATAAGCCTGTATCTCCAGAATTATCAAGGTCTTCATCTCTCTCTACTTCTTCATTTCCTCCACCTAATCTAAATGGTGTTCCTCCTCCTCCTCCTACTCCACCACCACCACCTCCACTGCATTCTTCAACTAATGTGTCTCCTTCACTTCCACCACCACCACCACCACCACCGCAACATCCACCTCTTTTATCAAGAGTGGCATCCCCACCTGTGCCTCCACCCCCACCCTCTTCTCTAGTTCATTTATCTATAACCCCATCTTTAGCTCCACCATTAACCTCTTCTCATGAAGCACCTGCATCACCACCTACTCCATGTACAGCAGGTTTCCCTCCACCTCCACCACCTTCTCTATCCATGGAAGTGGTAATGAAACCTTCATCCACAACCAATCTTTATGGTGCATCATTGCCATCTGCTTCAGCACCCTCTACATCCCTAAAAGAACAAGATCCTCCCTTACCGCCTTCACCACTTGGGGGGAAAACAACATCTCTACCACCCCATCTACCTATGGAAGGACAAATGCCATACTCACCACCATCTGTACCACCTACGAGAGAAATGCCACTAACCTCACAATCACAACCACCACCTCCACCACCACCCCCACCACCTATGGGAGAGACACTATTTCCATCGCCTACAACACCTATGAAAAAAACTTTAGCTCCATCCCTTATGCCTTTAGAAGAAAAAGTGCCATTATCTCAATCTCTTTCATCTATAGGAGCAATCCCTCCGCCACCACCTCCACCCCTTCCGGTTACAGTTGTAGCACCATTTCCACCCTCTTCGCCTATGGGAGGAGCACCACTTCCACCCCCTCCACCTACCATAGCAACACCTCTTCCACACCCACCACCTCCACCCCCTCCGCCTATGATAATAGAACAAACTCCATCCACTTTACCATTGAGAGTAGCACCACCTTCGCCCCCTTTGCCTAAAGTAACACCTCCTCCACACCCACCCCTTCCATCTATGATAGTTGAACCAACTCCATCCCCTTCACCATTTGGAAGAGCATCACCTCCGCCCCCTTCACCACCTTCTGCTATAGCAGAGGTGTCTACACCTCCACCGCCCCTTCTACCTATAGGAGGAACACAACCTTTTCCGGCTGATTCTATTAAAGGGAAGCCTCCGCCACCACCACCACCTCCACCTTTTATAGAAAGGATAGAACCTTCCCCACCCATGGGAGAAATACCACCTCCGCCGTCTACTATAGGAATGGTCCCTACACCACTTCCACCTCTTTTGGAAGGAATGACACATGCACCTTCTTCATTACCTGTAGGAGGAGCACCACCTCCAACACCTCCGCCACCTCCACCTTTTATTGAACCTACATCACCCCCTTCTTCCATGGGAGGAGCACCACCTCCAACACCACCACCTCCACCTTTTATTGAACCTACACCACCCCCTTCATCCATGGGAATAGCACCACCTCCACCACCTCCACCTTTCATAGGAGAAATTGCACCTCTACCACCCCCTCCAGCATTGGGAGGAGCACCACCACCACCACCACCTCCACCTTTTATGGGAGGAATGACACCTCTGCCACCTCCGCCACCCATGGGAGGAGCACCACCGCCACCACCTCCACCTTTTATGGGAGAAATGGCACCTCCGCCACCTCCTCCACCCATGGGAGGAGCACCACCTCCGCCACCTCCACCTCCTATAGGAGGAGGAGCACCTCCACCACCTCCTCCACCCATGGGAGGAGCACCACCTCCGCCACCTCCACCTCCTAGAGGAGGAGGAGCACCTCCACCACCTCCTCCACCCATGGGAGGAGCACCACCTCCGCCACCTCCTCCTATGGGAGGGGGACCTCCACCACCTCCACCTCCTATGGGAGGAGCACCTCCGCCACCCCCTCCACCCATGGGGGGAGCACCACCTCCTCCACCTCCTCCTATGGGAGGGGGACCTCCACCACCTCCACCTCCTATGGGAGGAGGGGCACCTCCACCGCCCCCTCCTGGATGTCGTGCTCCTGGACCACCGCCACCTCCTGGAGGTGCTCCTGGAGGTGGACCACCTCCACCTCCAGGAGGAGGTCGAGGGTTACCTGCTGGAAGAGGACGTGGGTTAACACGTTCTAATGCTACGGCTCGAAAAGCTAACTTGAAGCCACTGCATTGGAGCAAAGTTACCAGAGCATTACAAGGAAGCTTGTGGGAAGAATTGCAAAGGCATCAAGAACCACAAGGGTATTGATCTTTCTCTCCTGAAGTTCTTAAATGAATTTTGAGTTTTGATTTATGCTTATGCTTTATATTTAAAGCTTTTATTTTATTTCTCTGGGAGTATATATCTATGTAACTGTACATGAAAGTAATGTTATCACTAATTTTTTTTTTCTTGTGTATTGATCTTTCTAGTGTTAGATCTTCCATTAAATTAGAATAATGCTTATGCTTTTTATTTTAAATCTATTATTTTATTTCACCAATGTTTTTCTTTCCATGATTATATATCTATGTATGTGAAAATATTGTTTTCTCTAAGTTCCTTTCTTTGCTTCTCTGTTCTTTTATTCCTGATATATCTCCCTTTATTTACAGGGGAGCAGGAGCAGTTTTTGATGTAAAAGAAATTGAAACTCTTTTCTCCGCTATCCCCAAGAATACAGGTGCCAAAGCTGGAGGGCCGCAGAAGCCTGCTAGTAGTAAACCCACGAAAGTCCAGCTGGTAATGTGTATGAATCCTGTTATTCTTTTTTTTTTTTTTTCTGACATTTTTTATAGTTATTGTTTTTTAACCTTGCAGAAACCTTACATTATAAAGGGAAGTGAAACATAACATATATTGCTGAAATAGAGCTAACATAATCTGGTTAAGATTTTGTTGTTGTCCACTTTTTCCGATTCTATTTCTCACTGATATGCATTATCTTTTGTAGATTGACCTGAAGAGGGCCTATAATGTTGAAATTATGCTCACAAAAGTGAAAATGCCACTTCCTGACATGATGGTAAACTAAAAATACTTTATATCTTTCATTTCTTTCTTTCTTTCTTTTTTTTTTTTTTTTTTTTTTTTCTTTTTTTAATTTTTTGCCTGTTGGAAAATTTCAACCAGTTTGAAAAGCTTAAAAAATTACTTTCAGATCGAGGTCATGTCTTAACATATTTAATTCAGTGCCATGCCATTACTCTAACTGTGATATCCTTTCCCTTTTTAAACATTCTTCATATCTTCAAAATGCTGTTTCTGTACGTGATTGAGAAATTTCAAATTTTCACTTTCCAAATGAAGAAAATATAGTAAAAAGCTGCAATATATTGAGAAACAGAAACTGATTAAAATTTTTATAAGAAGATAAAACTCTTACAGGAAAGATCTGATGAGTCTTGATGTAGAATACATTACTGAATAACCTGTGATCTCTCGTTTGCTACTGTTACACCTGATTGATTTGTACTCCATTTAGTGCCTTATTAAGAAAATCTCCAAGTTGATCTTCAGTCTTGACATATTCAGAGAGATGATTTTGTTAACAAAGTGACAATCAACTTCAAAATGTTGTGTTTATGGAATACTGTATTGGATGCAATATGCATGACAACCTGGTTATCACACTTTAGTCTTATTGGAAAATCAATTTTGTGGCCGATCTCTTTCATTAATTGTTATACATACTTTCTCACAAATAGAGTCTGCCATGGCTCGATATTTAGCTTTAGAAGAAGATCGTGAAACTATATTTTGTTTCTTACTTCTGTGAGATATAAGATTACCTCCTACAAAAATGTGGATTTTCTAGCATCCTACACCCAGCGTAGTCTGCATTAGTGACATCTTCTGTTTCTGAATGATCATGATTTATGTAGAGCAGACCCCAACCATGTGCTCCTTTTAAGTAACATAGAAGTTGTTCTAGTAGGGCCCAATTATGAATTGTAGGCGAATTCATAAACTGACTTTCTGCCCTTACTGGAAATGCAATGTTTGGATTTCTTACTAACCAGCTGCTCCTTTTCAGTAACAAAAGAGTTGTTCTAGTAGGGCATGAATTGTAGGAAAATTGATTATCTGACTTACAACACTCACTGCAAATGCAATGTTTGGGTATGTTATTGTCAATTAGTTTAGCTTCCCTACAAGTTTATGATATCTGTGAGAATCAAGGAACAATTCTCCATTATCCTCTCTAGGTGGTTAGGAATTGTTGGAGTACTGCAAGGCTTGGCCCTTAATTTTCCAGCTCAAGTAGATCAATAACATATTTCTTTTGGGATAGAAAAACCATTTCTTATTTCTCTTTACTTCCAACCCCATAAAATATTTCAATGGCCCTAAATACTTTGCCTGGAAACGGAAGGATAGAGTATCACAGACAAAACAAGTACAACCAAAGACACAAGGTCTGACAAGGAAGGTAGGTTTATGAGGAAACAAGAGAGAGAAAGGAATACTGCCATCAAGGACATCAGAAGGCATACAATTTTCTAGGAAACAAGTAGTAGCAATAATATCAGGCCTAAAGTTTTAGGAACATTCATTTGGAAGAGAAGGGCACCAGTGACCTCCAAGAGATGACGGTTCTCTCATTCAGAACCACCATTTTGAGCCGGAGTGTCTGCGCAAGATTGACTCATGCAGGATTCCACAAGCACAGTCACCTAAACGCTTAAGCTGGTAGGGATACACATCATTAATTTTTCTACATACGACCCCTCACATGTAAGGGGATATATGCCGGATGGAGACGGTGGGATTCGAACTCGAGACCTATGATGATCTAAATCATCGTCTTACCTAAAAGTTTAAGTTGGTAGAGATACATATTATTAATTTATCTACATGCGTGAGTCAACGAACATATTGAAATTGGGATAAACTCTTTAGCAGTATTAGAACGAAGTGCATGGATAGTAACACTAAATTGAGTGAATCTCAACACAAAAGGGGGGGAAAGTGTTGAAACATTTCAGAACTATTTTTCACGAAATAAAGCCAAGTAAGTCAGGAAAAGTCAGAATAAAGGTAGTTATTTCTCATCAGAGTAAAGGGGAGGTTACACACACACACATATACATATATACAGGTATAACTAGTAATCTATCTAGCCAACAAAAGCTTACTAACCAACCCTAATAATCCTAACTATATCAAGAAGATATGACTATCTAGATTACATCTTTATGTAAAACAATATATATATGTTAATTATATAGTCAACATTTATTGGTGAAATCATGTTACGCTAATAAATAAATAAATAAAATTATCAAGACCAGTTTTAGAGTATGATTTCTCATGTGGTAAAGTTGCTGGTAATCATTAAAATAGATTTACATAAAATACATATAAATATTTATCATCTACGTGCTCAAAAAACTGTGTAAGTGATTTTCTATTCCATAAAATAATTTATTTTGATAAATTTTATATGTTTTAAAATAGATCTCTTAGCCAAATTATTACCTAATTTGATAGATTGATATTGTTTCTAAACTAATGAGTACTTATTGTTAAATGATATAAATGATCGCATTACTTAAAAGCTTAAGTTATTAGGGATATGCATCATTTATTTATTTATCTACAAATGAGAGTCAACCAACATGACTCCTTACGTGCAAAGAGGATATACGTCGCTCTAAGAAACTTGCATGTGTACAACGACGAATGAGCCTTGAACTCGAGACCTAAGGTTCTGATACCATGTTAAATGATGTTAATGACCATCTCACCTAAAAGTTTAAGCTATTGGAGATACACATCATTTATTTATTTATCTACAAACGGGAACGGGAGTCAACCAACACTTATGAAGGCAGGGAATTATTTTCCTGGTGCTCATAGTTCTGGAGTCTCTATTTTGGGGTCTAATGAGACATTTTGTGATATTGGTATCTGTATATCTTTTTGCATCTAAACACTATAATGGTGGTGGTGATATCTCTCATATGCATTATATTCTATCTTCTTAGTTACTTACTCTTGGTTTGACTTTTATAACAGTATGGAAGGTTCATTATGACAGGTAGCGGTGCTAGCTATGGATGAAACAAGTTTAGATGCTGATCAAGTGGAAAATCTCTTAAAGTTTTGTCCCAAAAAGGAAGAGATGGATACTCTAAAGGTGGAGCTTCGATGTTCATGTACTACGGCAATTTGGAATACTAACAGTATTATCTTTTTCTATCTTATACCCACTGTTTCTTTTATATTGAATTAGAGTTATGATCTTTTAGGGCTACACGGGTGATGTAGAGGATTTGGGGAAGTGTGAGCAGGTTTGTAAAATGAAACTTCTTTTATTTTTATGCTACAGTGGTTGTTTATATGCTAATGTGTTTTGTGCATTTGGGAGTGAGATATGAATCTATTTGTAGCAGCTCAAAATCTTTTATTTAATAAACTATGATGCGGAAGAAGAAGAGCCACTTAATGACAGATTTGACATCAACCTATTGAGCCCTCTGTATACATATGTGAACTATTGAACGTAGTATTTCTCTGATGTTGAAGCAATTCTGGTTTCCAAGTAAATTTGTGTAGCAAATCTTGTGTCACAATGCGGGCATAATTCTATATTTTAAATAGCTATAAGACGGATGACTTCGGAATAAAAAGTAGAATAGGTTTAGGCCAATTTTGCTAGCGAAATTGTGGATTACAGTTTTCCTTCTTTTATAGAACCATATGATAACTCTTCATCTTTGGGTGTTTCATTTCTATCTTTCAGTTCTTCATGGAGCTGATGAAAGCACCTCGAATAGAAACTAAATTAAGAATTTTCCTATTCAAGATTCAATTTAACACTCAGGTTTGCTTGATTTTTTGAGAATTTCTGTACCTATCTTCACTGTGCTAGCTGCCTAATTTCCATTCTATCTCAGATTTCTGAATTCAGAAAAAGTCTCAATACTGTAAACTCTGCATGCGAGGAGGTACATCATGGACTTTACTGATTTGTACTTTTTGGTAATTTCACGAATAACTCCCGTTTCCTATGCATCAGGTTCGGAACTCCCTCAAACTTAAAGAAATCATGAAAAAAATTTTGTATCTCGGCAATACATTGAATGAGGGAACTGCAAGAGGTACAGAAATTTCCAATCAGTATTGTACGAATTGATTTCAGGAAATACAATACCATGGTTAGTTTTAGATACATTTGTCACAGATCTTCACTGAACTGGCCCTTTAAGCCTGAAATTTGTATCATTTAGCCAATTTCCAGGCAGTATAATATGGTACAATAACTCAGTCAACTTACTTGATTACATGGTGACATGGGCATCTAGTAATTCATGTTTGTTTGTTATTTTTAATAAACAGGTGAATATTAATTCAAAAACTCTAAACTTACAGACGGATTTTATTAATGGAGGTGCAAATATTTTTCCTAGTATCAACAAGCTATTTAACAAGTAAATGCCTCCATAGAAACACAGCTAAATTGTGATATAGGTTAAATATCTGAAAAAGACTGAAAGTGGTCAAGGAGGAAAGACAACTTCTCAAGCTTGAAGTTTAATTTTTGCTTGTTGCAGATGGTCTTTTCAAGTTATTAATACAATGCAGTTGAATTTTTTGTGTACCTTCAGGTTCTGCTGTAGGATTCAAGTTGGACAGTCTTTTGAAACTGACAGACACACGTGCCTCTACTGGCAGGATGACACTGATGCACTATCTTTGTAAGGTATCCAAGAATCTCTTTTTTGTGCGTTATTTTAATTTCTGTATAGTGCAATAAAAAATAAATCCTTGGTAATGTTGAATTTATCAAACTATATTCCTGATCAGTATACATGTATGGATCATTAAATACCAGTTTAGTTCCCTGTTCGTAGAGTAGACCAGTTTAGCATGTTTTACTGTTCAAGAGTTTAAACCAGTGATCTCAGAATGTTGGATAACCTGACCATCGTTGTTTTTGAATTTTGAAAAGAAACGCTCAGGTAATTGTTGGAAAATGACACAATCTTCTACGGTCTAAGTATTTAGTGATTTAGTGAGGGAGAAACAAATAAAAAGCCGAAGAAAATTGCTTCTAGAATGAACAAAGCAGATGAGCGAAGTAATTGAGATGCAACATAACAATGGAAGAGAAAAGGCCTAGCTCAAAAATTTAAACCTTGCTAGAAAAACAATGTCAATTTTCCAATGGAAGTGAGTCTGGCATCCTACCAATTGTAAATAAATTCTAACCAAATACAAAGCAATGATTTAACACCTGCTGCATGAAGTATTTTCATATTCTTTGCTTTTATGTTAAGTTTATGTTTGTTTCATAGTAAGTAGCTGGGATATGTATACTATCATTTGAAATCCAATCAATGATTATTTACTTCCATTTACATGGGTTATTTTGGTAGATACGATGTGGCACAAAACTTCAAATTTAATGAATAGTGTTATAATATAAAGGGTGTGTTTATATATATTTTGGATTTGATTTTTTTTTTTAATTTATATTTAAGATAGATTTTGTATATAATATTTTGAATTGAAAATATGTTTAAATGTGATCTTTTAGTGAGAAAAATATATTATTCTGTAGTTCGCATGGTACGAAAATGCTAATAACAACACAAGTGCACGAATGAAAATATGTGTTCACATCACCCAACCAATGCATATATATTTACTCAAGAAAAATTGAATGAATGGAGATCAAAGTAATAAAAGTCCTAGACCTACAATCATGATGTTTCTCTTTTCTATGGTGCTCGGGTTTCCATCCTATTATTGTTCCATTTGCTTGCAACATTTGGTTTACTATCCCACCTTGCCTCTTATTGTAGATGCTTGGCCTGTCATTCTATTATACCTTTTTCAGCTATGTTCGGCCTACCATCCTACTGTGCCTCTATGCTTCTCCTCGACCATATTTTTTTTGACCCGTCCCCTCTTTTTTGAGCTTTACCTACTCCAACCATGTCAGTGTTAAGATGATTCTGGCCATGGAAACAGCGGGAACATGGTCACCAGAGGAGCTTGGATCAGGAAGTACGATTTATTCACATATACGGTGGTAGGAAAAGATTAATTGAAGAAACAAAATGGAGGCTGAGAAGAGGATTAAGAACAGATTAGTTCTATGTCTGCTCTGATACTATGCTGCAAAAAGGAAATAAAGAAAGAAAAGATTCTACTGTTTGTTTTTGGTTATTTACAATACATTACACATCTTATACACAAACTTAATAGACAAGAAATTATGAAAATTAAAGAAACAAATAGACAAACCTACCTCCTAGTAAATCCCACAGCTACGACCAATACATGTCTATAATCAATATTTAACAGTGCAATTTCTCTCATTTGTTCCAACGACTATTGCCTTTCGTGTCTACGTGATTTTTCTGCACAATGTGGGCTTTATAGCAATGTATTTGATATAGAATCTCTGCAACTTGAACCATTTCTATTGTTTCTCGGGTTCAACTTAAGGAGTGTTAAAATATGTAGTGATTTTTTTAATGGGGGTCATCTTAAAATTTTACAATATGTTGGGAATAATTTTATAAGTCTCCAAGGTCCAACATCCAACTTTAGTTTAAGAGGTGCATTTGCTAACTTTCAAATCAAATTAGCTATGTTTGTTCAAGTTTTTCCTTGAGGTAATTTAGGGTGTGTTTGGAAGTGTTTTGGCGTTTTGAATTGGTTTGGGAATAGTTAAAAATGAATAGTAAATTATTGTATGATATGATGTAAATAGACGTTAGGATATGATATGTTGAATAGAGGTCAGTGGTTGAAATATAGAAATATTGGTAAGGAAATCAGCAATCTTCTGACAAATTACTGCAAAAGAAGTGCCTTTTAAGTATGTCATATCTTTATGAGGTTTCTCTAATACTTTAATCTAATTTTAACAATATACAGTAGCATGGTACCTTCTTTGGTTCTTCCTTTCAAAAATATGAGTTATATATATTCATTGGAAAGAGATGTCTTTATCCCATTGAACTAGTTATGGTGAAATTACTTTTAATAGACTGACATTACAAAATTTAGTACAATAAGAAAGTAATTAATAATAATAATAATACAATTGTATTTCTACTACTCAATTCTGGATATTTACCAAATATTAATTCTACACTAGGATATATTATTATAGCATATTCGGAGTATATTGTAACAATTTCTAAACAAGGCTACTTTGGAATCTTTTTGGATCACTGTCATGACCTACCATTTACTTTTTGTGATCAGAAAAAGAAACATTCAATAATTTCATTGTATGCGCTTTGAGTACTCTATTTTGTTTTTCAGGTGCTTGCAAGTAAAGCACCAGATCTTTTGGACTTCCACAAAGATTTTGTTAACTTGGAAGCTTCATCAAAGGTTCATATTTCATCTACAATAGATGTATGAATACTGTAGAAAGGCTTGAAAATTTTGATTCTTTTTACAGATACAATTAAAAATTTTGGCAGAAGAAATGCAAGCCATTTCCAAGGGTATAGAAAAGGTCAAGCAGGAATTGGCTGCTTCTGAGAATGATGGTCCTGTGTCTGAAACGTTTCATAAGGTTTTCATGTCTTCATTTGATCATCAATTACCTTTGCTGTGAATTGTAATGCATCATGCATGCTATGCACAATCCTCAATCTCCTATCAATATGCCATGGACCAATTTTCTTTTTGATTAATAGATGATGTGACGTACTGTTACAACTTGCAAGTTTTTCTTAAAAAAGATTTTTGGTGTGTTGTTTTGCAGACATTGAATCTATTTGTTGGTACTGCGGAGTCTGAAGTGACATTCGTAACAAATTTATATTCTATTGCGGTAAACATCCACCTAAGTTATCATTTAGCAGATTTCATAGATGCCTCGTATCTTTTTTTTCCTTCGCATTGATGTTATTAATTATAAAAAAAATTTCGCAGGGAAAAAATGCTGACTCATTGGCTTTATATTTTGGTGAAGATCCAAAACGATGCCCATTTGAGCAAGGTACTTAGAAATCTGGTTTTCATTCACGTGTTGCATTTGGAATTTCTTATGGCTGAGTCAATGTTTTATTATGCATCCAGTTACTGCAACCCTCTTAAATTTTGTGAGGATGTTCCAAAAGGCTCATGACGAAAACCTTAAACAGGCCGAAATGGATAAGAAGAAAGCTCAGAAGGAGGCTGAAATGGTGAATTCACCAAGAAAGAATTGAAAGATTGATAACTGCTGATATTTCAGAGTAATCCGTGGTTCTTTCACAATGGCCAGCACTTGTTGGCCTTCTGATACTGCCAGATTTACCAACCATGAGCTTAGAATTCTGCTTAACCTACTGGCTTTATGGATTATATATATGAAGCTAGATGGTGCTGTCGAGGCTTCAGAATATCTGAAGTTCTGTGGAGAAGTCAACTGAGAAGTGATTCATGACTCTTCTCAGCTGCTTTGGATGATGCAGGCGGCTGTTTTGTTTTAAGTCTCGTGGCACGTACTTACTACAGAAGAATTTCATTCCAAGATGAGAACACGAGCTAATTTGGCGCAGATATCCATCTTGTGAGAAGAAATAGAGTTCGGAGTCTTGAGAACATCACCGATGGAACTTGATGACCTTCTCATTACTTTCAAGCTTGAACCTGGCTTGGATCCCCCGAAATTTGGCGTGTCTTCTGTTTGAAAGCACATGCCATTGGCTCCAGTACTATCCCAATCACATGCCAGTATGTGTAAGGTTACCTCGGAATCATGATACAGATTACCAATTACCAGAATGTACCATCACAAGTGTACAGATTGCTAACCCTGTATTTAGATTAGCACTAATTCTTTCTGTAGAATAGAAACTGGGTTGGTTCCTTGAACTTAGTGAGGTAGAGAAAGGAACTTCCCAGGAATTCTTATGTATAGATCTAAGGATTACGAAAAATACAGAAAAATAGGTTGTCTGTGAATAGAGCTTTAGTTGAGGTACAATTGTGAGAAATTTTGATCTGTTTCATTAGATTCAATTTTTTTGGGAACTACTAGGCTACAAAATTCATCAATGCAAAGCATTTTAAACTCACCTCTACATGTTTCCGCTTATACATGTTCTCTTTATGATAGAATCTCTGAAATAACATTTTCCCTTTCATCTATAGTTCTAATTTGTGCAGGAATATGCCTTTTATAGATATTGATCACCCATTGGTCACTTCCTTCTATTCCTTGGATCATGCAGTGTTTTGAGAAACTACTACTTACTTAGTTACTTATTTTGAAGGGACGATACACTGCTGGTTAGGAATGTGCTTGTCTGTATCAGTCAGTCTTGAAACATCACAATCATTCAGCCAATGGGCCAGATGTGAAGCCATACATGAATCTGAATGGTAGTGCTCTTGTTACCAACTGGCATATATTGTACTTTTGTATATTACGATTGCCGGAAAAAGGTAGTGATACCTCTGCTTTATACTTGTTTAATTATCTAGTTATACTTACCAACCATGATCTTTCATTGTTACACTTTGTAATAACCTTGTCTTATAGTGTAACTTCGAAAATTTTAGAAAAACATTGGTTGCTACGCTATGTCCTAATGGATGCTACTGTCTGTTAGTGTAACAAAGGAAACATATTTCATTTACATTGTCTTCCTAGTTGAACTTTGATGGATTTCTCTTCCTGGTGTAACAGTCAACTGCATTATTCATTTCTGTCTCTGTGCAAGATTCTTGCTCCGTTTGTTCTGTATTTATTATGGAAATGATTGCCGGCTATGGTATTACCTTGTTGATTATGGTTATTCCAGATTCTTGTAGATTGTGAATTTTAAATGTGACTCGAACTCCGAAGAGTTTCCATGATAACTACTGCCTTTTCTATTGACAAGGGGACCACTGTTCAGAACAGTTTCACTGATACTATTTATACCCTCCTGTCAATTTTTCAACGGGTTTTTCTTACATCCTTCAAAGTCTTTTGTAGGTATCAAATGTAGGTGTCTTGCAATGTTTGCAGTTTTAAACAAAAGAAGGAAAAAAAATGCTGTTTTGGGGATGTAGTTTCCACAAACTTGGATGACATTTACTTTGTATATATGACAAACCAATCTTGTTTGTTTATCATTTCTGTATCGAACACCAGGAAAACCTATTTGATTAACTCTCCAGAGAATTTGAACTTTTTTATGAACATTTCTGTGTCAATAGTATATGAAGCATAGAATTTACAAACTTTTATATATACTGTCTCAGCTGAGAAAAAGAATTCATGGAAGAAGATCTAAGGCCTCTGTTTCTGCACAGGACTTGCCATTTGTCTCCCCGATCTCTATATGGTGTTGATACATATTCTCCTGATTGATCCGATGATCTTTTTTGCAGCTACTCCAGAACACGCAGCCAAAAACTGTTTCAAGAACGAGCAGCAGAGCGTACAGGTAGGAGATGAACATCCCCTCCAGAAAAATGGTTGTAGTGGGAGATCCAATCCGCCGATAAGATCTGACAACACGGTACTGGAACAGCGCTTCGACTGCAATCAGGGCTGTGTTGACAGACATAGCTAATGTTAGTGCAGTCACAATTCTTCCCTGGATCATGACACACGCCTTGAGGATTGATATAAAGCCACCGCGCCTCTCCATTCCTGACTGCACCAACGCCAAGCTACATACGATGTAGGCATTGGCGAGAATGATGGAGTAAACTACGGCCGAAAGGAACAGCAACGGTCCCGGAGAATAAAATCCTACAATGTCGAAAAAATTGAATAACAAAGATGCAGTGAAGAAGCATACAGCATTGGCTGCAAGTATGACTAATGTGCTGCAGAGCTGAGTGATGAAAAGAGCATTGAAAATCGAAATCCAATACGACGCCGATGATTGCTCGGCCTGTTTAAATTTGCAGCAACTGAGGGCGGAGATAACAGAGCCCTTAGAGAGTAGGAGAAACGAGAGACTAAAAGGAGAGACGAGGAGGGATGTAAGAACACTTTGGGAGAGGCTGAGGTTGAGAAAGGCGAAGAGGCGGGAGGAGGGGGGGAATCCTGCAGCGAGAAAAAGGGCCATCAGGCGAGCACGGGCCAATGGAAGAAGCGGCGAGGACGTAATGATGGATTGGGAGAGAAGAGCCGAGGCGGCGTAAGGGAAGGCGAGGAGGGGTGGAGCTGAGGTGAAGTAGTGAAAGTTTTGTAAGAAGGAAAAAATGGATGTCCTGATGATCTTGGTTGATGATTTCCCCATTTTGATGTTGATGAGAATTGTTTGGGATGTGGGAAGGAATGGAGATCAGAAAGAAAATGGATCTTGGAGGTCTTAAAAATGGTGGTTGGGGTGGTGTTTGGTGTGCAAGAAAAATGATGGATGAATAGAGCAGATAGGACAACTAAAATGGCATCAGCAGCAGCTCTTCAGGAAAGAGGTGAATTAGTTGTTTGCTTTTCTTTGTTTTCATCACTGACTCTTTGTGATCATCAATTATGTCTTTGTGTTCTCCATACCCTCCCCTATATTTATTAGGTTCAATATATATCGGAATTATTATGACGTTGATTTGTCCCGATCAGCACAATGCACTTTCCATTTGTAGGTGAGTTATATAAATATTCTTTTTATGCTGAAATCAATAATAGCATGCGCTGTGTGAAATTATATCATATACTGTAGAGTTATATGTTTAATTTGTATTATATGTTTTTACACGATGCGCTATTGTTGTGCCGAATTATAAAATTCACTTTAGTAACAATTCATATATATATATAATAAATAAAATGAAGAAAGATAGAAAGAAACCAGCTTCACAATGATCACATATGCTATAATATGAGTTGTCTTTTTGCAGAAAAAAACAAATCTAGTGTATATTATGAGCTCTCTCTCTCTCACACACATACCTATTTTACATTTTGATCATGGTTTGCTATTTTTATTTATTTATTTTGTTTCAGATGAAAAAAAAAAAGAAAAAGAAAAAAAAAATTGTAATTCTTGAGGAGGGTTTTCTCAGAAGTGAAGCAAACATTATGAAAAGTGAAGACAAAGAAATTAAGGTATTCTTGATTTTTTATGGTCACTTGCTTGCAATTGAAAATTCTTCCTTAATTTTTAATCTTTCTTAAAGTAGTTAAATGATTCATTTTTGTGAGAATTGATCTTTTTGTAAATAATTTTTTTTTTTCTTCATTTTTTTTAATACGTAGTTTTATGATTGTGGTTCTACTATTTTTCTATATATATAAAATATTACATTGAATTACTATTTAACACAAAGTACAAACAAAAATCAAACACACCTTGGTTATTTTTTAATAATAATAATAAGCAATTTGCCTCTAATTTTGATTAAGATGGTATTGAAGAATTATTAGAAAAATCATTATTTATGGATATTGCATACTCCACTAAAGAAATTTGAGAAAAGTAGAAATAATGAAAGAAACAATTTTGTGGAATTTAATTAAATGGCACTCAAAATTAGAGTCGGCAATGGGTTGATTTGTATCGGGTTCGTGTCGGATTGACTACGAGTTAAATTACTCAACTTTAACTCGACCCGTTTATTATCGTGTCGGGTTCGTGTTAACCCGTTTATTATCGTGTCGGGTTCGGGTTGACTCATGTTGACTCGTATACATAATTATTGTCGTGTTATGTTAGTTTTTATTGGTTCGAGCGTAAATTAAGTTGAATTATTTAAAATTGAATTTAGTTTAAATTAATTTATAAAAAAATTATTAAATTATAATTATTTTATATATAATAAATATATTAATAAATATAAATATATTATGATCGGGTTGTCGTGTCGGGTTCGAGTTGAGAGTTTCAACCATAACCCGACACGTTTATTATTGTGTCGGGTTCGTGTCAACCTGTATACGTAATCGGATTAAAAATTTTAACCTAAACTCAATTATTTCGTATCGGGTTATCGTGTCGGATCAGATTTGCCAACTCTAATCAAAATTGAAGTATCAGGAGATTAGTTATGGTCATTAAATTGTTGATTAATTAATTTAAATTAGGTGTTATAGTGAGTTTGGTAATATCAGATATTTGGTCAACAAAATTTACTGATTACCTAACTTCTTAAATATCTTTTAATTATTTATATTAATTTGATGGGATCAAATATTGGATTTGGTCTATTACTCACTTTTAATTTAGACCCCCAGTTGATTATTTATTTATTTTCATTAGCAACAAAATTTAGATTATGTGAGAATAATTTGCCAACAAGAAAATAAATAAGAAAGACTGACAAGTGACAAATGAACAAAATAATTTCTTTGATTCCTTCAAATTGAAGCATAAAGTCATTTTCTATCATTGAACATCAATTGTTAGTTACTAAATCATTTCACTAAATAAAAGCTTTTATCACTAGAAATGGCAAATATACCAAACTTTATAGAGATTATTTTGCCATTCAATTTTTTATTTATTTATTTTTTCTGCACCATTTTATATTTTAGTATGTTCTACATAATAAAAAATAAATATATATATTTTTTCTCTCTCATCAGATCATATATTCTCACTTTATCACCTTGTATGGAACGGGGAGTATATATAAATATTATTATTTTTTTATTTACCAATATAATTTCATATATTTCACATGAAAAAATAACTCAAATCGAAGCATTAATTATATGTAAATATGTATTTTCATTTATTTGTATTACATCAAATTTTGTTTTTACAGGGGTGTGTTTGTTTGGGGGATTGGATTTTCAATTCACTATTCATCTTTTTTTTTTTTTTTTTCCAAAAACATAAAATCAAACACCTATTTTTTATTTTTTATATTATACTAAAAATCAATTTTACATTCAAAATATCACATCATACAACTATTCAAATTCAAAATTTTTACTATTCAAATCCCAACTCAAAATCCAAACCCCAACCAAACACACCCTTAGTATAAGTCTTAAAACACATCTCAATATTTAATAAAAGACCATATTATTTTTTAAAGAGATACTGAAGTAACAAATTCTCTAAATTGAATAACTTTTAACATTTTCTAATTTTCAAGCAGGAAAACAAATTTGAATTTTGTTGCTTTCCTCATTTCATCATAGATTACTTATAATAGACTAATATGTTGATGAAATTAAATGTCTTGTTTTAGAAATACCAAAAATAAAATAAAATAAAATATAAAAAATCCAATACAAATAAAATTAAAATCTTATTTTATACATTTCAATGTGTATATATATATATATATTTTTTTTTTCTGAAAAATAGGACAAATATTTGTTAATAATTTGTGCAGTTGGCAGCTCACATTGTTTGTTGCACAGAAAAAAGTCAATAATACATAAACAAACAAAGATTCTTTGTTGGGATTATCCAACCAGCTATTGGATAATTTTATGGATTCAAATAATTGAAATATTATGGTGTATTTGATTTGCATTTTCGAATATAATAATATTTTTTTTAAAAAAAAAATTATACTTCTGGTGGGACCGAACCAACGTCGTCGCCATGAGATTTTCGACCAAGGCTCATCCGCAGGTCCTTTTTACGCCATTTTGGGATAAGTCCGCACAGATTTATTTTTGGATATCCTCCAAAAAAGGCCTCTAGTGAAATTTATGTGAGATTTATAAGGCAGAGATTTTTCTTCATCTTCTATCGTGGAACTTGGGTTTGCACCCCAACAACTCCTACTATATTTTTACTGGAGAAGTTAATTGCATGAAAATAAAATATATAGAAAAAAAAAATCGTAAAAAGAACATAATGATCTGTATTAATGAACAATAAGTAAATAAAATTTTGAAGATTAGACATTTCTTTTATTTTCTTTCTCCTATTTTTTTTATATGTTTTCTTATAATTATTTATTTTTAGTGGGTTTTGTTTATGTAATTTGATAATTTCTCTCTTAAAATCCCCAAAATCTTAATCATAATTAGCCCATTATTTGGTTAAATGAAATTTCTTCAGCCCAATTAGCCCAATGATGCAACCATAGGGCTTTAAAAATAATGAAAAATTAATTAATTAATTATTCTTTAAAAAAAAAAAAACAATTTAAGTAATTATTAGGAAGGCTCTTTTAAACTAAACAATTATGTAAGAATTTTTCAATATATTTCTAAAAAAATAATAATAATATTACATATATTTATTATTTTTATATTATTTACACAATTTTTAATATTTTATAAAATTTTTTATTTTTTGTTTTTTCAACCAAAACACAGAGCACAGACTCAATTTGGGCTTAGCTCAGTCTTAATTTCTAGTGGGCAATGGCTAGTTGTACCAATTTGATATTGTGTTCAATTTAAATTTATATATATATATATATATATCTTATTATATTTTACAAATTTTGATTTAAATTAAATTTTAATTTAATATTTCCCCCGTCTCAGTACAATAGTCTTGTTTACCATTTTTATCCGTTTAAAACAATAATTTCATTTTTATAAATAACCATATCACCATAAAATTATCCATACTTTTTCATTATTAGTACACAATTGTCACTACTTTTTACACTAATATACTCACAAGGGTAAAAAAAATCATTTATCTTTATTTTTTACCAACTACCAATATAATATTAATACTCTTTAAATCGTGTCTAACACAGGGATTGAGAGAGTAGTACTTTTTAGATAAATAATTATATTTTTATAAAAATTATAAAAGAAAATTAGTAAAAAGAAAAATATTTTACTAATTTGCTTTGAAAGATTACTCACTATATCATTAAAGCGTGAAGATTTAATTATATGGATAATATTTATGTTAAAAAGCTTCGATGAGATAGTGAGGATACGCTTAGTTGTAAGTTGATTTTATTGTTAAATGATGAGACTTATTAGTTGTGTGTAGAATTATTATGTATTTGATTAAAATAATTTAAATATTTTTCGTATATAGTTTCAAAAAATTGCGTCAAATTCTTATACTCGTAAAACTGCGTCAAATTCTATTGTGGTTTCATAAACTCTGCGTCTAACTCGTCCAAATTTCTAAATCCCTAAAATTATAAATATATTTATTTTTCTTATATTTAACTTAAAAAAACAATAACAATAAACTCTTAAAATTTCAGAAAAATAACTATTTTTTTAAGTATATTTACTATTTTTTGAGACCCAACATAAGATAAATGAATATATTTGTAATTTGAGGGGTTTAAAAATTTGAAATTCTAAAATTTGTTTGCAGTTTGGGGCATTTAGGTTAAATACCGTAAAATAAGAATCGTTGAGAAGGTTAGATGCAGAGTTTATGAAATTACGAGGAGTTTGACGCAGTTTTAAAAGTATAGGAGATTTAACACAATTTTATGAAATCACGTGTAGGTTTTGTGCAATTTAGCTGAAAAATAAAAATATGATAAGTAAATCACACCTAAAATATTTTGTAGATAAAATTGAGATGAAAAAATTAATAAAAAATAAATAAATAAAATTGAAAGGAGATAATGGGAAGCTGTTTGTATCCTAAATAAAATCATTCAACAAGACGATAATAAGATAATACATCAAATATAAGCAAAAATAGGTTAAAGTTTGCAGGGTATTTCAACACAATATACATATTCATATCGTATACTTACAATTATTTCTGGCAATATATATCTTCAAATAACACAAAATAATATATTAAATAAAAATATATATCGTCTATTTTATTTTTTATTTTTTTATGTACTAATTAAAGCAAATCAACGATGGAATCATGTATTGTTTGTTTGTTATACTTGGAACCAAAGAGGTTTAAAAATATTTTCTTATTCTCTTTTTAAATATGTTAGGTAATATTTATGATTTTTTTTTTTTTTTTTTAAAGTCAGAAATGGCTAAAGAATGTCATCAAAAATATTTTATTTATATTTTATATCTGTATAATGATCTGATATAAAATATTTTACAAAAATGAGGAATATATATTTTTTAATACATAAAAATTTACATGGTAAGTTACAAAAAAAATACATATATAAAATAAAATTGCTGAAGGGACATAATTTTAATTTATTGTTTCAACATCCAAAAGCCACTAAACAATATCCTATTTTGAATAAAGAAAACATTCAAAATAGTTTCACAAGACAAAACATAAAACATAATATCTAACCCTGAAAATGTATCCAATCAAAAAAAAAAAATTAAAAAAAAAAAGAAAAAAAGGCCCAAACTTATTACAACATTGATCAATGGATCATCATCATCATCATCATCATCTTCCGCGAACATTTTCAATAAACATCGGAGACGAAGCCACAACCCCCGAATCCTCACTAATCCCGCCCCGACCCACTTCACCACTCGAACCCGAACCCGAACCCGAACCCAAATCCAGATTCAAACCCGGACCCGGACCCGGACCCGGATCCAAATTCGAACCCTCATCCCCACCCTCACCCGCCTCCTGCAACTGCAGAGCATACTCAAGGTTCCACAGCACATCTCCCATGGACGGCCTGTCCACCCCACACTCCGCCAGGCACTTCTCCGCCGCCTCCACAAACTTCGCCAGCGACTCCGCCGCCACGCCCCCCGCAATCGCCGGATCCACAATCCCCCCGATCGCCCCCCGCCCATTCATCTGCTTCGCCCACTCCGCCAGGTTCACCTGCTCCCGCGGCAGCGCCGGGTCCAGCGCCGCCCTCGCGCACAGAACCTCGAACAGCACCACCCCGAACGAGTACACGTCAGACTTTTCCGTCAGCTGCTGCCGCCGGAAGTACTCCGGGTCCAAATACCCAAAACTCCCCTTCACCGCCGTGCTCACGTGCGTCTGGTCCATCGTCGCTGGCCCCGACTTCGACAGCCCAAAGTCCGAAACTTTCGCCACGAAATTCTCGTCGAGTAATATGTTCGTCGTCTTCACGTCGCGGTGGATCACCCCCGGCGTCGTCCCGGTGTGGAGGTAGTGCAGCCCACGCGCTGCCCCTATGCAAATCTCCAACCTCTGTTTCCACGACAATGGCGGCGGTTTTGGTGCTGACGAAGACGATGATCGGTATAAATGGTCGCGGAGCGGGCCGTACGCCATGTACTCGTAGACGAGGATCATTTCAGATTGCTCGTCGCAGTATCCGATGAGGGAGACGAGGTGCCGGTGGCGGAGCTTCGACAGGAGTTCGATTTCGGTTTGGAATTCGTTGATCCCTTGTGACGACGTCGCGCTGCCTCGTTTGATGGCGAGCTTTGTCCCGTCGAGTGTCTCGCCGAGGTACACTTTGCCGAAGCCTCCGACACCGACGACGGCTTTCTCGTCGAAGTTCTTTGTGGCGTCGCGGAGCTCGGCGAGCGTGAAGTACCGGCCGAGGTTGAGCCCCGACGGGTTGACGATGCTTGAGAACGTCGTGCTTTTCGTTTTGCTCGATAGGAAGCTGCAATGGCTCGAGTTTATCGGCAGCAGCCACGACGAAAACGTCTTCTGCTTCTCGTACCCTTTGTTCCGATTTCGCGATCGTACCCGGCCTATTACGACCACGACGAATGCCGTCGCCGCCAATGTCAGTGCGACGGCGGCGGCGACTTTAACGGTGGAGATACGGGTCGAATTCGCGGCGTCAGACGAAAACAAGCCGTCCAAGCTCCCCGCCGAGTTGCTTATCTTGATCACTTCGAAACCATTTAGTATCGCGTCCGGCGCGCTTCCCTGCAGGTTCGAAGCCGGCCCGACTTGAACGGTGACCGTTCCGTTGCGAATGGTCGTAGCGTTCACGACGAAATCTTTGTAGTACGGGATAGCGAGGCCGGAGGTGACGGTCGACAGGTCGAGGGCGGAGACGCCGATATTTCCATTGATGTACACATTGAAGTAAAGCTCGTTCATTCCTTTGCTCACAATATCGCAAAAATGTAGCCGGACGAAGTACGAAAACCCGGCGTCAACGCTCATTACCCACGTCAAGTTGAAGTTCGGATCGCTCGTGCCGGGATCCGCCATGTGATCGGCGGTCGAGTACACCCAATACGGCGCAATCAAAGGCGTCGCTCCGCCTGCCGGATATTGTATCATATCGGTAGGGATCGACACGTTTTTCGCGCCCTCCGGGAAGGAATTGTACGGGCCATCGGCGAGCCATGTCCGCGACAACATATCGTTTTTAGGCATAACGCTAGGCCCCCCGACGTTCACCCGATACGACACTTCCAAAGCGTACTTATCCAAGCCGTGGAAGTCGGCAAGAGGAGAAACGGCCAAAGCCGAGTCGGGGATTAATTCATCGGGGGCGGAAACGAGCTCGATGGCATTGACGAACGCCGCGGATTTCTTCATCGGCGAAAACTTGAGGGTGAGCTTATCGGAAGTCGCATTGATTAAATACTCTTTGAACACCGTCGTCGCCGCGCTTTTCGCTGAGAAACCGTGTAAGAGAACGGTATCATCCGTGCTGACGGCGAACGTTGCCGAGCTCAAATTATAAGAAGGGTGGTCGAGCGGATAAAAATAAAGCCGGAGCCAATGGCGCCCCGGCTTAAACACAAGAAACCTATACATTGACTCGTGCTCGAAAATTCTCGCGGACGAGTAAAGCGCGTGGTAAGACGACGACGGAAACACCGACGAGACGCTCTTCGGAAGCGAATCCACCGACGTAAGGATATCTTCGTCAGTCGACAAGTAAGAAGCGGATTGCGGATCGGACTTAAACGACCTGCCGTCGTCGAGCACGACACCATCGGACGAACCACAATTGATCAAATAGTTATCCGCAGGAGAAAACGAAGAAGACGCTGCGGCCTCGGAAAAATGAATCGACGGAAAAATAAGATAAACAACGGCGACGACAACCACGACGGTATGAGCCGAGGCTCGTGCCATGGCCGAGGATGTACGGAGAAAGGGAGAAACAGAGACAGAAGTCGTTGCTAGGACATAAAGAATTAAGACGATGCTTTGTAGATAGAACTTAGAAGCATGATTGGTAAGAACGTGCAAAGTTGTAATGCAAAAAGAAAGATTGTTTGACCTAATCCAAACAGTGATAATCTGAACTGTCTGTCTGAGAATGGAATTTGGAAGGGAAACCGCGTAGTAGTGCTACAGCTGGAGTTTGTGGTTTGACATTAAGACTTAAAGAGGGATTTTTGAATGAGTTTATTTTATAGGACTTGTGTTTCTCTTAAGCGTATTCGGTGCCGGGAATTGGGTTTTAATTTGGTATATATATATATATATATATATATAATATTTGGGGATGAATTGGGTGAGTTTTTAAGGATTAGAAGGTATAGTAGGAAGTTCGATTTTATTTTTGAGTAATAAGAAATAAATTTGACAAATGGAAATGACGGCATAGTTGGGGATCAAAATCAGTAATTTAGGTATATTTTCAGTTGAACGTACCTAACCAGGTAAATTCCAGGTTGAATCTTATACCCTATAAACTAGACCCGATAAACAAGTCACATCTGGCGAACCATGTGTGGAAGGTGACCTGAAACTATTGTCACAAGTTCAACTCCCACCCCATCAGACCATCCCTTACGGAACTTATTTGTTCCTCTTCAGCCGATAAATTGCCAAATTTTCAAAATGAGTATAGAGGGAGAAGTTAGCAATATACTATAATACATACACTTAGAAAATTTTAAATATTTGTACTTAATTCAAACTTCTAATACACTAAACAATAAACCGTACAAAAATAGACATAACCTGAAATTTTGATTTGAGTTCAACATGAAAAAATCGTGTTTGGACCTAAAAAAGTAGACTCGAAAATTTTCAGGCCATGTATGACCCGGCACGGCAAGGAACCAGGCCGTATTCAGGCTCATCAAAGGCGGTCGTGCCTGGCCTAGCCCGATTTTCAAAATTAATATTTAATGTTTAATATTGTAATATATATTAACTAATAAAATAAAAATAAAAATGAAAGTATGACTTGATGATAAAATTTTTTGTTGAATTTGTAGTTGATTATAGGTTTGATTTCTCCCTTTATTAATTCAAAACCTTCTTTTATTATTTAACTTATAAAAAGAAGAAAATAAATTTTTTTAAAAAAGCTGGTCTGCCCAACACGGCCCGATTTGAAATCAGGCCATGCTCGGTCCGACACAAATTGGATCTAAGTCGGACCGGGCTGGCACGAAAAATCAAACCAATCCGGACTGCCACCCCTACTAAACAATAAGGTGTTTATTGTGTAAGATAAACTTATAATATATAATATTATTTAAATAAATTATATAATCATATGATAAAATAATATATTATTTAATTATTGTATAAAATTAATAAGTTAACTATTAATAAAAGACAAAATAATATTTTTAACATTAATATTATTTTGTATTATTTAATTCTACTTAAAAGAGAATTATTAAGAATCTTTAATTATAATACTGTTATCCTGAATTTTACTTAACTGCGAGTTATAATAATATATAATAAACACATGATTAAGGTGAATAATTTATCTACCCTAATCATGCAAAATAATACACCCTGAGTAATTTAAATAGATCTTTAGTGGAACTAATATTTCAAAAGAAGAAGCAAAAGCACATAAGAATTTCTTGGTTTGAAGGATGTCTAGAGTTCAAGAATATGATCATATCTTAGGGCATGTTAGTGTAAGAGACTAATTACTTTAATGAGGCTTTTTTGTCTCAAAGCAAACATGCCTTAATTAATTAATAGCTAGCTCCTTTACTTGATGCAACAACTAAAGGAAGGAATTATTTACTTAAAAAATGGTAACACTTGCAATAATCTTAGCATAAATACTTAGAGTTTTATCTTCAATTCTTCCAAGACATCAATGGAACCTTAACATTATATTTATGCCATCCTGTCTCATCCAAGGAAGAACATCCTCGTCTCGTTCGCTTCGTTAATAAAGGCGACGAGCCATTAGCACGCTATGTAGGTGTACGATGGAGTGGATCGTGTTTGGAAAAGGCGAAGACAACATCGATATGTTCTTGGTACATAGGTCCGAATGAAGACACATATTCGAAATCCAACAGGTAGATGTGTATATATATATATATACACGCGCGCGCATGTACGTATTGATAGCTAGGATGCAATGTTTGAATAATGTACTAGATTGTTTTTTGTCTTTTTTCAATTTTAAGTGTGTATTGAATAAATTTACGATAGACAAAATCTAAAGATGTCGGAAGAATTTTAATATCATCATATATTTTTTTCTAAAAAACTATTTAATTTAATATCTATTTGTTATTTTTTATATTATATTAAAATTAATTTTACATTAAAAATAATTTTTCTTTTTCTTTTTTAACGTGAGAATTTGTAGCCATTATAAAAAACTTCATAGTTAGGGCCAAATCACACTAGGCGAATATCTAAGGACATCCCTTATGGAACTTATATATATTTTAATTTTATTATAAGTTGTTAATAATAATAATAATATTAATATGTTTATTATAATCAAGTTTGAATTTCATCTTAGACTGAAGCTTTACTAAAGAGGTTATAGTGGGGGCAAATTCTGTTCTCAAATGGACCTTCCAAATTAAATCATTGCTGCTTTGAGCGAGAAACACATCCACTAGAACAGATTCTCGCGTCACAATCGAAGCTGGCGAGCATTGGCCATGGAATTTTCACTATGATAGGTCGCTATCATATGCATTTAAAGTGTTCGACGAAATGACTCAAAGGGATTCTATGAAGCAAAGCACATCAATGGAATACTTGCGATAAGGGGAAAGTCGAGAAACACATCGCCTCATTATATTGGGGAATCATTGAGAGTATGTTTACTTGTGATCTCTAATACTTTTTGTGTTATAAGCATAGTTTTGGAAATTAATTTTTGGAATGAAGTTAGAAGTTAGATGTAATACTTTTTATAGAGTCTATCTTATATTTAGGAATTAGGATAATGTTGTTTATTTTTTTTTTTTTGGCTAGAAAGAACTTCGGGATAATCAACATATATTTATATATATTTCAGTATATTTATAATACTATCATATATTATATTATATTATAACTAAGCATATACTATCTTATAACACAAACATATGCTGAGACTTGTAAAAACATACTTTTATCACCCATATAACATGTATTGATCTGATCAAATCAACACAGTGCTGACTTAACTGGATCAACACAGGATCTGCAGTAAAAAAAACTTTTTATTTGCATGCCCGTATAAAATGAAATTTAAAAAATGAAATAAATTTTACGGGATTTAATCCAATCTGCATTCGAAAAATAATAGTTGTAAATTTGTATATTAATTGTAAAACATTCAATCCCCTATTTCTTAAAGCATACTCTAAAAGATGACTTAGAGTTCGGCCAGATAGTGTTAGGGCGTCAAAAATATTTCAATTCAAATTTTTATTATTATAATATCTCAAACTCAAATACTAACATCAAAGAAAAATTGACAGTTTATTGTTATACATCTATATATATATATATATAAAGAAAAACAACATTCCATATATTTCAAAGGTCCTTATTTTTGTTTTGGACCGGAACCTAATAAAAATTAAAGCGAACAATGTGTAAGAATCTGATTCGAAACTCCGATGCAAGAAAGAAAGCAAGGTATATAAAAAGAATCCTTGCAAGTATAAAAGCAACAGGCCTCGCTAAAAGGGAAAGACACACACATACTTTGTAATAAGCTCGATCTATAATAAATAATCAATTACTTGAAATGTCATCGCAGGTACCGAGCTGGGTTGTGGAGATCAGCGAAAGAGTGAAGAAAGTGAATGTCGAACGACCCTCCATTGATACGCCGAGTAAAGCTCTCTTTAGAGTGTCACAGAATTTTCCCGATGAATATGGCGACAAATTCAAGCCTTACAAGGTATCAATAGGGCCTTATCATTGCAACAGTCCTTCTTGCGAGAAGGAAGAGAAATTTAAGGAATATTGTATCCTCTACGGCCTCAAGAAAACTGGTAAGCCCCCCAAAGATTTCTACAATGCTTTGTATGAAATTAAGGATGATCTGAGAAATTCCTACGACAAACTGGAACCTGTTTGGGACGACGACAGTGAGTTTCTGAGGTTGATGTTTAGGGATGGCTTCTACCTCCTGGTGATGTTAGAATCGTCGCAGTTATTTGTGGGTGAGTCCTATATGAATGTAGGCAAAACAAAGCCTCTGTTTGATCCCAATGAAATGGAAAATTACAGACATGATCTGTTGCTGCTCGAAAACCAGATTCCCTTGATGGTTCTGCTGAAGCTACTTTCTGTAGCCGTCGGCAAATCGGACCATGTTAGTTCAATCTTGATCTTTCTTTCTTCTGGTTTATTCAATATGCTGAATTCATTCATGAGAGGTCGGTTTGTTCTTTTACAATTTCAAACCAAAATCAATACTATTTACTTGACATAGTTTTCAATAAAAATATACTATTTTTTTTTGTAAAACGTGAAAACGCTATTTAAACAAAATTTTAAATGCACACTTCATTTCAAATCAATTTCAAATCATGCCATGACGTTTTATTAATAGGAATATATTTTGAAATTTTACACAGTTAAGTTTGTTTGGAGTATAGGTTATTGAACATTTTGTTGCACTATGCCTTGAAAATTATGATCTCATATGTTTTCAGTATTTTTTCAAAATAAGACTCAATTACAATCTTATATTCTTATCTTTTAATTAAATATATATGTATATATATACATATATATTTACTATTTTTTATAAACGTATTTATACCAACACTATAATATCTATGCTGAATATTCTCTCATGTCCCGTAAATTTATGTAAGTTTGGTCGAGCATTAAGATTAAAAAATAATAATAAAATAATAATATTTTAATATTAAAGTATGATAAATAAAAATAATTAAGTAGAAATATCATTAGAAATTTATCAAATAATTGATATAAAAGTGATAAGGTAAATAGAAAAAATAACAACAAATTAATTATTATTGATTAAAGTATAAATAATAAAATTATAGTCAAATAAAATTATTTATAGAGGTGGATTAGACATAATTTTAGCGAACGTATGAGACTATATTTTATTAAAATATAATTTTCTAAATAGGTTAATACACAGAGACTGAGGCTCTAACAATCTATAAAGATGATCACTAATATTTATATATATATATATATATATTACAATACATATTATATAATAATTCATCATATGTTATAACACAGTATAGATATATGCCTAAACATATGCGGTTGATTCGGTTAAATCAGCACTATGCTGACTTAGCCGGATCAGTACAGAATCTGCCGTCACATAAAGAGTATTGTCTTAATAAAATACAAATACAATATAAATGAACTAAATAATAGTCCATACAATATATATTATCAATAATTCAATATAATATATATATATATATAAATAATTATGCGTATCCTAATAACTTAAATTTTTAGGTTGTTCAAAATAAGGCTTTTTTGTATTGAATTATCGTCTATACGCAGCCTACGTCGTTTTTTTTTTATTTTTTATTTTTTTTCTTTATAATTGAATTGAATTGTTGTTTGTAAATTGGCAGGGCTATGTTCATACCACACTGATCATACAGATACTTAACTTCTGTTTCCAAACAGAAACTTATGTAAAAGGACACGAATATTTGCACATCTTGGATGTATACCGACATGCCTTTCTCTATCCATCCGATCCGCGAGAGCCATTGTCCATATACAGCGCGCCACCGGATCTTAACATCCCATCAGCAACACAGCTTCAAGAGGCTCGAATCGCGATCAAAATCAGCACAACTCGCTGCGTAAGCAGCATCTCATTCCAAGACAGCATCCTCAGCCTTCCATTCTTGAATTTGGACAATGTCGACAGGTCTGTTTATTTCAATGTCCTCTTGTTCGAGCGATTCCACGAGCAGCCTGAAATGAAGGATTTCGCGTCGTACGTTTACTTCATGAGCAACATCCTCAAAGGCGCCAAAGATGTCAGCCATCTGAGGTCGTGCGGCGTCATTAGGACATCGCTTAGCGATGATGAAGTGGCGGAGATGTTTTATTGGTTGTGTAAGAGCGTTCCATTCAACCCCGGCGACAAATTTAATGCTAAGTTATGGGATGTCGGGAGTCGGATGAAGGACGAGCACGACAAGAAGTCGGAGGCGTGGCGAAAGGATTTGTATCAGAATTATTTGAGAAGCCCGTGGGCGATTGTGTCTCTTGTTGCCGCGTTTCTTCTCTTCGTTCTCTCGGTGATTCAGACAATCTATGCAGTGTTGAGTTATGTTCATCGCAAAGATAAGTAAATTAATGATGCGTATTTTTTCGATAATTTAAACTTTTACGTGAAACGGTCATTCATAACATCTTATACTAACAGTTTAAACTTTTAGATCGGTGAAAAGGTTGTGGGGTGTGTCTCTTTGTGTTTGGCTTTGAATTGGAGTTGGAATTTTATTTTTTTAAAGTAATTTTTATATTTTGTAAGTGTGTGAAATAAAATAATCGATCCTTGGAATTGGAATTGTATTTGTTTGTAAATTGGGTTTTACTGTTTGAATTATAATGAAATTCGATTGTAAGTTGAGTTAAGATCAATGTACTCTTTTAGTTTATAATAATAATAATTATTATTATTATTATTATTGTATTTTGTACAGAACAACTTAGGTTTTTTAATTCAACAAAATCATTACATAATATGTAAAAAAGTTTGAAATAATGTCTTATTCTTCTTCAAGTTTACTTATTATGATACTAAAGTAAACCTGATTCCTAGACGTAATGCTCTATCTAGTATACTGTTGGAAAGTGAGGTTCGATCAAATCTCATTCAAACACCTTAAATAGGATCAGTTCTTCAAAATGTGGTTATTTACCATTATAACAATTCACACTCAACAAAATAAATAATGAACTTCAAAGCAATAAATGAAACAAATTCAAAATATGGAGATGAAGAGAGACGTGAATGAAATATGAAAGCATTGGTGTAATTTTCTCTCTCTAGAATAAACTCTCAAAATATACTCACAGTCACAAAGTTATCGCAGGCCGAGTATACAACAACATTGTTGACTATCAAAATCGAGACTAGCATTATTTTGTTAGTTGTTTGTCCAATGTTCCGACATCCCAATAATTTTGTTAGTTGTCCAATGGGTCTGAATTAGGTCATGACCGAGCTCATGAGTACAATAAACTTGGTGGTTAGGTTCAATCTAGGACTTTGATAAAGACTTTTTTTTAGCTCATTTGTTCAAAATAGTTCCACAATTGTCGCGAAATTATTTTAATTTTATCAAGGCCCAAGCTAAACCGAGTCTGAATCAGTCTGGCCCATTTGAGCAGCGTGAGCCCCAATGGTGGATAATTAAGAGACAATTAAAATCAAAGTAGGAAACTATAATCGTTATTTTTTTAACGTGCTCTAGGTAATCCTATTGAACAGGTTCACCCTCACATTAGTAAGTTATTTTTTACGAGACGATAATAATATATAGTTTTACTGAAAAGATAATTGATATTTTGTATGCGAACAAAGGAAAATAACAATCAAATACCTTTAGAAGACGAAAGAATTATATTTATAGTGTTCCTTAATGCTTTTAAGAAAGCATCTTATGAGTTGATCGTTAGGGTTTATTTTCTTTACGATTTTTTTCCTAAAATTTTGTGGCTGAGCATTTTGATATATATTTTTTAATAAAATTGATAGACTAAATAGTACAAGATAAAAAATAAAATTATGGATACTTAATTAAGCTAATTATTTTAATGTATATTAATAAAATTGGTACCATACGATAAATATATATATATATATATATTGGCATGAATTTTATATATATATCACCAATTGTATTACGATTATATGTTGATTGTTTAAGAAAAATATAGCTCGCATATGATATTTATTTATTTGATGGATATTTTTTATAGACGTTATAAACTATATAAAAATTAAATAATGAGATGATTACCATATTATTACATGCATTCAATAATATTTGTATAATCAAATAATATATATGTATAAGGGTGTGTTTGTTTGGCGGATTTCTTAGGATTTCTATTGTTCATGTGATATTTTCTCCTAAAAAATATCAAATTAAATATCTATTTTTATTTTTTAAATTATACTAAAAATCAATTTTACATTTAAAATATTGCATCAACACTTATTTATATCACATCATACAACTATTTTAATTCAAAATTTTTATTATTTAAATTCAACTCAAAATCTAAACTCCCAAACAAAATACTTTCTCCGTCTGGCATACTTATGCTACATTTCTCATCTGATTGTTTGCTAGATTGGTGCATAATTTATTTATTTATAATAAACAACTTTTGGTTAGTTTATTTTGTGAAAACAAATTAACACATTTCTCCGAAAAAGTTAATATGTAACACTCATTATTTTTATATTATAGAAATAATTTTCTATATCTCACATAAAAAAAAAAAAATAAAATTATCATTTCAAACTATTTCACAAAACAAACAAACTCTTTATTTCTCATCATTTCATATACTCTTACGTTAACAAATAATAGTCAATTTGACGCTACTTATAATATCTCTACTTTACTTTTTTTTTTTTATCTATTCTATTTTTACATGAAAATACTACTCCTTTCGTCTTAAACACCCTGCAACATTTTCTTTTTGGTACGTCCCAAATACTCTGCAACATTTTCAAAATATGAAATAATTAATTATATTTAATCTCTACCCCACACTTTATCTCCTCACATCATCCAAATAAAAAAAATAAAATATATATGTCTCTCTCCATCACATCACTTAATTTCTAAATTATCCTACTTAATACTACCCACCTAAAAACTGGTGCCAAAAGTAAATGTTGCACCTTATTTGGGAACTGGGAACGGAGGGAGTATTACTTTTTAGTCCTTATATCATAATATTTAGGCATAATTAACACAGATGAAAAGAGTAAAATTTATCCAAGTTTATATAATGATTTTTCATTAAGATGGTCAGTTATTACAAAAACTCACTCAATTAAGTTTGAACAGTTTAACTAGCAAATAATTAAACCAACCAAAGCATGCGATTACTTGTTGTAATAATAGCTTTATGGAAATTATGATGTATTTTGATTTATTAATAAAATTCTTGTGTTACTAGTATATTTTCAATAATAGTTTTTTTTATTTTTTTATTTTTTGTTAATTATTGTAGTAAAAATTGATTGTTAGTATAATATATTGTAATAAAAAATGACCCAAAAAAAATTATAATAAAGACAATCAAGCAATGCATTATTTTCACAAGCCAGCAGCTTATATTATTTATATTCAATAGTATAATATATATGAAGAAACATATTATTACACAAAGCATTGTATAATTATTTCTCCATTTCTGAATCATAGTTCAGACATACATACATATTATTATTATTATTATTATTAAATCCTTTCCTTCGCCATCAGTCTCAGGCGCTCAAGTCCCGAACAATCCCACACCACGACAGGACTCCAACTCCCAGTCCCCGCCAATAAAACCCGCTTCTCCACAGTCAGTTCCAGGGACGGTCCAGATCTTCCGGCGCAGGAAAATCCGAGGGCCCAGGCTCCTCTCCAAATCCGGCATCAATTCCCATCTCTTCATCATCATCAGACATCATCATCGGACCACCCTGCTCGAACGCCGCCGCCGCCACGTCATTCCCCGTCCAGAAACCCTCATCCATAAAATCCTCCCCACCAACAAACAGATTATCCTCCTCAGGATAAACACCTGGAGCAAACCACCCAGAATAATAATCCAACCCTAAATCAAACTCCCCGCCATAAGACCCCACAAAAGCCGCCAGAAACGGGTCCTGAAAACCACCACCCATCACCGCCGGCGCCACCTCCACCGCCGGCGCCGGCGCCACCGGAGCCACCTCATTCTCAGACCCCTCCACGTCATCTTCCCCAAACCCCACAGTACGCTTCTGGAAAACCCTAGTCACGACCCAATCATCCTGCAAATCAAAAACCCCCAAATTCAAAACCCTAATTTTAAAAATTTAAGAACAATTCCAGGCCCTGGAAATCAATTAATCAATCAATTATATAAATTTACCTTCCCGACGCCAAAATCTCCCTCCAATCGATACTCATGGCAGATCCAATTGGACTTCTCCCCCCTCGGAGCTCTCCCTAGGTAAAAAACTAGGGTTTTCTTCATCCCTACCACGATTCCTCCCTGGAAAACTTCTTTGTCCTTACCAGTAGCTTTCCAATACCCCGATGGAGTCGCCCTGTTGGTTCTCTGCCCGTTGGGATATTTCTTATCCCTCAGGCAGAAAAAGTACACCTCCTTTCCCATCAATTTCGCTCTTACTGTAATGGATCATCAGATTAGAATTAAATTTTCGATTATGGTTCAGGACATTATAATAACGAGAGTAGATGAATTCTTACAGGGGAGCTCCCATGGCTCCTGCATGTTCATGTCGACTTCAGCTATGGCCGCCGGGGAGAATTCCGGGTCGGCAACTTTCCTCAGCAGGTACTCCATGACGAGCTCTTGGTCAGTCGGGTGGAATCGGAACCCTGGCGGCAGGATCATTCCATCGTCTCCCATTACAATAGCATCGGTGAAATTTTCCATTTTCAGACTACATAGAAACCATCAAAACAAAATGAAATGAAATAAGAATTAATTAGCCGATGGAAATGGTGATAAATGAAAGCAAGAAAGAGAGATTTGTCGAAGAAACAATTAGATCTATGAGGAATGTAATTGAAAAAAAAAAAAAAAAAAACAATCACTCTAAAGACCTTATAATTGAACTCTTCTAAATGAGAATTGAAGAAATCGATATGAAAAAAATGGGGAGAAATGGGGGTTTATATAGCCATGGAGAGGCCTGGTTTTCGACTTAAAACCGCGGCAAGCGAGTACGATAGAAATTAATGCAAAAGTCGGGATTTCCGGGGGCGATGTATTCTTTTTGTGTTTTATTATTTTCGATTTTTTATTAGATAAAATAGTTATTTGGTGTAATATTTTATATCAAAAATTGATATATTTTTACTAAAAGTTACATATTACATAATAAAAAAAGACGGAAAATATAAATAAATAAATCGAAAGAGAATATAATTAAGAATATCACCAAACATGCATTTAATTTCATTAATTAAAATAAGAAAAATAAATTTTGTGTTTGTTTGTATTTTCGGATGGTTTACTCGTATAACTATTTTTACCTAAAAAATATCAAAATAAAAACACAAGTGAGATATTTTCTTGATTCTCACTTTTATTTTTTTTATCAAAAATATTTTAGTCAACACTTATTTATTTCTAAAATTATGTATATTTATATATAATAACCACTATTTTAATGAAAAATATTAAATAAGATGTTTAAATTAAAACAGATATTAAATGTGGTGGTTTAAATTTATTGTAATAATTTTAATACAATATATTTTAAATTATTATTAAGAATTAAAAATTATATATTTTTGTAGTTAAAATGATATAAAATATAAATTCAAAAATACAAACAAACAACCCCTACTATTAAAATAGATTTATGTCAACCTGAAAATTAATTCTGGAAATATTAGAACACTTTTTACTTCTATTTTTCTTTTTTATGTCATTTTTTATCTGAAATATTATTGAGATTTAAAAAACCGTAGTATTTATCAACGACGTAAAAAAAGATAACTTTTATTAATAAAAACGATTTCCTGTGAAGATGCATTTTTATTTCAAATATAATTATATATATAAATAAAAACGATTCAGAAGTCAAAAGTTTCAATTGCAATAAAGCAAATTATTCGATATGAGTTACTAATGAAATTTGTAACCTACATTAAAAAAGTATCGGCGCAAATTTGATAATATATGTCAAATTTTATTACGACCATAGTGATAGTATAAGAGAATATAGCCCGCATATGACACTTATTTTTTTGGTCGATAATATTTTTTATTAACAATACTCATTATATAAAAATGAAATATTATATCGATTTCGTATTATCATATTTATTTAATAATATTCGTATAGTCGAATAATATATACAATAAAATAATAGTAATATTTTCCATACCAACGTCTATATAATGGTTTTTTATTTAGATGGTCAGTTATATTATAAATTCCGACTCAATTAAATTTGAACACGGTTTTACTAAATAGACAAACCAACCAAAGCATTTAATTAATTGTTGTAATAATAGTTTTATAATGTTCGGGTAGCGACTGCGGGTTCCCACCTTATCCAAAATAAATAAATAATAATAATAATAATAATAATAATAATAATAATAATAGCTTTATAATGTGATGAATTTGTTTTATTAATAAAAATTTAGAAGGATGTTTGTGTGCTGAAACATAATTATTTATCATGGTACTAACAACTAGATTAAATACAAACATATAACACATAAAGCTCAATTTTTTTATAATTTTTTTAGTGTTAAAAATATTAATTTTTATGTATTTATATATAATTTATCCCTCCAAAATTATATAAATTCATATATAAGTATGTAATTATTTTTTATTTAAATTTATTAAATAAATTATGATATTTTACCATATGATTTAGATGTTAGTTTCGTCAATGTCAATATAGTATATCTAGTAAACACAAATTGACAATATATATTTTCAAATGATACTAATAATATGGACTATTTAGGTTTGTGTCTTTTGTTTCGACATTTTTTTTTCATAGGAAATAATTGTTGGGCGATGATCAATTTTTATTTTATTTCAATGATCATTTAAATAAAATAAAAATAAAAATGGGCTAAGTCACAAATGATTGGTTAATGGGCCGAGTCTTATTGAATTGGGCCGTTCCAGTTTTGGGCCTTAAACTTTTGTACCAACACTATTATTTATATTATATATTACTGCCACCATCCCATTTTTTTATTTTTATATGTCCTATTAATGCTATTAGTTCCGTCAATTTAATCACATTAATTTTTTAAAGTTTAATTAGACTAATTGGTTATTTTAATATTAATTTAAAATTATTTTTTATTATACGATAATTATTTTTACTAATACATTCTTAATTATTTACTAATTATAACCTCATAAATTCTTATATCTACAGTAAACGGGACACAATAGCAGGGATGAAAGAAATAATAAATAATACTGTTGTAGTCGTTATGTTCTGTTCTATTTCATGTCATTTTTTTAAAAATATTATATACTTTAATTATATTTTAAATTTTTTAAATTATAATTTTTAAATTTTTTAAATTTTTGTATTTATGGTAACTAAGACATCATATTCTGGAAATAATACATATTTCAATGGGTAGTGTGAAAATTAGGTCAAAAACACAAATAATGCAATTTATAGTAAAACGGTTGATATAAACATGTGTGTTCTTTTAGTATTTTTTATATTATCTATCCAATTATCTATATTTTACAAAAAAATATATATATTTTTCAAACTATTTTACAAGAAAAAGCAGACTTTAGATCAAATTTAAATTTTAAATACTCCTATATAATATTTTAATAATATATAAAATTTATTTGATTTATTTGAAATAACATATTAATTTAAATTATATTTTAATCAAATATTCTATGATAATAAATAATTTTATTTTCAATTTAAATTCACCACAAAACGGTGAAATACACCGTAATAATCACACCAAATCTCTTTGACGAGACAGCAAACCTTATTACCATTAATGGGCTCACATTTTTTCAACCCAACAAATAAAATGCCCACCTAACCTTCCCAATTATAACCACAAAGATTCATACGTAAAATTGCTCATAACTCTTACGTGATTTCGAGATTCAGCGTAAAAATTTTTTGTACTTTAAAAATTGTATGGCATCTCTTTATGTTTTTGAAAACGTTGCATTAAACCACAATAGAGTTTTATGTAGTATTTTTTAAAGTATAAAGTAGCGCTATACGATTTTTAAAGTAAATGAGGATTTACGCTAAGCTTCGAAACCATAAGAGAATTATGGGCAATTTTGCATATATATATATACTTTTTCCGTCGACTTCTAAGGGTCATATTTATTTTTTGTATAATTGTATTTAATATTAAAAATATCTTTATATTTGTTTAATTATATGTATAAATATCTTCTATTAGTATTATAATTGCAATTTTTTTTATACTTTAATATAATAATTAATATTAAAAAATCAACAAGTAAAAAGTAAATGAGACCCTTAAACCTAACAATAGAATATTTTTTTATAACGTAATAATCTGTAGTCGCTATCCAAAAAATTTGAATATATATATAGAAATAGATACGTTGAATATGTATGTATATGCCACAGTATTCGAGATCACATGTTATTGTGCTGGAAAAATGGGCCTACTGTTTTATCCCCTTTTATATCCAAACAAAAAAAAAAAAAAATCGTGCATTTTCCAAAATATCTGAACAATTGCTGTGGCTTTTATTTTTTCTGTTTTTTTCAGAGTCCTTTTTTATGGTAAAACAATTTTCTTCGTCCTAAATTATTGTTTTATAGAAAGTGAATTTGGCCATAAAAAAATTGGTGGGTAAAAAACATTGAACTGAAAAATACATAAATGTAAAATAAAAATAAAAATGGATTCTTTTGGACATAACTTGAATAGCCATTTTGGATAAGGCAAATTTTGCTGACCCCACCATTCCTCTCTTCTTCTTTTCTTCTGCCTTTTTAAACGTTGGCTGGCTTGAGTTCATTCCAAGCATCTGCAATATTTTTCACGACCCTCTTTTTCAAATTTCAAGAAACCGAATACCAGACAAAGAGAAAAAAGTTAAAGGTTTCTCCTACAAGTTCTTTGCAAGGATTGAAGCGTCTTGGTTGGATTGAAGGCAACAGAGATTAGGGTTTCTTGATTTTGGGGCTTTGGTCGATTTCTTTGGTGTTTTAGGGCTCTGATTTTGTGTATGTGTTGTTTGGGGGATAAATCTTGAAAAAGATGTCGTGTTTGAAGGTCGATTTCTCAGTTTCTGGTTCGAGTAATATTCTGGTCAAGAACCAAGACAGAGGGTCTTCTAGGGTTTTGTCAGCTCTTCGATTTAGGGATTCGAATTTAAACGAGGTTTGGGGGAAATCCTTGAAATTAGACAATGTTTATGGTCAGAGAGGTGTGGTCGATTCGGGCATCATCAAACGCCCAAAATTGGACGCTGTTTACGTGAGTATTGTTCTTTAAATTTTTTTTCTTCAATTCTGTTTTCCCCCAAATTCTAGGGTTTCTGATTTTGGTGAATTATCTATTACACAGGCGCAGGCATCAGTTTCCTTTGGGAAAGCCCTGAAATGGTGGGAGAAATCCCTGCAGCCAAACATGGTGGAAATCGGCTCAGCGCAGGATCTCGTAGATCATCTAATCAACGGTGGCGATCGTCTCGTTGTGATCGATTTTTATTCCCCTGGCTGCGGTGGCTGCAAAGCTTTGCATCCTAAGGTTGTCTTTTCTATTACAGCACATTCTTTAGACAATGCATATATATAGATGCTTTGTTGTGTTTCGAAAAGTCGAATTCTTTAGATACATATGTATCGAATTATCGATGTTATCCGGTTTTTAACAGATTTGCCAAATCGCGGAATCGAATCTGAATGTTGTGTTCTTGATGGTTAACTACGAGCAGCACAAGGAAATGTGCTATGCCCTCCATGTTCATGTCTTGCCATTCTTCCGATTCTACCGAGGCGCCGACGGGAAAGTTTGTAGCTTCAGCTGCACCAATGCCACGGTAAGAAATTAATCGAAAATTATTACATTCAATTCAACGACGTCTTTGTTGGTTGACTATATAATAATTAATGATACATGCTCGTGAGACGGGGTATTGGTTGATTACATAATAGTATATAAATAAATACTCCCTTCATCCGCATAATAAGTTTACATATACTTTTTGGCGTCATAATACTTAATATTAAAAATATCTTATATTAGTATTATAACACATTAATAGAAGTATTTTTTTTATTTTTCCTTCATTTGTACTATATTTTGATATAATAATTAATATTTAAATATCAAAATGCAAAAAGCAAATGTAAATTTTACAAATGGACGAAGGAAATAATATTTATATTTTAAATTCAAATTTTTAAGTGAGATGATCATTTAATACATATTTATACAGAAAAGCTTTAATAGCTACATTGTATTGTACTGATAGATCAAGAAGTTCCGGGATGCGTTAGCGAAGCACGGCACGGACCGGTGCAGTCTTGGCCCGGCGAAGGGTTTATCGGAGGCGGAGATGTCGTCACTGGCCGCGATCGGGCAGATTTCGCTGGAATTAGCGCCGACAACGGCGGTGGAAGAAGAAGGTAGTGAGTGTAACAAAATGGGAGTGAAAGAAGAAGACAAAGCTGCTGCCATAGCTATGGCATCTTAAGTGTGTTTGTTAGTACAAAATATACACATATACATACATGATATATTTGTATGTATTTGTATTCTTGGTGCCATTCAGGGCTAATGGGTTTTTAAGATATAAGCCCTGTGGTGCCTAGCTGCTGCTGTTGTGTGTAAAACTTGTGATAATGAATCCCCTGTGAAATGGACATTTGTTGATTCGGGGATTTTGATGATCATATCCACCACAAGAAACAAAAACCCTTATTTTTTATTTTTTTTTTGCTATTTCTTTAGCTTTTCATTTTTATAAAATTTATTTATAATAAACTTATTTAATAAATACTATTTATGTCCGGCTCTAAAAATCACACTTATTTTTTATGTATTGATTTTTAAATATTACTCCCTCCGTTTCAAAAGTATAGTTTTATTGGATTGGACACGAGATTTAAGGAATATCGATATTATATTGGTAGCCGGTAAAAAGTAAGAATAAATGACTTTTTTGTCCTTGTGAGTATATTAGTGTATTGTGTAAGTATATTAGTGTAGCGGCAACTGTGTAATAATAATAAAAAAAAATAGGGATAGTTTTATGGTGATATAGTTTTTTATAGAAATGTGACTATTATTTTGGGACGGTAAAAAATGGTAAACAAAATTATTGTATAGGGACGGAGTGAGTAATTATTATATTAAAATGTAATACAAATTAAGAAAAAATTACAAAAATACTTCTATTAATATTTTATAATACCAATAGGACATTCAAAAACATTGTACAAATATAAAAATATTTTTAATGTTAAATATAATGACCTAAAAGGTAATATGACCCCGGCGGACAGAGAGTATAAATTCATTTAATTAATTTTCTAATTTTTTTATAAGATCTATTCAAAAGTTCTTTATTTTTATCTTTCTCTTAGATAAACAATATTTTATCTGTCCTTTAATAAACTATATATTTTTTTATTTTGGTATGTCCATAACAAACTATATATTTCAATTTTTTTATCAATTGTACTATCTAATTAATATTACAAATATCCTTACAATTTATAATATATTGCACAAATATCATTACATTTACATCACACAATACTGATAAAATTATTTTAATCATTTTTATTTTATTTTTACTATATATCAATATAATACTATTATACATAAAACTACGTGCAAAAAAGTGAATACATATTTGCTTATGGAACATGGAGAGTATCTTTATCTATTTAAAGTTATCATTTTTTATAAAATTAGTTTTATTGAAAAATAATATTAAAAGTATTTAAAATACTAACAACAATATTTATAATAAAAATAACGAAATAATATTATCACTTATTATTAATAACTGAGTAATCTATCCAACCTAAATACTCTATTTTTAATTAAAAGATAATTTTACTTAAAATATTGTATTTTTAATTAAAGGGTCATCTGACTCTTGTAACAGATATCCATTTTAGTCTATCACATAACAAAATATTCATTTTCGTTTTTAGTAATTGTATTATCTACCTAACATTATAAATACCCTTACAACTTACAATATATTACATAAATGTCATTACCTTTATATCACACGTACTAATAAAGTTATTTTAGTCATTTCTCCTTTATTCTTACTACATCTTAATATAATACTAATATTTCTAAAATTATGTACAAAAAAATAAATGAATATCTAATTATGAGGCGGATGAAGTATTTTTTATTTTTTTATCTTTTGGGGTTTTGAATTTTAATTTCATTGTAGATGATGAGTGGAATCAGACGTGGCCATGTGTTAGAATTAAGACAAGACAAGAGTTGAGATTTGGCCTAATTAAGAGCAGAAAGAACCAATTCATTATTAATCTAAGGAACAGCCAAAAGATGGATCTGTCGGTATTACAAATTCGACCCACCCACTCTAGCTGACCTTTCTTTATTACTATTTCCCAATTTAAATATATATTTTTTATCTCATAAAATATTATATTATATATTATTTTAATAAAAAATTCAAATTAAAATTTTCCGAACTACATAAAAGAAAGATAAAGTAAATGATAGCATTAGAAAAATAAATTGATAAGTTAAATAAGAAATAAATAAATTGAATATAAAAGTGTAATTAATTATAAATTGAAAAGTTTCTTCACTTAGTATTTTTGGATAAATTAAATTTTAAATCAGATATAATAAATTGCATTGATAATATAAAAAATTATTTTGCATTGAATAATTAATTTTTTTTGTAAGTAAATACTTCCTTCGTCGGGCTATTATGTCCGGATTAATGTAAATACAAAAATTTAGAATAAATATAATTAATAAATAATTATGAATATATTAGTAAAATTAATAATCTTATAATATAAATAATTATATATTAAATTAAAAAAAATTATAAATAAAAAAATTTTAAAATAAAATTAAAGTGCAATCATTTGTCAAAAAAAAAAAAAACAAAAACAAAAACAACAATATGAACATAATAAATGAGACAAAGAGAATAATATATTATCTAAATTGTGTTAATACAAATATATATTATATTTTTATAATATTTATAAAAAAATCATACCACCATCAAATATTGAGTGAATAAACCCGAAGTTGTATTTCCTATAAATGAAAATAAATAAATAATTCTAAAATTGGAAAGTTCATTTCATATAAACGAAAATGCATATCATTTTGTGGACAGACAAAAAAGTTAAATACATAAAGATTGTATTGTTTTACTAGTATTTTAGAATATGTTATGTTTTTAATATTACTTATTAAAAATTATAAAAACATTTTGAAAAATTAAGAAATTGTCTTTTTGAATAATTTTTGTTACTTTAAAAATAATTTATAAAAATATAATATTTTATCGTGAATAATATAAAATTAAAATAACATACTCATACAATAGTTATGCACTAAGTTTTTTTTAATATTACATCTTTTAACATTCACTTATAATAATATAAACTATTTTCACCGCCATAAAAAATATATTCATACTTTTGAACATATATTTTAATGTAAATCCATAATAAATGTTACTTTTGTCCCTCATGGTGTCACTAATAGTTTAATGTAAATCCATATTTTATTTTTTTTAAATATATTACATTTATTTTAAAATTATTAATATTATTAATTATATAAAAAATAATAAAGTAAAATTATAATCTATTATTATTAATTAAATAAATATTATTATCTTAAATGTTATATCCGTGTTGAAAAGGTTCAATTATTTTGATAGGAAATGTATTATGTTACAAAATATATGTATCAATAATATATTTATGTTGTAATATTATAAATTTTACATTTTTATATTACGTAATATATACATAAATAATAGTTGTACAGTGGCAATATTATATGTTTATAAAATATATGTACAAATAATCAATCTTTTAGCAGAATTTCTTTAATGAAAGAATTTTTCATAAATAATATTAAAAAATATAAATATACAAACTGTTGCAGCATTTCTTAATGAAATTTTTTTATAAATATTATTAAAAAATATAAATATACAAAAACATTAATATAATTCACACATAAAAATTAATAATTCAAACACAAAATATTATTTTTTATATGGCAATGTAATTCTTATACCAAGCAAATATATCTTTCCTATTACGAAATATATGTACAAATACAAATACTATACTTCCATCTATCATTCTACTTATATTGTGAAGTATACCTTTTTTCATTAGGTATAGAAATGTATTGCTACTACCTTAAAAAATAGTAATTTGATCAAATCTCGATATTTTTTAAAATATACACCTCATCCAATTACAATTAATAATATTATTTTCGTCTTTGGCATTTGCTTTTGTACATAAATTTTTAAATATTAATATTATATTAGATTTTAGTTAAAATAACAAAAATATTCTTATTAGTATAATATAAAATTAAAATAATAACATTGTATAATATATTGTAAATTAAAAAAATATTTATTATATTAAAAAATAAATAATATAATTACTAAATTAAAAAAATAATAATTTAAGATAAACAAAAATAAAAATAATAGTATCTTCATAATTTAGACAATTTACTAAAGCAAAATATATTTAACTTATTTCACTAAACAAACACTCTTTTAACTTTTTAAAATTTTTATTTTTAAATTACTTTTAATTGAGTTTACTGCCTTTTATCTTTAAATATTGTATGACATTTATGCAAAATTTATACAAGAAGAATTTGATTCTAACCCATTCTAACATCTTGTTGACAAGAACTGTATAAGTAATATACAAAGTGGAACGGCAAAGATCATATTCTTGCACTGAACTTGCATTACCCCCCAGACCAAAAAAACGCATATCAATTTATCAATATTGCAGGATCAGTATAGATTAATTTTGCCTCAGAGGTAGTGACAATCAGATATCATCATGTTGATTTCTGATAATACGTGCAAAGGTTAAAACATCATTGGCAAACCAGACTTGCAAACATTTAGGGTAAATAATACTAGACCCTAACCAACTTGGTGAAAAACAAGTATCAAAGATATAATAAGCACACAAAAGAAAGCAAGAATGGATGCTTAATGGCCTCAGATGCGATGATTCATAGCCATAATCAAAGAATAATCTCACAGGCAAATCAATGTGCATCACTGGCTCTATTGTAACATAATCCACAATATAAGAAGATACATAAAGAGAAGCCGAAGTGGAAGAGAAAGAAAACACATTACAAAAAATATTGAAAATAGATATTCAAGAACAAATTTAAGAAAATAAAATTTGGCATCAGAGAGATTCCCATTATAGACTAAGTCATCTTTCTCCCAGAGGAGATCTGATGTCCCTGTCTGTTTATCATCATATACCAAATCCGATGATTCAGTCTTTTAAGGGCGTGTATAACACCACTTCTCTGAACTAACATCTTCAACAAAAATAAATACAAAAAATTAAAAATCAAAAGGCAAGCAGAAGCCTCAGATTAATATGCTTTTCCTTGTGAATCAATCACTCAAAGTATATTTAATACCATCACAGGCAACGACATTCTCCGAAAAATAGAAAACTAAATTTCTAAAAGTCTAATAACATCGATCAAAATAACAAAACAAATCAACGAAAAGAAATCACGGATATACGATTCTAGATAATCAATCGAAGAAAATTTCACCATAGAAACTGCGTCGAACCACAAAACACAATTATAACAACTAAATCCACGCCGAAAAACGCAAAGAGGATACCACCGCCATGGGAAGAGTAGATGAATTACCGACGGCGATCCACTCTGCCCCTCTAGAAGGGGTATATATATATACAGAGAAAATTATATCTAAATTCTGGAGCCTTCGCGGCTAGGGTTTAGCAACTGTCCCAGGAAGTTTGCCAAATACACCCCTATAAAATCAATCTATTCAGTTTTGCCCACAAAAATTTTATTTAATTAATAATATGAATAATTTTAAAATAAAATTAATATATATATTAAAAATTAAAATATATATTTAAAATTTTTAAAATTTATATAATAAAAATATATAAAATAAGACTATAATTTTATAAAAAATAAATTTTGTCTATAATGTAATTTAATAAAATATACGATTTATTTATTTATAATTACATCATAAAAATACAGAAAATAATATAGATAAAATATTTATTTTTTAAAAAAACCGATAAAATATTTTTAAAAAAATTGAATACGTACTATACATGAATTAATTAGATTTAAATGTATTTTGATTTACTCAATTTTACTAAAATTTTTAAATTTGCTAGCACAATGAATCCAACATATCCCTAAATTAATTTCGATCGAAGTTTATCGCATCAGCGCCTGCGGATTCTTATATTATACAAAGAAGTCGGCTGCGGATTCCCATATTTTAAAGAAAAACATATACGTACTAAAATTTTTACAACAGAAAATATCTTACAAAAATGCTTGGTACTGAAACATGGACAAGAATCTCGACTAGAATAACAACTCTAGATATAACTTACGAGTTTCAGGTCACCAGAAATCGCCGCAAGAGCAAACTCCATCCCGAAAATGATGATACCGAATTGGATCCCGGATGACGATTCTCCGGCTCTCCATTTTCGACAGCATCTTCGCGAAAACATGGCAGTCGCCGCAAATCCGAAGATTCTTCCGAATTCTAATCGTCTTCTCTTTCGACAAGCTCATCCACCCGAAAACCATCGCCAATTTCTCGCTGTGGTAAGCCAAAGAGCTCTCCATCTGCTCGCCCTCAAGATCTTGCAACACGAAATTCGTGTCCGGAACATACCCTTCCTCCTTCAATCTCAATAAAACTTGATTCAGCTCCCGATAAATCGCACCCGTTTGCGGATGCGATTTGTCGCCCAGCACGAAAGCGTGAACCTCCTTGTCGATTTCGATCCAACTGCATCCCGGCTCTTTCTTGATCCCACCATCCTTCATGGCCTTCCGCAAGTTCTCGACATCTTCCCATCTCCCCGCTTTGGCGTACATGTTCGACAGCAGAATGTGCGTTCCCGCATCGTGCGGATCCAAACTCAAAACCTTTTTCGCCGCGAATTCGGCGAGATCCATTTTTCGATGAACACGACAGGCTCCGAGTAAAGCCCTCCACGTCACGGCATCCGGCTCGCATTTCATTTCGCGGATTAGCTTCATCACATTATCGAATTTCCCGGCCCTCCCGAGGAGATCGATCACGCAGCCGTAATGCTCCCTTCCCGGATCGATTCCGTAAAGCTTCTTCATCGATTCGAAGTAATACATTCCTTCGTTCAAAAGCCCGGCATGGCTACACGCGAAGAGAACTCCCAACATTGTGATGTAATTTGGGTTCGGGCCCGAAACTTTCATTGCATTGAACAAGTCCAACGCTCTCTGGCTGTACCCGTTTTGCGCAAACCCGATGATCATCGTGCTCCAAGAGATGACATCCTTGACAACCATTCTACAGAAAATACGGTTAGCATCTTCCAAACTGCCACATTTACAATACATGTCGAGAAGAGCATTGTTAAGAACCAAATCCCGATCAAACTTTAGGACATTAACGTGGACTTGTCTCCCGAGCTCGAGCAGCGCTAGACTCGTGCAAGCCCGCAAAACGCTCGTCAGCGTCGACTGATCAGGCGAGAAACCGGACCTCTTCATTGCTATAAAAAGATTCATCGATTCATCGCCATCGCTGTTCTGCGCAAACCCGGCAATAATTGAGTTCCAAACCACGAGATCTGAAGTCACCATTTCGTTAAACACCGAAAGAGCTGCACCCAAATCACCGAATCGGGAATATGTATCAATTAACGCACTTCTGACAAAAACATCGAGTTCTAAACCAACCTTGATTATGAAGCTGTGAAGCTGTTTGAGATCGGAAAATCCCTGGCAGGCTCGTAGAACTGAAGAGAATGTATACATGTTCGGTCTGGCGCCATCTCTAAGCATCATTACCAGCATTCGCAATGCCTTTTGGTCGAAATCGGCGCTGGAGTACGCAGAAATCATAGTTGTCCAGGAGACGAAGTTCCTCTCAGGCATTCGATCAAACAAGGCTTGCGCCTCGTCCAGCAAATTGAACTTCACGTACATGTTCAACAGAGCATTGATGAGAAAAGTTTTCGGGTCGTAGCCATTAGAGAAGACATGGTTATGAACTCGCTTGCCTTGTTTTATGGCACGATGGGAAATACAGCATTTGATTAGCTCTCCATAAGTTATCGAATCAGCCCACAGCTTATGCTCCTCCATAGCATCTAAAGTTTTCATTGCCTTCTGAAGATTCCTCTGATAACAGAACATTGTGAATTCATTCACAATGTTTCGATGATGATCGCGAATTGAGGTAATTTGTGCGAAACTTCGACAAGCAGCTTTGCTTAATGGCGTCTGTAAGGTTATACAATTCCATTTGAATCTTGATATTGGTTTCATGGCTAACGATGGATCTGTTTCTCCAATCTGTAATTTGAGTTCAATTCAGTATTAAACATTTCAATTGAATGATATGCAAAAAAACCATAAACCAAGAAAATTCAAGCTTGTAAATCACCATATCCCCAATTTGATAACCTAATTCCAAAATAAAGCATAAACACCCCAATTTGATAACCTAATTAAAGCATTTCATTTATCTGGTACCTATTATGGTGTTTTACTATATTTCAGTCACTCAGAAAGTTCGAAATTACAGTTAGGGTTTCGAATCAAAGTGCTTTGAAACTCTGCAGAATTGCTTTCACCCAAAAACCTCGATTATGTAAGATAACGAAATTCAACCGAATTGAAGAGCTCAAAATACAAAGAAATCAGCAGCAGAAATCAGGAATAATATCAAATAAATAGAAAACAGACACAAGGAGAAGCGCGAGTCATTTGATTACCTAATTTGCAGTCAGCGTCAGTGGGCGAAGCGACAGTTTCGCAATTAAAAACTAAATTTCTGAAAGGGAAGGAACAGTCGGGCGCCTGAACAGACCAAGGTAGCTTTTCTAGACTGGAAGACAGAACCCGCCGTCGAAAAAAATCAGGGCGGCGGGCGGCGGCCGGAGAAGATCCGCAGGGGTTCGGGAAATTTGAAATGAAACATACAAGAAAGGTAACGGTTTATGTCCATAATGCCATGTAAAACCGGCAAATCCATTTATTCCGTTATAATCTAAGACTGCAATTGCTACACTAATTTTTTTTTAACTCATAACTCTATTTTTTACTTTAAAATTAATATTTTTTTTCAAATATTACATTTTATATATTATTTTAAACCATTTTTACATTTATAATTAATATTTAAAAAAAATTAAAAATAAATAAATTAATTAATTAATAATTAAAATACAATTTTTTTTAAAAATAAAAAATAAACACAACACCATGAAAATTGTGCTGCTACCGTGCAAAGCCATACATCATTTTTGGTGTAAAGATAGCAGCCCGCTGGAGATGGTCTAATGATTTCAAGGATTTGATTTATACTAATATTTTAAAATGTATATTTTTTTTTAAGAAATTGATGTTTTTTTTCTTTTTCTTTTTTTATCCTGGCAAATCAAATCGGGATTTGAATCATGACATAGTGATCACAAGTTCAATATATAATTATGTATTAACAACCAAAATGGGGAGTCTGGATGCAGTTAGGTCAATAAAGTTATCAATGTCTTATTCAACGAAACACAAAGGACTTTACAGATAAAATTCTCCGAAGAAACAAATCTTCAATGGGATTTATTGTTACACTACGGACTCTTCTTCCTCTACTCCTCTTTTTTCTTTTTCTTTTTTTAGCAGAATCTTACAATGTGAATTTCTCACCCTGGTTTAAGCCATTAGAGCCATTTCAGGGTCTAAAAAACCTGTAAAAGCAAATCAAAATGGCAAAAACATACGTTCATACGCCTCGCCGTAAGAACAGCAGGTCGATCTCTCGTCACTCAGTGTAGTCCTGTGAGGTCGGATGAGCTACCCGCCTCATATACTCTGTATGAATCTCCTACGTATCCATCGTCAGGATTCCTGACCACCCGAGAAACAAGAAATCCAAACATCAAATTCAAGCAACTGATTAGGCCAAATCCGGCCGGGGCAGCATGAGTTACAAACTCGCATTGAACTGATTTGGCGGCTGCATAAGTTCAAAACTTCATTTTAGGGGAAGAATCAGCAACGTATCATATGCATAAGTATAAAAACATGTCGTAAATATTGTATCTATGATCAATTATCGCACTTAAATACCAAAACACAGATAAACAATTCTTTTGTAAGTACAAAACCAAAAGACGATCATAAAATATACTCCCTCCGTCTTCCTCTAAGAGTTACATTTATCTTTTGCATTATTGTACTTAATATTAAAAATATCTTTATATTTGTATAATTTTTTGTACAAATGTCATTATATTAGTATTATAAGGCACTAATAGAAATATTTTTGTCATTTTATCTCAATTTATACTATGTTTTGATATAATAATTAATATTAGAAAACCAACACGCACAAAGTAAATGTGGTCCTAATAGCCAGACGGAGGAAGTATATATAAATTAGAGGATTATAATCGATCTTAGGTACAGAACTAAATTTGCAATTTTAGGCGTGTACCTGTGGGTAGGCATCCTCGTTGAAAATAGAGATGGCGCAAGATCCCGGATTAGGAACCAGGCTGTGATGTTGCATACTGCTGTAGACGGATCTTGGGAGTTCGAAATTTCCGTTTATGTGATAATCCATGGGGTTCGGTGGAAATGCTGCTTCTCTTCCGGGATCCATCATGTATGGGAAAGTGAGGCTTCCGTACGTTGACGGACAAGCGAATTGTTCGTTGAGAGGTAGTCTCAGGTAAGACGAGCTGGCGTAGTCGTCAATAGAGATACCCTCGTCTTGCCTGTCGTTTTTTAAAGGTATTCCCTTGTCTATGTCTTGAGGCTTTAGATTTCCGAAGAAACTCGAACAACTTGGGAAGGATGCATCTCTGGCGCAGTCGATGTCTCTGCAAGAGTAAGTAGAAGATAATGCGATTTATGCGCATAAACAATAGGTGGAAAACATCGATATAAATTTTTTGATCACCTGTTGCCCAAGAAATGAGATTCGTTCGGTAGTATCATCTGCTGTGGTACACCGCCCGGAAGCCATGACTGAGTTTGGCAGTCCTGATCGCCAGTTGGAATGACAGGAAATGGCATTGAGTTTTGTGTCTGCAATTCACGAAACGGCGTAAAAAACCCGAGATCCCACAGACACACAATGTTGTATTACTATACGAATCGATACCTGGATTGAGCAGTCAAATTGCAACATTTGGTGGTTCTGTGGAAACTTTTCTTGCTGAAAGAAATCGAAGTGGGGTTAGTTCGGGTTCAATTCTACAATGCGCCGTGCAGTCGACAAAATGTGTTTAAAGAAATAGAGAATACCTTCTGCTGGCGAACCCGATTAAGCGTCTCCTGGAGTGAACTTTCCATTTGATTAAGATGCTCCATGTCGTTGATATTGTCCGGGTTACCCCACCAGCTGACAAGAAAGAAAACACTAGGATGGATTTATGCATAGGTTTCGAAACGATTCATCCAAAAGAAATGGAATTATGAACGAACAAACTATAAGTTTGAATCTTGAATCATTTTTAGTTTGACGATGGTACCTTATCCTTTTATGCACTTCAGTAATACGACCTTTCAACAACGACACTTGATTTCGCATTTCCTATCAGTTGTTATATACCACCATGAAAAGATGTTAAAGGCCAAAGATTTGAGGCAAGACACGGATTTTCGAAACAAAAATGGCCTAGCAATAATCAGAGGTACCTCAATCGATGGGTTGCTGCAAAAAAAAAGAAGCGTGAGCACAGAATAAAACACATGTCACATAAAATTAGTGTGAGGCGCTAATGTAAGTATCTACCTTGCATTGAGAAACTCCTCTATATCCACATCCTGGTCGACTTTCTTGAAGTTCCTCTTCAAAGTCTAAAATGCCAATGAGTTCGTTGTGAACATCTTTTAGTCTCTGTTCAGGAAGAAGAATGGAGAATAGAGATGATGGAAACACGACCATTTAAATACGGAACTTACTTCAAGACTCTCCAACCTCCTGTTTAAATTCAATGAGAGAAAAAACTAGTGAAGATTATTTTAATGATACACATCGGAATATGACTGCCAAGAAAACAACAAAAGAAGTGTCATCTACCTTTTAGCTCTTTCTTTAGGCGTAAGTTGCGCGTATTTTGCAATCATGTCAGCAATGTTGCTGAAAGGAAAAAGAAAACCATTAGGAAATAACTAGCAGAAACTTATTCTAGTTACTATATTACCATCAAAATAATGCATCTATGAATGTCTCCATATACTGATATACATATGTACGAATGGATTATGAATCCTTATATTTTATATCATCTTTCTTTTGTTCTTCGCGATATTTTTTCATAACATGCACATGTTTAAACATCACCCATCACCCACCAACCCGTACTCTGACACAATCACCACCCTATTCCCAAAATGATAAATTCAGAACGATTCAAAGTGTTCAACTTTGATTTATTAGAGATTTCAATTTTTAACCCTCCATAGCAATGTCTTATAAGCTAATAGTACTTAGCATGCCATTCATATTTCTATTTTAAACCATCCTTTCTCAAAACCTCAACTAAACTAAGAACATCAAGGAACAGTGCAGTCGCCGACTACATACTAGTCTAGATCTCTCACATTTGTTTTCCATCGTTAATACCATAATTCATTTACGTGGTTTGTCCTATATGATACCACACTAAATGTTAGCCTCGACACCTAACTTTAAAGCTTAACGACCATATGGAATCTTTTTTTGCAACATTACAGTTACAAAAGGAAATTTTCTAAAAATTTTAGTTATGATTCAATGGCATCTCTTCCCGACTAAACACCTACTTAATACTTGATACATATGAGGTGAAGTATTGCTCTAATTACTAACAAGACAATAAAAATTCGAAACTGATTATACACATATAAGTAGAGCTACAATGAAATGCTCGATATAAAGTACCTGTTTTCGCCGCAGAATACTGAAGGCTTCCCCGAAGGAGAAAACATAAGAAGAAATATATGAATGTCGCATAACACTGACAATTCTTGTGCCTTCTTAAGGATTCCATTCCTTCGTTTACCGTAGGTAACTTGCCGGTTGGGGAGGCTCTCCAATCTCTGTATTTTCAGCTTTACTCTTCCCATTCTGCTAAAATTAAACCAAAACTTTTGTTGAATTCTCCAATACCACCAAATACAAATAAAAACAACACAGAGAGACTGATTAATTTCATTCATTTGATTTCAATAAAACCCCAACAAATGCAATAGAAGCAAAGATTTTCTAATCAGGCAGCATTCATACAACATGCAAAAACATCAAATTCATATGCAACAAATACCAACCTTTAAATTGAAAAGCTGCAATATTTCCTGCCGGCAAGAACTAACCATTCTCCACATTAATCAGAATTGCGAAAAATTCGAAGTGATTACCTGACAAAAATGCGCGCAAATGGTGAACTTCACCCCCGGAACGTCTTCAATTATTCCAAAACGAACAAAAAATAAACGTACACCAAACTATATATATATAGTAAATAAACTAAATTAATAGAATGAAATGAAGAAGAGCTAGGTAGGGCTGCCAGAATAAAAAAAGTGTATATATATGTGTATCTGACTGACTACCCCATCAAATCAAACAAAATCCAATCGAATCCAAATTAGGTATTTCGAAATCGATGGCGGAATGCAAAACGAGCAGACATGAATGAATTGGAAAAACGAAAATGAAAGAAAAGGGAGGAAGGTGAAGAAATAGGTGGAGGATGAGGAGGAAGGTGAGACGGGGAGAGCGGGGGGCGATGTGATTGAGGAGCGGACATTGGGTCCAACTCCTATTTCGCCGCCTATACCTCAACTCGCGGGAGAATCGAACCAACCACCTGCAACTTTCATATTATAATTAATATATTTTTTTAAGAAAATAATAATATATTATGTTCATTTTTTTAAATATAATTATATATTTTAATTATATTTTAAAATTCATAATTTATATTTTTTTATTTTTGATAAATTATTTAATCATTTTAATTTATACTAGTTATTTTTATTTTATTATAATTATTTTTATTAATACATTTCTTAATTACTTACTAATTACCGTTACAGTGACAAATTAGTTGAGATCAGAGAATATAATATTAGTTTAACTAATTATACAAAGTTTGTACAAATAAAATAAATAAAATATTTTTAAAAATATTTTTTTAGAAAATAAATAATAAAATAATTTAATCATTCATTTAATAGTTTTTCAAAGATAACTATTACAAACTTTATAAAAAAAAAAAGAATTATAAAATAAAATATCAATCAATTATTTATTTATTTATTTATATTATTTAAATAAGGTTATCTTTTTTATTTATATAAAACTCGGATAATTAAATGCATATTTATATTTTAATTTAACACAAAAATACTTAAAACACAATGTAACGGTAACACTGCAAGCCACGCAAAACTTTTATCCTCACATCATGGGAGACTTGATCGTCTATTCTCAAATAGTTTTTCGAATATAATTGTTACGTAAGTTTTAAATATATATATATATATATAATGAATATCAATTAATTATTTATTTATTTATTTATATTATTCAAATAAGGTACTCTCTTTTATTTATATAAAATTTATATAATTAGATGCATATTTATATTTTAATTTAATATAAAAAATTAATTAAATACAATGCAAAGCTTTTATCCTCATTTACATACTTTGTGAGACTTTTCAAGTTCACTTATTCTCAAATGACTGTAAGACAAGCACAAATTCTATAGTTCTTTCAATAGGATTTTTGAAAAATAACATACACATTGTTGATACAAATAGTCTATTCAATTTATCTATCACGGGAGTTGGCCTAGGCCTAACTCCGGAGTATTACCACGACACTAATTTACCATTATTTTTAATAATACAGGCTAACGAGTGTTTACGACTTATTCTCAACATGGTCCCGTTATAAGTTATATTTATTTTGTGAATAAAAACTAATGGTGTGTTTTTTTTGTGAAAATATATTTCTCCAAAATTATACTCCCTCCTATCCTAATTAAAGTATCATTTTACTATTTTTGTTTATCTCACTTCAAAATATCAATTTCTTATTTTTAGAAAAAATAATTATATGTAAATACTAAAATATCGTTAATGTTTACTTAAATTACAAACATATAATTATAGTACATATAATTATTTTATACATAAGGTCAAATGGCAAAAATATCAAAAACTCTTATAGAGTTCCACTGACCAATAAAATATTACTCGTATTATTTTTAAATTTACTATAAAACCTCAAATAGCCCATTTGAATTGAAAAAGAGTAAATTTTTCTTTAAAAAAATGTTATACGACACATATTTATTAATTTTATATTATTTACATAATTCTATATACTTCACGTAAAGTAAAACTCCCTCCGGGGTGAGATAGACCCGTTTGGTTAAGAACACGGTATTTTAAGTAGTGTAAATTAATAAGTTATTAATGATAAGTTATGATATTATTTTTATATGAGTAGTACTGTTGGTATTTTAAATATTTTTAGCATTATATATTAATAAAATATATTCTAATATGATTGTAAAGAAAAATAACGTAAAATCTTATTATTATGCTACTATAAAAATAATAAATATATATGTTATATATATATATTCTATTTTTTTTTTCTTATGGAGAAATAGGTATATTTATTTTTAGCAAAAAGAATCCACCCTAGCGTTAGCAGAGTGAAGGGTTTTGACTGTAGTGTGTACTCCCTCCGATACGGTGTTTTTTGTAATATAAATTTATTAATAATAAGTTATAATATTATTTTATTATTTTTATATGAGTAATGTTGTTAGTATTTTAAATATTTTTAGCATTATATATCAATAAAATATATACAATATAAATATTATTTTTAAAGAATAAAATTTTATATAATACAAATAAATTAAAAAAATTTATTTATTTATTTATAATTAACTTAAAACTAATTTTATTAAAAATAAAAAGTTTTAAATATAGATAAAAATATTTATTTATTGAAAAAAAGGATAGAAATAAAGGGTTTTGAGTGGGTCCTATGGGTAAGAGGCTAGAAATTTAATTAAATTGATTTATATTTATTAAATATGTTTAAAATGAATAAATTTATTAAAAATAGAAATGAGTCATCTTTTGTGGGACGGACAAAAAATGAAAATATCATTTCTCGCGGAATGGAGGGAGTACATTAATACAAATCGTATAGGTGCATTTAGACGGTAATATTTTGATTTTGGATTTTAGTTTTAAATAATAAAATTTTGAATTGAAATAGTTGTTTGATATAATATACATATATATATATTTATACGATGTTTTGAATATAAAATTTAATTTTAGTGTAATATAATAAATAAAAAATATGTGTTTGATTTGATATTTTTAAAATGAAAAAAAAGAAAAAAAACTGAAATAGTAAAATCGAAAATCAAATATCACAAGTAAATACACATGTTTGTTTGTAAAATGAGAATGAAATAAATACTTTGTTTGAAAAGAACAATGAAAAATAAAAAGTGAGATGCGATATAATAAAAACTTTACTTGAGTGAAGTGTGTTTGTTTTGAGATTTGAATTTTGAGTTGAGATTTGAACAGTAAAAATTTTGAATTTGAATAATTGTATCATGTGATGTTTTGAATGTAAAAATTGATTTTTAGTTTAATATAAAAAATAAAAAATAGGTATTTAATTTGATATTTTTGAAGAAAAATAATGGAATGAACAGTGGATTTAAAATCCAATTCCCAGACGAAGGCACCCAATAAATTAATGATAATAGGAGTATTTGTTTTGATATATTTTTTTTTTTTTGAATTTTTTTTATAAATAATAAAAATTAGATTTAAAGCTTTAGTTTCTGATTGTTTGTATGTTTTTTTTTACCTGATTTCTATTCTTTGTAAATTTTTACTAAAAATATTACATAAAATAATTATTTATTTCAAAATTTTATTAATTTAAACCCAAAACCCAACTCAGTAACGACAATCAAACACAACTTACGGGTTTGTTTGATCTGTAAAATTTATTTGAAATAAAATAATATTAGTTTAAATTTTCATTTAAATAATATCTTAATTTAATACTCCCTCAATCCCATGTATTATGGGCCTATTATTTTAGATACAGGTAGGTAGGTAAAGTCTGATTAGTAAGTAATTAAAAAGTGTATTAGTAAAAATAGTTTAATTAAGATTAAAAAAAATATAAAATTTAAAATATAAAATGAGATTAAAGTGTATAATTATATTTTCAAGAAAGAAATGAACAAATTATATGAGACGGACAAAAATAGAAAATAGGGACAAATTATGTGGGACGGAGGCAGTATTTTATAAAAACACAATATTTTTTAATTAAAAATTTGTGCTAAATAAATTATATTTATTTTAATGTGAAATAGTACTATGAGATAGAGAGCAGTAGTAGTCAACGTCTGAAGTCAATTGGAAATTGGAATGGTTTGTTAAATTACATATTTAAATAATATTACTATAACTTTATAATATTTTAAAATCAATTTTCTTATTATTAATAAAAATATTAAACTATATTATATTCAAAATATCTTTTTTATGAACATTATTTACTTAAAATATATCTTCTATTTAAACTATTATATTACAACTTTATTTATATTATTTTAAATGTTTATTTTTATTTTTATTATTTTTAAATTAATCAACAACTCATATTTAACTACTATTTTGTTTTAAAAATATCAAAAATAAATATAATATATAATACTTTGAATTTTAAATATTATTTATTATTTAATTAATACGATTTTAATAAAAATATCTTACTTTTTAAATAAATTATCAAATTAAAATATTAAAATTCAAATTAAAATACAAATTTACCAAACTCATACACACTAAGCTCATCTCCAACGAGACTGCAATTTTGACGTTGCAGGCCCATAAATGGAGTTCTTAGCCTCCAACCGGGCACTATTTTTTACACAAAAAATGGTGTTTGCTACAGTGGTGTTGCACTGTAGCAACGCTATTTTCATGGTGTTGCGTATTTTTTTTTAATTTGTATATTAATTTAATTTTTTTAAAAGAAAATATTAATTGTAGATATAAAAAGTAGTTTAAAATAATATATAAGATGGAATATTTGAAGAAGAATATAAGTTTTAGAGTAAAAAGATAGAGTTGTGAATTGGAGTAAAATTACTGTAGCAACTGCATTTTTAGAGTTATAACGACATAAATGGATTTGTCCGGTTGGAGATGGCCTAAGGGTGTGTTCGTTTGGAGAATTTCTTCAAAATTTTACTATTCATTAAATTTTTTTCCCCAAAAATATCAAATCAAACTCCTATTTTTTATTTTTTATATTATAGTCAAAATTGATTTTATATTCAAAATATAACATTAACACCTATTTATGTTACATCATACAACTATTATCATTCAAAATTTTTACTATTTAAATTTCAACTCACACAAACACATCTAGAAAAACAAAATATTTTGTTATTTTGATATGAAATTTGATTTTTTACTTTTTATTTTACTTTGAATAATATTTTTTTAAAAATTAATATATTTTCATGAAACCCTATAAATTGGATAACATTGATAACGATCGAAATGTTTTCATGTGCAAAACTGTTAGCAGATATCGTAAACAAATAAAAAAAATAAAATATTAAAGTATGAGACTTAGTAGACGAAAATAATTTCAAACCTAACATTTATTATAAAATGAGAAATCAATTCCAGTCTGGATAAGCCTTATCCGAATTAATTTTGACACTCAATACACTGGCAATTTTTTAATACGACTTGGATGTAAATATAACTTAATTTTTTATTAAAAAAAATTATATACTTAATATTTAATGGCAGTTAAATTATTTGATTGTGTTTGCTTTGATTTTTCATTAATGAGAGTAATATTTTTTTAATAAAGTAGCTGAAGATAATGACAGTGCTTCATTTACTTTTTACGTTTTATTTTTAATATTAATTATTATATTAAAACGTAGTATAAATTAAAAAAAATTATAAAAAAAATTTCATTAATTTCTTGTGATATTAATAGGATATTTGTACAAAAATTGTATAAATATAAAAATATTTTTAATATTAAAATATAATAACACAAAAGGTAAATATGACATTAAATACGGACCGAAAAAATATTAAATATTATAATGATATTAACTAACAATAAAAATATTATAATCTTACAGATACTAAAAGAATATGAGTCTTTTTCTTCTTTTTGTTTTTCAACTTGTGATCAGATTAGCTGAGGCGTTATAGCTTAGTTGAGAATTAATATAGTTGTATAAAGTATGTAGAAAGATACATCAATGATAGTTTAAATATAAAATTAAATTTGATATAATATAAAAAAAAAATATTTAATTTGATATATATTTTTTTTAAAAAAAAAAGTTTCAAAATATTTGACTTAACATTTATTTAAAGAAAAAAAAGTATTACATGGGCCCATTATAATAAATAATAGTATTTTAACTGTAGTGACTAATTAAAAGTAAAGCAAATATTCTCGTATCTATTTTTACATTTTGGTTTGTCTCATAATAAAATATCAATTTCCTTTTTTTAGTAAAAATATTATCTATCTAATATTACAAATACCCTTACTACTTCAAATATATTACATAAATATCATTATCTTTATATCTCACAATACTAATATGGTCATTTTAGTCATTTCAACTTTATTCCTACTATATTCCAATATAATACTAATATTTCTAAAACTACGTGCAAAAAGCAAATAGATACATAATTTTATCATTTTTTTGGTATAAAAATAATTATGTGATGATAAAATAAAAATATTTATAAAAAAAATTGGAGTTCATAATTACTAAAAAAAAATAAAATAATTAATTTGTAATTAGACAACTCAAAATAAAAATACTTTTGGGGAAAAGGACTAAAACATAAACACAAGTTAACAAACCTAGGATTGACTTATTATATATATACACATCACTAGTACACTAAATCACAATTCACAAACTTCATTCACACCAAGAAGTTGCTCATGCAATTTTTCTTTCTTCTTTTTTTTTTTATTTTTTATTTTTTATTTTTTATTATTTTTTTTATTTTTAAATTTAAATTTAACAATAAAATACTAATAATTGATGATCATAATCAACCTAAAGAACCCTCCATGAGCTTCACAAAATCCTCAAAACCAATCCTCCCATCACCATCTTCATCAAAGGCCAAGATCATTTTTTCGACGTCGAGCCGCGAGAATCCGGCCAACCCTAGCGACTCCATCACCCGGCTCAACTCCCCCGCATCAATAAACCCGTCGTTATTTACATCAAACACTCTAAACGCCGCCATTACTTCCCTAAAATCGGGTTCCAAACCCGTCTCGAACACGCCCCAGAAATCGACCAATGGACCATCCAACGGTCCTCGAGATAGCCCGAGCTTCTCCAAGACAATCTCCATGTCGCGAGCGTCGACACGAAAATTCAGGGCCGGCGTGTCGGGAATTCGGGGGTCCCGCGACGAGCTGGGGAAAACCCGGCTGATGAATCGAAACACGGGCCGGAACGCGGCGTAAATGTCTTGGAAAGTGAGGATTATGCAACTATAGAAAATGAACCAAATGATGGAGTTTATGAATGAAATGAGATCAGAAATGTTGTTGCATATGATCAAGATAAGGGCATCTGCTGATTTCATCATTTGGGTGTATATATATATATATATATGTATGTATGTATTATTAAAAATTGGATCTCTTTGTCTCTTTGTAATAGTGATATGGAAATTTAGACACAAGGGTAGAATCTTGGAATCTGTCCAAAGTCCAAACGGTTTTGGGACATTTGGGGCTAACATTTTTATAGGCAATAATGGGAAGAAGTTTCCGAGAAATTACGGGCAAATTAAACCCTTTTTATATGTTGTGGAAATTTCTTGCACATAAAGTTTTGTTTATTTTAGATTTGAATTTTGAATTGAAATAATTATTTGATGTAATATAAATGATTTTTTTTTATATTTTTTTTACGCATATTTTTTCAAAAAAAGTTTAATACACTATACAGATTCATTATTTTTATATTTTCTATACGATTTATAATATCTCATATAAAAAAGAAAAATTTATTTTCAAAAATTTTACAAAATAAATACACTATAATTAATACTTATGTTGAATTTTTTACTTGCCACTTAAAAATAAATTATTGGGTGAGCAAACCAAAGATGTTGATATGGTTTTTTTAATCGTAAAATTAAATTTTAATGTAATATTTCATTCGAAATTTATGATCAAATTTTGCATAACCAAAGGAGAAAAAGAAATGAAGTACTATCTTATAATAATAATAATATTAATATAATGATATTTATATGATAAATTATGCAAATATAAATTTATTTTAATATTAAGTAAAATAAAGTAAAAAGATAAATTTAAAACATAAAGGTGAAAGGAGGGAACATGTAATATTTTTTTATTTCACAAATAACTATATCATATATAACATTCAAATTCTATTCTATATTTAAAATATCATATCAAATACTAATTTATATTAAACAATTATTTAAATTTGAAATTTGACTATTTTAAAAATAAATAATTCAGTTTATATTTGTACACGTTTTTTCTCTCTAAAATTATTTACCTTTTGATTTTAAAGCTAATTGAATAAATTATAAGGAATTTGAAAAATAATTTCTTTCTTCCTTTCTATTATTATTATTATTTTTTTATTTAAAAAACATTGGTCTTGTTTACATATACTTAAAGAAAAAGTTATTTTGCTATCCGATAAAAAAAAAAAAAAAGATGTTATGTTTTTTTATAATACTAACATTTTCAAAAAATATGAGTATTAAATATTTATTTAATCTTACAAAATAGTATACTAACTTAGTTCACCTCTAAAGTTTAGGTTTACTTTCCACTACCCGAAAGTGCACACTGGGTAAACCCCCGGCCGAACCCGATCACAATTCTAATCCCTACACCACCAGGTCACCCCTTACGGGACACTTTAGTGTATTGTTTTAGACAAGAAGTTTGTTGTTAAAGAAGTTTGGACACTTCCAAGAAAATTGTAGTAACTTCAACAATAATTCTTTACCTTGTTTGCATGTGTTTTGGTTAGTCCAAAAGCTACCAATATATTTTTAGTTTAAATAATGATTTGGATAAAATATTTTGTAAAAAAATAAGAAAATAGTATATTTCTATTTTAAATAATAGTTTAGATAAAAAATATATATATTTTTAAAAATATAATATATTTTTTAGTGAATCATGATAGTTGCGTGATAATCAGTACGTCAAACTTTAAAAGAATACATCCGTAGTGTAATATATATAATTATAATAATTTTAAAGTGAAAAAAATTGTTAAATGTAATATTTGCATAAAAAAATCGGTATTGAATGTGTATTTTTGGAAAAAATTGAGAAATTGAATAGTGTAAATATTTTGTAAAAATATATCAAGTAAAACATGCATCCAACTTTTTTTTTTTGGTAGAAATTAAATACTCTATTTATTCCAATAGGAATCACCCAAAATTCTTCAAACTAGGAGTGAGCATTCGGATTTTCGGTTCGGATTTGAGATCCGAACCGATTCGAAAATCCGAAATTTTGAAAAAATCAATTCGAATTGAACCGAAATAATCGAAATCCGAAATCTGAAAATCCGTAATCCGAACTAAAAAATCCGAACCAAACCGAAAAATTCGAAATTCTAAAAATTTTTATTATTATTATTTTTTAATTTTAAAATTTCTTTTATATTTTATTATTATTTTATAATATGAAATATATATAATATATAAAAATTAAATATATTAAAATATAATTACTAAATTTGAGTTTTTTATATTAAAATATAATATTTTATGATAAAATATTAAATATGTATAATAAAAAAATATATTAAAATGTTATATTTCGGATTTCGGATTTCGGATTTGTTCGGATTTTAAGTATACCGATCCGATCCAAAAATTCGGAATTTGTTAAAAATTCAATCCGATCCAATTCGAAAATCCGAACCAAATTTTAAATTTCAATTTGATTCAGATTGAATTTTCAAAATTTGGATATTTTGCTCAACGCTACTTCAAACAAACACACTCAATGGTTCTGTAGTTGATTAGCGGAAGTATAATGGTATGATTTTGACAATTTTACTTTTGTACAAAGGAAAAATATATAATTATAATTTTAAATATATTTAGTATTTGTATATTAATTATTTTTACTGTAATAAAAAAATAACAAAAAATAAAAATAAAAATAAAAATTCATGTTTGTAAAATCGGCCGAAAAGACTATAATTCTAAAATTTCATTTTATATACTCGTAGTTCAAATGGTGTTGCGAAAAATACCCATTTGTTAGTACTTAACGAAAATTATAGTAGACGCGCTTAAATTACGAATGCTATTACAAATTATAGATAACATAAGTTAATATTTCTTCTGCAAAGCAAATATAGAAATATATGGATTTAAGCACGACTGCTATTATATACTAGTGAATAAATTATTTAATTTGCGTAACATTTGTTAGATTTACTTATCAATTGTTCATATTTAATTCTTCTAAAAGATATATATATATATATATATATATTTGCTTTGTGCATAAAATTTAAAAAGTAATAGTAATACTTCCTTCGTCCCGTTGGAATGGTGACGTTTGCTTTTTGCACGTAGATTTTTTAATATCAATATTATATTAGATTGTAGTAAAAAAATACAAAAATATCCCTATTAGTATAGTGTAATATAAAAGTAATGACATTTGTGTAATATATTGTAAGTTGAAAGGGTATTTATTATGTTAAGTAGGTAATACAATTACTACATTAGAAAATAGTAATTTTATTTTGGGACTGACAAAAATGACAAATGGTAACCTTTCAATGGGACGGAATGAGTATTTTAATTATAATGTGATAGTTAAAAGTAATATAAATACTCTCACCGTCTTATAACTAGGTATTCATTTGCTTTTTACACGTGATTTTAAAAATATTAGTATTATATTAAAATATAGTAGGAATAAAGTAAAAATAACTAAATTAATCTTATTAGTATTGTGTGATACAAATGTAATGTCATTTGTGTAATATATTTTAAGTTGTAAGGATATTTGTAATGTTAGGTAGATAGTATAATTACTAAAAAAGAAAATGGATACTTTATTATAAGACGGAAGAAGTATAATTTTACTCTATATGATATAAAAATAAAAGTATTTGCAGAAAGTAAAGTATTTTTTTAAATAATTATTTTATAATTAGATCACCTAAAAATAAATATATATATTTTATGAACAGATAAAAAAATTTATTTATTTTGTAATAATAATAATGATGATAATAATAATAATAATATATTCACTAATTATTTCATTGAACATATTAAAACCAAAAGCGCAAAGGGTATCTCCTTTTTTATTTTTTTAAAAGTGAATTTTTACAGTAAAGTGATCATATTGACGTTTTCACTTTTTTTTTTAAATGATTTTAAATTTTTTAATTTAATTTTTTTAAATTTTAATTAAATTAATTAGTTATCTTAATTTTAATTTATAATTATTTATATTATAGGATAATTATTTTTACTAATATATTTTTAATTATCTATTAATTATACTTATTATAAATTCTCGTGTCTATAGTAACACGGACTTTCAATGTGGGACGCATAAAGTATTTTTTAATATGAAACTGCAGTAGTTGCATTTGCAATTTTACACTATTTTTCATTTAATAAATATATAATTTATTTAGTTTTAGTTTAAACTATTTTTATTAATAAAATATTATATTTTAAAAAGTTTTAGCACAATTTTAAATAAATATACCTGTTTTCAATTAAATAATAAATTAAAAATATAATTTAAACAAAAATATTTCAAGAATAAAATTCAAATCAAAATAAAATTTATGAAATTAATATTACTAATAAAATATTTATCATTTCACATAAAACTATATCATCCCAATTAAAAATGATCAAATTTAAATATAACATATTAAGAATTAAGGATGTGTTTGCTTGGGTTTTTGCTTTGGAAACAAAAAATTTGAGTTTGAATAAATATTGTATAAATAAACACATCAAACAAATTATGTGTACTATAATATAAAAAAAAATTAAATTGCATGAATAACATAAGAATTGTTAGCAAACTAAATCGAACAGAAATTTAAATATTTATATTTGTTTATTAAGATTAAAAAACAAGACTCATATTAGTTCATTAATCATTTGAGTTTATTTATAGTATTCGAGTTTGGTTTGTTAAAAAATTTTATTGTTTGAATTTGTGTTCGTAACAAATTTATTTGAACTCATTTAGATAAATGTGATATTTTATTTTATTTCTTAATTCATATATATATTATCTTATTTTAATAAATATTTTCATGTATATATATATATATATTACAGTTATGACTTTTTAACAAACTTTAGCAAATAAAGAGTCAAATTTGTTTGTTAACAAAAACAAACTTATTTATATTGTTCGATTCAGCTCAATTCTTTCATGTTCGTTCGCGAATGAGTTTAAATCAAACTGAACCAAATTGAACCGAATAAAAATTCACAAATAATTTAATTGATTAACCGCTCTAATTACAACAAATTGATAAAAAAAAAAAAAAAGAAAAAAGCTAAAAATTTCCAAAACATTACCAAAACCAAACAAACAGAACCTTACAATATACTCAAATAAACAATCATACTCTCTCTGTTGCAAGACAATATGGATACTTGAAATAGACATCAAAATTAAAAAATAATAATATTATACTAAGTTGATATAAAAGTATTTTTAAAATATCAAAATATCAATAATTATATAATTATAGTAAAAAAATAAAAATAAATTTATAAAAAAATAAAATTAATTATTAAAAATATAAAATAGGACTATTGTTTTAGAACTAAAAATATACAATAATATTATCGTGCAACGACTTGCTTAACCAGGATACAAAACGAAGTCATTTTCCCGAAGACCTTGACTCTGGACTCCATGAAAGCGACCATGGAGAAATTTCCTGTCAATTGTAAACCCAATTCATTGGGAGGAGGATATTATATAATCGATTAATGTACAGTACACTACCACGCCACGCATGACGTGATCAGCACCACGGACTTTGATTTTCGAAATTCCCAATTTTCTGGACGCAATTCGATCAAGGATAAGGTAAAACCCTAAAACCCTCCCTCAACCTTCACTGGCCCGCCACAGAATGAGCCCAAATTCTCCTACGAGGCGGAGGAAGGGCAAAAGCTTCCCCTCCTCAAACGGGGCCCGGCCCGCTACCAGTCCATCCCGGCCGTTATCCCCTCCGCCTTCGGCAGCAACGCTTATTGACGGCGATTTTTTGACGGAAGAGTTTTCGAAGTTCGACGCTCTTCAAATCTCCCCCGAAAATCCGAACCCTAGGAGCTTTCCGTACAGCGTGAAGCAGCAATGCTGGGAGAAGGCGGAGAAGATCAAGGGGCGTGACCCGGAGAGGTGGCGCCGTGATGCGTTGGGTAACATTGTTTTCCGGAAGCTTGTTGGCTGCCCGGGCTGCCTCTGCCATGATTATGATCACATTGTTCCTTATTCCAAGGTAATTGATTTCTAGAGCTTCAAATTTGGAATAACTTTTGGATTGAATGCCAACGGTTAGATGGAAGGAGAGTTTTGTGGGAATGTGAAATTTCTTCAGTGTTTGTTACCCTAACGGATTAGCAATTGGATTTACTTTCCAAAACCTAGAAATTGATTTAGGGCTAAAGATGTTCAATCGATTTTTAGCTGCTCATATAAGAATGTGTTTTATTTTTGTAGATTATGAATTATCATTGATTGAAAGGGAACATTGCTGATATTGACATTGTTGTGAATTCAATGGTGTGAAATACAATAGACATTCATATATCGATCTGCACAACATTTATGTTTAGTTTATCAATGTATCGAATTACGATATTGATGATTCATTTGGACCTTGTTGATGTTGTTTGTCGAGCATGGTTAGAAAATAATACTTCAGTTTAGATATTATTATGGTTGTTGTTATTTAACACTTATTACTTCGAAGATCCAACGACATAAACAAGATGGGCACTTAATTCGATATTTCTTATCCTAAGCCATGGACAAACTGGCTTCTGCAACATGTTCTGACTTTAAGTTTGTTCGATTATGCAATGAGCTGTTGCAACCAATTTGGTTCTGAGTCTTCTGAGTGCTTTGGTCATTTAAAAAAATTTATAATCTGCCCTCGGCTCAACTAAAACATGTCACTCAGACAGACCATTATGCTTTTCTTTGCTGACATGGTTCTTTAGATTTCACAAACAATATGTGGTTGGAGATTGGAAGATGTATATTTACTTTTTCTATTATTTTATTTATATTTATTATGAATGCTAGTTCTTCCTACGTGAGTATGTAACCATCTATAGTTTTGCAATTTCAGGGAGGGAAAAGCACATTAGAGAATTGTCAAGTGCTGCAGGTAAATTTTTGCTTCATTCATTACATGGAAATTTTTGTCTAGAAAATGCATATTCGGTTGCCATTATTCTTGTTTGTATTGATGACAAGTGAGGTTTGTGCCCTTTGGTACTTGGGAAAGAAAGTTCAACTTATTCACTTGGCTATTTGGAAGGTTTTTTTTAGGACTCGCAACAGCTGTTTTTTTTCTATTATTTTAGGAAAAAGGTTCATTGAGAACCATTTGTTAGAATTCTATTGACTACATGGTAATTGGTTTTGCATTTCTTTTTCATTAATTTGCTTTTATTTATCACTATTTTATTCTTTGATTAGGCATCTTAACATTGTGGTTAGGAAAAAGGTTCATTGAGAACCATTTGTTAGAATTCTATTGACTACAACAGATTAACCTTAAGTAAAACCAATACCTCTTTCTAGGTTTCGCCCATTTTATCATACGATATTGGCACATAATGATGGATAAGAATTTTTTTAGTAGCATAACTAGAACTTTATTCAATAGATTCTTCGAATTGCAATCAAGAGTGCAATATCATAAAGTTTTGTTGTTTTATAACTATTTTTAAGTTTCTGTATTGTAAACACAACACTGTTTCTTACTTATGCTTTTGAAACATGACTTTGATTGTATGTATGGAGTAGTTACTGATTTGGGTGGTCGTCAGCGTGACTTTTTGCTTCCTTTTCCTCATAAGCTGGGAAGTTGATGTTTTCGTTAAGGGTTAGAGTTGATGTGCTTGAGTATTCTGTTGCTTCAGCTTATACTGCATGTTATGATGATATACGCATGATGGTGGACAAGTGGTGCTGAATTTCAATTTCCATAATGACATGATTTCTGAAGGCTGATTTAGTGAATTATTTTGTTTTATATTGTACTCGTAAGACATCTTTTCTCAAACTGATTAATCTTCTTTGAAGATGTGTATAATCCTTTCATTTGTGGAACATAGTTTCAAGATCCGATAGTGTAACTATTTTCACTTTGTGCGTTGAATCGTTGATTCCTTAGGCAACTGTCAATAGATCCAAGGGCAACAGAACTGAGATGTCCAAAAGTGATCTGATCCAGAAGAGTGCTTACTGCCGTGTTTCAGGTATGTATCTTCTTATGATTCATGGATTAAGCGTATGAATCTCGTAGATACATGGCCCCGAACACCAACCAAGATGAAATAAAAATCTGAAACTTTGAAAGAATGGACTAGCCTACATAGCAATTCAGGTTTCATATTTTATACAACTTTCCAAGATAAAGACATATTATACAATTGTTTTTTGCCATTTTACATAGGTCGTGATATGGACCTTCTCGAATTATCCGCCTATGGCAATGTTCGCCGTGGACCAGATTCTGGTGGGTGTAAAATCCAGTAGGTTGCTTATGATCATCCATAGCTGAATATCATGATATTACTTGGAGATGGAATTCCTACACAGATGGTTGATCAGCCAACTATGATGTATGTATTCCCGTCAACTCCACTCCCTTCTTACTTTCCGACTGTATATCTTGTTCACCTATTTTTGCACTGAAAAAATCATTATTGGCCATCAAACTGGATTAGCTGGTGTTGAGCATAAAACTTAATGAATTTCTAGTTCACTTCATTTCTTAGTTCTTGGAAATATTGATTGCTTACTCTATGAAAATACAGTCGTTCGATATTTAAACTACAATGGATTAAAATAAATACCCAGAGAGACTTAACTAACATATATCCATGAAAAATGTTTGCTATAATTTTATCTTTCGGCTTTGTAGTGGAATTTGACTTTGGCTGCTGATTCATAGGTTAAGAATTGTCTTCTTTCTTTATTACTTGTTTGTGATGTTATCTTGAAGATAAAGTTGGAGCCCTCATGATTCATCTCTCAAATACTACTTTATGTTAATTAAGATAGTGATAGCCTCCCAAACTGCACCTTTTTCCTCATAGATGTGGCCTTTTTCATCCACACTTTCTTTCTTCTAGTTTTATAAAACAACATGGGTACCTTTTTGAGGTTGTTGGTGGCATTTAGTTGATCATTTCTGAAATATTTTAATTATTATTATTATATTTTTTGGGCTAAATTACACAAAACCCACTTGTAATTTCAAGAAATTGCGCCAAATTTCCCGTATTTTAAAAAATTGCGTTAAATTCTCTCATGGTTTCATAAACTCTCCGTCTAACCCCCTCGGTGATCCTTATTTAGCGCGTCCAAACTGCGAATGAATTTAAATTTTAATTCTAAACTTCTAAAATTACAAATATATTTGTTCTTCTTATATTTAGCCTCAGAGAACAGTGAATATACTTGAAAATAGTTGTTTTCTCAGATTTTAGGAGTTATTTTTTCTATTTTTTTAGGCTAAACATAATAGTAATGAATATGCTTGTAAATTTTGGAGTTTAGAATATAAAGTTCTGAAATTCATTCGCAGTTTGGATGCGTGTAAGTTAACACCGTTAAATAAGTACCGCTGAGAGGGGTTAGACGCCGAGTTTATGAAACCACGAGGGAGTTTGACGCAATTTCGTGAAACCACGGGTGAGTTTTGTGCAATTTAACTCCCTTCTTTTAATAAGATGAAGTGGAAAGCTATGAAATGAGGTTTAATCTTTATCTTCTGCTCTGGATAGATTTGAGGATCAGTGCTTATTGACAATTCTTGTCCAAATAAATAAGATTAGAAAAAAGACTTTTATGCTGTTGGTCTTAACACGGATTTGAATTGATTAATTGGGATGGTCAACTCAGTCTATTCTTGTTATATAAAAATGTCAATGTCAATTTGTTGACTAAGAATGCATACACGTAGTGCGTGTGGTTTGCCTTGACTTTTGTGTTAATTGTACTTAATATTTTCCTAATTTTGTCCATATTTGCTATTGACCCAAGAAAGACATGAAAATAAAAGGGTTCTAAAGATCATTGGTAGATGACATGGGATAGCTAGAAGTGGTAGAGAATCACTTTCAAAATCAATTCTATGTATTACAAATTTAGGTTGTTTTACATGTTTTGGAATTTTTAAAATAATAAAAAGTTCAAATAAAGAGTGGGTATTTGATCCAACATAAACAAATATTGAATGTGATGATCTGTACAAGTTTAAGTTGTGTTATATATATTTTGGAAGTATTTTGAAGTTTTAGAAATAATAGAAAGTTGAATAACAAAAATAAATGTCCATTCAATGTTTTGTATTGAAAATACTGTTTAAACATAGATTTTTGGAGTTTTGAGTTTTTTTTGAAAATTATAAAAAAAATATTATTGGATGTGATATTTTGGTAAGATACAGATATTTAATGATATATATATATATATTTAAAAAAAATAATGTTGGATAAATAATATCAAAACTACCAAAAGTGTAGGTGTAAATATATATATTCTCTCCGTCCGCATAACATTTACCTTTTGCGTGTACTTAATATATATCATATTTATCTTTTGCGTCAGTACATCACATTTATCTTTTGCATACTTAACGTTAAAAATATTCTGATATTTGTGTAATATTTTTTGTACAAACGTTTATGAAAGTATTTTTGCAATTATTTTTTTTAATTTATATTATATTTTGATATAATAATTAATATTGTAAAAAATAAATATAATCTTAAACTGGACAATGGTAATATTAGTTAGTTTTTTTTTTATATATAAAAAAAAGTAAATAAAAATTTGATATGATATTTGAAAATTATTATTCCAGATGAATAGTGCAAAAATCGCATCCTTATTTATTTTTTGGAAAGTACAAGATCAAGTGGGAAAATCTTGATAGAGGCAAGGGGCAAAAGGGGAAACAAAAAGGGTGTTAGAAAAGCTACACGAAAAAGCCATAGTCCCAAAACATTTATTGGCACTTTGTGTAGTTGTGGTTTTGGGGGCCTCATGAGTACGATTGATATTTATCTTATAATATACTAATATATATATCTAAATAAATATGTGGCCTAAATTTGTTCATTACCATGACAAATATCTTAGTTGCTGATCCACCAGCTTACACATATTTTTCTTTAATCCATCCTTTTCAAAGTCAATAAGGGGCACTTTTCGTTTAGTTATGTGGCGGGTGAATCTGTCGTCGTGACATTATAAGTTCAAATTTCGATGCTGAATTTGTCAATCGTAAAGTCATCGGTTCAAACTTCGACGTTGAATTTGCTTTGTCGAACCTATTTTGCAAGATATTAAGTTTGATCGGGTGTTTATTCAGTGTGCAATTTTTTGGTAGCTGCGGGTTCTCACATCATAAAAAAAAAAAAAAAAAAGGGCTACTTTTCATCCCGTAAGAGATGACCTCAAATCTTATTTGTCACGCATAGTTCGTCTAATTTGACTTATCTTATTTGCCCGCTATTAAATTCGATCGATGATTTAATCCAATGTCATCAACAAAAGAAAAAAGAAGGGCACTTTTCTTTGTTATTTTTTGGGTGTGTTCGTTTGTCGGATTTAGACAAAATTTTACTATTCATCCAAAATTTTCCTCCCAAAAATATCAAATCAAACACCTATTTTTTATTTTTTATATTATATTAAAAATCAATTTTACATTCAAAATATCACATCAATACCTATTTATATAACATCATACAACTATTCAAATTTAAAATTTTTACTATTCAAATCCCAACTCAAAATCCAAAGCCCCAAACAAACAAACCCTTTGTTTGTGTTTATTTATACAACCTTTTTAATGAATACAAGGCAATGCCGAAAGGGGTTTCCCTTTAATTTAATTTATGTTCTAGACAGTAAAAATAGAAATTTAACATTCTTGGTATATCATACACTTGTGGGATTGTAATGGAAACGAAGGTTTCCTCAAAACAAGGAAATGAAGAAATTGTCATCCCTCGCATTTGAATGGAGTTTGAGACGACTGATTAGATTATTCATGTAAAGAAAATGTAATACTCATTTTCATTTTCGCGAACTCATCATAAAAAAAATAAAAATAAAAATAAAAATTCTTTTTATTGTGTGAGTGGAAAAAAAAAAACACTAAAAGAACTCGTGTTAACTTACGAGATTAATTTGTGTTCCAAAAAAGGCTAACTCTAACCGTACATAATGGATTTGTGTTGATTTGTTAGACCTGAGCTCGGGTTGATCAATGCCCGTTAAAAATCTTTCATAGTTCACGTAAGTGAGAACAAAGTTTGTTGAAAGCTGAGTATCAAGTAGAAAGAAACTCCTTACCAAACAAAAGACAACCTAGGACATCAACAAAAAACAGCTAAGTTTTGTACAAGTGAGAATCTACATTGCTTTTATTCTACATTCTTCTCATCTGTCAGTATCTCTTCCTACACAAAACTATGCACTTAAAAATACAAACTCCCCGACAACAGAAACAATCGAATTGCCTAAATTGTCACCAGTAGATCAAATAAGATAAATGTTGTTTCTTCTGATGATCGATGATAATTGCAAAAAACGATCAGTAAACTCTGTGTCAACATCTTGTGAGAAGAACAGCCTTAGGCAGCTCCCTCATGGAAGGTAATGGATCGAGAAAGTGCAGCCGGATTAGCCTGCAATAACGGTGAGGGAGACACTGAAACTTTTTTCTCACCCCCCTTGGGTTGCAGGGCCTTGAAAAGACCCTCCCGGGTGGTGGAACTGTACTCGATCCCAAGTGTTTCCCATATCGAACTCTTTGCAGCTTCCTCCGGATCATCAATCCTCAAAGTTTTCGGGACCAGTACGACATTTTCTTGATCCTTTGATTCGGTCAGCAACTCTCCATTTCTGGTGTGTTTACCGAGTGGGGAGCTGGGGCCGGATTTCTGATTTGACATTGATGGCCACGGCAAGTTCCAGGCATTAGGAAGATTGCAGTTCCAATAGGGTGTCGGGTAGAAGGGCATCGGGTAAATGGCAGGTAGAGTTACCACAGGATTCCATGGGAAGGGCCATGGAATTTGTTGAGGCCCTCCTTCTGCAGTCGAATTGGTTGTTAAGGTTGATGATTCGATCGAACAATCTTCGCCATTCTTGTAGGAACCGGCAGCATCTACATGATCAGGCTCGTAATGGGTAGATCTGAAGGTGTTTGCTACTCTTTCGTCTGCAAGACCGAAACCCGTTGTCATGGAATCACATAGAAGTGGATTGGCCCCAAAGGACATGACGCCGGGATTGTCGATTCGAGTTGCCTGGAGAGCTTCGGTGATTGTAATGTGCCGGCAATGGGATGCTGAGTTCTTGTTTTTGCGACGACCTGCCCCCACCGGGACGTTCCTCATCGTGCCTCCGGCTGTCCAGTACCTCTGGCAGCTCTTGCAAAAGTGTCGAGGCTGATTGACGTTGTAGTTGTTGTAGTAACAGAACTTGGTTTCCATGCTGTTGCAACGAGGACAGGGGAGGACTTTGTCTGGTTTCTTTAGGCTCTTCTGTTGCCCCTTTTTTCCATCACTTTGATCTTCTTGAGACTTGGTTTGATTCTCTGACATGTCTGCCTCTTCCATTGAGGAATCTTTGGTATTCTCATCCAAACTTGATAGATTCTCGTTGCAGTTAGATGCTGTGGTTACCTTTTGGTCCTTATCACAGAGTTCTGCCAATTTGACCTAAAATGTTCGAAAGTATAACCATCAAAGGTTGCAAATCAGTAAAGTCGATCTCAAACACAAGAAAATTCATAGTTTCCAATGGAAATTTGTCATTCAAATTGCTGCTTAACATTAAGGTCAGAATCAATGGACTTGGAATTGATTAGAAGAGATTTAACCCAAGACAATTAACCTTCTAATTGTCGAACATATGCAAGTTAAATACCATTCTCTAGCCGTTCTAAAATCTCCTGCAACTTGACTATTGACACAGAAACCCTAAATCCCCAAACAAACATTCATTTCCACACAGACATGTACTACTAATTACTGAAACAATTCAACTCGTTCGTGTATCGAAATCCACAATTAATTAATTACCTTCTCAACCAGCAAATGCTTTTCTTCATCCACCTCTTCTTCTTCCCCGTCTCCACTCACTTCCAAACAGCGATCGCACTCAGCGCCGCCGCCGCTCCCACAGTTGCTCTCGTTCGACGAATTGTCGGAGGATTCACCTCCGCCGCTCTCCGGCAAAACAATCTTCCTACCAAACAAGGTGATCTCCGGATCCTTGACCTCCTTCATCCTCTCCATGGACGACGACGACGACGATCAACAAAATCTCCCAAAACTGAATTGAATACGAAAACAGGGAAAGATCACAGAAAGAAAACGCTGTCTTTGCCAAAATGAAAGTGAATACGAAATTAACAATCGCCAAAGGTATAAATAATAAATAATAAATAAATAAATAAAAATACGAAAAATGTGGGGTGCCACGTCAGCAGGGAGTCCGGCTTTCTAAGCCACAAGTTCTTATTTGTGTGGGCCCGGGCGAGTGTACAATAGATTCGGAGGTGCACGGAAACTTGGTGCACCCGAATGCACCAAATCCGATGCCCGTATGATGACGTGGAGGGATACGATTGGTGGATTGCAGTTTAGGGTAGTGACGTAGGGGAATGACGGGAACGAATCCTGACCAATCATTTGTCCTAATTTTGACGGCTGCGATTATTGTTTCTTTTCTCCTCGTTTTTATTGATTCTATTTGATCCAATAGTAATATTTTATTTTATATTATTATTATTATTTAACTGTCGTCTTTTCTATAAATGTGTGTATTAATAGGCTCTACTTCATTTTTTTTTCTTTATTGTGTATAAATTTTATGGATACGTTTTGTTTAGACTTCTTTTCAATTTAAACAATAATTTGATGTGATTTTTTTTTTTAAAAGTAAATATAATATATATATTTAAAATCATAAAAATTAAATATTAAAAAATTCAATAACCCTTGAAGAAATAAATTTTATAATTCTCTATAAAAATAAGGTGCCGGTTAATATGTTGTTTCATACGTTTTGTTATATAGAATTATTGTGCGACAAAGTTTGCTTATCACAATATGAAATTATATAATATGTTAATTCTCGATAAAGTCTGCTTATCACAATATTAAATTATATAATATGTTAATTCTCTCTCCGTCCACTTACAATGTTTATATACTTTTATTTTGGGACGTCCAATTACAAAGTTAACATTTCATTAAATACATTTTTTTTTTCACAAATATCCTTATTTTACATCACATCATTACTTTTATATAAAAAAAAAGTAAGGACAAAAATGTCATTACACTACTTTTAATTACTCATTATAATTAAAATACTATTATTTCTTAAATACCGCGCCAAAAGCAAATGTAAACATTGTAAGTGGACGGAAGAAGTATATTGTATTAATAAATGTGTCCATTTTTTATATATAAAAATATATGCTAAATACTGTTTGGTGAAACTCAAGTCCCACGTGAAGTTGTGAAGAGTGAACTTCACTAACTATAAGGTGAGTAAGTCAAAAAACAAATGTCCGGTTAGATGATGAGGTAGACTAGATGATATTGGACATTGATTGCGGTGGTAGACTTGCCACGGAACCTGCGAATTTTACCGCTAATCAATCTACTCTTTATCAACAATAACTTTTTAAAAAAATATTATATCAAAGATTTATTTTCTATTATTATTATTATTATTATTATTATTCATGTGGCATGTTTGGGAAAGTCACAGCAGCATTTGTTTTCGCAGTGTCCAACTCTTTTTCAATGATTTTTTAATTTTGGTAGTACATAATTTCATGATTTTTTTTTGGTTAAAGTATAATTATTTTTATAAAAAATATTAGATTCAATAATTATTTAATATAAATATACCCATGTAAAGCTCTGATTCCATCGAGAGTGGACGTCCCAAAAAATTTCTGCACGAATTTTTGCGCATATGTAGGCAGCAAAAATGGATTTCCTGCTATGCACGTGGTGGTCGAAAATCGCGAACGACGACCTTGTCCGCCGTTTAGGGATCCGTCGTCAAGCTGTATATTGCGAACAAGGATTCGCGCACGGACGCCGACGAACATGCGTCAACGCGAGAAGTCGAGTAAGCCTTATCGTTTAGAGAAAAAAAAACTCGTAACAAAGATTCTATAGTTGAACCTGCGAAAGGATCATTGTCGATGTTTGTCCCGGCAGACAACAGCGAATTCATGACCCGAAGTACGAATGCCGGTCAGGCCGTCCATCGAGCCAAAGTGGGCGCCCCAAAAAACTCCTTCACGGATTATCGCGAATATGTAGGCAACAAAAATGGATTTCCTGCGATGCACGTCACGGCCAAAAATCGTGAACGACGACCTTCTCCACCATTCACGGAGCCGTCGTCCAGCCGTATATTGCGAACAAGGATTCGCGCACGGGCGCCGACGAACCCGCGTCAACGCGAGAAGTCCAGTAAGCCTTATCATTTAGAGAAAAGAGAACACGTAACAAGGATTCTATAGGTGAACCTGCGGAAGGATCATTGTTGATGTCTGTCCCGGCAGACAACAGTGAATTCGTGATCCGACGTACGAATGTCGGTCAGGCTGTCCATCGAGATAGAGTGGGCGCCCAAAAAAACTCCTGCACGGATTTTCGCGAATATGTAGGCAGTAAAAATGGATTTCCTGCGATGCACGTCGCGGCCAAAAATTGCGAACAACGACCTTGTCCGCCGTTCACGGACACGTCGTCAAGCTGTATATTGCGAACAAGGATTCGCGCACGGGCGCCGACGAAGCCGCGTCAACGCGAGAAGTCGAGTAAGCTTTATCGTTTAGAGAAAAGAGAACCCGTAACAAGGATTCTATAGTTGAACCTGCGAAAGGATCATTGTCGATGTCTGTCTCGGCAGACAACAGCGAATCGTGACCCGACGTACGAATTCCGGTCAGGCCGCCCATCGAGACAGAGTGGGCGCCCCAAAAAACTCATGCACGGATTTTCGCGAATATGTAGGCAGCAAAAATAGATTTCCTACGATGCACGTCGCGGCAAAAAATCGCGAACGACGACCTTGTCCGCCGTTTACGGACCGGTCGTCCAGCCGTATATTGCGAATAAGGATTCGCGCACGGGCGCGACGAACCCGCGTCAACGTGAGAATTCGAGTAAGCCTTATCGTTTAGAGAAAAGAGAACTCGTAACAAGGATTCTATAGTAGAACCTGCTAAAGGATCATTGTCGATGTCTGTTCCGGCAGACAACAGCGTATTCGTGACCCGACGTACGAATGCCGGTCAGGCCGCCCATCAAGATAGAGTGGGCGCCACAAAAAACTTCTGAACGGATTTTTGCGAACATGTAGGCAGCAAAAATGGATTTCCTGCGATGCACGTCGCGGCCAAAAATCGCGAACGACAACCTTGTCTGCCGTTCACGGACTCGTCGTCCAGCCGTATATTGCGAACAAGGATTCGCTCACGGGCGCCGACGAACCCGCGTCAACGCAAGAAATCGAGTAAGCCTTATCGTTTAGAGAAAAGAGAACTCGTAACAAGGATTCTATAGTTGAATCTACGAAAGTATCATTGTCGATGTCTGTCCAGGCATACAACAGCAAATTCGTGACCCGACGTACGAATGCCGTTCAGGCCGTCCATCGAAACAGAGTGGGCGCCCAAAAAAACTCCTACACGGATTTTCGTGAATATGTAGGTAGCAAAAACGGATTTCCTGCGATGCACGTCGCGACCAAAACTCGCGAACAACGACCTTGTCCACCGTTCACGGACCCGTCGGCCAGCCGTATATTGCAAACAAGGATTCGCGCACAGGCGCCGACGAACCCGCGTGAACGCGAGAAGTCGAGTAAGCCTTATCGTTTAGAGAAAAGAGAGCACGTAACAAGGATTCTATAGGTGAACCTGCAGAAGGATCATTGTCGATGTCTGTCCAGGCAGAAAACAGCGAATTCGTGACCCGACGTACGAATTTCGGTCAGGCCGCCCATCGAGACAGAGTGGGCGCCCCAAAAAACTCCTGCACGGATTTTCGCGAATATTTAGGCAGGAAAAATGGATTTCTTGCGATGCACGTCGCTGCCAAAAATCGCGAACGACGAACTTGTCCGCCGTTCACGGACCCGTCGTCCAGCCGTATATTGCGAACAAGGATTTGCGCACGGGCGCCGATGAACCCGCGTCAACATGAGAAGTCGAGTAAGCCTTATCGTTTAGAGAAAAGAGAACACGTAACAAGGATTCTATAGGTGAACCTGCGGAAGGATCATTGTCGATGTCTGTCCCGGCAGACAACAGAAAATTCGTGACCTGACGTACGAATGCTAGTCAGGCCATCCATCGAGAAAGAGTGGGCACCCCAAAAAACTCCTGCACGGATTTTTGCTAATATGTAGGCAGGAAAAATGGATTTCTTGCGATGCACGTCGCGGCCAAAAATCGCAAACTACGACCTTGTCCCCCGTTCACGGACCCTTCATACAGCCGTATATTGCGAACAAGGTTTCACGCATGGGGGCCGACGAACCCGCGTCAACGCGAAAAGTCGAATAAGCCTTATCGTTTAGAGAAACGAGAACTCGTAACAAGGATTCTATAGTTGAACCTGCGAAATGATCATTGTCTATGTCTGTCCCGGCAGAAAATAGCGAATTCGTGACCCAACGTACGAATTTCGGTCAGGCCGCCCATCGAGACAGAGTGGGCGCCCCAAAAAACTCCTGCACGGATTTTCGCGAATATGTAGGCAGGAAATATGGATTTCATGCGATGCACGTCGCGGCCAAAAATCGCGAACGACGACCTTGTCCGCCGTTCACGGACCCGTCGTCCAGCCGTATATTGCCAACAAGGATTCGCGCACGGGCGCTGACGAACCCGCGTCAACGCGAGAAGTCGAGTAAGCCTTATCGTTTAGAGAAAAGAGAACTCGTAACAAGGATTCTATAGTTGAACCTGCGGAAGGATCACTGTCGATGTCTGTCGTGGCAGATAACAGCGTATTCGTGACCCGACGTAAGAATGGCGGTCAGGCCGTCCATCGAGACAGAGTGGGCGCCCCAAAAAACTCCTGCATGGATTTTCGCGAATATGTAGGCAGCAAGAATGGATTTCCTGCGATGCACGTCGCGGCAAAAAATCGCGAACGACGACCTTGTCCGCCGTTCACGGATCTGTCGTCCAGCCGTATATTGCCAACAAGGATACGCGCACGGGCGCTGACGAACCCGCGTCAACACGAGAAGTCGAGTAAGCTTTATCGTTTAGAGAAAAGAGAACACGTAACAAAGATTCTATAGGCGAACTTGCGGAAGGCTCATTGTCGATGTCTGTCCCGGCAGACAACATCAAAT